CATGAGTGACAGATGATCTGAAAGACTGAGCCGAACAAAAAGCAGAGAGCGTCGTTGACCTCACGATTTGCGCGCCCAGGCTAGAAGACGAAAACAAATAGGGTGAAGAGCGACAGAGCGGCGCTCGCCTGCTTCTAGAATCGATCATTTAGATCCACACCATCACTACTGCACCCTATTCTTTTTTTTTGCCTCGGAGCGTATCTTGCGTGCATCAGCGGCAGATATCCACCACCTGACTCAAGCTCAAGCTTCTTGTTGGTTTTGTCGTCCAGACCTATTTGCTATTGGCAGCCCAAGTTTGGCTCAGCCATTCAGTCCAAGGATAGCCAACACATGTGTTGTGGAATCTGAAATCATAACGTGGATGCTTCGACTTGTAATGAGCATCTGAGAGAGTCGGAAATTGCAATGCTGCACGTGTTTCTCAAGAGGTTGGCTTCGCTGCAACGATTGACGAGATAGCCGCCGCCGTTTGAACAGAACCGAAGAACAGAAGTTCGTTGAGCGAACAGAAGCTGCCAAGCTGGATGTTTGAGGCCCTTTTCCGACAGAGGAGGGTGCAATCTTCGCTTCCAAGTTCCAACACGATTATAGTGGTCCAATAGATGCGTATTAGTCTGAAGGATTCTGGTTGCAGATGGTCACCGGTGGTAATGGGTCCAGCACAGGTTGCGCGGGTGATATCCACTTAAAGTCTTGGAAGGCGTGTTCGGCAGCGCGCGTCGATGCAAGACACCAGACGCTCTCACATCCAGGGAAAATTTTCCCTTACTGGATGTCACTCAGTCGGCTGAACCCTGAGGTTGAAAGGAAGTTTAGGACGAAGTGGCTTGTGCCAAGCAAACGTGGAGTTGGTCGTGCCTGGCCAAACTCGTGCCTTCTCCAAGAAACGTGTTTACCCCGGACGACGTGATTGGCTCCTGCTCACTTCACTCGTCCGAGACGCCTCTCCAACACTCTCGAGTCTCGCTCGGCTATGTGCAATAAACGTCCCTCGGGCTCACCACTCTGCCGCAAGGAGCACACTTGCGACGCAGCCTGGATGGGGTCACATCGCACAAGCCGCAAAGCACCTGCAATTTTCGGTCTTGCCCGACACGTGAATGTGGGACGACTACCCAAGAATTGGTCCGGATCGAGCAGACCTGACACTGCATGTACCATCAGCTTGGGATGTATCGAAGATCCTGTCATGCAGGTGCAGTCTTGCGAAATGATGCGAAAGCGAGGGATCTGTTTTTGCGACGGCGAATTGCCCAAACCATGTTCACGCGACGAGTTCATTATCATGAGGCGAGAACGCAAGAGTAAGGTAAGCTTTCTTCTTTTGCGAGCATCACAACTTCCGACGGCCACGAGCAGTGGACTGTGGTTCTCAAGGCTCCACGCGGAGACAGATCACTCGACAAGTTGCTCGAATCGGCCGTTGTGCTAAGAGAGCTAAGATTAGGCTTTTGGAGCAAGAACCGTCAAGACCGTGCAAGACGTTCTCAAGCACCCCAAGATCCAAAGCCAGGGCCTTGGCCGCCTCGTGCGTGATACAATGCTGATCGCTGATTGGATCCCGACCGATGCGCCACAGTGTCTGGGCCTGCAACCAGTTGAGGAACAAGCAAACACCCGTCTGACGGCCAAGCCAAATTTTCGAGTAAAGATGCTGTAGATAAAAGAAGGCAGCTGCTCACCCCTTCCTTATTCGTCTCGTCCATCATCAGCCATTCACTTCTGAAGACAGATCGTTCCCAGTCAGATCTTTCTGACTTCTCCTCTCCCTGCACTCATTGCTTCTATCTATATCTATCTCAGATAGTCCCTCACCACAGCAATGGCCGCCAACAACAGAACCGCCGGTGGAAACGCCGCTTTCCACAACTTCAACAATGACTTCGCTCACATCGAGGATCCTAACGAGCGTCGCAGACTCGCTCTTGCCGAGATCGACAAGGCTCCTTTCGGCTGGTACCACGTTCGCGCCGTCATCGTCGCTGGTATCGGTTTCTTCACTGATGCCTACGACATCTTCGCCATCGGTCTTGTCACCAACATGCTCGGTGTCGTCTACTGGCAAGACGCCAAGAAGAACCCCGGCAAGATCCCCCAGACTGCCGACACTGCCATCAAGGTTGCTACCTCGGGTGGTACCGTCATCGGTCAGGTTGGTTTCGGTTACCTTGCCGATGTTGTCGGTCGTAAGAAGATGTACGGTCTCGAACTCATGGTAATTATCTTCGCAACTCTCGCTCAGGCTCTTTCTTCGGACTCTCCCGCTATTTCCATCGTCGGTATCATCATCTTCTGGCGTGTTCTCATGGGTATCGGTATCGGTGGTGACTACCCTCTCTCATCTATCATTACCTCTGAGTTCGCTACCACCAAGTGGCGTGGTGCCATGATGGGCTCCGTCTTCGCCATGCAGGGTATCGGTCAGTTCGCCGCTGGTATCATCGCTCTCATCGTCACTGCTGGCTTCAAGGAGTCGCTCATGAGTGCAAAGAACCCCGCTGCTTGTGACGGTGTCTGCCAGCTTGCTGTTGACAAGATGTGGCGTGTCATCATCGGTTTCGGTGCCGTTCCTGGATGTATCGCTCTCTACTACCGTCTTACCATTCCCGAGACTCCTCGCTACACCTTCGATGTCGCTCGCGATGTTGTCAAGGCCGACACTGACTCCAAGGCCTACCTCAACGGCAAATCTCACGGTAACCCCGATGAGATCACTCGCGTCCAGACCCAAGCTGCTACTGCTGGCCGCCTCGAGGTCCCCAAGGCCTCGTGGGCCGACTTCGGCCGCCACTACGGTCAATGGAAGAACTTCAAGATCCTCCTTGGTACTGCCGGTTCTTGGTTCTTCCTCGATGTTGCCTTCTACGGTGTCTCGCTCAACAACTCTGTCATCCTTGCCGCTATTGGCTACACTGGTGGTGCCAACATGTACGAGGTTTACTACAAGAACGCCGTTGGTAACTTGATCATCGTCTGCGCTGGTGCCATTCCCGGTTACTGGGTCACTGTTGCCCTCGTCGACACTGTCGGTCGTAAGCCCATCCAGCTCATGGGCTTCACCCTTCTTACCATCTTCTTCTGCATCTTCGGTTTCGGCTACAACGTCATTGGCACGAGCGGCAAGCTTGGCCTCTACATTCTCTGCCAGTTCTTCTTCAACTTCGGACCCAACGCCACCACCTTCATCGTCCCCGGAGAGTGCTTCCCTACCCGTTACCGTTCCACCTCCCACGGTCTCTCTGCCGCCTCTGGTAAGATTGGTGCCATCATCGCTCAGGTTGTCATTGGTCCTCTCCGTGTCCGCGGTGCTACTGCCAAGAACGCCTCCCCTTGGCTCAACCACGTCCTCCAGATCTTCGCCCTCTTCATGTTCCTCGGAATCTTCACCACGCTCCTCATCCCCGAGACCAAGCGCAAGACCCTCGAGCAGCTTGCCGGTGAGGTTCCCGGAACCCCCGAGTACGACGAGCACACACACGGCGCTGTTGAGAACAAGCACTCCGAGGACTACTCCGAGACCAACATGGCCGAGAAGTCTGCCGCCTAGACGATTTGTTCTTGCCTTTTCTTTCATGATACCAAAAACTGCTTTCTGTGGGTTGTATATAAACGGGTGGTCTCCCAAGCGCTGGGTTGATGGGTTCTTGTTCTTCTCTTTCTTTAAGCAAAGCGGCCTGGTTCTAGTTGGTTACAGTCCTTTAGTGATACATAATGTTGACAACCTTCTACTTTTTTCCAAAAAGACATGGCTTCCACACTCTTGGTTCTTTTTGTGACAGTGCCCTACCTACCCTTGTGATACCACATTTCGTTTCTACACTCTTAATCTACCACTATCCCCCTTTCCTCTTTTATCGTTGCCCTCATCTTAATTCTCATCTTGCACGTGTTTATCTATGGTTTTGATCAAATCAGGATGGTTTTCATGCTTAAGAGTAGTCGTGTACATTCGTATCTTGCTGCATGCACTCCTCCGCTTTTAGGCCACCGTTGTTCATCTGCATGCCTTTTTTTTTTTTTTTGGGTTTCTTGCAGTAGTCTATTTACTTTGCATGTACAGGTGTATCACGCAGAATGTGCATTGTGCAGGTAAGCATGTATATTGGAAGTGTGTTGGAAGTACTGTACCGAGCATGGTATTGCGTGGCTGTGCTTCAAACAACCAGGCCGCGTTTGTAGGCGAAATGTGTGTTCTTCCTGGTTGTCTGTAATATCTCGAAAAGGAGTGTTGCTTCCAGGCAGAGTGGCAGTGTCGATGGCAGTGTTGACACCGGTGTGGGTATGGAGTTGCAGTGTCACTACCGGTACGCATATGAGATAGCAGTGTCGACAAAGATATGAACGTATAGTGGCAGTGAGCCGTGAGCCGTGAGCAGTGAGAAAGGACTGACACAACTCTTCAGCAACAAAGCTAGCGAGCGAGCAAGAATCCAAGTCGGGTCTGAGGGACTTCGGAAAAGAGTGCATCGCAGGAACAAATGTTTTCCTTCAAAGTGACTCTACTAAGTTCGAGGATCCAAGTACAACACCGAGTCCAAAATCAGCACATGATGAATATGTATACTTGGGCAAGCACATGCAGGCTGGCAACTGCAAAAGAGGGAAGCATGCTTGGACTCTGCCATTGACTCAGTACCCAAGCGATGGATGATGATTGATCCATAGCAGCTATGACCACTAGGAAGAATAGACATATTCATTAAATTATGTGCTAGATGAAAAAGTTTTGGTGGTATCTAATCTCTACAATAGGGGACATGGAGAACTGAGGCCGTGGTAAAGGCAAATCACAGTGAGGAGACAAAGAGAAAAGAAAAGAGAAAAAACAAAACAAGACAAATTGAAGAGAACTTGGGTATCGCTTGCGGTGGAAAATCAGAAGAAAGAAAAACGTCCATCTCTTATGCCTCTCTTCCGCGTGAGAGCATCTTGTCCTCTACGTCTACCAACAAGGAGACGTTGAATATGTATGACAGAGTGAAAACTGCGCGAGCCTACCAGCACTTCAAGCTGGAAAAGAATCCACCCTTCTTCTTCTTTTGTGGTGATGTGGCAGCAGACTCGGATTCTGAGAAACGCAGCTTCTCGGATGGGCTGGTAATGTTTGGCGCAGGAGCAGATTGATGTGTTTCTGTTGCGGCAGAGACGCGTTGAGAGGCGGATTGATTATGAGGTGCTGGGTTGACGAGAGAAGGGAATTTTGGTCGCAGACCTGCTGCATATTGTTCTCTGGCTTCGACTACGCGCTTGACGATNNTGCTGTATACTGTCAGTTCATGATGGCTGGTAGTGGATGTGGGCGACTCACAGGCAAAAGTCTCCTCGATGTTGACGACTTCACGCGCCGAAGTCTCCATGAAACCGCAGCCTCTGCTCTTTGCCCACTCGAGACCTTCAGCAGCACCGACCTGTCGCTGACCTTGCAGATCGCACTTGTTTCCGGCGACCATGATGGCAGGCCAGCACTTTCCCTGCTCTTGTCTGTGCTCCCTCTCCATGTCGATCAACTCGGCAAAGAAGTCGAGGTTCTGCAGGGACTGGGCGTTTGTAATGTCGTAGACGAAGAGGAAGGCGTCTGAGGTCAGGTTTGCGGCAGACCACATGCCGCGGTATTCTTCCTGGCCAGCCGTGTCGGTGAGGAAGAGCGAGTAGGTTTGGCCATTGATGGTGCGTGTGACCGAGTACGAGTCTTCGATTGTGGGATCGTAGTCGTGTGTCCAGGCGGAGCGGACGATGCGCAGGGTGATTGAGGATTTACCTGGGGCATTGCGTTAGCCGGATGCATGGCAGTTGCGACTGAGGGGTAGCATACCGCAGCCACCGTCGCCGCAGATGGTGATTGAGATCTTGTCGTCCATTGTGGGTGCGCGCTTGTCGCCGTGGGATGTGTGTGGACGGATCAAGGAGTCAAGGATGGAGCGAGACGATGGTAAATGCAGGGATGTTGAGAAACAAGGTACAAGACAAGTGATACAAGAGGCGGAGGCCCGAATGTGCGCCCGGGGGATGAGGACAAAGTGAAGGTTGTACGAGAGACTGGAAGAGCGAAAGATCAACTGCCGGATGGAACCAAGGACGCCAATGTATGCTAGGATCGAAGGAAACGATAGTGAAAAAGATCGTGTCTAGTCCATGTCAAGTGATGGTCATGGACTGGTGGTGTTGGCACTGTTGGGTGATGGTGGAGACTCTCCGGTCCCTGCTCTGCCGACGCTCGGTCCCTCTCGGTCCAAATGCGCCGTCGATCTTTCCCCATTGACCGTCCCGCTGCCGGATCTACTTTGCAGTCAACCGTCCATGCAGGAAACACATGGTGCTTGCTCTTGCCCTGCTTCCTAGGTATCCTTTTCTTCTTTCAAGTCCTGCAAGAAACGTCTACAAGGCACGAGAGTCCAGATGCTCAAACACAAATCACGAATCCGTCTCAACGGCCCAGATCACCTTGAAACATATCCGAACCACCATATCCGAATATCCCCACTTTTTAGAGTCCACATTAGCTCCTGCATCTCGACTCGTGCCCATTATTCACCGTGTATAGCGTGACAATGACACTGGTACTTGTGTGAGAATCTCGTTTCTTGCGACATGCTATGCATCTACTTGTTGCCAGCCCAGTCTCGAGCTTGAATGTTCTGCAGCTCTGCCATATCGTATGTCTGGGGTGGAAGTTCCACACCCGCCGGCCCAGTGATGATACCAAACTCGTTCGTATAATGAACAGACGTGCCAAAGAACCCGATAATCTTCTCTCCCACTCCCGCTTCCATCACCTTGACATCGTTGTTCTTGAACATTGAACTGGCCAACCAATGGCCGTTGAGACACCCTGCCTTGGTTCCGTCTGACAAAGTCATGATAATACCACCCAACACCTGGTTACCCCATCCAAACCTGTTCACCTCTACTTTGACAATATCGACACCTGGAGGGATGTGCAACTTCTGAGAGTTGCCGCCGCCAAAGTAATGCTTGGCGCCGCCGTGGCCATAGCGAAGTCCACAAGGTGTCGTGTGTCCGTCCTCGTAGTATACAACCGCTCCGTCGAGGATGGCGCCAATTCGCAAGTCAATTGTCTTTGCGCGTGTGAGCTTGCCATTTGCGCCCTTCTCCTGGAGTAGAACTGCCCACTTATGGCCATCAGGGATTTCGTCGGCTTCCTCGTCGCCATTGCTAGTTCGTACGTCGATACCAGTCGCGGATTGTTTTCGCAAAACGATGTTTGAATTGTCAATGTGAATGACATCCTGAGTTGTCATTTTCCAGGCATCCGGAGTTCGCTTGACACGGCCATTGCAACCAAGTACTTCCAAGCGAAGAGGTGCAGATGGATTGAATACTCCAAGCTCGAGAGTGACAGAATAGGTCTTCTGTCCAGATAGCGAGCAGTCGTAGCTGACTGTTCCCGTGTTTCCGCCATTGGCTATTTCGATTTGAGCAATACCGGATTTGCAGTCGACGACTATCGAAGCGCATCCAGGTTCTTCTGGGAAGTGCGGCGTGATTGAAGGAGCCTCGATTGACCTCGTGGGAATGGCAGCAGCGACTTGCTTGAATGTGCGTCTTTGTACGGCCGAGTGTGCGCGACGTTGTCTGATTGTTGAGATGCGCATCTTGAATGTTGATCTAGGATAAGAGATGGATATGGGTTATGTGAGATGGATGCCCTTTGAGATATTCGGGTGTGATTGAGATGTGGACGACAGAAGACAGTGGTCGACCAAGCATTAAATATCAATTCATCCATGTTGCACAGGAACACCATCTTACCTTCGTTGAGTAGATGTTGCCTGAGTCCAATATGGCTGGAGGCAGCATCGCCTTAGGTGCGACGCCTCGCCAGGCATCAACAGCCGTGGCTGTCGCGAAATAGGCAAAAACACGGCTTCGCGAGTCAGAATCAGGTAGCAAAGTTGAGTCGCGCCATGGTCGAGACCATACATAGCTAACACTGCTTTCGTGACATGACAGGTCGTATGCTAAAGGATATGGAGATCTCGAGGACGCGATCTATATGTGAGAAGAAACAGAATGAAGTCGTCGTTGTCCTCGAGCAAACATGCTTCTCGCTTGCAAAACTCTCGGGAACGGTCTACCACAACGTCATACCTCGGCAACCACTTTACTTCCATCTCCAATCCAATCGCGTGTCCTCTATAGCTACTATATACCACTCCCATCAAACATGACTTCCAACCATGAAAAACAGACCAAACCAATAGTCTCTGTAATCTCGGGCGGCATCGCCGGCGGCGTAGAAGCCTCGGTAACCTATCCCTTCGAATTCGCCAAAACACGCGCTCAACTACACGTCCGAAAGCAAGGGGTACCCTACCCTCGCAATCCATTTGCCGTGGTGGGACAAGTATACAGTCAAGAAGGACTACGCGCACTATACAAAGGCTGTGGTGCTCTAGTAGTCGGCTCAGTGGGAAAAGATGCAGTCCGCTTCTTATCCTTCGACACCGTCAAGAACATGTTCAAAGACCCAGAAACAGGAACACTATCCCCACTACGCAACATGTTGGCAGGAATGGCTGCAGGTGTGGTCGCAAGCGCAACTGCAGTCACACCCACCGAACGCATCAAGACAGCTTTGATAGACGACGCCCGAGGACCCAAACAGTTTACCTCGACCATGCATGCCATCAGGACAATCCTCGCCGAAGACGGCTTCAAAGGACTCTATCGCGGCTTTGCAGGAACAACGCTGAAACAAGCTTCAGCAACCAGTTTCCGCATGGGCACGTATAACATCCTCAAGGACTACGAGAAGAATCATCATATTGAGCAAAACACTGCTACCAATTTTGCGAATGGCGCTGTGGCGGGTACGACTACGACCTTGGCGACTCAGCCCTTCGATGTCATCAAGACGAGGTCGCAGACGGCAAAGGCGACGACGACGATGGAAGCTATTGCGAGTATCTGGAAGGATGATGGTGTTCGTGCGTTTTGGAGAGGTACGGTCATGAGATTGGGTCGTACTGTGCTTGCAGGAGGAGTACTGTTCACAACGGCAGAGGCTGTCGCAAAGATCATCAATCCAATCTTTGACCGATAGCATGATGAAAAGATGTTCAGAGTCAATTATCTATAAGCATTTGTGGAATATGTAATGCTGTAATATGGAAAAGCAGCACCTCGGAGGGTGTATCGGATCTTGACAAATCATGTCTCAACGCCCATCACCAACAGTTCCTGAGGTCGACCCCTTCTCACGTCAAAGGAATTGCTGCCTCAACCTTGTAGCCATGACTGATCATCTTGCCACCATTCTTGTTCAGCAGCGCCCAAATCTCGCTGGGATGGAACCAAGCAAACACGGCCATTGTCGCCAACATCAGACAAGCGTCAAACACATACAGGAACCACTCATGGGAGATCAAGTACCCATCATTGCCTTGCGCATACTCGATCAGACGGAAGACAGATCTGATCAAGACGAGCGCACTACCGCCATACAACGTATGAAGGTGCTTCTTCCAAGGGTTGAAGCTGACCATGCTGCGGCTGGTGGGTACGCTATTCATGCGAATGTTAAAGGTAATGCTGACAATGATGAAGAATCCAANAAACAAGATTTGGATGACCAGACCGGCAATGGTGATGTGTTCGCCGTTCTCGAGTGCTTCGAGTGTTCCTGTCGCCATTATACCGCCTCCAGCAGCTTGCAGACAAAAAGAAACGACATCGCCAATGACGAAGATCTTGGTGAGCCATTTCTTGGGGATGATACTGTGCTGTTCGCCATCGGTGAGAAGGATGATCCGTCCGAGTTCCATGTATATGCTCGCAGCAAATAGAGCAGGTGCAACGAGAATCAAGATAGCCTGGATCGAGTAGGCAGGAATGCTGAAGTCGGGAGCTTCTTGGCTGGCTTTGGCTCNGCTGCACGGAACGAAATCAGTCGAGTCAGAGATTGAATAGAGCGAATCAAGACTTACGCCAATGTAGCCAATAACCTCGAACAAACCTCCAATCACAAAGGGAACGAAGAAGTAGGTTTTTGTTCGAATCATTTGGTAAAAGTGCAACGCTGTCATCAAGGTGAATGTGATGACGAAGACGAGTGCGGCTCCCAGGCTTGGATCATAGCGATATAGCTTGAAATCGACAGCTTTAGAGTCTGACATTGCGGCAGTGCGGTACCGTCGACGGTTGTTGTATGCTCTGTATGAAATTTGTGTTCTGGTGATATGGCAGTGTCGAAGAACGCGTAGCAGTGATCAGAAGTGCGGATCAGGAATCGGAATGGAGTTTCTGGTATGACTGCTCCATCTGAACAGAGGAGTCACGGCATTATAAGCAACTCTCTCAATCTAGGTACTCGGGGCGCAGTTCGCCTGTACCGGCCAACCCAAATCAAACCTGCGTGTTGCGTGTATGCACTAACCGCTGGATCTCGGCAGAAACTACTTTCATACGGCCAGGCTCAATATGGCAGTAAGAAACATGATTGATGCGCTGCCATTGGACGATGCAAAGCGAGAAGCGAAGAAATGCCTGAAGCTTATTGAGCGTTACAGGTGCGTACTGCGTATTACGTGTTGCGTATCCCGTATCACGTATTGCGCAACAGAATGCGTCGACGCATGTATCCGTCTCAATGTCTTGGAAGAGATCGAACCGTCCACAACAAGCTGCTGGATGCTTCAGTCCATGTTTCGCTCTTGCCCTAGTGTTACAGCAGTGTCATGAGCTAGGGTCCATGATTGGCTGCGGAACCTCCCGAGCGCCGAGACCGACATCGACATGGGAGCTCTTTGATGATATCAACCCAATCAGTATCGGAATACAGCCGTTCTTCCCTTCCATCGATGCCGCAGCGCAGAAGTCACACCAAATCTCGGCGTGGGTGCTTACAATGTAAGCAGCGTCATACCAAGGTCAGTAGCTACGCCGTGAACGCAATCTTGTGAACGCGAATGATGTTCACGGACACCCCTTCGTGACGTGCTGCCGAATGGAATGAGCCATTTCTGTTACTGATTGGTCTCTGATAGTGTGATGAAGCTACGCCTAGTTGTGGCTATTGCCTGAAACGCGAGGTCATTTGTAGCTACCTCACTACTAGCCGCGACAACACGCCGAATTTGAATGCATCGCCGTCTGGTCAATCAGAACCCACGACATCCTCGGCTCCTCGGACTACGGAAACCAGAGTCTTGGAGCTTCGACTGATGCACAATTGGTCAACCAACGCATTCAAGTCAATGAGACAGCACTCTGACGAAACTCAGCTATGGCAAGTCGTCGTACCAGAACTGGCCCTCTCACACGAGTTCCTCTTAAATGCGCTTCTGGCTCTATCTGCTCGTCAGATCTCTTTCGAGGACCCAACTTGGGACTGGGCTGCTCTGGAATACGAGGGCAGGGCTCTCATGGGTTTCCAGCATGTTCTAGGTTCTCTCGATTCCACAAACTACGAGGCCATCTTCGCATGCGCTATACTTATCATGGTCTTCTCATTGGCGCAATCTCACTGGCAGCACAGTCGTCAGTTGTCTGATGCTCTGGCCGACATTATCGAACTACGCAGAGTCATCGCTGGAGTTGGTCTGGTGCATAGGCATTACAGCGACCTCTTGGATCTCTCGAGCTTTCGGATACTGTTCAGTCCGCACACGCCGAGTAACCTGGACTCTGGAAATGGCACAGGTGTGCCGCTGCCCGATATGTGTCGGTAAGTTTCGCCTGGTACTGGAGAGAACGACTTTCCAAGCTCATACCTCAAAGTNATAGTTGACGCCACACTTGAGCTCCTGCGAGCAGAGGCATCCAAGACTGCAAACGCCAAACCCCACTCCGATGCCATATCCTATCTTCAACAAGGTATGAGCTCCTACTGCACAGGTGGCATAATGTCAGAGATTATGGCATGGCCAGTATCACTGGACGACGACTATGTGAATCTTATCGAGAAAAGTGAGCCGCTGGCACTAGCAATAGTCGCTCACTATGGAGTCACCATTCATTTGCTTCGAGACCGATGGTGGGCAGCGGATGCTGGAAAGCGTCTCGTGCACGCAGTACTACCAATCCTACGCGATTTACAGCCAGAACTGGCTGATCTGGTACAACGATCGTGGACCGCTGTGGCCAGCGAGCAATCGTCTTACAACACACCAATGCCCAACCATTGAAGGGATTCTGCCCTGTTACCAATCATGATGAGGTCATACACACAACAGAACTTTCATGTTCCAAAGATTGGCACTTTCGAGGCACTTTTGCATGCTGCTGCTGAGTACACTGAATCATGAGGGTACACACACACAATATATCGTATACATTTCCGAACGATCCTTTCTTCAGAGGATAGACTAACATGGCTCTTTACCCTTCTTCGATCCCAGAGCGTTAAAGTTCTCCATCAACGCAACCACCTGGCTCCCAGTCCACTGATGATGTTCGGCCAACCATTCGCCTTCAGCAATACGTTGCAATTCGACCAGCTTGCGCGATTTGTTGTACACGGCAGCCCGCACACTCTTCGCGATACCAGCCGCTGGATACGCCAATACACCAACCATAGCAGCTCCAGGTTTGGTCACAAGTCCGGCCAATCCCTTGCCCAGTCCGGTCGCTATGCCCACACTCCCCGACTTCTTGTAGTCCTTGTAAGGCTGCACACCAAGCCCAGATATTCCATCGTATAGGCCGTATGCGAAAGTCTTGCCAGCCACTGCAAAGCCGCTTCCAACGCCTGTCACTTTGCCGTGATCTCTTACCTCATCGCCATAGAACCTGGGTGCGGTGTGGAAGCCTTCTGCCATGGCCAGTGGTATATCGACCACCATACCTTTGACGACTTTTGGCCCCAACCAGCCGATGCTCTTTACACCTGCCAACGCTGCTTTACTCCCTGCGGATGGTTGTTTGTCGCGTGCTTTCGTTGATGCGGTTGTATGGATACTTGCGCTCGAATCCTGATGGCTGTTGGTCTCAGCTAGCTGTTGGGATTCGACCATTACATCGACCGCACTGGCTCGGTCCTGTCGTTGCTTTTCCTCGCGGTACACTTTGATTGGATCAGTGACCATGCCGGTCACGCAACCTGTGATGTCCATTATTGTCTTGATTGAGGCCGAGGCTCCGCCGCTCACGGCATCCCAGCGAACAGGCTCGATAGTGATTTGCTTCGATTGGTATCTAGGAACGAGTCAGATCGCACCAAACAATCTAGATTACGTTGAACTTACGGNCCTGAGATCTCTCCGTAGACTACTGCGTTGTGATGTCAATATCTCAGCAGCCTGCTTGGAGATCTTGACTTGATTGCGACCTGACTTGAGCATCCAGACGGCCGGCTGGTCTGGTACAAGATCACATCTCATGGCTTCGAGTGGGAGATGTCTGTGGAAAGAGTTTACAGCAGCCTGGACCCCCTGTTCGTGTGACATGCGTCTGGCGATAGCCTTGGCTGCTGTTGATGTCCCCTCTCTCATAAGAAAACGGATGGCATCAGCTAACGTGCCAGCAGTCATCTGGCGTGGCGGCAGAGGCTTGGGTCCAGCACCGGCATTAGCAATCATATGGCCCCAGAAGGGCTGNNACTGAAGACTGGATGTCAGTGATTGCGATGCAATAGGCTAGTATCTGACTTACTCTCCGAAGAATGGGCACACCAGGGTCGGCAGTCCGTTCTTGAGCCCACAGGCGGTAGTGCCTGCACCACCATGATGCACAACAGCTGCCATGCGTGGGAACAACCACTCATGTGGGCAGTCACCAATGTAATATATGTTCTTGCCCACGTCACCGCCAAAGTTGGACCATCCTTTCGAGATGATGGCTCTCACACCAGCTGCTTTCACGGCGTCAACAATTATGGACAGCATTTTTGCAGGATCATCGAGCACAATGCTGCCGAAGCCGATGTATACGGGCGCAGGTCCTGCAGCTAGGAAGTCCATAAGAGCTGGCTCAGGACTGTATGTAGGCGTATCGCGGAAAAAGAAACCACACACATCTTCAAACAATTATTAGTCATGATAATGTGGAGACTCCAGATCATACTTACCGATGTACTCAGGCCAGTCCCTAGGCTTAGGCACCAACGCTGGTGACCAGCAGTACGTGAAGGGAACTTTGAGCATACGTGCTAATGTCGGGCCGTCCATAAAATTGATAGGTTCCAGTTCAATGCTGTCTCGCCAGTCGTTTATCACATCGCCCANATCTGTAAAGAAGTAAGCCATGACCCAAAGCGAATGTCGCATCAAAATTCACCCTTGCCAGGTCATCCATTCCACGACATGATATGACAGATAGTTTGCTGCCGCATAGCTTCCATCGACGTTGGTCAAATTTGCCAGAGGATGCGGAAAAGCGCGAGTGTTGGTCCACGGCATTGTGAACATGAGGTGAACAGGGATACCTAGAGCTTGCGCACAATGGACATGGGCAAAGCTAGGAGGGTTGGCGATGATTGCATCCGCAACAAAAGGCTCACCACTGAACTGGTCTGGCAGAACACATGAGTTCCAGCATCCATCTAACATCTCGGCGACCATGCGACGTTTGCGGCTGATCTCGCCAGACATCATTGTCTTCACCGAAGGTATGAGACTGGGATTCTTGACCATGTAGGCCATCAACGACGCAGGGTCTCCTCCTATTGGATAAAATTCGAGCCCGGCTTGACGGACAAAGGCTGCAAACAAGTCGTGGGTAGCAAGTCGGACTCTATGACCATAACGCTGGAGCTCAGTGCCCAAAGCGATAAAGGGTTGCACATCTCCACGACTGCCCACAACTTGGATCACGATATTGAGCTTCACGGTCCATGTTGAGCTTGATGATGTACCGGAGCCCACTGGCTTTCTTTTGAAGTCATGTCTCTTGGAATCGTAGACAGGAGGTGCAGGTTGCGAATCTTCAGCCGGTTCAGTTGGGAAGCATTTCGAGATTGCTCGGATGACGCTTGAGTTGAAGTTGATATCAACACGTCCATCGTCNNTGGATTATCAATAATCAGTGCTGTTCATATGTGAAAATGTCGAATTGTGTTCACCTCTGATATGATAGCCTTCAGCGCCAGAGGGCGTAGTCTCAGGATCGTGACTAGCATCGTGACCATAATCGTAAAGTTCGGTGTACGGAGGGGGTGATAGTGTGTCTGGGGAATCTCTGCTCAAGGTACTTTCGGATTCATTTGAGTCGTCGGCTGTCTTCATATTGGTTGCAGCTCAGCTGGTCCGTGGTGCAACTCGGAAGGGAACAAAGCGCAACGGAGAGCAGTTTGTTGAGATGCGGCAGAAGACAGCGTCAATAAATCGGTAAGATGGGAAGGTGCAACTATGATCTGTCCGCATGAATGGTCCAAAATGCGGGAAGGTGAGCGAGGAAGTCAGCGACAATACAAGATCTACGAAGATCCAAAAGCTTTCTTAATATAAATTTCTTGTCGTCTGCTCCGCCTCTGAAATAGGCTGCTACATTATTCAAGGACGATCACTACGTTAAGTTAATATAGCTACCAAGCCGTCAGCACGGCCCAGGAGATCTCTGGAAGATGCTGCCTAGGGCCGTTGCATATCGCACGTCGCATGTCACTGGTTGTTTGCACAAGTGGATTAGGGCAGTAAGCAAAAATTGAAGCCAATCAGCTTTCTGTCTGAGAAGGATTGAAGCAGGCAGAGTACCCGCGGCGTCGGTCTTTGACTTCCGCTGATCAGAGCACAAGTCACGTGCACGCACCTAGTCATGGAGAAACACCGGCGATTGACGAATACGCAATACGCAATTGCGCAGTTCTGACACTCAACTTCAAGGTACGGATATCTCAGCCTGAGCATTCAAAGATGCATACTCGAATAGCATCAGAATCTCATGACGTTCATCGTGTTCTGCCGCGAGGTTAATGTGTCTAACTGCTGCAAGTCAGACAATTCTCGTCTCGCCCTGTCATCCTGGCGTATTGCGCTTCTTGCTTCCACTCCTTTTTGTCTTCCTTCCAGCGACTGTGCACACGATTCCCGAGGAAAGTCTTCATAGCTTTGATCTCGACGGTGAGCTTCTCGAATATGAGTTGTTCGACCTGTGTAGCAGACTGATTTGAAGATCTATGCGTCAGTTGACCAGAAATTAGGATAGTATCTTGCGCGTCGTTGCGTATTGCGTATTGCGTGTTGCGTATAAGCCTCCAAATGGATTTGATGTATATCTTGGCCAGTGTACCGCCTTATCGACCGAGGCCGAGATGTGCCTGGTATACCTTACGCCATGCACTTTCTATCTGTTCGTATTTCCGGGCGTCCTAACCATTTCGATATGCCGTATGCATACATTCAAAGCATACACCAGGCTCTGATGTCACATACTCAAGATCCGCAACATATATACATAGGTCTTGAACCACAGGTCGGTCAACATCCTTCTCTTCCCCTCGAACCAGCATGTGGTACTCGCCTTCTCTATCTTCACTTTTGCTCTGCTCACAGATAACCTGGGCATATAGTGACCCAGTCTTTGCTCAAACCAAGAATGGTACTATCCATCTTCGCTCTGATGGCTCTCGACCCGCCCATTTTGTCATCGTGGTATGCTGCGGCACCTTATCGACTCACGACGAGCAACGGTGTTTGATCGCAACGAATTTGGGTACACGGCTTTACACGTACGCTTTTCCTATGCTTTGCTATGCTTCCATCTTGTTAACAAAGGCTAGTTCATAGCAATAGCTGCATCGATCGAAGAGAGCAGCGTGTTCGCACATATGGCTCAGTTCCTCATCGAACGAGGTGCTGATGTAAACGAACCCAACTGCAATGGCTAGTAGGTTCATTTCATGATCCAATATTTCGCAGCAGACTGCTGATCACACTTTGTCCCAGCCTACCAATACACTACTACAATTCCGGAGTCAATGAGAATTGTCTTGATACACCGACGAATTTTCGAAAGCGAAACCTCCTTCGGTTGCTGGTGGAAGAGGTCGACTTGGACCCAGAGCTCTTTTGGAAACAATACGACTGGTCTCCTTTCATGGTCTGCCCAGCGCTCGAGAAAGAACTAGAGCAAAGTTTTCCATTGGATAAGCCGAAACATCTCAAACCCACAACGTCAGACTATTTGCGCTATATCATATGGTTCCCAGAACCCAATCGCCAATCACCACAAGACTTGGCGGATATCATAGGCATCACAAGTCTTGAAGCCGCTTATTTGACTGGGAATGACGATCTTAAAGGCGACATACTGCGTGTGGTCCTCCAAGCATGGGGCTCCTTTTAGGATCACGACAACTTGGAAAAATGGAAGAATGGCAGGAGCTTTTCCAGAAGTTGTTTGCCGCAGGGGCCAGATTCGAAGTGCTCAATGAAGGCGAAAGGAGAGGAGACGGAAAGGAAATCGCAGGTCAAGAGAATGCGAGAGATATGGTAGTGCTCGAAGTGATACGTCATTTCGCAGTATACTATGCCTACACCAACAAACACTCTCGGGTACGCGCCAGTAAGGCTCAACGCCTCGTTGATGGCTTCCAGAAATTTGTCTTGAGAACAGAGTTTCTCGGGATCAAACTCCAGGCAAGCTCATCTTGCACGAGATTTGAACTTCATGTATGCGGAGACCCTACAGACTCGACTGGCATTTCCCGTGTGCTGAACATTTTGTTCGAGCCGCATACCTTCAGCTTGTACTTTGACAAGGATCTGTCGGTCTGGAAGATATGGGACTCGACATACGAGGAATATTGTGAAGAGTTCTGGGACCTGTCGGAACATCCGGAAAGAACAATGCCGGGTGCATGGGTCGATTGAGAAGAAGTATACCACTCAGAGAAGAGTCTATGTTCTACGAGACATTCTACTACGACTGAAGACCCATAGGATTATACGGCAATCCAAAGTGGAACTTCAGCTCAGATTTATTAAGCACGGCTCAAATTGCCTGGATTTTCGGATGATGGTCCTGCTCGACTGTACGTTTCAGTCAGATCACTTGGGCTGTAATCCTTACGGAGATCCTAATCTGGATCCGTGTGAGATAATCAGACGAGTAGCACACGTTGGCCTAGAGATTCCATGGCGGTAGCCCAGTCCCAAGATCCAGATCGATTATTTCCGCGTGAAGTCCAACATCTCTGCATGATCTGGAGAGTAGTCGTGGTATTGCCAAAAGCGTGTGCCTCTTCACCAAGCCCTTGAATCAGACTCTGAAAGTATGCTTGAGCGGGTGCACCCTCAGCCATACTACCAGCAATGCAAATTGGCCAGATAAGATTTCGCAAAGCTTGAGCATCACAGATGAGTTGCAATTCCTGCAGAGCATTCATCGTGTCGACGACACTATTTCGGACATCATCAAGCTTAGGGTCCGCTCCAGAGATGATGGTGTTGAGATAGACTTGAGCAGCATATGCAAAGACTAGAGTGATTGCTCGTTTTATAGCTTCTTGTTGCACCCTGGGGTTGGCGAGAACCAGGTAGGCGCCTGTGGTACTGAGATGCGAAACACCTAGTGCGGAAAACGGTTCGTCGAATTCATTGCGGAGGCCGGCAATGCCGTCATCCAACCGCTTGCGAATGGGATCTCCTTGCTCAAACAGTTTCCAGAAGCTGAGGCTGGAAGTTGAGATCGCATCTGCCTTCCAAGCGCCTAGCGCTGCAATGTCACCCATGGCCAAGGCGACCCATGGCTGGCAGGGGATGATGTTCGCTAAGTCGATTTGCCCTTGCAAAAGACGAACGGCTTCTGGATGGAGACGAGGAGCGTCGCTTGTAGAAGCACATGACAATATGTCGAACCATAGCACAGCTCCTACAAGAAAATGCTCTGCGTTATCTTCCAGACGATGAGGCTCAAGTCCGCTGGGATTGTCTGGTGTAAGATGTTCGGGAGATGAGTTGTTGTCCGCGCTGACCACCGGCATACCACGAACTACTGTAGCCAAGGCATCAAGATGGACCTCCCATTGACTTGTTCCGCCACGAAAAAGTTCGAAGCTGATGAACTGTACACCACAAGCAAGAATCTGTAGTCTTCTCTTTCGACCTGGTTCTGCGCCAGTAGAGACCTCGTAGCTGCTTTGTAAGAATATCTGTAGCTCTTGCAGTGCACGATTGTGATGCTCATGAAGCTCATGCAATGTATCATGATAGAAATGATTCCGTGCGGTACGAGCGAGTAAAGAATGCTGGTGTAACGCTCCTAGACTAAGGGCTGCATGGTATAAGGGTTTTGTTTCCGTCAGCAGCCATAACAGCCAACCTCGGCCACCACTCGATATAGATGGGGAGTAGAATCGAAATTGAAGAGCAAAGACATGATCCAAATAGTGCATCAACAATTCGGCTTCTCTATGGAAGCCGAATCGGAAGTAAGTGGTTGCGCTTGGAGTGGGCGCTATGGAGGGCGTTTGGCTGGACGCGCCCAGGAAAGCTTGGGGCGGAGAATCTCTTTCGAAAGGGTCGAATGATGGCTCTGATACCTCATGTGGATCATCAGCCCTGTTGTGCTGCTGGTCGTGGGTGCTTGGTAATGCATCGTCCGCGTCTGATAGTTGTGGATATCTTGCGCTGCCCTCCTCAGATTGCGCCTGGGACGCGCTTCTCTTACGCTTGTTGTTCTGCTTTACAGCATCCTTGATGTTCTCCAGCTCAGCTCGTTTTGCTTCCGGATTCTTCATCCACTCTGGTTGATCACCAAAGCCATGGCAAGTGATGTTGCGTGAATTGCATGCTTCACATGTGGGCTGATTGCCGTCGCATTTCTTTCGACGCAGTGTACAGGTCCAACAGCATCTATCATTCCGACGCGCGTCAGGATTACGAGTCCGTGTCATGAAAAGCGTCCATGGACGACGACCTGATGTTGATGCATGTCGTCGTAGGGTAGGAAGTTGAGATTGGAAAGCTGCTTGCCAAGGCAACTGCTGCCGACAGCGAATGAACCGAAGATTATCCAAAAGCAGCAAGCCTAGACGAAGGGCTTCTCGTTCTTTCAAAATGCAGATGCCCCTTTTCACCTTCATCTAAAACCTGCACATTGATTCGGATAGGGGTTCTGCAAGTAGAACCATACTGGCTTTCCACAGATTCGTGACTCCCACGCCTCTTCTGCACTCGGCTCCAAACAAGCACTCTTGTTCTATCTATGTATCGATTGCATTTACCGTTGAACCTCCTGCGTGTCGCTTATCTGACCAGCTGAAAGATTTGTATCGAGACCATAGACACCCTGACTCGACGGCATCTCCACCCTATGGGAAATTGAGAACATAACGTCTCAACGGCTTTAGCATCCTTCCATCGCGAAAATCAAGGAATTCGAGATCAAGCAAACGAACTCGCAGTTTACAGGCCGCTCCACGATATGCTTATTTCTAAAAGATACGAGCAGAAACGCAACCACATGTCGGAGAAACACAGAAGATCGTATCTGGCAGGAAGGTCTGGAGATGAGTCTGTTATTGACTATCTCCAGATGTATTGGAAACTTCAGGTGTCGCTCATGAACTTCTGCGCGCTGTATGGACGTTACACCTACCCTTGTCGATGACTGGACATGCAATCTTCTATCCTGATCTCTAGCCGAACTTGACTCCTCCTGACATGTGCATCTCGTAACTCTATACCCTGTCTCCGTAATGCCGTATCTTGGTAGGTCAAGGGGCATTATGGTATAAGTTCTTCAATCACCCCACCCACGTCTCTTGCTCAGCAAACACACCTCTCAAACAATCAGACTTGAAATCACGTTCCTTACTATGCATTTCGCAACCCTTCCACTCCTTTTCGCAGCTACCACGCTCGCAAGCCCACTTCACAAGCAAGCATACCTCGTCAAGCGAGCCTGTACCACTGGCCCAGACACCGCGACCGACTTCCTCGCCTACCCAGCCTACGTAAATACAGCTTCAAACGCAACCACTCCCCCCGGCTACGCAAACACATACACCAACCTCCACGCCAGCAGCAATGCAGATGGCTATGCTGGCTACACCACCCTCCCCACCTACAACACCACCGCATGCGCCGAAAAATGCACGGCCAGCAAAAACTGCCACGCCTTCAACAACTTCTACGAACGCACTGCTGTGTCATCCTCCTTTAACTCCTCCTGCACCAGCACCGCAACCATCAAATGTGTATTCTGGAATGGCGCTGTGACGACTGCTAATGCAGTAAACACCGGCTCCACCCAAAATAACTTTGAAATCGTCATCGCAGGATCGAATGGTTATGTCGCTTCTGCGATTTCTCCTGCTACAGGATACTCTGCACCTGTATATTTCAGCAACAGTGGTATTCAAGCACCCCTGGACTGCAATGGCAAAGACACATACTTGGGCTTTCAAACGTTTGATGCAAACTTCGATGCCAGTCGCTGCGCAGCCGCATGTTCTGCTCAAGCTGCCTACGCATTGACTCATCTGCCCTCTGATGGCAGCACACCCAAGACTTGCAAGTTCTTCAACACGTATGTGGAGAGCAAGAATGGTGTACCTCAAGATCAAAAGTGTGTCTTGTATAGCCAGACTTGGAGCAAGGGTGTAGCGACAAACACTGGATACGCATATGGCAAAGACGTGTATGCAGTGGGCATGTCATATGGATACTCCAATGCCACGGATGCGGGTGTTTGTGTCAAAGCTTGATGAGTGGTAGATGGTTGGAACATGAGCTACGAGGAGGATGAGTGAAGTACAAACACACAACGAGCCAAGTCATTTCAAGAGGAAAAAGATGATAGATTAAATGGTTCGGGAATGCAAGCAAGTTTATGCATGCTAGAATTTCTTGTCACGTTCATACTCAACTCAATGGTACTGGGGAACAGAGATGGGCATTGCAATATGCGAAAACCAAAGACGCTTCATTATCGCAACAAGCTCCATGTGCACAGAATGAGATATAACGAAAAAAAAAGCTAGGCTGTCGGCTTATATTACTAGAAGTGTGTTATATTACTTAAAACCAAAAACGAAACGGGAATACACAGGGTAATCGCAATGGTCGCAAGAACCAGAAACAAAAACTCGAACGTTCAAAAATCAAGATAAATAAGGAGACTGTGTCGTCAGGGCACTTGCATCATCCACCACAGTTCTGTTTGCTTCCCGTGCTTTGCTGTCGTCGTCTATTTTACTCTCTTGCCAAGTCCCAGGCAGAGGGAGCAATGAATGTGCCGTGCGAGCCCACTGTAGGACGAGGGGACAGCGATCTCTCAACCTTGTCCTCGGTGGGTGCAAATCCAGGGGTGGCGGGAGGGAACTCGCCAGGGACGTGAAGCTTGCTAACACTCATGTCGGTGTCGTGTCTAACGACCTTGGGAAATAAGGCTCCAGTCTCGTGAGCGCCCTCACGTTCAAGGCCACCGAGACCGTCAGAGCTCTGAGCTCCAGGAGTTTCGGCGCCAAAAGTAGATGCGCTGTAAGCAACGAACTCGGGCGATTGAGGAACGTTGGACGAGTTGGGAATCATGACAGGAAAGGGAGCAGCGCCAGTGTATGTAGCACCCGAAAGGCCACTGTTGGTAGCAAATGCCGAAGGGTTGGTAGTAGCAGCGTCATTGGAGGTGGGCATAGTGGTGTGACCACCTGTCAAATCGCGAGGGCGCTCATCTTCGTAAGGGGTCTGCTGTTCTTCGGCGATGGGGTCGCTAGAGGGCAGGTTCTTGTTCTGTTGATGGTGGTAGGCTTCAGAGCCAAGAACGCCTACACCAACTCCAGCAGCTGCGGGGGCCATCCACTCGCTGTAGTTTGTGTTCTGTCTCATCGGTTTGTTGGCAGGAGCTAGAGATTGCGGCTGCTCGATGGGGCTTATTGGAACATCGGGCTGGAGCTGGTGAGCTGGAGCTGCATGTTGGACGGGCAAGACAAACGTCTGAGTAGGCTGAACCATGTTGTTTTGAGGAGCCGAAGTGGTGTGGTTGAAGTTGTCAACAGGGTTGGGCTGGTAAGACTCGGGTGTAGCTGTTCCCTCTCTAAGAGGCAAAGTCTCTCTAGCATGGGCAACAGAGCCAGGGGTAGCGGAAGTGAAGGGCACTCTAGACTGCGCAGGCTGTTCCTCGTGGGTAGAGACACCCTGGAGTCGGTAAGGGTTGTCATCGTAGCGAGCAGGTTCGACGACGGCTACATTGGGAAGAGGGGTCACACCAGGAATGGTGCTGTGGTCGGGCTCATCAGACTCGCTGTCAGGTGATGCGGCCATAGCACGAGGAATCTGGAGATCAGACGGGAAGCGACCGCCTTTTCACGTCACGTCAGTACAAGTTGTATGCAATCTGGATTGACGCTATGAAAGGGACAGCACATACTCACCTGGGACGGGGCGCTGGAGACGAGTCTCGCCAATGGGCTGGTTAATGACGCTGGATTGGGCCGAGTAAGGGACCTGGTCAGCTTCGTCCTCCTCAAGACCGTCACTGCTGATGCTATTGCGGTGGCTGTTCTGGCTGATGCTGCGCACATGCTGGCGGACAAAGGCGTTGCGCTCTTCGCCAGTCTTCTCAGTCAGGATCTTGATGGCCTCGAACCAAGCCATCATGGTCTCGTACGACTCGGCACGGAAGACCCACGAGTGGCCGCGGTGCATACCACCGCTTTGACGGCCCTTGAGCATGAACTTGTGCGACGAGGAGCCGGACTCGGAATGAGAGCCCAGCTTCTGGTCAGGGAGGTAAAGTGACATGACAGGAGGTTGCGAGTAGATCTTGTCGGCCGATTTGAACTCGTGCAAATGAGTTGGCGACAAGACGTACCAGCCAGGAGTGTAGCTCTTGAGATACTTGCTCTTGCGCTCGAGCATGCCAGCTCTGACCTCTGCCGCCGCAGGGGCATGCTTGCCAGGGTAGTCGATATCCTCGATCCGGCGAAGAGGCAGTCTGGGGTTGACAAAGTGAGGGTCAGTCTCGACGAAGCGTGACCATTCGAGATCTTTGGGCATGGCGATAGGTCCTCCACGGAGCTGCTCAACGGTGTTGTAAGCGTCATCGCCCTCACGCTTGAAGATGCTGGCCATGGCGTTGTAGGCCTTCTGAATCTCGCCTACAACGATGGATTCCAGTTCGCGACCCGAGTTCTCGAGGTTGAGGTATGCGCGGTGTAGATAGTTCTCCTCATCAATCTGTTTCTCAACCATGCGGTCCACACCCAAGCGGACAATGAAAGGATCCGTCTTGCTGCTGTCACCATGGTCTGCGTGTTGCAAGGCCTCGGCAAGAGCGTCGACAGCCTTGCGAGTCGCGTCCTTTTCCTTGTCGACCGAGTTCTTGAAGTCGCCATTAAGACTCTTGATCTCCTTAATTTTCTGAGCCAGATCGGCTCTCAGGCCAGTCAGAGCGGAAATGACATCCTGCTCGATATCGCGCGATTTGTTCGATTCAGCGACAGAGTGTTTGTGGTAGTCGCCCAGAATGCGCGAGGCGTCTGCGAGGCCACCGTCGGTAATGAAGACAGATGGGTGAGTGAAGTTGGACAAGACGTTTGAAACCTTCAGCAAGGATTTGCTGCGCGACTCGTAACTGGACTGCACCTCACGGAAGTAGGTGATCAAAGACTTTAACAATGTACGCCATGNCTGCAGGACAAGTCAACACGGAGAAACAGCGTTTTCAGGAAGCTGCAGCATACCTTGGAAGCGGTTGGCAAGAATATCGGTCGGACTGCCATGAGTAGGGATGGGGGTGGACAAGGCACTGTTGTAGTCGTCATGAGCGCCCGGGGTGCCGGCACCAGCAATGCTTCCTGCGGCGAGACTTCTGCGACTGCCGCTGCGACCGAGACTAGACTTGCGGCTAACACTGGCCTTCTTCTTGAGAGTGCCACCACGCGACGGAGTCATGCCTGTGTATGCAGCAGTCGAGGCGCTAGATGCGGAGCGATAGACGCCTCCATCCTCGAGAGTCATAGGTGTTGGGTTACCAACAGTAGTTCCAACTGTGAGCGGCTTCTCGCCTTNCTGTACAAGTTAGGATATGGACGATACAGAGACGATAGTCTGGCGCGAATTACCATGGGCAAAGTCGTGTTGTGAAGCATTGCCATAGCCCCTGTTCTGGAGGGCCTCAGGTGGGTGCGGCACAGAAGACTCGTAGAAGCCATTCTGCGGCGGTGACTGTGTGTACGAAGCCATAGTGACCATTCAGTTGCGAGAGGGTATCTTGGGGTATCTCAGGAAGCAAAACACAAGGAAATTGAATGGAGATGCAAAAGTGAACGGTATCGAGGGAGCAGTCGCGTATTGATGGAAATGTGTGGAGAGGCACATGCAGACGTCAGCGCCCAGGCCGCTTCGATGACGTTGGCGGGACCCTTGGCTGGTTTGTTTGGTGCAATGCCAACTTAAAACGGCCACCAAAAGGACAAAGACAGCCGGACAAGCCACTTGCGATTGTCGGTGTGTCGAGTGTCGCTGTTGTGCTTGATCTGGTTGCTTGTGTCTCACTTGCTCCCAAAGTCTGCTCTCCGAAGGGCGTAGCAGATCTCAAATCACTACGGCTGATCTTCATCTCGTTGGTCGATCCCAGCAACCCCCGGAGCTTATCACCATGCAATTTCCCCAACCTTCACCTCTTTCTTCAGCTGCTTGAGTATATCTAACAGCTGTCGAGCACATATTGAACGAAAGGATTTAGACGTTCAATCTTCGGTCATGACTCGTGAAGACGAACACGTCTGCCAATCGTGATAGTATTGTTGCAGGCAGGCATATGAAAATGATGGCCCGTCTGCTTCCGACTTGGCGACGCAGACATGATTAATGAAGACAATTACACATTGGATATCCACCTCAACACACCACATCGCAGTGCTTAGACGTCGAGTGAGGACTCCGCGGCGCGTACGACAAGTCGTTCAAGACAAACGATGCACTCAGCAGTGATGCCGTTCTGGACTGTGATTATTATGCGGTTAACTCGACAACCACTACGCGTCCCGCGCAATGTGTACACCAAGTCGATATTGCAATGTGATCTAGCATAGGCTGAAGTCTGACCACTCGTACAGCCATCAGATGCTATCGTCGTCTACTGAAAGGACACCCTGAGAGCAGCATGGCTTTGTTATTCGCGCCTTGGTTCCTCAACCAGATCAAGGAAGAAAGTGGATAAAGTCAAAAGCTAGGCACGACCGGAACGACTATTGGACGACACCACGGCCGTATAACCGGACAGCCATGACGGACCGATTGCTTCTTGTTGGATTGCAGGAGATGGACAGTAGGAACACACGTCTGCTTCTGCTCGACACTAGAAGATGACTGTCGAGTTGGCAAGAATAGCGAAGGTGGACTGAAGTAGGTACTTTCGCAGTTTAGATAAGGTGGTCTAGATGGTGGTACCAAGCTTTGTGGCTGATGGAGTGTGGCGGTGCAGGACATGATGGTGCGGAACGGCTCGTGCGGGCGCATGATGGAGAATGTCAAGTCGAGCTGCTGCTTCAAGACAGGATGGACAGAGTAAAGACAGCTGCGTCGACATGTTTCGGAGGTCGCGCAAGTCGCTGTTACAACTAGCCTTTGTCTGTCTGGTCATCTATTTGTTTGTCTCGCTCCTTCGGCCATCGGCACTCAAGCTATACTCATGGAACACGATACGCTACCAAACAACGGCAGCAAGCCTCCCTGAAGCTCGAGGCATATGTCCCGGCCTCGAACACAGCTCCAAGCCAGCTCTAGTAGTCTCACACGTCGCTGCTGATGGCGACACTGCCTGGCTGGAACGCCTCTCGTCCAAATACCACCTCTGTATTTACGAAGTCGATGCGCCTGCCGACCCGACCGTCAAACACCTGCGCGTGCCTGCCAACCGAGGCCACGAGTCCATCACTTATCTTACGTTCCTCATTGACAACTACAGCAACATCCCGCAAGCTGGTGCAGTCTTTGTACACGGAAATAGATTCCAATGGCACAACGATGATCCGCTATATGACAATGCAGCCAGTCTGGCCGCCCTAAATGTCCCGTCCGCACTTGCAGTCACCGGCTATCATAACCTGAGATGCGACTGGACCGCGGGCACATGCCACAAAGATTCTCCTCCACAGGGTAGCCTCGAAACATTCTTCAATTCTATACTGCAGCCCTGGAGTGCGAGATCTGCCTCTGACGCCGCTATGCCACACGCATTTGCCGTTTTGTTCGGTGGGGACGACTATCTCAGAAATGGAAAGAGCAAGGGATTGAAACTCGGAAGAAATCACCCTGTACGTGCGCAATGCTGTGCTCAGTTTGTTGTTTCCAGAGAATCCATACACCGACATTCCCGTGAGGAGTATGTTGCTCTGCGGCAATGGCTTCTCGATGGCTACGGCATGTCGAGAAACTCCGACGCCGCTCCTCGCGACGACAAAATCGCTGGACGTGTACTATCGTACCTCTGGCATATCCTCTTCATCCCGCACCAAGATAGTCCAGTAGACCTGGACACTTTGAACGCACAAGCATGTCCCAGTGCTTCTGATTGCTATTGCCGACTCTATGGCAAGTGCGATCTCAATTGTAATGCTGGAGCTTGCTATGCACAATACCGCCTACCCCCGAATATGCGTCTCCCAGATAATTGGGCCGACCTTCACAGAAACGATATATACGAGGTCTACGAGCCTGGGGTTAAAGCTCTTCATGGAAGACTGTATCCCAAAGCCTTCGAGCCCTGAGAGCCAGTCTAAACACAACTCTTTCAGCCTTAGTCCTCGTTTTAGTACCAGGAGAAGAGCGACAACATCACGTCTTCCCACAGCACAACGTTTGCTATCACAGCTTCTCGCAAAGCGCCGTGGTCTGACTTCCGGCCAGTCCACCCATGCAAATTGGCCAACTCGCTTTTTCATGCCGTCTCCTTTTGGTCAATGGTCTGAACAATGTGATGTTGGGCTCTGACCATGCAACCCAAGGGCGAATCTTCTCTCGCGAACCTGCATCACATACCTAGAGGATACACTCGCTTACAACTCACTCCTTCTCCACCATCGACCCTGTCCGTCGTAGTCGATACGCTGCGCGAAATCGCGAAGCTCGCTCGTGACACCTAGAAGAATAGCACTAGCTAGTATCGACAATGAGTGCAACATGGTATACTGCAAGGAAGTGGTACCCGATGCTGTCTTGGGAAAGTATCGATACGATATCAAGTCACGATTGTTCTCGCTTCGGACGACGCTTGGGGCATATTGAACAGCAGTGCGCCGAAGCCCACCACGCCGCCCTCCAGGCCCTCGACCCGCTGCATCACCGCACATTCCCACGAGGCCAATTGTCCGCTCCCTGGCGACGGTATGTCGGTCCAGCTCTGGGACAACGGCGTTCCAAGTCTGCAATGTCCAGCTAAACCTAGATCCAAGCAAGAACAACGGAGAACAAGCCGTTTATCTTGAGTGCGGCAACCGTCGATCACTATCCATGTTGGACAATGGCAGAAGACTGACTTATAACGCACCCGACGGCTCCATCTCTTTGGAAGCATACGACTGGGTAGAAGACTGGCATACTCAGAGCTGTGCCGTGGGCAAGTATGGCTCGGAATTCGAGTACGTGTTTGACAATGGCAAGTGTGCGGGTTGCCCGGTGCAAAAGCTGTGTGGAGGCGAAAAGTGCTACAAGTTTGATAGGAAATGTCATTGAGTGCGCTCGTGCAGTTGAGGTGTGTATGTGTCGTCAACAAAACTGAGATGCTTTTCTTGATGAGCTACTAGCGCTCAGCCAGGGTATTATACCCGACAAATCTGACTTGTGTCGTGGAAAATCTCACATTTGCTTCCTTGTTTTGATTGAATCAAACCATCGTGTCTCCAAGTATGTTTTGGTATATGTGTACATATTAAATCCTTTGAGTTATTGCAAATGGAGTACCAGTGTGATAAATCATCTCTAGGCACCAATGTTACAAAGGGAAATCATAAATGCCCAGAGTCTCCACGTCATTCAACCAACCCAACCTTCTTCTCTAAACAACAACACAACAACACAACAATTGAATCATCACAAACCTCTAAGTCGGGAATCAGCAGTTCAGCTTAAGCCGTCAAGTCTAGAACACAAAGATGCCAGATATAGCCACCCGCCGCAAAATCTGTGAAGACACAATCAAGCGATCAGAGCAGATTGCAGCAAGCACACCAAAGGCCTCTTTATCAAGCACTTTTATCACGAGCACCACATACCCTGAGCTGTCACCTTTGGACCCTTCATTCCCAGACCTTGAACTTGAACGCATAGAAGTCATCGACTCAGACTCTTTCCTCTGCGCCCGAAACATTCTTTCCAGGAATTCTGACTTGCGCGACAAACTCGCCGTCTTAAACCTTGCGAGCGATGAAGAGCCAGGAGGTGGATGGAGATACTCATTGAGTATGACGCAAGAAGAAGCATTGTGTTACTCCTCTACTCTGTTCAAGACTTTGCAGCCAAAATGGTATCCCTGGGCAAATACTGGAGAAGGCAGTATAGCAGGCATCTTCTCGCCGAACATTGTGGTTTTCAAGGATACTCTGGATAATGAGTGTGTGGAGTTGAGTAAAGAGCAAAGAGTGGTGGTTTCTGTGATTACGGTTGCGGCACCCAGACGTCCTGAGCTTACGGAGGATGGAAAGCGGTTCAGGGATCAGAGTGTGTTGGAGGGGTTTCGAGATAAGGTGAGGTTGGTGTTGAGGTGTGCTGCTGGGGAGGGCAAGACTGGGTTGGTGTTGGGGGCATTGGGGTGTGGTGCGTATGGGTGTCCTCCAGGGCTGGTTGCGGAGGAGATGGAGGATGTGTTGGGAGAAGAAGAGTTCAGGGGTTGGTTTGAGAGGGTGGTGTTTGCGGTTTATGCGAAGGGACCTGTTGGAAAGAGAAACCTTGAGCTTTTCCGAGAGGTGTTTGGTGTTGGGCAGTGAGATTCTTGTCAGCATAGGAAGAGCCACTGCATCTGGCCGTCGGGTCGGATGAAGCAAAAAGACACATCTTTTCTCCACGGTTACGATGGATAACCACAGTGGCATGCACGATACGTTCTACAGCAGAGCGGTAACAACGCAGAGAATATTCTGTTCAAACATCTCCATGATCTTTTGCACACGGGAAGGATGTGCCCCTGAATCCTATAGATGGTGAACACATCCGGATGTGAGTATACATGCAATGCAATTCCGTTCTCTTCCCGTGATTGTGGCGGCTTAGGAGGTCGGGATGAACATGGATGTGTAAGCCCCTCTTCTTTGTATTGGAGTACCAGGAGGCGAGTTGGAGGGTATACCGACGGTTGAGGTGTTGTACTCTTTGCTTACTTCTCCACACACAAGTGTGGTTATCATGCATCGCGTGCCGCATTCCAGATCTCGAGTCGTGGTTTTCTTGCAACCATGGGCAGCGAAAAAGCCCTGAGGCTCTGACCAGCCATCCCGTCATTGGATGACTCGTGAGCCCTCGGTCAAGCAGAACTGGCAGAGATGTGATTTTCGGTCGATTGAAGAATGCAAGAGATCAACAAGGGTCGACGTGGGATGAAATGGGTCGTTGCGCTACTGCAGGTGCATCGTGTTCTGGGGCGCCATGCATAACCGATAAGTGACAGCGATTGATGATTCGCTGATGAATGTTGCTGCAAAGGATGGAGGATCTACTCGTAAAAGAGCAGAGTTCAAGGGCCGTTGGAACGTTTATTTCTTAGAGTTATAGCGGAAATAAGGTCATCGCAAAAAACAACCAATATCGCTTGTCAAAACAGAGGGCTTTGTCGAAGAGGAAATACCAAGACAATATTTGCAATAGAAAGGCGCACTTGCGGAGGAGATATCCAGAGCTCGGATAGTGATTGGTGAGTCAAGGGAGTCTTGTGGCGCGGAGATCATCCATCTTGGGTTTGGGGAAGGCACCGAGTGGAGTCAGGGCGACGGATTCGGCAACCCTTTGGCCTGGCGCAGGAACAAGTTGACTTTTCCATGTGGACTTGGCCATCGGTGGCAGAAGGGTAATCCGCTCTGATATACCCGCTTAAGTGCTGGCAACAATGGAGACGAGCAGAAGGCTGCGAGGAGGGAACCCTCGTTCTCAACCGCGCCCGCTGCCTCCTCCTTTGTCTTTGTCTACCGCTGCCCAATCGCACCTGCCTCCAGACGGGTCGAATGCCCAATCGTCCCTGCCTCTGTCGAGACTGCATGCCCCATTGCCTGCGACTCCTCCGTTCGACCACTCGCACCTGCACTCGACCTACGATGCTCCTTCCCCATTGACGCCTTCACTGCCGTCACATCCTGCCCAGTTGCGGCCCGAGTCGTGGCAGTCGGTCACCCAAGACTCTGTTCTGGACAACCTGCTGCTATCGTTTGATCGTATGCCGGGCTCTGCTTCGGGCCCGCCTGAGCGTCGATCAAACATGCCAGACTTTGACAGCGACAACTTCGACACAGGCAGCTCCTCCTTCTCCCCGCCGCGAGCCTTCCAGCGCCTGCAACAACGCGTGCGAGGTCACACCTACTCGTCCTCTGCGTCGCACGACTCCGACACCATCAGCAACACCTCGCAACTCACCGCACGTATCCGCACCAACAGCCACTCCGATTCACGTCCTTCTACCGTCCAGAGCGTCGACTACAGCCACGGTCACGTCCTCGGTACTACACGCATCGGTGGACAGGACAAGTCCGACCCACGCATCCAGGGCACTCCTGAAGTCGTGTCCAATGGCATTCTCGACCGCGGCCGTCCCATCCCTAGCATGTTTAGCACTTACGAAGTCCACTGTCCCGAGCCAAGAGTCCCCGGCGGACCATCCAAGACAAACACAACAAAAGAGCAGGCCTCTACAAACAACAACATCCCGCAGAGCATCCGGGACCAAGCCTTGGAGTTTGTGCGACAGTCCAACATGCGCGCCCAATCGCCCTCCAACATGCTCGACCANCCCCCGACCAATTCCTCCGCGTCCATAGCATCCTCGCTTTCCAAACAATCCTCTGCTCAAGATGCCCCAAAGGAGCGCCCTGGCTTCTTTCGACGAGTCTTTGGCTCTTCCACACGTACCAATTCCTTTCCAGAACAGCAGCGGCCCACTGTTGGAGACCTTTCGACCCAACGTGTTGAGAGTCCTGTACCAAACGTGCCTGCAAAGACCCAGGCCAATCTACCCGACCCTCCTCATAATGTTGTCACCAAGAAGGCTTCCTTTTTCAGACGCCGTAAGAAGTCGATAACTGATGCTCCCCCGCCTCCGCCTTTGCCAAGTACTGCTTTGTCCGCTGCTCATCTTCAAGAACACCCTGCACCTGTAAGTCCGGGTGCAAGCAGTCTCCGAATGGTCATGGATCCTTATCTCAGCGATTCTGATTGTCAGCTAAACAAGACTGACTCTGACTACTTCAAGCCCGTCGACACTCCTATCAGCCAACCCACCAGGTCCAGCATACTCAGCCATGAAACAGACGAGTCCTCCGAACTCGACATGTTCCACTCTGGATACACTCCTCCACCTGATGCCTCTATACGAAGAGTGGGAATAGAGCCGCTGGAACCACGACTAGGCGGGGCCGATTCTGTGACTCCGAACGCTCAGCAAAAGCCCTTCACAAGTCCCAAGCTGGATGATATGGAGCGTAATTTTGGTGGAGTGGCCGAACGCCTACAAGTTGGAAACACACGTCCGGACTTGTTGCAGAGCAACTCATTCTTGGTAGATAACAGCGATGCTGATGACAGCAGAGCCCCTTCCATTGTCTCTGCCCTCAGCGAAACATATCTTGGAGCTTCGGGCGCATTCAGTCCTGTTTCACCGATTGCGAATTCGCCTATGGCTACTCCCGTAGAGAGATTTGTCACGTCCCCGACTTCTGATACGGACAGAGAACCCCCATCGCCCAGGTCACACTTCTTTGGATATAACCGGGATAGTCTCGGCCTACCACTTGAAGGTATCAGGGCGCCACAAAGTTACGTCGTTTCTAACGATGAGAGCGGCCTGCCCTCGTTCCAAATTGATGGCAACACTGTTCGTCCATCAGTCGAGGTCGCCCGAGGTATGCTCGGTACCATCGATGAGCCGACAGCTGACGAGAGAGAACGCGCTCGTCAGATCTATCAAGGCGAGGAGCAACACATGCTCAAAGATGAGGCTGCTCCATGGCTTGGTGACAAGAATCCCGTCAGCGCTCGCACTCTTGCCGCGTACATGGACCTTCATGACTTTGCAAACCGCAACATCCTCAGTGGCTTGCGCGCACTCTGCGATAGACTCGTCTTGAAAGGAGAGAGCCAACAGGTTGATCGCATCCTCGATGCCTTTTCTAGAAGATGGGACGAATGCAACCCTCACAACGGCTTCAAAGGGCCAGGTGTGGTACACGCCATTTGCTATGCGTTGCTATTGCTCAACACCGATCAACACATGGCCGACATCCAACACAAGATGACACGATCCGAGTTCATCAAGAACACTATGCCTGCCATCAAATCAGCCGCCGAGAGCGCAACCATCAGACCAACCCGATCCCAGAGACCTTCTTTGCCTTGGTCAGACACCACACCCAAGTCACCTGAAGATGACGATCGAGGTTCTGTTGATTTCAGAAGATCGACAAAGCGCCTCTCATTCAGGCCCGGCATGGGCAGGTTCGAAACCGACCCTGGTCCGAACGAGAATGGAGAACTTGGCTCAATGAGCCATCTGGTCACCCGACCGTTCGATGGTGCTGAGCACAAGTGGTTGACAGAAGTCGAGTCCGTACTCAAAGCATTCTACAACTCCATTGTTTCCTTGGCTCTTCCCTTGCACGGCTCTCAAAGTTCGAAAGAACACCCTGGCTCTTCTCATAGCCCTGCAAATCTCAGTGTTGCAGGAAACTTGAGACGTACTGGTTCGGTCATATCCAAAGCACCTTCTGAGGGCTTCTCCTACCGAAGCAAGCAGAGGAATAACAGTGCTCTATCATCACACTGGAATGCAGCCCAGAACAGATCCAGACAGAAGATATACCCTGCCTCAACTGTTGGCTCAACTCGAACCTCGATCGACGACGGCCGTTCTGTCTGGAGCCCGTCTGCACAGAGCAGCATGTGGAGCAAGATATCCATGGGCAGAACCCAGACTACCATGAGTGTCGAGAGCTTCGCTGTTCATCCGGACTTCAAGCAGAGCCTAGGTTTCACAAATGCATTGTCGCAAGCAATCATCCGAGAGGAGGGTGCAGGTGATACTGAGTCTGTTATGAAGATTGGCACTGTGCTCGAAGATGAAAGTCTGGAGCTGGCCGGTGCGCCTTGGGCAAAAGAAGGCATGGTTAAGCACAAACACCACCTGGATGGCCCCGAGAAGAAAGCAAAGGAGCGCAGCTGGAGTGAGACCTTTGCTGTGGTCGAGAAAGGATATTTGCATCTTTTCAACTTCAACCGAACCACGACCAAGATCAGCGACATGCGTAGCACCAAGCGCCATCTACCTAAGTCGGGTAAGGCTGCCGGTGCAGCACCGTCTGTCGTTGGCGGCGGCAATTGGACCGACAATGCGGACGAAACTGATCAGTTCCTTCTGAGGCAGTCTCTCGCGACTCTCCTACCACACCCGGGCTATAGTAAGACTCGTCCGCATGTTTGGGCACTGAGCCTGCCGACTGGTGCCGTTCATTTGTTCAACGTTGGTACCGCCGAGATTGCGGAAGAATTTGTCTCCACCGTCAACTACTGGTCTGCGCGTTTGAGCAAAGAGCCTCTAGTGGGTGGTGTTGACAATATCGAATATGGATGGAGTGAGAATATTATCAACCCTGCTCTCGTTGGTAACGACAATGGAGAACCTCTTACCAAACCCCAGTCCAGAGCTGCAGGAAATCACGCACACTCAGCTTCTGTCAATAGTGTTGGCAAACAGAGCATGCAGTCAACTGTCCGTGGATCCTTCGACCAGACTTTTGGATCGAGATCCAGATTACCTGGCGATCGCGCCCATATCGCTGACTGGAAGCCTCCTGCAGCATCAATGTTGCCGTCGCAATTGCTCGAAATCGATCAACTTCGCAGTCTAAAAGCGTATGTTGCTTCTGTAGAAACTGAACTCGAGCGTCACAACGAGCTGCGAAGTGCCGTGAACCTTGCCTACACCAACCATTACGGCCAGAACTGGAACAAGGTCACCGGCAACTGGGAGAAGAAAAGCGCTTACCTTCTTCGAGAAGTTGTAAAGTTCAGAACTTATATCGAAGCTCTTGAGCGAGCGTGTCGCGCCAAAGAAAATGTCTATGAAGAACGACATGCTCGCGAACAAGAGAGAGCTGCACTTGGCTCCAAGGATGGAAAGAAGGAGAATGTCAAAGCGTGACCGCAGCACTTCAGCCGTTGTCCCCCAGTCGACGACACACATTGCATCAAGGCCAAATGACCTTGTTTTCTTTTTCTTCCTCACCTTTTTTCTTTTTCTTTTTCTTTTGTTGTCAAGAGATATGCTTATGTTTTTTCATCTTTTTGTTCAGCCATGCATGTTTGTCACGTCGAGGATACCCCCGCTTACTCATTGTTTTCCACTTTATTTTCCTCTGCATAATCAGCGATTCATCATAATATTCCAATTCTTACGAGCACAGCATATTTTTCAGAAACCATGACTTTTGAATTAAAAACACGTTTTTACCCATCAATCCTGGATTTAGTAGTGAGGAGGAATTGGCCAAGATTCATAGCAGATGACATGGAGGGCATGATAAGGACAATAAAGGCCTTATTTCTCAGCAGAACTTCATGACGGACGAGAGGAATGTATGGAGAATTTTTTTAATTAAATTAGATGGTAAGAGATGACCAAATACAGCATAAGAAGAACAAACCCATATTCTGAGTAATACATGAAAATCGAACCGAGCGTAACAGTGATTCACCAAGATTTGAGAAATTCTAGTGTGTTGAGGAAGACTATAACAGTATCCAGGTCTCCTGAACACAACGGCTTTGTTGATGTGTGCTACCATCTCCAGAACATAGTAATGTTGCAGAGGGCTGGAGCGATTCTAAAAAGTATGTGGATAGGGATGAGGAGAAGCCGAGAAGTAAGGCCGGTCTTCATCATCTTCTTGGTCATCGCCATCGTCGTAATCACCTTCGACAGCAGTCGAACCCGTCGCAAACGCCGGCTCTTCAGCGTGTGTATGTGCAGGGTCGCCAGTGTGACCCCTGAGGCAAAGTTCCCCATCCTCGTCCTCGCCATATTGTAAGCGGTGTCTAAAAGCACCGGTTTCATCGATCAATGGGAAAGGGTCGACCCAGAAGTCTGCGTATTTGTAATCGAGATTGTACTGGTCGTCTGGAAACACGCCTAGCTCGAGGAACTTTTCTCGCTTAGCACGCTCCCAAGCTCGCAGGTAAGCGCATGCTTCATCGGTGCGCTTTCGCTTTCTTGCTAGAGCGGCGTTTGCGGCCTCGACCTCTACGGGTGTCGGTGGTGTTGTGGATTTTGGTGACTGGGTGGCTGCATTTTCTGCTTCTTTGCGCTGTTGCTCGTCGTGTATGCGTTGTTGCTCATCGAACCACGCATCGCTACCAAAAGTCTCCATGTGCTGAAAGTGTTGTCTAAAATCGGGTTTCTCTTCCAGAGCCCACAAGACCCGGTCTGCCTGTACACGATCTTTTGGATTGAACTTCATGCAACGGGATACCAGCCATCTCAATTCATGAGAATAGTTTTGGCCGGGATATTGGCCTTGCCAATTCATGATTTGAGGTTCACATGTTACTGGAATGTCCGGACGGAATGGAAGATCTTGGAAGTGCGACTTCAGTTTCATCAATGCTTCGGCTACTCTTCCGATCTGCCAGATGTTTGTCCAGCGTCCACAAAGCCAACCGTTTTTGGGAGGCCGCATTGCCTCGGGAGGTATGTAACCATGCGTCACTTGGCAGTCTAATCTGACTTCGCGATTGAATGGGTCCGCATTGTTCGTCANGGCCTAAAGCGAGATAAGTCAGCAAGCTTATCCGAATATGGGGAGGTACAATACGAATTTCCTTGATCAGGTTGTTCAATCCATGAACAGGATCTAGCAGCCTTCTTGGCGTACACTCAAGCAAGGTTCGTGTAGGTGGTATTGAAGTGGAAACTTACATGCGCCTCCGAGATCCGCGATATGGGGGCGAGGGTACAAGGGAAATGTCGAACTTTGGTCGGGTGGGGCGAGTAATATGTTGGAGGGCTTCATGTCGAAAACGACGACGATATCCGTAGATGTGGCTCCCTGACGCTTCGCTGCTTGATGTCTTAATTGCTCAGCCCCACTCATCAAGCAGTAAAGAGTGTGCCAGATGAAAGGTTCTGGAACGCCTCTTCCTTCCTCGAGATGAGCAGTTATAAGCGTGTCTAGCGTGCCATACTCATAAAGAGGCATGTACAATCTCCAGTGGTTGAAATCCGAGCCCCGGAGACCAGGGAATTTCCTTGAGTAGCCCCAAAGTGGGACACAGTACGTCGGGTCCTTGGTATCAGGCTCAGTCACCATGCCTTGTAGATAAGCTTCCTTGTAGTATCTCTTGTCGATGTGAGCTTGTCCAATCTCATTTTGCGGATCTACTCCAAAGTCCATGCCTTTGAGAGCGAGCTGCTGGTAAATGTTCTTGTAGAGACCCTCCTCTTGGGTAGGCTTGTCCTCGAAGGCATCCTTGATGGCGCAGTATTTGAGAGCTTTAGAAGTTATGGGATCGTACATGATCCACAAACTGACCTCGCCGTAAGAACCCCCACCCAGCTTATAGCCCCCGACCCACCCTGGGTTGACATCAGGGGCTGTGGCATTTTTGAGGTATTGGAGGCCGTGGCCGTCTGCAAGAATGCTGGCTCTTTGTGAGCTGGTGAGTGGCGGTAGTGGTGACATGGCGTCTGAAGTTTTAGTATTGGTGGAACGAAAAAGGCTATAGCTGGATGGCAGAGGATCAGACGCGCATGTTTGGGAGCAAGCTTTGTCCGCTTCCGGTCAAGTTCATTGTGTTTTGTACTCTATATTTTTGAGCTCGATGAGCAACAATAAAGGCTAGAAAGACGGATGAGTGTTCAGCAAGACAATGGCTTGAATTGTGATGCGCAGTTTGTTTTTTGATGAAGACTTCCGCATGCGGACATGTTGAGTGGGCACGACGGAAAAGTAGGCTCGTCGAAACCGTTCCTCCGGAGAAAAAACCAGACACAGGCCAAATCATAGTTGATATGTTTTGACGTTGCTTCCAAGGGTCGATGCGAGGGTACCTAGGTAAGTAGATGAGGAACAGTAAGGCAACAATAGTATTGGTGGAAGGAACCTGATAAATGGAAGGAGGTCCCCGTCGGCCGTGCTCACCGCCTTGGGCGGCAGACCCCAGACTTGACATCGTCATTCCATCAATCTTCATCTTCGGAGGAGCAGCAGACAACTCAGTCCAAACACAACACACATACACACACTGCCTATCATGACGATATCGCTACTACCGCGCATCAGCGCACAATGCGCCCTCAAGACCATCGCCACAACCACACGCGCGCCCCTCACAACAACAGCAACACGAAGCTTCACCAGCATCCCACCCTACCCACCCACAAACCGCGACACACCCGCCCGACCCCCACGAGCCGCCATGCCCATGCCCTTCGTCACCGAGACCATCGGCGGCGGCTGGCACACCTACGACATCTTCTCGCGCCTGCTCAAAGAACGCATCATCTGTCTAAACGGCGAAGTTGACGAAACAATCTCCGCCTCCATTGTCGCTCAATTACTCTTTCTCGAAGCCGATGCGCCACAAAAGCCCATCTCGTTGTATATCAACAGCCCTGGTGGCATTGTGACGGCTGGACTGGCTATCTACGATACCATGACTTATATCCGCAGTCCGGTTAGCACGATATGTATGGGTCAGGCTGCCAGTATGGGAAGTTTGTTGTTGTGTGGCGGTGCAGAGGGTCAGAGATATACTCTACCGCACAGCAGAATTATGATTCATCAAGTCAGTGGTGGATACCAGGGTCAAGCTTCCGACATTGCCATCCACGCAAAGGAGATTTTGCGTGTGCGCGAGCAGTTGAACGAGATTTACCTCAGGCACTTGACAAAGAAACATACCATGGAGGAGATTCAAAAGTACATGGAGAGAGACTACTTTATGGGTGCCAAGGAGGCCCTCGAGTTTGGCATTGTGGATAAGATTCTAGAGAGAAGAGAGCAGGTTGGCGAGGCACGATAAACTCGAGAAGAAGAACAAGAATAAAACACCCAATACTAAGACGCGTTCTTGAACCGTGCGTCCAAGAATGCCCCATTTACCTCTTCGTCGCCTGGACCTGCCGCAAGACGCAATACGTATACCCGATCCAAACCACCATACCAAGAGAGTGATCAATCTATTCAGTGCAGCACCTCCATCGCTTCCCCAGACAAAAGCACTTCTCCCGATCCACGATCAGCATGTCATGGCACGCCTGAAACATATCACCCCCAGACCTTGCAGATGATGTCGCACATGCATGCATCTCTGCAAGGCTGCCCACAAGGCTGAAACAAATCCCAGACACATCGAACAATACGAATATGCAACCTGACCTGCTGTACAACATCCCGATGCATGAGCATTTCTCTCTATCAGAAAACTAGCCGCTACATGCGATCCGACAACTATCGGAGTTGAGACTTGCGAGATAGATGACGTGGATTTGTATAGGCGTGTGCTTTGCGATCATGTTTCAAAGACTTTGGTTTTGCATGAACTTCGCTTATGTAGCTTTGATGTATGAACGTTTTTTCCCACCAAAAGACATCGTGTTGCGTGGGTTAGCAATACATGGATGTAGCTGAAGAAAATCCTGGTATTCGTGATGATCCTGGGTATGTGATATAGCGAAAAGGGTATATAGTAAGACCGGACAAAAGAAAAATGGTCGAAAGAAAGAAGCTGGGTGATAAGGCTGTCGTACGACAACAAAAGAAAACGCCGTCTTATACAACCTCGAGCAAAGATTCTTCGCTAGATTGACTCCGTGATCGATGACCAGAACGTGTCTGATGTCCTTCCGCAGGACCAAATGCATGCATCTCTAGCGCATCGCCAACGTTGCTAGGTCGATTCGTGTAAATCTGCAACTCTCTGGTCACAGTAACCACACCATCGTCTTTGTGGCCCAAGTTATGGCCAGAAGTCACATACGAGCCAGAGATGCCTTTGTTGTTGCTCAAGCCAACAGGTGTGGACTTGGTGTTTTGGCTGCGAGAGGAGGACATGTTTGTGCGTGCCTTGTCGAACCAGGCGGCGAAGAGAGGGCGAAGGGTTGCGAGACAGCCGGCGGTGATTCCAAGACCGAGTTCGATGATGGAGACGATGGCGTAGTTTGGGGCAGACACCAGGAGATCCTCAAGCATTACGCCGATGACGTCCACGTAGGCGAGACGCACGATAGAGCAGATGCTGCCCAGGACACCCAAGCCGAGGATAGTGCAGACGGTGATTTTCTGCTGGCGATGCATCTGCGCAGATCTGACGACGAAGATGGGGANCTGTAAGTGGTATTAGGTCTCGGCCTCGTTTGTGGTGTATTTACAAGAGTGTTGCGACTTACTGATTGCAAAGATCCAATCGGTGACGGCATTGAGTACTCCGTGAGTGTAGTTGAGAGGTCGGAGGATGGTCTTGAACGGCAGACACTTGCCCAGCAGTTCGTTCTTTCCATAATCTCCAGGATTGCCGCACTGAAAGATGGCAACGAAGAGCCAGGCGGTTCCGAAAAGGGTGTAGAGCGTCACTGAACCGATGATAACTTGACGTTGCCAGCGCTGGTTGACGACACGGAGGAAGAAGACGGCCAGACTGAGCTTGAATATAATGGTGGTCAGGATGTAGAGCCCAAAGATACAAACAACCAACTGCGAGTGCGGTTAGGAGTGTGACATGAGTGTTTGAGCCGAGCAACATACTGTCAAGATGCCGTTGACGGTGTCCGGATCTCCGACACCTGGTGGGTGTATCTCTGCCAATGCGATGCTTATGAGCAATGAAGTTGTTACAGCAAACAAACCCTACGAGCAGTCAGAAACGGAACAAAGATACCAAAGGCAACCCCCATAACGCACCCAGGTCACCATCATAAGCCAATCATCCCAACCAAATGAACGAATCATCCAACCTCTGACATATATTCTGGCAATCACCGTCATGGCAGAGAGTCCCAAGAACACAGCCGACGTGACCAACATGTCATACGACTTGAGCTCATGGAGAGTCGGTTGCCTTCTGACATCAGCCATCGTTGCCTGTCTTACACCGAACGATGCCCAATCAAAAGATGAACTGTATCAGAGGCAGATGCGGCGTGGCAGTCGCAATTTTCTCTCCCGGTAGGGCAGAGTGCAAACAAATACAAATGAACAGAAAAAGAAGTGGAAGTAAAAGGCAAGGCAGTTCGTACCTATACTGTCCCACGTAGATGGCGACATTTAGTTCGACCAACCAGACTGGTGGGAAAGAACCGACAGGCAATTTAGCGTTCTGCGATGGTCTCAGACAAGTCCAGCGGCTATTATCAACGATGAGCACCCCCACAGCGGCCAAATCTTGTCAGGCATTTCTAGTCGGTAGAACGACGTGGCATGACACTTCGACTCCGAAAGGATTTCATTCTTATGGCTAGCTGAACGAGAAAGCTAGACTCGAGCATATGATGGAATTAGCACCTTCTACAGGCTCAACTTGCAGAGAATGTGATGGTAGGTTTAAGTGACTACGCGAGCAGGGAGCGCTTTGATGGCCAGCAGGTCAAGGCTCTTTCGTTGGCTGTGGTGGCTGACCGAAGTCTTGCTTACGAACAGGAATACTAAGCGAAGAGGCAACAGGAAACGAAAAGCGGCAGTCGAGTGCATGGACAGGCAGCTTGTTTGAGGTCGCTTCGTAGGGCTTAGTGTAGCACAAGTCTGGCCAGGGTCTGACCCGAGCAGTGGAATCGGATGATCTACCGGCTCGCATGTCTGGTTTCTGGGTCGGATCCGGCCCAGAGCGGATCAGAGATCTCACATGTGCGATCACCACAGTGGCAGAATCGTAGCAGAAGAGAAGCAAGTATTTGCGAGTCAGTTGTTGAGAAAGACGAAGCGATCTCTAGCTTGGAAGCAGATGCTCGCGGGCGGGTGCGGTTGAGCAGTACCATGTTGATTGAAATAGGTACTCGGGAAGGCGGTACGGCAGCCGGATGCTGAGCTTATGCGAGGTACAACCTTCGACGATGCAGCAGCGAGCGGCAGATTGAAAGTGGAAGGAGAGAAGAAGATTTGGAAGCGGTTCCTTGCAAAAGATGAGACGGGAACAGGCTATGCACGTCGTGAACATGATGATGCCGATCAAACAGTGTGTTAGTCGGTCCCAAGTCTTCCGCTTGTGGAGGCCTCAGAACTTTGTGCCGACAGGTGATGATTTGACATGGCAGCTACAGGAATGCCAGCAGAGGTGCAGAACGGACTTCAACGGGCCAGAGTTCTCGAGCGAGAAAGGCGAGCCATTGACTTGGCAAAACAGTCTTGGTTATCTGTGCCTGATGGAATAGGAAATGGGTTGTCTGATAACAACAGCCAAAGCGGCAGGTGGGGATGATCAAAACCGAACGCATTTATGAGCAACGGCCGCAAAAGGAAAGAACATGTGCGTGCTGCAAGGTACAGAGCAAACCCGAGCACTACCTAGCCATGGGTAAAAGCTGACAATAGGGGGACTGAGAGCTAGGATATGTAGACTGGCGGAGTTGCTCTACGTGATTGCCTATAAAGAAGAAGGTCCGACCGAGAGAGTGGTTAAGGACAAAAGGAAGGGACAGAAAAGGGCCCCGCCGGCCACGTGTGACTGTAGCGGGGCAGCAAACCAAGCGGCGTTCGCCGTTCGGGCAACAAGCAAGGGAAGCGACTCATGAGACTGTGGTCTGAGTGGTTCAGCACGACTCACCTGGTGCGCGCTGCATGCTTGGTGAAGTGCAACGTCCGACTGTCTCTGGCTGTCTTTTCTAAGCAGCTTGTGTATGCAATGAAGCTGTGCACATAGTGAGCAGCAGCTTCGCGCCTTCCTCGCTTGATCCTATCGAGCCATGATGCCTGTCAGAACACACCGCGACCGAGACGACAGTCCCAGCACCCGAGTGGCTCACCATCTATCACAACTCAACATGGCTGTCTACGATCCACACACCACACGAAAGCGACCTGCAGACATGGACGAGATCAACGAAACTCCAGGCGCCTACGACAAGATTATACCCACTCAAATCGACTCGCCAACACCCAACAAGCCCACCTCACAGCGCGGTCGCTTTATCCTTCATCCTCCTCGCCGTGTCACCTCTCCTCCACCTCCCACCCCAATCGCTTCGCCCAATCTTGAAGAGGATCAGCACATGGCTCTTCCAGTGGCCATCAAGATTGCTCAAGACAAATTGTCCACCTTGCGCTGCGATTCCCCCACAACTCCTGCCGAAGACGACACTCCAGATGATGAAAACATGACATGGCACGAAGACGAAATCACTGGACACAATATCGACTATACCGCCGACGACGACGGTGAAGGCATCAACGGCATTGGCTTCATACCAACACCCCAAATGGTCACCAAGCGCTCCGAGTGGCGCCGTCGCCAGATATTGGAATGGCGCGCTCGTGAGTCCAAGGAAGCAAGACAGCGCCGTTACGATAAGCGTAAGACTTCGCACCGAGACTCTGCAATCTCTCTTGATGAGGGAGCTTCTTTCAAACGCCGTATGGTTAGATTTGCTGAAGTCTGATCACCATCATATTGCTACACGAATCTTACGACCTGAGGCGACATGGCGTTCTAGAGGGCTTGATTTTGTTGCTATTGTTGGCGTTGCATGGTGTTGCTACTGGATACCCATAAAGAATAAGGACATGAGGCTGGAACAAGGACCTGGTTTCTCACTGTTATATGTCAAGACGAATGATATGAATGTTTTCTACTCTCTACGCCTTCCCACTCGATTGACATGATCTCAACATGTAACACGACGCTCGATTGGCTGGAAACGGTGGAATGAAATCGGCAAGCCAGTGACACTCGTAGAGCACCACTTCCTGTGAATTGTCTACCGCTTCGTATTCGTATCCACGAGCTCTGCCCTAATTGTGATGAAAAGCAGTCGACAGACACCAGGGAGCTTGAAGCTTCCCTGAGCAGATGTTTCGTCCATGATCATACGAAACATACGAGAGTATAGATCGCTTGCGTGTTTCTTCATCCATCAGTACTGAGTTATAAGTAGTCTATGTCGTCCCTTGATATGCTGCAAGTTTCTTACACTATCCACATACCACAATCTGGACTTTCTGAGTTTGCCGTCAACGTTCAGATATTTCGCAAGCCCTAATCCTCTCGGTTACCTGTACCAATTGCCCATTCTTGGTTTTGGCACAACTACAACCAAGTATCTTAAGGACTAATGCCAGAGATTGATGCCAAGAATGCGGACACAGCCTTGTTCTTCTGCTTACACACAGCGATGCGGGTGTGGTCTTTGAAAGTGTGCTTTCTCGCAAAGACATCCACGCCATCGAAATAGTGGCATCACGTCGTCGATGACATTCGGGAAAGAAAGTGATTCTCGGAGGCTCGGGAATTCAATTTGGTCAAGCTTCGTAACCCTCGGCCCGCGTAACTCCGACGATTGAGCTCACTGCGCCTTGTATGCGTAACTTTACCCTGACATAACTTCTTTTGCTTCCATCATCATCCATTCTTATATGGCTCGGAAATCTTCCATTCCGACTTCCAGAAACGACAAGGAGCATACGAAAAGACCTTAAACAGCCGTCGGGGAGTAATGATTGATCAACACTGAACTGATTATGCCACCGACTCGCAAGGCTCATCATAAATCAAGAGGGGGATGTGGTCAATGCAAGAAAAGACACGTCAAGGTCAAATTCAAACACAATCCTTGACATGCCGAGATATGGACTGACTCTTTGCTCAGNTGCGATGAAGTTCGGCCAAGCTGTGGAAACTGCGTCAAACGAGATGCGCCTTGCAGCTTCTCTTTGAATGACCAAAGCCCCTCTACTGGTCATGAGGATCAGGACTCGCCAGCAGATGTTGTCGGAACCCAGCAAAGAATCCTGTCCCGGGCCGAAGAGATGGACTTGATGCACTTTTTCACGACGACTACCATCAAAACCGTCTGTCATGATCCCAAAGACTGGCATATGTGGGAACATAGTATCCCTCAACTGGCCTTCCAAAACGAGTACCTGCTTGACGTTCTGCTGGCCCTGGCTTGTCTGCATCGCTCCAAACTACACCCACTAAACCAGAAGTTCTGGGTCCGATGTGCTATCGAGTATCAAAACCGGGCATTACCAGTGTATCTCAAGGTAGTCGGTGAAGTGAACGATGAGACCTGTCACGCTGCCTTCGCATTGTAAGTATAGCCTGATCTGTGAGCGGTACAGACCCCTCACGAGGGACAAATCCGGCACCTCGAACGCCAAGCTCGCTTCCTCTGGACTGATTATGCTGACGATCATCTCAGCTCTTTCGTCACAACTTTGGTGAGCATTGCGATGCCTCATCCAGACGTTGACCCTATAGAGCAACTCACTGGGCTTCGCAATTACTTCAGAGGAACAGCAATGCTCTACTTGACCATGTTAAAACCTCTCAAGTATGGTGCAATGAGTTCCTTTTTCAAGCCCAAGACTATAGCTTGGGAGTACGACCCGGCGATTCGGAAATCTTTCCACAACAGAATCACCGCCTTGTACAGTATAGTCGCTGGAAGCCCCCAGGAAAAGATCTACAACGAAACCATCGCACTTCTGCTGCGACTGTTTTACGACTCTCCATACGCCATCTTGGCTTTCTCGTTACTCGTTGGACCCGATTTCTTCCATCTGGTGACCCAAAGGGAGCCTTTGGCTGTTTTGATCTACATATATTGCGGCGTGTTATTCAGCAATGTCCAACATGAATGGTGGTGTGACGGGCTAGGAAAACGCATTGGTAACGATCTGACACTACCCGTTGAAGTGCTTGAGGAAAATCCAGAATGGGCGACTGCGCTACTCTGGGCCAAGCAACAAGTCAATAAGCTTACGGAGCCGAATAAAGTCATGTTTTGGCGAATTTTTGTGAGTATCGTATCCCGAGAACACGCTACATCACTTGCTGATAAGTTTCCAGGACTCTGAACAGCCTAATCAAAACGTCGAGGATTTGTTGCACCCAGACGACAACCTTCATAGTCTTCGTTCGAACAACGCGTCTGCCGTAACGACACCTGATACTGGCCGACCAGGAAATGGTATTCTGAGAGACTGATGCAGTGTTCATGTGGCAAGCATCGAGCCATAGCTTTACAAGGCCTTTAGCCAAGGCCTGTAGAGGACTGCTACAGAGAATGAGGCTCCCGTGGCACGGCCAAGCATGAATTCGCTAAAGCACTCTACTGTACAAGACTATCGATTCCGCATCCCATCCAAGCCAGATGAGAAGCCCCTATGTAAAGCGCTTTGATGCTAGGCGGAGAACCTCCTATACTGATGCTGAACTTCGATCTCATAGGCCTACCCCTGCGCTCAAACATCCGTCGTTGGGTTGTGTCCTGCGGTGCAACCCTTGATTAAGGCGACTAGATGGACCATTTGGTGTAACAAGACGCATTTAGTAAAACAGGATCTGGAGACCTACGACCACCGAGGGGCAGCCGTCCGGATTACGGAGGGAAAATCTATGATTCGTCAGATGTAGCCAAACGATAGATCGCCAGTCAAACTCTCCCTAATCAATCTGAAAGTGAGATTCCAATCATAGAAAAAACTCGCTGGCTCATATCTTCCGGCAATGGTATGTCGCGCGCGTCTCTTGGCTGTGTCAGCACTACTGTAAGGATTTGCATGCATCGTCAACCCCCACTTTCCACTCAAAGATCAATATATAATCACTCATTCCTCGATCGAACAAGGATTTATACAAACAAAGTTCCAGGTTTCTTCTCTTTGGGCTACTACCCTCGTTCTTTGTACCAAACAAATGATGCATACCACCGAAATACACGGCATCAACACCATCCTCGATTTGTCTGAAATCATCCCTTCGTCATCGCCACAATATAAATCTGAATCGCAAACATGGCAAGCCCATCGGGATTTACATCCTAAAATCCTCGCTGCACCCAAATGTCTGGGGAGACTTGCTGCACTTGTTGCTTTTCTCGCTACTACCGATCTGGATTGGGCCGTGAGATGCCAGGGTATCGGAGATGCGAGCGCGGGAGATGTGTTGGTGAGTTTGTCCGGTTTCAAAGAGTTTGTATTCGATGAGAGCAGTGAGAGTGTTATCGTTGGAGCGGGATGCAGTTGGGGTGAGGTGGAGGTGAAGCTGGAGGAAGAGGCGCCTGGGTATCAAGGTACGAGTCTCCATTGTTCCCTTCTACAAACTATCATGCTGAGATGTGCTTCCATCCANGCCTTAAGTGCACGTTGCAGTTTTGTTGGCGTAGGCGGTATGGTTCTCCACGGCGGCCTGTCTTGGATCTCGTCAACTTATGGTCTCGCGTCCGACCCTCAAAACTTCCTCGACGCTCAAGTCGTCAAGCTAGACGGGACTGTTGTCTGGGCCTCTGAAGAGCCTGATCTGCTTTTCGCTCTACGCGGTGGTGGTCATGAAATCGCCGTTGTCACTGCTTTCAAGTTGAAAGTGTATAGATACTCGCAGAAGATCTATAGCGGGAGTGTACATTACCCTCGCTCCGCGTTGGGCGAGGTCGCAAAGGGAATTGAGAGATTTGCAAAGAGTATGGAGCAGTGGCCTGGTGCGGCAATGTATTTGTACAACTTGGACTTGATGGAAGGATCATTCATCGGTGCGGCTGCCCAATCTGGTATAGCGATCTGGCTATTCGATCCTGAAGGCGAAGAGCATGGACGAAACATTTTCGGCTGGGCTTTCGAGATTGAGGGAGCTATCGACAAGACCAAAGTCATGAATCTGCGACAGGTGAATACCTACGGTGGTAAGTTTTCATGTCCTTTCCTGAGATTGCAGTGCATCAAGGCTGACACAGATGGCACAGACAGTGTATTAGCAGCCAAAGGAGTCTGCTCAGCTTCAATGTCCAACATAACCATTGCCTCACCCGCCATGACAGAATCACTAATCCTGCGTGCCTGGGAATGGCTCGAAACCACAATCGCTCTCGATCCCTCCAAACTCCACGTCGGCACTTTTGTCCTCCTCGAGCTCTTCCAGAAACCCGTCTTCAGATCTGCCGATGAAAGTGATCAGTGTGCTTGGCCACACACTACCAACCAGCATCTATTGCAACTGGGTGTGGGTAGATGGGATAAAGGCGATTATCCCACCCAGCTGGATACGGAGGCTATGGATATGCTCAAAAGTGCTGGAAAGTTGATTGTGGGCGATAGCTTTTCTCCGGCGGATTACTTTATCAATTTTCTGCAGCCGTGGAATGATCGGAGAGCGGTAAGATCATGACCGAGCTAGAGTTCTGTTGTATTGTTTGCTGACATGTGTGCTAGATCNTTCGGTGACAACTATGAGAAGCTTCAAGAGATCAAGAAGAAGTATGACCCAAGAGGTGTTTTGATCAGGGAAAACGAATGATGCTGGATGGAATGAGTGTATGTTGTCAAAAATTGCCTTGTTTACGGCCCTCGTTAGTGTTCATTACCCATTAATCGTTATATGCTCGCTGAAGAAACCCGAAAAAAAAAACCAACGCTCCAAATCAAACAATGCGTAGCTTTTCTCCCACATCCAATCTGACAATTTGTGTCCTATGATCCGCTTTTGCTCGCTTTCCTTCCTGATGCAATGCAATATTCTTCTTTTCCTCATTCAACATTTCTTGTGCTTCTTCTACTGTGTATGAAGAACTCTTGATCCATTTCACAGACCAGCCTAGATTTTCCTTGACTTCGTCGTGTGCGCTGATCCAGTAGCGCGCACCCAATTCTCGGACCATCTCGGCGCCTCCGGGGTATCCTGCCGCTACAACACCCCNCATAAACCAGGGGTTTTCCTCGATGTTGATGGAGTGGAAGAGAGCGGTTAATGGCAGTGCGAATTCTTTTGCCAGCAATGAAGATGCGTATGATTCGACTGCGGTGTAAGAGACTCCGTGAGGACTGTATAGAACACTGATTGTCTTNNTTTCTCGTGGTGGGAATGTTGGTATATCTCCCTCGAGTTCCACAGGTGAGTCTGGGGGTGTCAAGGAGTCGTTTCTATCAACAGGTATGAGATCCAGGAAGTTTCCTGCCATGGGAGAGTCTTGGGGTGTGGGTGGGAGATTGAGAAGGTTGACTATTGAGCCATTCACTGAGGTTGTTTTGCTGCTGGGTGCGCGGAATGTGATCCCAATCGCATTGTGAAGTCTTGTCGGATCCATCTTCTGTGGCATGTATGAAACAGTAACTTCGCCGCCTTGGCTGGTGAGAGAGTATCCAGGTATAGGTATGCGTATGACGGAATCCTCGATTTTGCTGTTATGTGGCTGCATGGTTTCAATCTTTGCATGCGTAAAATGTTTCCATGACCTGATCAATCTGGCAGCCACCGGAGTTGCCAGTATATGCACTTTCGAGTCTGCCGGGAGTGTGCATAATGTTTGTTTGTGGCAATGATCAGGTTTGTCCTGGGAAATGATGATGAGATCCGGTTCCGGTATATCCCTCAACGAAGAAATCCAAGGCGATGTCGTATGATGCGATATCTGAAACGACTCTTTCCACACAGAAGAGCTCCCCGTCACCCATGGATCAACCAACACAGTAAAAGAGCCAGGAAACCGCGCCGAGGCATGCACAGGCGCAAAACCAGGGATAAAGTCGATCAAGAACGTGGTATCTGCATTGAGCGGCTGGACATTCATAGCCATTTCGCTCTGCTCCACGCTGCACCTCACAAGCGCTTTGCAAAAGAGAGTCGAGAAACAACGAACAGAGGAGACAAGAGAAAGAAAGAGCAAGGCGTTGAGGCATGTTTGAGCAAAACCTGGAAAAACGACTTGAATGTTCCCCCCGTTGAAAGACAGAAACATCAACCGACTGAAAAGTGGGTTTGGGGATCCAGATCTGCATGGCGCCAAAGCCACGCCCGAGCCATCGGATCGCGATGCTCCGCCCGAGGAAGTCGCACACGAAGCGACACAGTCTGACGCGAGACACATGGACATGCAAGATTGTTGAACCTCTGCCTATGGACAACAGAGAGACACGTTGTGTGATCGAGTCTATTGTAGAACACCTCGCGATAAATACACTCGACTCTTACCCTTATACCACCTGTCGAGGTGCGATGTCCTATCTTGGCCTCAATGTCTCATATTTCTACCGGTCGGAACTCCAAGCGAGTCCGATCAAGGGTCTCGGCTAAGGTTACTACCATCGGAGGCTCGGTTACAGCGCCTCGCGAAATCCGATTGCTATCAGCAGTTGCTCGCGACTTTCCAAACTCAAGTGACTTCATGAAGCAGGCACGGCTTGCACGACCGCGTAAAGATGAACAGCTTGATTCTCAACCCCTGTTGTGACAACACACGACCGGAAGGAACTTGTATAGGTACATGTCTGCCTGCATCGCTTACAGCGGGTCATGGTCGTGGGTAATCTGCCATTCCACCTCCTTGCGAATAATGCCTGTTTGCGAGCTGATAGACGAGTTCTCGTCGACAATCCGATCGCGATGTGCATGGTGGACTGACGTCCTTGTGCCTAGCTTTGAGTTCGAGCTCAATCCTTGAGACGCGGATCGCGCCGATGCGATGTGACTTCGATGATGTGATTTGATAGGGCCCATCAGCAGATACGCGCCATTGACCTCGGATCGCGACGCACTGTGAGAGTCGTCTGCCTTTGCGATAGTGATGTTCTCGAGAGGATTCATGAACGATCGGAACGAAGGTATTGATGCGCTGACTAGAGACCATGCCAGCCAGATTTGAATCCAAATGGCTGGTGGTATGAAGGAGAAGCCCTTGTCTTGTGCGCCGACCGTTTGAGAGAGTCGTCGCAGATGCGTGATGGAAAAGCCAACCACCCTAGGTCTTGTCAGAACGAATACAGACTATGATCAAGTGGCTACTTACGCGAGTCTGAATGCAAATGCGGTCATGACAAGCATCTTTGGTCGCGAGCCTATCATAACACCAGACACTAGGTAGGATGGAACTACCATCAGTGCAGTTTCTGTGATGATGTCGAGTATTGTCACGGCTCGCCAGCGAGCGATCTGTTACTGAGTTAGCAGCGCCTCGAGCTGTCATATCTCTGTACTGACATAGGATGGACATTTGGCTGCGTGGGAAAAAAAGTGATATGGCGAGCAGTCGATCAGAAGGGCAAACAGAGCCACAACACCCCATGCAATGGTAAGGCTCAGTAATGACCAACACAATACAGCATTGAGCCTTGTGTTGTGGGTAAAGAGACGCCTGACGAATAATGCGAGGGAGACTTTCGAAAGCGTGTATGCTAGGATGAACAGTACTTCAGCTGCGTAGATGGCCTATATCTGTTAGTTGGTGGAGTCTATCTAAATGGTCCAGTGGTCAACNNCTACTTGATCAATGATCGATATCTGGCCCTTCTGGAGTATCCTACTCGACTGGCCGAATCCTGCCTTCAAGCCGACGAAGACAGGGATATGTTGGCAAGCAGCAACNNAGACTAACGACTTCAGTCAGATAATACACACTCCAGGATAACGACTTCGACTCACTGTTGCTACCAGCAACACCCAATCGTCTGAACCATACAGACCCCACCNTGTTTGCATCACGTACTCAGCGATTAATCCTTATCTTGTTTGTCTTCGAACTTACCTGACGTTGAACCGGACTATCAAAGTACCAAAGGGATATATCAAGGAGAGTAATGCGACAATCCAAACATAACCAGCATGATCTATGTCGGTAATGCGAGAGAAGTATGTGATACCCGGCGGTAGAGGAGCACCGTTGACTGTCGTCAGATTTGTTGCCATGTGGGCATCATGCAGCGGCTGCAGCGTGAGTTAAAAGAAGAGCGGTGGAAGCACATCATCGGAAACATCAAAAGAGGTGCACACGCCGCTACACACTCTTTATTGTGCGGCTGCCGTATCTTCCAATACTTTCGATTATGGCGTATGCATCCTGCTCACGTTATCATCGATGAAGGAGCCATTTGAGATTGTCGCTCGGCTTGTTGGTCTTCTCGAAACAAAGGCTCGGTAGACCCTTGTGGCTATTGTTCCTGTCGGCAGAAACGACCCTTGTCAGCACAAGCCGGCCTAGAGCACGCAACGCACTCGTGTCGTCGGTTTATCTCGCCAACCGGGCCGTGTGAATTTCAGTAGGGCCAAGCGGCGTACGAGTGCGTCGATGCTTAGCCATGCTGCCCATGCTGTGCAAGATGATCGACAAGGCACCTCATGGCGTCTGCAGGTGAGATGAAACCTCGCTTGTGCTCAATCGCTGTCTGATGTTTGGGGGAGAAACCTTCAACTGCAATATACGTGACTTTTGAGCCCTGAGCAGTGAGCAGCGGAAACCCCGAGTGTGGTCGCGACACAAAATTTCCGGTGACCCCCGTCGAGCACGATAGAAGAAGAGGAATATGAGTGCTGCGATATTGATCTCGAACCCTGTATATGCGAGTCCGTACGTTCAGGAAGTCATGGTCATAAGTCAGGGACAAGAACTTGGTGGCGCAGATGAAGATATACCGTAAGTGTGGTAAGCGTTCGGCAGGAAACGCAGCCGCGTCAAGCAAGTCGTCAAACACTCATAGCTTGACATATTGCTAGCAAGCAGACCTATAGGCAGAGTTCTTCTTATCAGTAGGCAAAAAGCGGCACATGCCCTACTCGGTCTGGCATACGGCGGCACAATCAGACGCCAAATGAAACCTCTATATTTTGGTTTCGAGTTCGAGAAAGCGTGTGGTGGCTTGCTTCAATTGGCATCAGGATCAATTGACTTTCTCATCCAGAGGGTCCATACTTTGACTTGCGTGTCCCTAGCCAGCACTCTCGGACCTTTGTGATGTTGGGCAAGAAAGCGACGTCCTTATCAACCGGCTAATCTATGTGGTATACTCAAAAGCCCAGACCCTCCGACTCCGCAGATCTCGAGGGGTTCGAACATCTCCACCCAAGCTTCAAACAGCATTCCGTCCGAACCATGTTCATCCCTCAGGAATATCCAACGTGCGTAAGATGAGCAAAGACGATCCGGAATAATCTATTCCAGACGCTTGGTGAAGAAACTTGGCTGGGATGTGGGCGGCGTGGCTTGCGTATAAGCCGCGAAGACCTTGCTTGGATGCAGAGTGAACTCTGGGCCCGGGCTATCGCTGGGGATAGTCCATGCTTCCGCGGCACAGTGTAGCATCAGTAGAGAGGCGTGCAGGTGGTGGTTAGAGATCATTCGCTTCCTGATGTCTTTCGTTGCCTTAACACGGAAGGTGGTTCATGTGTGCGATTCGTACTAAAATTGATTGGCAAAAAGACGTATAGTGCCTGCTCATAATATATGACTTTTACAATCCTTGAGTTGTCGCTTCTCTGCGCTCTTCCTCCTTGTGAAGTCTCAAGGTACTTTTCTCGCAATTGAGCGACAACATCTTTACTCTCATCACCATGTCGACGTCTTCAGAAGACAACAAGAGCAGCGCTATCCGCTTTGGTGAGCGTGAGATTGGCGACTCTAATAATCGACCTACAAAGACCGCTGCCTCTGCTCGCCATGCACAATTCGAACTGGGTGACTACAATGACTCTCCTAGAGATGAAGCAATGGATGGAACGGCAGACGCATATGGATCTGTGCCATCAGACAAGCGAGACATGATGCGTATGGGCAAGGAGCAAGAACTTCGAGTGAGTGCTTGCGAGGACCAATTTCCTATTCAGCGACACGCATTGATATTGGCATACAGNAGAGTATTCCGACAAGTCTCGCTGTTGTCGTTCACTGCCATCTTGATGGCAACATGGGAGTTTGTTCTTATGGCCTGTACGCAAGGTCTTGTTGATGGCGGTCGTGGTGGTCTGTTCTGGAGTTACGTCTGGGTCATGATTGGATATGGATTCATTGTTGCGAGTTTGGCAGAGATGAGTTCTATGGCTCCCACTTGGTAAGTTGCGAACGACAAAGGCACTGACTGTCGCTAATCAAACTCATAAAGCGGCGGTCAGTACCACTGGGTCTCAGAATTTGCACCACCGAGGTGTCAGAAGTTCCTGTCGTACATCACAGGATGGGTGTCGACTCTAAGTTGGCAAGCCNNGGGTATGTATCTCACCCATAACACCGATCAGACGGACTGACTCACTGGCAGAAATGCTTCTGGAGGCTTCCTTTGCGGAACTTTGATTCAATCCTTGATCATCATCAAGAATCCCGAATATGCTGCACCTGGCTGGCAAGGCACATTGCTCGTCTTTCCCGTCATGCTGGTCTGTGTCGTCTTCAACGTCTGGTTCAACCGTTGGCTGCCAAGCATGCAAAATGCAGTCATGGTGTTGCACGTCGCCGGATTTTTGGCAATCATGATAGTTTTCTGGGTTCTCAGTCCGCACGTACCCGCAAGGGAGGTATTCCTGGACTTCCAAAACGATGGTGGTTGGCAGACGACGGGTCTCGCTCTCATGATCGGTCAAGTTTCTGCAGTTGGGTTTCTTGGAGCCTCGGATGCAGCAGCTCATATGTCTGAAGAAGTGAAAGATGCCGGGCTGTCAGTCCCAAGAGCTATGGTGAGTTGATCATGGCATACATGATGGTCTTTGAACATGCTGACATTGTCTTGAAGNTGGTGGACCTACATTGTGAACGGTCTCCTCGGTCTAGTCATGCTCGTTTCATTCCTGTTTGCTATGCCATCAGTCGAGGATGCCATCAACGATGCGACTGGATACCCGATGATGTACGCTTTCCAGCAAGCAATGCCAATGACTGGCACCATTGTCCTGGCTGTTTTGATGATGATCTTGTTGATGGCTGGTAACATCTCCTACCAAGCCTCGACAGCAAGACAGACCTATGCCTTTGCTCGCGACCGTGGCTTCCCTGGTTCTCGCTGGTTGGGATATGTCAACCCGAAGCTGATGATCCCGGTTAATGCTGTTATTTTCTCAGCAGTATTCACCATCATCTTGTCGTTGATCAACATTGGATCTTCGGCTGCTTTCAATGCAATCATCTCACTTGGTGCTGTAGCACAGATGGGAACATACGCCATTTCGATCACTTGCGTGCTTTACAGACGTTTGACGGCCCCGCACCTCCTCCCCAAGGCAAGGTGGAGTCTTGGCCGTTGGGGTGTGGTGGTCAACATTATCGGCCTTCTTTTTGCTTGGGAGGCTTTCTTCTGGTGTAAGTGATACCGATTTTTATAAAGTATGCATGGCTAATAAAAGAATAGGNNCTTCTGGCCCAACTCTCAGCCAGTCACAGTCGACAACTTCAACTGGGCACCGGTCATGTTCGTCGCAGTTGTTGTAGGAGCCTTGATGACCTACTTCTTCCAAGGCCGTCGTGTCTACTCGGGACCAGTCGTTATTGTGCAAGGCCGTCAGGAGGAGACACTGACAGCTTGATAGAGGCAACACAGGGGCGTCAACCTCGCTGCCCTATCATGTACATAAAAGTCGAAACAGTGGTGTCCATAGATAAACGGTAATTAGGTTCCAGCTTTATTTTGGCGTTGCTTTTCCGCCGTCAATGACCGTGCGCTCAACGAGCATGTGATGGAATTGCTCGGCGCTGAGAGAAAGAGGACACAACTGAATGCAACCACTGAGCGAAGCAGTTGCGAGGACGTGCAAGAGATGTCGATGGTTCAGAGCGGAATAAAGAGGATGTCCTTGAGCAAAACTGTCTCGGACCGACGGCTAGCTGATGCGTCGCAGCCAATGGCAGATTGCAGGGCAGGGCGGTGAAGTCATGATTAGCTGTGCTGGGTTTCGGCGGCGTCGCGGTCAGAAGAATGGCCCAAGGCCCAAGGGTCGCGTCGCTCAGGTGCTCAGGTGTGTTTTCTGCAAGCTCCTGAGCTGCCGTGGCCTGTGCCTTTTCTGTTGCTCTTTGTCGCTGCTTGCCCCGCGTGCGTGGGGCGTTTGTGTCCAGCTTCTCTCGACTCTCCTCCTATCGTCACGTATCTTCTCACGTTCACACCTCTTGCGCGCGCTCCGTCTGCCACGTACTTTATATTGCTTCTTTGGCGTGTAGTGGATAAGCTTCAGTGAGCTCCAATCGAGCTCCATGACAGCTCCTTACCCCTCGCCGGCCGTACCCGCCTGAGCTGGTGATCCGACCTGCCTCTGTTCCTTCGCCCCGAAAGCCTTCAATCATCGTCATCCCCTTGCGTAGCTTGGATCAGGTGCCTCGCGGCTGGTCAAGCTGACAGCTCGAGCTGCAAGACTCGACTCCTCAATCGACATGCCTCCCAAGTTGAACCACACGTCTAACCATCACACGTCTGATCCGGACAATGAAGTCGTCTGTCCGATCAAGTCTGCTGATGGCAGCAACTGTCGCAAGAAATGCTTGGGCGTGCGTCCCCTATTTCTTCTCTCTGCTTTTGCTCCGTCTCCCAATATCCACTGTTTTGCTGTCGTCGATCGTGTTATTCTTGTCTCTGTCCATGTCCCATGCACCATGCTGTCCCGTCTGCCCCGCAACTCGTTCCTCCACGCCGCAATGCTTTGTCGTATCAGTCACGTCAAGATGGGAACGCGACTTACAAAGGGATTATAGGAGAAGCGTTTCCGCTCGATGCAGGAGCACATCCGACGAGCGCATCCGGAATATTACATTCCCAAGCTGCCGGCAACCAAGGAGAGCTTCGACTTGATGATCAACTCGCCGCCGTCTGAACGGCCTCCTCGAGTAGAGCTATGGTCGCCGACGTCTGCCCCACGCCAACCGCGATCACAGCCTGCAGACCACCACCACAACGACCAGTATGCAGTTGGAGGACCCTCTGCAGGTGTGTTCAATGCGCCCATGAGCGTTGCATATGACGGGCTGAGCTCATATGGATTTCAAGGCGGGCTGGGCCCCGTTCAGATAGCCCCCGACGGCTACGGCCTGCCGGCAGAGTACCGACGGGGCTCCCTTATCCCAGCTGCGAGCGCGGCTGCCGCCCTGGCACAGCTGCACTATGCTCGACCAGACGGAGAATGGGACAATGATCAAGTAGGCCCTGTCTGCGCTGATGACGCTGCTCCGAGCGCTAAGTACATGCGTCAGAACTATTTCAACGACCATGTGACCGACGCAAAGAGAGCTCACATGGTAGATCCCACGCTCTCGGCCGGCCAGCAATTCCTCGATAGCCAATACCAAGAAGACCACAGCCACCCCTCGGGCCTGTCGCTGCTCAAGTCGCCCTCGAGTCGCCAGAACACCCTTCCCCCCATGCAGCGTTCCATCTCCCATAGCTCAAACAAGAACTCGCTGACACAGAGTGCCCGCAAAGCAAAGCACGAGAGAGACAAGATCAAGAACGAGAACCGCAAGGCCCTCAGCGCCGAACCTAACATGTACGGCAAGAGATGGGAAGATTTAATAGACGCCGCGACGTCTGCCACCGAGGAAGACCGGGACCTCACACCTGTGCGTTGGACACAACTCTCTTTTGTCACGAACGGCTACCACTGACTGCCCGTAACANNGCTACCCGTCTCTCCCTATAAATCACCACAAGTCGGTGCGCGTACACCACTTGCGCCCTTCGCTCTCGGCTCTCAGTTCCAATCATATACTGCATCGCCCCTACAACAAACCCTCACACCTCCTCCTGCCGATGCAGATGGGCCACCCCTTGATATGGGGCCATTCCCTTCTGTTGAGGACAACGCCGTCTCATCTTCCATCGACTCCAACCAATCAGGCAACAACTTTCACATCATGCCGTCACAAAACCTCTCTTCAGATTCATCACCCATGTTCTCGAATCCCGTCCAGATATATTGCGCAGGCTGTAGGAGGCTTAGCATACTCAAGGAGTGTTTCGCTTGCACAGAATGCATCTGCGGCCTGTGCACGGGTTGTGTCGAAGCACTCATGTCAGAACAGTCCCGCGGACGCATAGCACAATGTCCACGCTGTCGCACAATGAGTGGACGCTTCAAACAGTTCCAGCTCGACATACGCTAGGAGCTGTCTCACGACCTACCACCTTCCTTTCTTTGCTTGACTTGTTTAATATAGCACATCTTCATTGTTATTTCTCTTTTTTTCTGGGTGGCTGTCTGATACAGGGATTCGTTTGGCGCTGGCGGGCGTTTTGCTGGACGTTATTTATGCATCTTTTTATGGACAAATGGAATGGGATAGACTGCTGTGGGATTCTGGACCTGGGATGAACAATACTCGTAGGAAGCACAATCATTTCTGTGCCATCCGGACAATTACATCTTTACCTGCTCTTATTCACTCAGAGGCTGTGTGTGCCACGCCCAACGCTATCTCGTTAACTAACAATTCCCTTGTTGTCTTCATTTGCTGATGTGACTCAGTCTACTACAATGTCTCACAGGAACTCGCAACAACACCTACTGCTATTCTGACTTTCATCACGCATTCATCACATACGTCTTCTTTCACATTTGTACGCTTCACGAAAACAGACCCATATAGATCCACGTTGGCTCTGCTCCACCTTCTCTCGCTCCCTTTTGTGGGGTTCGCTGTCATCGGTGTGGTTCTGATTGTCCTGTTCATCATGTCGACTCCACCGATCCGACAGAATGCGGCCACGCCATCGAAGGGTGCTGTCTCAACACCGGACAAGAAGCCATCAGCGTACGTCGTTACCTCAACCATCGTAAGATTGTGCCCAGACTGATCAACACAGCGAGCACTTTCAAGAAACCGTAACTATCATCGTCGGAAAGAAGTAGAAAGCATACACTCTGCACAAGGATCTCCTCTGCTTCTACTCCGACTACTTCCGTGCCGCATTCAATGGATCCTTCAAGGAGGCTACAGAACGCAAGCTCGAAGTCTCCGATGTGGAAAAACATGTATTCGAAGAATTCCAAGTCTGGCTCTACACGCGCAACCTTCCTGAAATGAAATCCGACAATCTGGAATCATACTTTTCTTCCCTTGTTGAGATCTGGATCTTCGACCAACACCAAATACCTCTTCTCCAGAACCAAGTCATGGACATGATCTTTGACAAGTGGAAGACAACAAAGACCTTCACTCCTCGCATAATCCCAGAGATATATGCAAAGACCTTGGCTGGCTCGCCGTTGCGAAAGGCGTGCATTGAGATCGTGGCATGGAGCACACAACTTGAAGACAAATCGGGTGCTTTCATGACTCCTGGAGCAGAGGTGTGCTGGACAAGCGAGAGCCTCATAGATTTGGTACTCGCACTCAACCAGTCACGCCTAAGCAAGGACGTCAAATTTCCTGTTCTTCCCAAGAGAGACAAGTGCTTCTTCCATGTTCATGGCAAGGACGGGCATTGTTGAGCCAGAATTGGAGGACAACCGACAGCATCACGACAACTCTCCTTGGAACCAGCAACGTAAGACAAAAGTTCATGTAATGCGACACTCCTCGAATATCAGTCTGACACTTTGGAGACAGCGTAATAAAAGAGAAAAGATACCAAATACCATGCATATCTTGCAGCAATTCAGTCGACGTGCGAACGCAACCCCCAAGCTCGCTTCTACACTACACGACATTTACATGCTCGAGATCAGCTTGCCCCAAGGGAGCAATACACAGACGACGATGGAGGATGATAGATCAGCACACTGGCTTATTTTCGCCAAATACTACATAGCTCTCATGGCTGTAGATAGGTGCATATGGTATTACTGTAGGAGTTTAAAGACAACTTGAAACTACTTAGGACTTCCACTGGAAGCATCATAAGAACCGACAGAGAAGAGGACCCCTGCTACATTTCACATGTGAGGCAATCGCTTGATCGCGTTGCACTTTCCTTCTCGTCTTGACCGGCTGATTCAAGTGAAATTGTAGCGGGCCCTCACTCGACCCTCCGTCAATATCGACCATCATTACGCATCCATCACTAACTCTATTGCTTCTTTGCATCAACACGCCCTTGCTCAACTTCGTGGCAATCTCGACCATTGTTGCGCATCTGCCGGACTACCTTGCTCCTCTACATCGGCGCAACCTTACTCAAGGCGCAGACAGAATCTATCCAGGCCACCTAGTGCCAATATTGTTCTGCGATTTCTCCGACCAGCATGTCATCTCGTTCCGTCGGTTCATCCAAGGGCGCTGTCTCGATCTCCAGCAAGTTTCCATCGAGGTGAGTCTACAATCTCCACGGCGACAGTAGTGAGTAACTCACGTGTCACCAATAGAAAGTACTTCAGTGGTCTAGTCACAATCGTTGTCGGTCCCTCCAAGAAGAATTGCACTGTTCACAAAGAACTGTTATCCTTCTACTCTGACTACTTTCGCGCGGCCTTCAATGGGTCTTTCGTAGAAGCATCGGACAAGAAGGTTGAGCTGCACGATGTCCAGGAAGAGGTCTTCGAAAATTCACACGCTTGGCTCTATACACGCACGCTCGCTTCTAGTGACGACAAGGCTCTGGACTGGCACCCTCTCAATAACCTCTGGATCTTTGGTGATCGCTTCCAGATACCCATGCTACAGAACTGTGTCATCGATGAGATGTTCCACAAGAGAGAGCGTGAGAACGTCTTCTCACTTGCCATAGCGAAGATTGCATACGAAAACACTCCCGTCGGATCACCACTTCATAAGGCAATCGTCAACATCATCGCCCACAGAAGCGTGCTCAGAGAACACGCAATGAGTATCATGACAGCCGCCTACAGTGGGTGCTACACCATCGAATTGCTCCAAGATGTTATCATGGAGATTGATGCTGCACGTATGGACAAATTGCCTCAATACAAGATGCCAAAGCGAGATAAGTGCTTCTTCCATGTTCATGGGAAGGATGAGCATTGTTGAATGTCATTTCCATGTTGACCTTCCTCTTCATATAACGTGAGTTTTCTCCAGCATACACTCTAGTTGATGAAGCTGACTCAGAAGAAAATAGGCCAAACCACCACAAGCAATACAGAGACATAAAAGAACTCCTCTCCTCCTCGTATCTCATGCAGCTCAGCAACTCGATCCTGCTTTGGTTGACGAAGACAATGCAAAAAAGACTGTTAGACTAGCACACTCGTTTACTTGCACGCAACAATTCACGTTTCATGTCCTCCACATATGCTGCACGTCCACCCACCTCGCTCATAGCTTTGCCTCCTTGCCTCGATATCTTTTTTGCTTTGCCTCCTTACTCTTGTTGCTTTTTTGCTTCTTTGTGTTTCTGTTCTTCGTTTTTGTGTGTCAGGGGTATATGTGAGCAGGGTCGTAGTCTCGACAAGTATTTTCGATATCGATATAGGGAAATTTCGATCAACGCCAGCTCTAGATACTGGAATGGTGATATCAGATGGTAGAGATGTACTTGAAAGACCACGCTCTAGAGAGTCTTGTGGTCATGATATGATCATTGTGGCTCATGGTCGCGAAAATCCATCACTCTTTGATCATTTGGTTCTGTGCTTGGAAGCCAGACGTGCAATTCTCGCACATTTCTCTTCGATGATACGATAGATAGGGTGGGGACGTTGCATGGATAAGGCAAGGATGACAGTGGCATCTTTCCTTTTGAGAAGGTTCTGCTCTATTGTCTAGATTGTATAGGCACTTTCATCTGAACCAGGTCGATGGTTAGGTAGGAAGACGTCTGAAGCTATCGAACACAGAGCAGGGCGATGCAAGTCATAAGAAAGCACGGTCATAAAGAACACAGCAATGAAAGAACCTAGAAAATAATAACAGATGATCAACATTAGGTACTACTGATTACATACTCCCCTTCTTCACCCTCATATCCTTCTTCCTGTCCCTTTCACATCTACTCTGGCACAATCTTCGCAACCGCACGCCAGAAATCACATCTCTGACCTCTACCACCCTCCCAAGCATACGCATCTACAACCTCAAAGTCGTTCTCCAGACCAGGTCCCACATAAACAGTAGCATTAATGTTCTGCACCCCAATTTCGCCATAAAGCTCTTGGCCCCCAGTCTGGTTAAGATTGACCTGCACCGGATTCCAAACATTGAAACGCGGGAAATTGACAGCGGCTTGGCCGCCCGCACCTGCAATGTTTGAGGGAATGGAAGGATTGGAGTTTACAACGAATTGGCCCCAGATGGACATGAAGGCGGCTTCGAAGGCGGGTCCTTGGGTGGGTGCTGCGGGGCCAAAGTAGCCGGAGACGTCGGCGCCGTGTTGGGCGGCCGGGACAGAGTATTGGTATTTGAAGGAAGATTTGTCGCCCGTGTAGGCTTCGGCCATCCAGTAGGAGGGACAGACGAAGGTGGTTTCGGCGTAGATGTTGTTGGCGCGTTGTTGTTGGCCTGTAGCTACGGAGGATTCGTTGATGGCGGTTAGACCAGAGTTACCCAAGGTTGCAAAGTCGACTGCTGATGGCGAGTCTGTGGCATTGGAACTGGGGTCTGATATCTTCCATTAGAGTTTTGCTGGAGAAATTGGGAGAGAAAGGGGTGAAGAGCTTACNNAGTAGCGGAGGATTCTTGAGATGTCGTCGTTGCTGAAGAGTGGGAAGGTGAGTTCCAACCAAGCAACGAGATCGGCCTCAGTGCTGATGGTTTGGGGAACAAACAGAGGGCCCTCATTGGCGTTATTGCCGACAAGGAGATTTAGTCCATTCACCTTCTTCTCCAAGAGTTGCTGGCTGGGCAATTGCTGGATGAACACATCGTCCGTGACAGGCAAGAAGCCCCAAGTACCGAAAGTGCCGGAAGCAGAAACGTTGAAACTGGCATACTGCAGAGTCGTGGTGTCTTGGTTGACTAAACACTCAAAGATAGTGCGAGCAGAAGATCCATAAGCAGTGTTAGGCATGCAATTAGCCAGACCTGCGAAAGCATAGTAAGACTGCGAAGGCACCCAATCCTTGTACCCATACTGCATAGGCAAGTAGGGAGAAGCCGCGATAGCATTCTTGAACAACGAAGTGCCCAAAGTGCCACCATAAGCCATGGCTTGTAGCATGACTGAACCGCCTCCAGCGGACTCTCCAGAGATACTCACAGAGCGTGGGTCACCGCCAAAAGAAGAGATGTACTCTTGAACCCACTTAAGAGCAAAAGTTTGATCAAGGATACCGGCATTGACGGAACCAAAGCGATCGACTTCATCCGAGGACAGGAAACCGAAAGCACCAAGACGATACTGGATAGCCACTGCAATAAACGAGTTGTTATTGGCGTTGATGATGGCTTGCATGTCTTGACGACCATTGCCAAGTCCATAGCCTCCGCCATGAATCCAAACAAGCACCGGAAGGTTTGTCGCATTCTCTGGTGCATAGACATTGAGGAATAGACAGTCCTCTGTCGACAGTGTGCCCTGAGCACCCGAGAACGAGCTCTGAGGACATTGAGGTGCGTATTGAGTTGCCTGGATGATTTGAGAACGGTTCTCTGCAGGAACTTGCGGTGCTTGCCAACGCAGAGACCCAGTCGGAGGGGCAGCGAAACGAATGCTAAACGCGAATGGTTAGTGTCGATCGATGGTGGAACGTCTGTTGACATACCCGCGCCAGATGTTGATGTTTGTGGTCTGGTTGGTGTACCCCTCGTAGACTTCGTAGCCGAGATCAACTTGTAGGTCACTGTTGCTGGTGGTATTGGTAGTTTGTCTTTTGGCCTTGAAGTGATCAAAAGGTTGGGCGACAGGCACGGCAGCACTAGCAGCCAAAGAAGCTGCACAAAGAAAGGCGCCAACGAAAGTGGAAAGGGAAGGCATTGGAACGATATAGAGGAAGGCACCACTTACATTGCGTACCTGGGCAATAGCCAAACTACTTATACTTCAATGGAGCGCGGGTAGCAATGGTCCGAATTGCGACGAGGGCTAACTACGACCCCGCCGGTTAAGTCTTCGATCCGTTGCATGGATACTAGAAAGACGAACAGCCGTGGTATCCGAACCTCTATACGAGGATGGGCATGTATGCACATGCGGAGTTGACTGTCGACAAGAGACGGCACACCGCAGTGGTCGACCATGCACCCCAGCCCGATCAACGCGAGGCATCAACAAGGATACCAGCCATCTGCCGTGACCCGCAACGATGCCATCAGCCGTCTGAGACATTGTCTTGACCAAAAAGCTTCACCAACCCTAAGACGTGCTCGACAAGGAAGCACCTTGCGAGCCCACCCCGGACGAGCTTCCATATCCATATGCCCACCATCAATAGCTTCCTATGACTAAGAAGCAAGTCCTTGCTTGCTTAAGGTGATTCCGACGCTTGATATTCAACAGCATGCAGAAGAGATGGAAAACACATCAACCGAGGACACCATCTCGTCACCCACGTCATGACTGCTTCACCCCACTTCCCCAGTTTTTGGCACAACATGGCTGACAAACACGCAAAATGGCGGGGCCACTATACAAACCTTGCTTGATGGACCCGTGACATGTACTGACATCCGGTATCGCTAGGAACCAGAAAGACGCGTTCCTGAGCCGTGGTCCAATGGAAGGGTGATTGACAGCAGCCAGGCACCAAATTCATGTAGCACAATGAAATAGTGAATGTTGACCTTTCCATGGAAGAGTGGTATTGTATGAAGAATAGAGAGACGGATTAATTGTGGTTATAGAATGGCAATAATTCTTGTACCCCGTTGCTTATTGGATCTGCTTTGCCAACTCTGCCATTTCATCTATCAAAATCCCAATTTGGGTAGCAAGCATGGTGAACCACACAGCGAGCAATCAGCAATCGTTCAAGGTGTGCCTCAATGGCGGATTCCAGTTCCATATTTTATCAATGGTCCCTCGATCTCCTTGATCATTTCCTACAGAGATCCATTGGGTTGCTGGGTCGGAGCTTGCATGGCAGCTTGAGGTGCTGCAGGACTGCCTCCCATAGGTGCTGTCTGCGCCGCCAGCCCAGATTGCGGTTGCATGGCCAGTGCTGCGCGCTGTCGCTCCATCATCAACCTTTGTTGTTCAGGAGTCAGTGTACTGTGGAAACCAGAAGGACCGACAGCTGACGATGTGTTTGAGTTTGGAGGCTGGGCGAAGGTCGGCGTTGCGCGGCCAGAGGAAGGTTGTGGTTGAGAAGCTGCAAGATTTTGCGTACGAGATTGGTATGCCTGCTGCGGTACGGGGGTGCTGGCCGAACCATAAGTAGGTCGTGTTTGCCCATAGTTTTGTGGCGTGTATGCAGCAGCAGTAGGAGTGCCGTTGGCAAAGGTCGATGCAGTGGTGCGAGGGGCGTACGTGGTTTGAGGAACATTATAACCTTGACGAGCAGGATTGACGGGTTGAGGGGTTTGAGTGCTGTAGTTTGAAGCATATGCCGGTCGTTGTTGACCATAGTATTGCGTGCTGAAACTCGAGCGACCAGTACTGCTGGTGTTGTAAGTGTTGGGATAGCCTGCACCCGCACGTGGAGCAGTAGCAGGTGCATTGTAGCTTTGTGCAGCACCGCGGTAATTTGCGGCTGGAGTCCTAGAGTTGTAGTAGTTTGCTGAAGTGTGCGTAGGGCGACTGGAAACGGATGGCGTGCGTCCATACTGTGATGTCGAGTCTGGTTTCTGAGCGGCAGCAGCAGCCTGCATAGCTGAAGAACGAATCAAACGAGTAAGCTGGTCCTCCTCCATGGTTCCGCGGTACTCCTTGCCCTGGATGACAATATTCTTCTTGACAGCCAAGTCTGCAAACTTTTCACCATCAAGTTTGGCAACGGCATAAGGTGGAAGCTTGGATATCAGCTGGGCCAGTTGTGATCGCAAAGCTCTGTAGGTTTCGTTCTCTTCGGCCGAGGNGGCAGTCGCGGTACCGACCATAGCGCTCAATAGAGGACTGGGGCTTGCTGGGTTCCGCGAGCCAGTAGGGATATAGGAGTTTCGGATGCGTTGATGCGAGGACAAAGCTTTCAGCAGATTGGAGATTTCAACAAGCATCTGATCCACCTCGCGCTCTTCCTCGTTAATGGTGGACACAATATCGAGGTTGTTTGGCTTGGAAGCTTCCTCATCAAAGTTTTCGATGGCCTTTTGGATGGCTTCGAGGTCGTCTGCGCTCAAGACATCTTCAGCGGAAGCCTCCTTGGTAGATTCTTCGGCATCATTGGTAANGGGAGATTCCTGCAAAGCAGGATCAAGGACGAAATGATCATCGAATCGTCTTTGGCCCATCCTGTGCCACCAGACCATATCCTTCGTCTCCTTGGCCACCAGAGCCTTGGAGTTGTCCTGGGTCGGGGCGAAGCCAGAGTAAGCGGCACGGAACAGGGCAGCCTCTTGAGCGATGACATCGGCAGGAGATGCTTCTTCGGTAGGCTTTGGCTGTTCCTGGCCATTCAGAAGACTTTCCCTCCGCCTGCGCTTGATTGCAGACGCGGACTCTTTGACTTCGTGGGCACCGTAGCCTACCCAGGTTCCCACGGTCAGGGGCTGAAGTGTGTAACCACCTTTTCTCGAAGCTTTTGGAAGTTCGCCGAACGACCATGAAATTGCAGTGGATTTGGAGGACGAATGCCTGGTCGGCTTGGGAGGATTCAATGGCGGAAGGGACGCAGGCGAAGGAAAGACATCGGCAAAGGTAGGGTTGGCCTTTCGAGTGACTGCGGCGTCGCCAGGAGGCAGGGGTACGACCTTGGTGGCGGAAAGCATCGTGGGTAGACCGAGTTCCTCGATAGACAATGCAGGACCTTGAATGGGCGTGTTCGACAGCGGTAGACTGGAGAAGAGCTGTCTCGGTTGAGGAGCGTTTCCGTACAGACTCAAGACAGTCTTGGTGGAGTTTGTTGTAAGCGGATCTTCCTCCTCCTTCTTGACAGGTATAGTGTCATCCTTGGGCCGTTCGCGATCCAGACAGTCCTTGACGAGGGCGCGGAATGCCGAGAGAATCTGCATGGCAGTAACGTCTTGGTTGACAGGACGTTGGGCACTCTTTGTAGGATCCTTGGCCTTGAGGGGCTCGAAGAGGGTATCGAGAGCATGGTCGAGGTCGTGCTCAAATTCATCGAGACTTGAGTAGATGTTGTTCTGCAGGCGCGAGGCGATAGTGTCTTGTTGGTCGTCGTGGTCAAGTTTTGGGCGCTTGGTGGCATCACCGTTGGTGTGGGAGAGTCGCGACGCGTTAGGCAGTGGCAGGTGCAGGACCGAGGGTTCGGGATCATNTTCTGTCATGGTGGTCAGTATGCCATGTGGCAGATGGTGGGTAGTGGACGCGACGGACGTTTTGAGCAGCTCCCAAAGGTCTTGGAACAGCTGTGTCTGTGATTGTGGTTGCTGAGTCTTTTCGGACTCGTGGCGCTTGCGTTTGATGCCGGTCGGGGAAGAGCCGACCGGCGCGGTAGAGTGGTCAGCGGCGGCGAGGCCATTGCTCTGGTGGTGGTCGGTCATGGTAATGTCGGCCATAGTCCCCGCGTCTCTGGTCGCAAAAGTCGCAATGAGGGAAGACGCGTTGTGCTTTGGACTGGCAGCTGCCCCAGCTTTTGCACTTGCACAATGGCAGACTCGCGACAATACAACCAGGCGATTGTCGGATGGCTTTCGATAGCAGAGCACAATAGCGACAGCAATTCGATGACTAGACAATAGAAACAACCATTCCTGCAACGACCTGACTCTCTCCATCTGCCAGGCCAGACGTGGCCCTTGCGTGCAGCGGCTCTCTCCGCTCCCGCTTCGGCTTGGGCGGCCTTTGCTCTGTTTGCTTGGCGCCAGTGTATCCAGACATAATTTTGAATGGACAGCTGGAGATCCATGTCATTGCCAATCGACAGCAGACTTGTTGCGCACGACCTGATGAATGCCCGTTGTTGGTGCGCTGTCCCTCGGTAGACGGGCCCAATATGCTACTCGATCCCTCTCCCGCAAGTCACTCGGCAACAACGCCCGTCGCTCCTTCTCCAAGCACGGCCATGTGAAGAGCGACCACCTTCCTGCTGACGAGCAGCGCCACTTGCTGCGTCGAGTCGCCGTCGACTTCTCTCCCCTTCGATCCGCTGCTCTTCATCTATACCAGCAACGCGGAGACCCTCGCGAATCAAAGACATGGCACCTCTCGTCGAGTCCCAACCACAAGGCCCTGAAGAAGATTGTCGACCGTCGCTTGGAACTCATGGCCGCCTCTGACACACCTCACGAGCCCGCCATACCTGATGACACGACCAACTCCTTGACGGCCCAAGAACATGCTGTGCTCCGTTCCTTGGGTTCTTCACAGCATCACGTCGACTATTATGCCAACATCCTCTCCACCAGAGACTCGCTCTTCGCTGCCCGCCTGCTCACGGCATCCCAAGCTCCTCCATCCTTCGTCTACTGCGACTTTCTCGCTCGACAGCACATTCGTCCCGAAGCTCTTCGTCTTCTTTTGCACCACCTGCCAAACTGGGACACCGATACACCCTTCCTGTCCAACCGTCTTATGTTTCCCATCTTTGAGAGACTCTCGTACCATTGCCGTCGCGTTTGGCCTGTCGCTCTGACCGTCGTGGCCACTTGGCTGACACGCCAACTGCGTCTGTCTGATGACCGTCTTCTTCGCTTTCAAGAGCCCGCCATGCATGAGAACAATTGTGCTTTCGTCTCGCATTTGACCTCCCGATTCAATCATGCCCTCCGTATACTCTCTCAGCCCTCGCACATCTCTCCTTTCAAGAACGTCGTCTTTCAAGAGGCTGCCCAAGCCATCATTCTCAAACACATGGCTGATCACACCCCTGCTCTTGCTATCGATCGAGTAGGCTATCGCGCCGTCGCACGCGTCCAGCTGGCCACTAAGAAAAGCCCCTCTGACCGAGAATGGGCCAGGCTCAAATCTCCCTCCTGGCCTCCGTGGAAAGAAGATCGTACGGGTATGGATGCCCGTATCGGTCTCGACTATGGTATTAGTCGTGCTCACCAAATCTTGATCAGAATGCAGGAGGCCGGCTATCCGCTCAAGCTGCGAGACCAGGTTACTATGATATACGCAGGCTGGGATACAGACCGCAGCCCGACTATTCAGAAACGAATATTCCTCCAAGACCTGCCTAAAAGCAGCTTTGCCCAAAGCATCTGGACCGCTCGAATCAAGACAACTCGTACAGCTCAGCAAGCTTGGGCTTGTTTCTTGGCTTACCAGGACGAGAATCTCCCTGCAGACCATCGCATCTATCACGCCATGTTCGAAGTATTGATACAGGAGCGCAAAAGAGTTAGACTGGGCGCCGAGAATATTGGCCATGAAGTTGATGATGATGATGATCCGGATCCTCTTTATCCAGGCGACACCATGGAGATTGGTTCGCCCCCATCATCCACCCATCAGTTGACATATATTCGTGCCGAGATGCCTTCAGTCCAACAGCTCTACGACCATATGCGCGAAGACGGAAAACATCCTTCCGACGATACGCTTGCTATGCTTTTGGACAGCGCAGAAACTCTTGCAGAGGGCTTAGTCTATCTCGAGACCGGCGCTGAGAGATATCGCTCTGCTATCAACGCTCTCCTTCATGGATCCAAGCATGACCAGTCCTTGCACGTCTTACCAAATCATCTCTTTACGGCCTACATACGCCTTTTATGTCGTTTCCCTCACACTCCACTCGATAGAGAGTTGACACTGCTATGGCGATACGGCACTGTGGTCAGGTCCAACTTCGACCTTCGACAGCCCTTAGCCCGAGCTCTCTATTTGCTTGTCGAGCAGAAACGAACACATCTTCCAGCCTGGAATTGTTTATTTGCTGCATTGGCTCGTAGAGCTGCGCCGACTCTGGCTTCGAGCTGGAGATCGCTACATCTTCGAGGCGAACAGTCTTTGATGACAGAAAACGAGCTGTACGACAAGATTTTTGCTTTCAATCTTGCCCGTCAGGTCAATGTGACCATGTGGGAGAACGATCTCACGTTAGACGAGGATGCCTTTCTGTGCGTCTGCCGCATCGCTGAGCATGCAGCAAGCGCCGTCCACACTGTTTTCCAAAAATATGGATATAATCCAGAATTTGCTTCTGAAGCCACAGGCCGCCTCATCACGCATGCGAACACTATAGTCCGAGACGGCCACGGCTGGATGAAAGAACAGTTCTGGACTCTGACCGAAGGCGCAAAGGACTCTATTTCAACTCTTCCGAAGACAGAAGATTCCGAGCGTGAGCTGCCTCTTTTGTACACCGTCCCTCGTCCAGCCTTGCTGCATGCGTACATTCGCGCCTTGGGTATGTTGCGCGACCACGATGGTCTCCAAGAGCTGGTCGAATGGATGTGTAGACATCGGGATGAGCTTGCCAACCGCTGTGCTATGGACCGCAGAGGTCGTGTCTTGATGCGCAGAGCCCTGATTGCTCTTCGTGTGTTCGTCGAGGATCGATGGGACCCTTCGAAGCCCGAGCTTGACAACCCTCCTGCATCACCCGAACAGATTGAGGAGATCAAGACGCTTGTTGAGAGTGTGAAACAATGGGGTGGCTGGCCTTCGGATGAGGAAGTCGAGATGTATGTCGAGTATGGTCGCGGAGGTGCTTTATAATTGTGAAAATACTAGTGGAGAGCTCTGAGGTCTGATTGACGATTGTATATACACTTCGACTTTTTGTAAATAGTTTGGCTCGGTCCTTCTGGTCTAGAAAAAAAGTAGAAGGGGATTCGGTTCATCTTTGGAGTGTTTTGAGAACAAATAGACGATCATGGCAAGCAATTGTCTGTATTTGTACAAAAGTCGATCTTCATCTTGATATTACAGGTGCCTCTTCTGAGCAAGTTGTCCTCTCTTTCGCTGTAGCAACGAATCCTCGACTCCCTTTCCATCACCCTTTGCCCCCCAGATAACACCAATTGCGCCCTTGCTTGCTCCGAGAGAAGAAGAAGAAAACCTTCACATGACGAGATACTTTTCCGCAATCTTCCTCGCCGCCTTTTCGTTGCTGTTCATGGCGAGGATATGCATCAACGCAAACGCCGCCTCTTGGGTAAACTCTTCAGGGTCTGTTTCTTCTCCTTCTTCTTCGTCTTCTTCTTCGTCTTCTTCTTCGTCCTCCTGACCAATTTCACCAACCGCACCAACCTCACCAACCACGCCATCATCGCTATCCTGCCGTCTTCTCTTCTCTCTGGCTTCCTCTCTGACTCTATCAGCCAACGCCAAACACTTTTCATACTCTGGAATCGCCAAATGCATGATGCCCAAAAGATGCCACGATCTTCCAATATTATACACAGCCTCTTGCTCATGTATCACCTCGCCACTCTNTTTCCTCAGCCGCACATATTTCTCCAAAAACGCCAATCCCTGATAGATTTGCCAGTGACGGTTCTCTGCTTGCCGTTTCATCGCCATTTGCATGTATGCAGTAGCCAAGCACAGATTGATGGCAATGTTATCCGGATCCAGGGTAAGCACGCGGAAGTAGTAGTTTAGTGCCGACGTCCAGGATTGTGCTGCTGCCATTATGTGGCCGTAGAGGGAGATGACGCCGGCGTCGAGGTCAGGCAAAGAGTAAGGGTTTGCATCGCGTTTGCCGGCGTGGGTGTAGGAACTGCGTTCTTGGCCGGTAAAGGCGTAGAGGGCGCGGGATTCTGGGTCCAAAAGTGCGTAATCGAGGGCTTTCACTTGACGGAGGATGAATTTTTGGGTGGGCCCGCTGTTGAACCAGTTACTGTAGCCAGCGAAGAGGCGGTTTACGGCGGCGAAGAGTTGGTAGGCGGCGCCGCTGTGAGGCCATTCGATGATGAAGAAGCGACCTACCTCGCAGACTTTTTGTTCGTCGTTGAGGAGAAGGGCGCATGCCATCCAAGTCGCGTGTATCTGTGTCTTGTGCTGGAGACTGTGGTAGAATACTGTACAGCTAAATGCGCCTGTAAGCACCTCATAGCACTTTTCTCTGTCAGCGGCTTTGGCGAGCAGCAAAGCATATTCGCAGAACATATCTAGCCACTCTGTGAATTTGATGTCGTGGAAATTGTCAGGGATGCTTTCGTCAGGGACCTCTTCGTCAACGTCCATGCCATCTTCTGCGATTCGCTTCTTCATGGCTTCCATTTCGGCAACCACAGGATTTTTGGTGTTGCGGCCATAGCCGGTAAACTTGATGTGTTTGTCGCGGCCGGGGTAGAAGGCGCGGACGGTCTTGAAGTCGTCGATCATCTCTTGCGCGGCTTCAAAGTAGGTCTGCAGGGCATCCTCGTCTTCGTCCAAGGATTCTCTGGCCGAGTTGACAAGAACGTGGTTGGCTTTGATACGCTGATCTTGCTGTTGAAGACGTTCGTAGGTTTGAGACACACGCGCTGCTCTAGGGGCCTTTTGCTTAGCAGTTTTTGGACGACCACGTTTGCCTGGGCGGAAGGCGATGAATCGCGGATCGTCGTCTTCATCACCATCATCCTCGAGGATTTCTTCTTCTTCTTCCTCGTCATCATCATGTCCTTCATCCTGGTAATCACCGTCATCGCCATCGTCTACATCCAGTGGTATGGGTCCTAGAGAGTAATGTCTAGACACTGGACCTGCGACTCTGTTGGGAGGTGCAGTCTGTTCAGGTCGCGGCATGAGAGGTGCAAGAGTTCTACGTGGAGGAGGCTTGTCCACAGTGATCTTGGCTTTCTTCACTGCATCACTTCGGCCCAGTCTAATAACCTCGTGTACCAGTGGAACAGCCTCTGCCATTCTCTGCTCAGCCTCGTACAGTTTGGCCAACGCGATACGCGACTTGATGTCCTCTGGATCATTGTCAACGATAAACTTCCAGCAAGACTCTGCGTCTGCGTTGCGATTGAAGGTCATATAGCAATCTGCAAGCTTCATGTAGTAGTCATGATCACATGCTTCGGGCACTGATCTTATGGGCTCGTAGAAGAGAATGGCCTCTGCGTAATAGGTCTGCTCAATCAGAGCCTCGGCAACGTCTCTGAACAGATCAAAGTAATCAGCAACTTCGTCTTTGAGGTCAAGGAGCTGCTGGAAGTGGCGCATGGCCTCGGGAAGATCAGCTCTACTGATTTTGACACGGAAGAGACCGAGTTTGACACGCAGCTCCAAGGGCAAACCTTCACCGTACATCTCCTTCTTGTTTGTGTATCGGCTGTACTTGAATTCCGAAATCTGAATTCGTCGAGGAACGTCGTCGTTGTCAAACTCTCTGTCGTCTCCTGTCACTTCGTCCCAGAAAGTGTCTTCTTTCCTCCCAAGCAACCATCTCGAGAGTTTTCTGAGATGGAATGCCGCTTGTGTGGGATTCTCGCACTTTTCGACGAGATCGAGATAGACGTTGAGATGAGACCATTGCGTTTCAGGGACGCCGAGGGATCGGCCCTTGAAGTAGAAGTTGATTGCGACATCGTAAGCATCCTTCGCACGCTGGATCTCTGGCGTACTCGCCGAGTAAGCACACAGATCTGCGTATTGTTTGAGGATGTTGAGGTCGTGTGGCTTCTGGCGGACCATCATCTTGGCTTCTCCTCTCGCTCTTGCCGGTTGGTCGGATTCGAGGAGTAGGTTCAGCTTTTCGCGACGAGCGTCGTAATCATCAGGATCAAGCTTGATCGCCCATGCGAAACAATAAATGGCTTGTTCAAGGACAGAAGGAGTGCGGTCATCTCCTGCCAACTCCAGTGTTCGTTCTGCAACAGTCCACCACAGAGCTGGATCACGTCTTGTGTGAGCACCGTGCAATAGTACAGTCAGCGAGTCTTGGTCCTTTCCTTGCGCCAAAAGAATCTCGGACAGCAAACTGTGAGCAGCGAAAATCTCAGGATTGGCCTTGACGGCATCACGCGCGTAGTCAGCAGCGGCCTGGTAATTGTTGTTCAAGAAGGCTTGGGTGGCGAGTGACTGCAGCCTCTTGAACTCTGGATCAGGCTCTGCAACAGTGTTTCTCTTGTCACCGTTCTTCCGGCGGCCTTCTCCACGTGGAACACCGTTTCCTCTACCTCGACCTCGGCCACGACCTCTTGCAGCCACCTTGGGATCGTGCTCCGTACCTTTGATGGCCCACTTCCAACCACGTCGTCCTCGTCCAGTACCTCGTCCGCGTCCTCGGCCACGGCCCTTGCCACGACCACGCGATCCAGCAGCAATTTCTTCATCGAGAATATCGTTCAAGAGGTCAGAGTTAATGGACATGTCATCAGAGCTGCCACCTGCGTCAGACATGGCAAAGTCGGGGTCTATGCGAGGATTGTCTCTAACATCCAAGAGTTCGCGGTCGACGCTGTCTAGCCGGCTACGCTGAAGTTGGGGATCTTGTTCTTCAAACTCGTCTTCGTAGACAATATCATCTTCGGGGCCAAACTGATTGTTCTGGGGGTTCAAGACGAAGTTCAGACCGTATTGGGCTTGCAGAGCACCATAACCAGCACTTGGATCTTCATCAACGTCAGAGTCCACGTCCATGTCATGTCTAGGCATGAATCCTTCGTGCATCAGAGGCTGTGGACCGCGCGGCATAAAACCTTCGTGCATAAGAGGTTGAGGCATAGGAGGATAGAAATCCTCTTGCGGAGGAGCGTAGGCATAGCTGTAGGGATCCGTCTGGTGTGAAATCTCAGGGTATGGTGTCAGGTGGTAGGCAGAGGCAGGATCCGGATAGGAAAGATCGTGTTGTTGGTCGTTCATGATGGGTGGTCCTTTCAGCTTCCGGCAGTTTTATCAGAGCCTAGTTTCTTTTTGCGTGCACAATCCATCAAAGGTCGCGGGAGCCAGTTTGTGAGATTAGTCTGATGTTACCGGGTGATGGTAGTGAGGATGAGTTCGCGGAGACGGAAATAAAAAGAAATGACCGAGATGGTTCGCGTCAAGAATTCGAGATAGGCAATTGCGGGGTGAAGCGGAAAGTCTTGGCAGTGTATCAAGGTGAGAACCTTGGAAGTCACTTTCACCACGAGCAGCACCGAAGGGGTGACAGGTTAGTCATGTCGGTGAATCGCGATTGACGTTATGTGGGTTGAGTTCATTCGGCGTGATATTGGTACAGTATTTATACATATGATACAGTCCTAAGACATGGCTTCTCCATTGTTCTGCTCCGCTGACCGAATTCCTACATGTTCGACATGTAATTCTGTCCATGATCCAGAGTTACTGGAAGCGAGCAGCCGATAGGCAGTTGCAGATATGCTGGATCAAGTGACGGAGCACAGCTTTGGCACAGCGAGCGCTCGAGAAGCGGTTGTACGACTCTTGTCGGTGGCGTGTTGATGTTGACTAGTTTTGCTGGACGGCAATATCGCTGGCACCCTCGCCCTGGAGCCTCTTGAGGGTCTGGTCGCGCTGGTATTCCATGACCCTCCTCTTCTTGAAGTATTGGANCCTGGCGCAAAGTCAGAAGGCTGCGGCGGGCTGTGTAGGGACAGAGGGTCGACTCACCCAACTCGAGGCACAGTTCTGGTCGAACTTGGCGGATTCAGTTGCGCAGAGGCTGTCTGCCTTTTCGGATTGCTTCACACTGTCGATGATGTTGTTCTTGTCGAGGCAGGCAAAGTAGCCATCGCGAGCCTCCCAGCAGTGTGCGCGCTTCGAGCGGTCGGGCGCAATGAAGCCTCCGTCGCCTGAGGCCTTTGGTGCTTCGGGAGCATTGGGCTTGTCTGAACCGAACCAACCCATTGTGACGATGTGTGGTATGCGAATAAAATAATGGACAATCAAAGCGGCGATGGAAGCTTTGGAGAAGCGTCGGCGAGTCGGTGCCGATCGACGTCAGCGAGGGATCATCTCTCCGACACCTTTTGTTATCCCAAGCGCCAAACATCAACAATACCTTTTTCATCCGAAAATGTCTCGTCGAAGGCGTCCTGCGCGTCCGGGTGCGCTCGCTGACCTCGCCCCGAAAAGAATCCTCGCCCAGATTGTAATTCTCCAGCTCCTGTACTACGCCGTCGCAGCTGCCTTGATCCTATTCACCACCCTGGTCGCAGGCAGAGAAGTCACTGCAGATCTCCTCCTCAGCTGGCGGACCGTCCGAAGCGATGTCACTACTGGATGGATGCTCGGTCTCTGCTGGATGATGGACAGCATGATCTGGTATGTCGCAACTTGTACTCAACTGCACGCCTCTGCCCTTGCTAACAACTTGCGCCGANNCAGTGTCATCTTTCTGCTGCTCTTCATCGCCCGATCCAAACTCGTCCCTGACTTCGCCGTGACCATCCACGTCATCAACCTCGTCGTCACCACCTTCTACACCAAAGAGTTGCCCACTCAAATCTTCTGGTGGGGTCTACAGATCTGCAGTACCGCTCTCATGATCTTCCTCGGCGTCTGGGCCTGTCAGTGGAGAGAACTGAAACCTATATCCTTTGGCGGGAAACAAAAACAATCTACCGCTACCACCGATCCAGCCGCTGTCGAGGAAGGCGATGGATTCGCAAGAGAGGAGAGAGGTGCTGGGAGAGATGGAGCTGGCACATACGAAATGGTCAACATGACTGAAAGAGACCACGCTGCATGATCACAATACGACCTTCACGACTCAACAATATACACGACAATCTGGTTGTCGATGCGCATTCAGGGGGCAGTGGAATTCGTAAACCGCGCCGATACCCAACTCGGCTCAGAAGCATTCGTAACTTTCAACCTCTCTTCCTTTCAGACATAAAGGGGAATCCGCTTCGTCCAACCTTAATCCGCCATCTCCTTCCCGGAAGACCACATCCAGTTCCGTCGGCGTTTGAAACTGCGACCTGTTCGCTCCAGCTTTGATAATACATGTAACTTGCTGCTGCTTATGCCTGGCTGAGATTTTGGCCGAGATGCCCAATACATTGATTATCCGCGCTGAGGCTGGGTGCAATGGAAGCACTGGATAGTCCCCTGCAAAATTCTCGGGTCAGAACTGATCACGATTCGAGTGCATGGCAAGACGAGACATACGCGTGTATATACGTTTCTCAAGGGGCAACCAGATATGGATCATCTCGTCATCATCGCTAGCGGTGAACAACAACTCTGCTGATCTTGGTATCCGATCAAGAACCTGTATGGATGGTAGCGCTGCGTGGTGATGTCTGACTGACAGCAAAGGCTTTTGATCACCGAAGCCTGGGAGGTGTAGAGGAAGTGCAGCAACCAGGTTGCAAATGAACAGGAGAAGGAGGGGACGCCGCATTGCAGCAACGCGGACTATTTCGATCGAAGCGTTGCCGTCTTTTCGAGATCTTAGGGTGCGCCTGAACCTTTGACTTATTGATGGTTGCACGAAAGGCTGGTTTAATACTCCTTGCCGGAAGACACAATTCAGGCTCCAGCCTTGCTGCAAGGAATGTCTGAACGCTTATGCAGCCTTGTTGTGCGCCACGATACATGGGCCGTCTAATGGTTCGAATACCCATGAGAAGTTCACGTTCCTTGCTGGTGATTCGACAGTACTCTGGTACATGCTCACAACCATGATTGCTCAGGACTGTCGTATCGTGCTGTGCTGGCAGATATGAAATTCATGCATCGCGGCTACATGAAAGTTCTCCTTAGTTTTATAGCGACACATGTAATAATGTCTGATATACACATGTTCTCAATGCAGTGTCCAAAAAGATACATTTGACAATAACGATGACTCCTGACGGTATTCCTGAGCACAGACCATGGTCTTGCTTCTGGTCAAAGACAGACTTGAAATCTCTCGAGATTGACCCAAATTCAATCTAAAGTCATTTCCACCCAAATACTGTGACAACGAGACCTCGGAATGAAGACATGGCGTGGTCTGAGTCAACATAGCCTTCGAGCAAACACCTTTGTTCGCTGGTCGTCAACAATCCAAAAACCGGCCAATATCGCATCGTTACTAAAGTCTTCTGCCGAAAGCACCGACGAGTCTTCATCAGAGATTGAAGTCAATGGTTACGTACGGACGATCAGGAAACAAAAGCGTATAGCCTTTGCAGCGGTTGGGGATGGGTCGTCTTTACAACCTGTGCAGGCTGTCTTGACGCCGGATCAAGCTTTGTCGTATGTTGAGACCTCGTTTTATCATGGCGCATACTGAATCTTGATCTTGNNTAGTCTATCCACTGGTGACGCGATCAAACTTCGTGGTAAATGGCAGAAGTGCCCTCCAGGCAAAGCCCAGACACATGAGCTGCAAGTGTCAGAAGCTGCAAAACTTGGCTACAATGATCCTACCGTATGTGTCCCTAGAATCCTTCTTGAACATTGTGAGCTCAGAAATGTCGTANNGACAAATCCCATCCAGAAGAAATATCAGAGTCCGGAGTTTTTGAGGACCTTGCCTCATCTGAGATCCCGACTTCCGTTCAACGCACTCGTTCTTCACCTCCGGTCACAGGTCATCGGCAGCATCACAAACTTCTTCAACAAAGAGGGCTTTGTACAAACACATCCGCCAATCCTGACTTCCTCGGATTGCGAAGGTGCAGGTGAAGTCTTCACGGTGTCCTCTAATGCTTCCAAGGACAGTATGCAAAAGTCAGATGATGGTGAAGTTGAGCACTTTTTCCGCACACCAAAGTACCTCACGGTGTCATCTCAATTGCATCTCGAAGCCCTATCACAATCTGTTGGCAATGTGTGGACTCTATCGCCAACCTTCAGAGCAGAGAAAAGTGATACACCTCGCCATCTCAGCGAATTCTACATGCTTGAAGGAGAAATGTGTTTCGTCGACGATGCGAACCAAGTCATGAACCTGATCGAAAATATGCTGTCGACCATGGCGAATGACTTGCAAGGCTCTCATACGGTACAGCAAATCCTCCAAGCCAAAGCAAGTCAGACTTCAGAAGAGGCAGCAGAAGAAGGCGCAGTCACTGCAGAAGAGCTCTCTCGTCGTTGGCAAGGTATGGCCCAATCTAATTGGCCCAGGGTCCAATACGCCAAAGCGATCGAAACACTCGAAGAGGCCGTCAAGCAAGGCACAATCTTCCAATTCACACCATCGTGGGAGGAAGGGCTTCAAGCCGAGCATGAACGCTTCCTAGCAGAGCACTTTGGCAAAGGACAACCCGTGTTCATCACCGACTACCCTATCGAGCAAAAGCCCTTCTACATGTCAAAGACACCAGGTAGCGACCGCACAGTCGCCTGCTTCGACCTTTTGGTCCCCGATCTTTGCGAACTCATAGGTGGCTCAATGCGCGAGCACGATCTATCTGCCATCCAGAAAGCCATGCAGCAACGCGGTATGCTGCGTGAGCTGACGCCAGAACAACAAGCTGCTGGTGAAAGCGAAATCCCGGAACACAAACTCTATGAGGGCAAACATGCAGGCTCGCTCGACTGGTATCTGGATCTTAGACGCTATGGCAGTGTTCCTCATGGCGGATTTGGATTGGGCTTTGATAGATTGTTGTGCTATCTGGCTGGTGTGGGCAGTATCAGAGACGTAGTCGCCTTCCCACGATGGTATGGGCGCTGCGACTGCTAGATCCTCTATACTATTTTACCCACATGGTTCACTCCTCTCACACAGATGACGATTGCACATTCGAGGGCGTTCAAATCTAGTCTCCTGTAAGGATAGCATTTCCACAAACAGTTTACAAGCGACTTCGGAGAGCTCTTCGCTTATCCCGCTCGCCAAGTTTTTAAGTTATCTGATTGATAATATCTGATTCGGTTAATCTATATTGGCGCGGCATGCATTGATCTTCCGCTGCTGGCTGTGTTTGGTAGTATCTGCATGTGCTCTTTGGGACGAGAAGATGAAGACGCTATGATGATTAACAGAGAACAGCGATGTGAGGTGGTTATCAAGAGTAGGAGGACGGTCGGACTTGCCTCGGTATGGTGGAACAAACACAAATCGCAAGGCAGCTAGCGCGGAGATGGTCGCATAGTTCTCTAGAAGTGCCAAAGAAGGTTTCCCGGGCCACGGGCTCCCGAGGCTTCAATTGTCGCTGAAGAGCACCGGTCGTCATACGGCAAATGCCATGTATCGAGCATGCATGGTGGATTGCTCGCTCCCATCTTTTTCCCGGCCAGGCCGTAGAAAGAAAGACGACAAGGTCCCTTTGTTCTCTCGTCCTGCAACTCTGCGATACACGTTTCGCCGCACAGTGAAGAGAAGCATTGTCCCCGAATTGAACGACTCCAGATTTCCTTCGACACCTTTTACAAATATCGGCGCGTCACCACCGGTAACCTTTTTGTAAAGCTTCCCAAAGGCCACCGGTTTTGCCGCATACACTTCTCGAGACGACCACTCTCCACGGCCATACACCCACATCACTCTGAGTGCTCTTCGAGAACGCATCCAACCTGGATTCACAGACTCTCGCCCCTACGGTCGGACACATGTCCGTGCAAGAGAAAATGGTCCTCCAGGAGGAGGACAACGAATACGAGTGAGCCTATGCGAAATGCTGCGCGACAAGAACGGTCCAATTGACGAGGATACCACTACAGNNCTACGAGGGTCTACCGCCAAACTTCAGTCTGGCGGCCAACATGGCAGCCGGTGCCTTCGCCGGTGTCGCCGAACACTCTGTCATGTACCCTATTGACTTGTTGAAGGTGCGTTGGGGGCGCGGACGGTATACGACCAGGAGAGACATATGCTGACCTCGAGATTTCCAGACACGAATGCAGGTCATGAGTCCGACGCCTGCCGCCATCTACACCGGTCTTGGAAACGCGATCGCTACCATTTCACGAGCCGAGGGTTATCTGTCGTTATGGAGGGGCTTGTCCAGTGTGATTGTTGGCGCTGGACCTGCGCACGCCGTTTATTTTGCCACATACGAGGTTGTCAAGCATCAAATGGGTGGAAATGCAGCGGGCCACCACCCTCTCGCAGCAGGTGAGATTTGGACATCTTTGCTGCTCTGGTTGGACAGGTGCTAACAAAATACACANGCAACCAGTGGTGCCTGCGCTACAATTGCCAGCGATGCCTTTATGAATCCCTTTGACGGTATGCGACCATTATATCTGATTCCCTGACATTCGACTAACTCCACCCGCNNAGTCATCAAGCAGCGCATGCAAGTACACGGAAGTGTCTACACATCCATCACCCAATGCGCACGCTCCGTCTTCCGCAACGAGGGCCTCCGCGCCTTCTACGTCTCGTATCCCACCACTCTCGCCATGACCGTTCCCTTTACCGCTCTCCAATTCACCGCCTACGAGTCCATCACAAAACTCATGCACCGCCGCGATGGCTACGACCCTTTGACCCACTGTACTGCCGGAGGTCTTGCCGGTGGTATCGCCGCTGCCGCCACCACTCCTCTCGACGTTATCAAGACATTGCTGCAAACCAGCGGTAGCTCTACCGATGCCGAAATCAGAAGCGCCAAGGGCTTGTTCGATGCTGCTGGCATCATTGCGAGAAGAGACGGCGCAAAGGGTTTCTTCAGGGGTATGAAGGCTAGAGTTGTCACTGCTGCACCTAGCACTGCCATCTGCTGGTATGTTTTGTTTTCGCATGCGACATGCTGCACTCTGACACCTACTAACTTGTCTTGAACAGGNTCTGCCTACGAGGTCGCCAAGGCATACTTCATTCGCGCCGAGGAAGCCAAATGAACTCGACCAACTCCATTTTCGACTTTCTAGCATCTCGACTTTTCATCGTTCTGGTTCTCACGCTCTGGTGGATTTGTTCGGTTCAATCACAATTCATCGATTTCTGCAAGAGAAGGCGTTGATATATTTTGGTGTTTCGCAAGCAGGCACAACTGAGGCATAGAAGGCTTTTTGTTTTCCTTTGGAGTCAACCTTTCTTCGGACGGTCGCAACGCTTCTTTCCTCTAGGCTCTTGTTACTTGAACATCGCGTCTATCTTGCACTGGCTACTCGATCTACGAAAAGGTTGCGCGCGACTCAAAAGATCTGTGTCTCTTTGCTTGTCACTTTCTTGCAGGAGTCACGGCGATTTTTCAAAACAAGGCGGCTATGCTACAACGAAGGCGAGCGACATGAGTTTTCTCTTTCAGCCATATGGAATCATGGCTTTTGTAGGATTATGAGGAGGAGAGATATCTGAGTTTGTGTGTATAGGAAACAGAAGAGAGCAAAACCAGTCAAGCAGAGCAAAAAAACAAGGCACGAAACAATCGAAGGTATTTTCTTCTGATCTAAAATATTGATCGCTGTATGGGCGAGTCTTGACGTGGATACACGTTTTGTGGTGTTGGGCACTTGCACATCACGCCCTGCCATCTCCCAGCCTCTCCCGTGTCCAGCAAGCAGGTTTTCCCATCATCACACTGCATCTTTTGACTCTCCCCTCGTGTACCTGCATCTTTCTCTACCTCCTTCTTCTCCTTTGCATATTGCTCCACTGGTTGAGGCTATTCTGCAATCGCTCATCCATATCTCTGGGATTTGAGACCTCGAACCTTTTTCGTGTTGTTTGAACTCTGGCAACCCCGCCAACCAGCCACTTGGGATCTCTCTTGCCAAGGATATCACAATCGCATATCACGTTTTTTTTCTTAGACTTGCGACAACGGCTTCTGGACCTACTCAACGGGGATTTGGGATAGCCGTTGTGACTGTCGCGGCTTTTGTGCGAGACGAATATCTCGAAAACAGTCTCTCGGAGCGACGAAGATCGAATTCTTCTTGTTGATCATCACGGTATCAACACGGCCAATTCTCTCACGCCCTGGAGACAACGCACAACGAGCTTCACTCTTTTTGCAAACTCAACTGTGAAGGACGAAAACCGGCATCTCTGGAAAACTAATCCTCACTTCTTCTCACTCGGAGCCAGCAAATCGCACGAACCTCTCACTCGATCGACCGTCATAACTATCTTGACCATCTTCTTCTCAGCAACGATTGTCCCGTCTTCTCAACAACCTTTGATCAAACCCGGGACAAACCACGAAATATGGCACGCACAGAAACCACAGTCTCGCGCGAACGCGTCACAGTAATCCGCCGCTACCCCTGGCCCGAGAACCTGCTCAATTGGTGGACAATCGTCATGCTAGCTACCGGCGGCTTACTCACTGGCGTCTTTGGCGACTTTATGAGTATACAAAACCGAATGGGATTGGGCACGCCATGGCTGTTTCCCTATGCCGTCACTGTGGGCTCTCTCACCATCTTCTTTGTCATTCTCATGATCATTCTTCTGGCGCAGAAGAAACTTCAACCGGCATGGGTGTTGCTGGGGAGTTTTATCTTGATTGCTCTCTTCCTGGCCGGTCTCATCGAAACAGCAATCCAGTTGTTTGGAAATGTGCGTTTCATCTTGTCTCTTATCTTTTCTCGTTTGTCTTTTCTCCTGCTAACACAAGTGACANNGGGCAATGTATCCACCTACTGCAATCGCTACGTCAACAACAACAATATCCGCGGCGTCAGCATCGATACTCTGGCTTGGCTGGAGCAAAACTCCATCTGCTCGCAGTGGGATGCGGCATTTGCTTTCTGGATCATTGGCTTGGTCTTCTTGATCTGGATGATGGTTATGGCTGCTCAGGTGAATAACAAGCGTGGTTTTTATGAGTGATGTTTTTCCTTTGCGCTCATGATTTTACCTTTTGGAGAAATGATGTTTCTGTTGCATACCCCTTGGTTTTTCTTCTTTTTGTTCATCTGTTTCTTTCTTGTTGCTTGTTTTTGTTGGTTTGATCTGAGTATAATGGTCTCACGAGACTATGATGTTTAATAAAATTTCGAGGGAAAGAGTACAGTACAGGACTTGTTTCCTGATATATACATCTTAACGAAACAGGTTCTATATACACAGCACTTTATACCTCTGCCCAACTTCGGAGACTCATACATCCGTGGGATGTAAGAGCAGAGGGCGCTATAATGAAACAACTATACCTTCTATATACCTGTTACAAGTCTTTCGAGACACCACGTTCTTGCCATGTCAATAGGCCAACTTTCTTCTCTTTTCCTTCTCTTTTCCTTTTCTTTTCCTTCTTTTTCCGTCTCTTTTCCCTGAATCTCTACTTCTTTCTTTCTCTCATCTCTCTCTATTTTTCCCCTTTCTACACTTTTTCACATCACTCTCACACACCTCCTTTTCAGCAAATTTTAACACTAACACTTCTTGGCCCCACCACAGATCTCGCACCTCAACTCCAAATCCACAATTTCGACAAGACGCTGGTATTACTTTATCGACAAGCCTTTTCTGCACCAAAACTGTGCTTGCAATCACTCTTGCAATCACTCTTGCAAGTTTGAAGATCTGAGGGAAGAAGAAGCGGTCGTAGCAGTGGTAGAGCTACTAGAGAAACTAGTGGGGATGTTGAAGTTGGAGATGTTGGAGGTGGTGGACAGGGTGGTTATCCAGTCAATCATGCTTGTTGTGATGGTGGCAAGAAGCGCGAGAAGAAAAAGGGACATGGTAACAGAGAAGGTTGGTGGTGGAGAGCTTAGATTGTGTTTGGCGACAAGGGAAGATACCAACGAAAGGAAGATGCAAGGATGAGATGGCGAGAATTAAGATGCCCTGCAAGGAGGATACAAGACGAGATGAAGGGATGAAAGATTGTATATGCTGATGCCGACGACTGTAGCTCGGGTTGCTACGAACGAGCGTTATATACACATCAGAACAGAGAGGAACCAAGAACGAACGTCTTCAGGCATACCCTGCTCCGCCTTGACTCGTATATTGTACAACCAATGAGAGACGACACCACTCTTCTTCCTGCAATTCAAACCACCCTCATCACCGCTGACCAAGCAATCCCATTGAGAGAGCTGGCAGCAACATCGTCCAACACCTCCTTGATGACTCTAAAGTCTTGCTGGACGCTGGATCTCCAGTTCGAAATGGCGAACCTGCATGCTGATTCACCCTGCCAAGTGGTTCCTGACACGTAGATTTTTCTTGTGGTGTTGATCTNTTTCACCAGCGTCTTGTTCAGGTCTGCATTGATTGCTTTGAACAAGACAATGATAAAGATATTCTGCTCGTTGAAGCCATCTTCGTGGCACTTAGAGGGAAGAAGTTTGTAGGCATCACTTGCATCAACGTAGGCGGCGATTTGACGAGCGAGTTCAATCTGACGTTCGAGCATTTCGACAAATCCTTCTCGTCCGTAAGCAACCAGATTTGCATACACGGGCAGAGCTCTGAACCGTCTCGAGTTCTCAATGCCAATGTTGAGCGGTGAAGGTACGGCACCATTAGAGGCATTCAAGTATGGCGCGCCTGGGTTTTGGAATACAGCTGTAGCATTTTCCAGGCGTTTGGAGAAGAAAATGCCGCAGTCGTAGGGAACATTAAGTAGCTTGTGTGCATCGGCAGCTATTGAGTCTGCGAGATGAAGCCCACCTGCACCTTCCTTCAGATACTCGTACTCTGGTGCGGATGGAAGGATCCTAGCAAGTAGACCAAATGCTGCATCCACGTGCAGCCAGGCACCGTGTCGAGTAGCCAGGGTACGGAGGCGACGCATAAGGTTCTGGTCGGTAGCGAAGAGGCCGCTGTTGACTTCAGAGCAAGATACTGAGATGATCGTAGCTATGTTTCTGCCTGCCGTCTGTAGTACCTCTTCGAGCTGTGCCATAGCAAATGTGTAAGGGTTATTCACCTCATCTTCGCACATAGTCTTCACACTATCATGTCCAAGACCAAGAATAGACGCCGCTTTCTTGAGTGAGCTATGAGGTGTGGTAGTCAGAACACGAACTTCGTCAATACCAGCAGCTCGCATGGCAGCGAAAAGACCTTGGGATGAAACATCTGCCGTGACACCGCGTCGAGCTGCGGCAGTCTTGACGATATGCTCACGAGCACAAGCAAGGCCGAGTATATTGGATGCCGTAGCGCCTGTGGTGAAGGTCCTGTGCTTCCATACTGTCGAATCTAGACGAACCAGTTCACACACCATGTCCAAGGCAGCGGCCTCGACGTCTGTGGCTACGGTCTCCTCGGGTAGATGTACTTGAACGTTCTGGTCGTACTCGGTGACCATATTGTCGGCGAAGATGGCAGCAGGAGTTGCGCCTCCAGTCACAAANNAGCCATAGTAGCGGGAGGATTGGCTGTTCCCATTGAGAGCAGGAGCAACGTCTTCATACAAATGCTGTTTGGCGGCTTCGACCCCAAGTCCGCGAGGAGGAAGCTGCTTGTGTAGGTTGTTCAATGATTGAGCGATCTGCGAGGGAGAAGGCAGCACATCCTGAGGGGCTGCTGTTGCTCCTTTTCCATGGTTCTGATGATGTAGGAAGAGTGGATATTGCTGATGTGTTGGAATGATGATAAGCTATGCTACGACAGTGGTCGATGAGTCAATGTTCAACAGATGCCCGATTGATGTTGACTTTTGACCAAGCGGTTCTTTCAAATGTATTGCATTAGAAGGTGCTGTGGACGCTAAGATGAGTGGCTGGAATCGCTTTTGCTCCTTCACAAACACGCAAGCGAGTTTCGGGAACGGTACAATTTTAGGCAACAGCATGACCGCAGATACAAGCTGCGAGTGACAAAACCAAAAAAGCACTACTTATCAAGTACATTGCCACATGTACGTTGATCCATGTTCCAATGTTTTCAATACATTGTTGTAAAACACTAAACGGAAAAGACGAACAGGGTGGGTCAGTTGACGAGGGTGGCAGTGCCAAGAGATCGACCCCATCGGGTTAGCGCAAGGCACGTGAGATGGCGGACAAACGCGGGCAGTCGCGTCCGTCGCGATTCGAGATTCGAGATTCCAGAACGGATTGGTCGAGTAGGAACAGGCGCCACTCGAGAGGAAACAGTCCATGTCGAAGGAGCAAGACAAGCGACATCAACTATTCGTGATGCTCAATGACTAAGAATAATCTCCGCGAGCAGCTTGGATGGTTGCTACAGGAAAACCCGTGTATCCCCAAACACTCGCCGTCTCTACCACCAGTACCTCTATCCTTTGGACCTTCTTCGCAAACGCAGCTTTCACAGACCGTAATCAGGAATGACAATCCACTACCGACACGTTCATCGACCCAGACAACGCGTCTGACCGCTAGAAACACTGCAGCAGAGCAAGAGAGACCGAATCCCTCCACGCGTGGCGAGCCCAGTGCGAATATGGCTAGGTTGAGAGCCGCAGCCTCGTCCTCTCCTACCAAGCCTGCTCAGATATCTCTCCCCGAGAGGTCGTCCCAATCGTCAACCAGACCAGCCATCTCCAACCTGTCTCATCGTCTTAATTCGTATGCTCAATCACCTGCTCCGCGAACCGCTGCACCTTCGGCCAACATGTCTCGAACCACGCCTGCATTGCCCTCGAAGGTTGATACTCTCGACCTCACCGAAGANCTTTTGCCAACCCCGGCTCGGCTGTTTTCAAACTCGAAAGGTCAAAAGAGAAAGAGCGATGAACACAGAGCCGACACATACAATCGATCGTCCTCGAAGGCACCTCGTCTGGAGACGATCCAACAACCAGATGACGACGACGACGATAGTTTTATGTCTATCGATGATTTGGTAGACGAAGAACCCATTGGCCCACCTCCTCCATATTCCACCGTCGCACAATCACCGGCCAAGCGTCCGGCACAACCGCCTGTACCGTCTTCGAGTTCTACCATGGGCCCTCCGCCACAAGAGAGACGAGTCAAGCGCCAAGTATTGGATAGTGAAGATGAAGATATGGAGGATGTCCACGAGAGTGTACCTGAGCCACGTCTGCCTTCTCCCGTCAAGTTGAAGCAACCATCGGTATCCCCAAGGAAACCATTGCAAACTCCCGCGCTAAGTCGTGTTGCTCAATCACCTGCCATCGGCTCACAATCACCTGGCCTTGCACCGCTGTCATCGAGTGAAGATGCTCTCATCAATAAATTCTTGTCCTGGACTCAAGAAGACTTCGAGTCGAAGCTGGCCGAGGCTGGTGATCGACACGCACAAGCCACGGACGACTACATGGCGGCCATGGAGTCTCTGGCTATCGATGAGGTACCGGCTCATATCTCCGAGGCCTATGAGCAGGCAGGTGAGGTCGAGGAAGCTTTGAAGAGCTTGAAAGACTTCAAAGATAGACTTGATGCACTGGACTTTGAGATGAAAAACATCTCGGATCTTATGAGAAAGGCTCTACTTGCTCGACAAAAGCCCACCAGAGAACAGCAAGAGATGAAACAACTCAAGCAACGCATTCGCGATACGCATACCGATATCTTACCGCTTCTTCAGAATCTCGAGTCTGCTGGTCTCATGTCCACCTTCAAGAGACCCGCTGCTGTCACTGTCAAGTCGACTCAGGCTATGCCCAGGGCGAAGACCGAGGTCTCAAGAAGCCCCGGTCCCGAAAGGATCAAGCAGACTCAGCTTCCCAATGGCAGGAGCATCGAGATATTTCCCGGTGTCGAGGACACTCCACCCAGGAGAAAGATCAAACATGAGCCAGATGTGGAGGACCCCAGCGTGATGGAGATTAGTCCGCCTCGTCACTTCCCGGAAAGAAAAGTGTACCACTCCGACACTTACAATGCTCCACTCTCCCCTTCAAAGCGAAATAACACAACTACCGTCAGTCGCGAAGTCTCAACGAAACCGACAACCTCGACTAGAGATTTCGTCCAGTCTCATAGACACAGTGACAAGGAGAACTATGGAGTACCCGACGAATTTGACGAGTTCGAGGAAGAAGACGAAAACCTCTTCAGCAACATTATGGGCACGCCTCCAGCGCAGACTATTGACGAAGACAACTACGATGACGAATTTGGTGATGACGAAGATCTTATGGAACTTGCGACCGAATTTGAGGATCATTCAACCTTCCATGGTGTATCTCGTCAGTCCAATGACCGATCTGCGGTTGGTCAAGTCTCGCATGTTGCTAAGCCACGACCAAAGAAGAACACTCCTGTCAAAAGACCGAAAACGCTTGACGAAGAACTGGGTGATTATCCATGGACCAAAGAAGTCAAGAATGGACTTGTGAAGGTTTTCAAATTGCCAGGATTCCGATTGAACCAGGCTAATGCCATCAACGCCACACTTGCTGGTAGACACGTCTTCGTGCTTATGCCCACTGGAGGTGGCAAATCCCTCTGCTATCAACTCCCAGCAATTGTCAAATCAGGAAAGACATCGGGCGTCACTCTCGTCGTTTCTCCACTGCTGAGTCTCATGGAAGATCAAGTCTCGCATCTGAGAGCCCGCAATATTCAGGCGTTTTCTCTCACTGGCAGCACCTCGATGGATGAGCGTAGAGAGATCACAAGCACCTTTACAAGATCCGACGTACAGGACTTCGTACAAATGCTCTACGTTACGCCAGAAATGTTGAACAAAAGCGGCATGATGAAGACAGCGTTCAAGGATTTGCACCGAAGGGGAAAGCTTGCGAGAATTGTCATCGACGAAGCCCATTGCGTCAGTCAATGGGGGCATGATTTCCGCCCTGACTACAAAGAGCTTGGTATGGTCTTGACTGACTATCCCGGTGTGCCCATCATGGCCCTCACAGCCACTGCGACCGAAAATGTCAAAGTAGACACCATTGGCAATCTCGGTATCAGTGGTTGCGATGTCTTTTCACAAAGTTTCAATCGTCCAAACCTCAGTTACCATGTTGACACCAAGCCCAAGAAGTCAGTGCTCCTTGACACAATCCAGGAGATCATTGAGGATAAACACAAGAACAAATGTGGTATCATCTACTGTCTTTCGAGGAAGCAATGCGAAGACGTCGCTGGAGAGCTTCAAGGACGCCGCATCAAGGCCCACCATTACCATGCTGGTATGGAGCCCGAAGCAAAAAGCGACGTTCAAAGGAAATGGCAAAAGGGCGAGATCAAAGTGATTGTGGCAACCATCGCGTTCGGTATGGGTATTGACAAGCCAGATGTCCGCTTCGTCATTCACCACACAATCCCGAAGAGTCTTGAGGGCTACTACCAGGAGACTGGCCGTGCTGGACGTGATGGCGCAGCTTCAGATTGTTATTTGTTCTATGGAACCCATGACTTGTTCACCTTACGAAAGATGATCGACGAAAACAAGGACGGCAGCAAGGAACAAAAAGATCGTCAACATGATATGCTTCGAAGGGTTGCTCAGTTTTGTTTGAACAATACGGATTGTCGTCGCGTCCAAGTCCTTGCTTACTTTGCCGAGAGCTTCTCCAAAGAAGATTGCAACAACAAATGCGACAACTGCAACAAAACAGAAGAGCTGGTTGAAGTTGACTACACTGAGCTCGGCCTTGCTGCAGTCGAGCTTGTCAAAGAGGTCGCCTCTGTTCGCAATGTCACTCTTCATCAGTGTCTTGATCTGTTCCGAGGCACTGGTCGTGGTATCACCGCCGAAGACAAGGAAGCTGAGAATTTTGGGGCGGGCAAAGATCTTGATCGAGAGAACGTGGATCGTCTTTTCGGTCTTCTGTTGGCTGAGGACGTTATTCGCGAATTTTCTGTCTTCAACAAATCTAAGTTCGCTAATCAATATCTCACACTTGGACCAAAAAGGCACATGTTCGGGCATGGCCGCGGCAAGCAGAAGCTGATGCTCCATGTGCCAGTGTCAGCAGCAGGTTCAAAGGCTACCAAACGCAAACAGAAGGTCGCAACGGGTACCGGTGTCAAGGCTTCCAAAGCGGCCAAGAAAGGCCAACAGTATCCTTCGACCAACATATCGTCCCCTGTCCAAGCAGGGCCAAGTCGTAAGCGTGGTGGTCTTACATACAATGGCTATGAGGAGGACACCTTCATTGTTGACGATCCCGATGAGGACGAGGACTATGGAGACTCCGAGGCCGAGGATGATGCTTTCGAGCCTGTTCGAACAGACATGAACTCCCGCTCTCGTGGCCAGAGAGAGCTCGGTGCACCGATAACCAGGGACGAAGCTCTTTACAACTTGGATGAAGTTCACCAAGATGTGATCGCGGCGTTTGTTCAGCAAGCCAAAGAACAGTTGCTGGATCTCATGAAGAAGAAGAAGCTGCGCCAACAACCATTTTCTGATACCATGCTGCGCGAGATGGCCATCAAATTCCCCAGGAACATGGCTGCAATGAAGGGAATCCGAGGAATCGACAATGCCAAAGTCGATTGCCACGGTGCAAGTCTACTTCCTCTAATCGCACATTACAAAAAGCAACTCGACGAGATGCAAGGTTCAGAAGACAAGCCATACGATCCCAACCATGCCACAGTCATCCTGATCGACAGTGACGACGATCAGGACGATGACGAAGACGAGTTTGCGTACGATGAAGGGCTTAGTTCTGAGCCCGAAGCCGCAAGTCAAGGAAGACAACCCGAAAAACAATCTTCATATTTCAAGCCCAGTCGTGAAGTCGAAGCATTCAACGCTAGATTCTCACAGTCACAGGCTGCACCTCGAGCAGCTGTGCCACCGCCCAACAAGCGTGTCCGTGCCGAGTCTGGTGGCGCCAGGTGGAATGGCAAGAAAGCAGCTGCCCGTCGGTCCAGTTTTGGGAAAGGCAAATCCGCTGCTGGAGGAGCGGTCAAGAAACGTGCACCAGCTGCGAAGAGACAGAATGGTATCACCTCGAAGTTCTCGTACAACAACGGTGCTGGTCCTTCCAAGAAGGGAGGAGGCGGTGGCACTTCTAGTGGAATTGGCATGATGCCTCTGTGAGGAAATTCTCGTATCCGTCATCGTTTTGTTCTTGCTTTACTATGGATTGGTGGCAGGGGTTGAAGGGTGTTGTATTGCTTTTCCATTGTGCATTGTTCAGGTGTTTGGCTTCAAGAAGCGGTCGTCAGATTTCATTGCTTGCCTATTTTTCATAGACCTTCTTGTGAGCTACGATATTCGGAACTTGACAGAGTTCTTCAGCCATCAAGTATCAGGGACACATTTGCTTGGGCTCTGCTTGTTGTACGTGCTTGTGAACTCACGTCTGAGCTCTCAGCTAGGAAACTGTTCTTCAGGTCTTTACTCTGGTCGACATGGACGATTGGCGGAGACGATCATCGTGAGGAATTGATAAAAATCCATTTCGGGTGCGAGAACATGGGCCTGCGGCAAGACATGTTTTTGGTAGGATCGAGCTATATCTATTGTGCGTTCTACTCCGAGTCGTGGTCATCAAAATACGCTACGAATACCGGACAAACATACAATGGCGCCAAGTACACTGTCGGATATTCATACACCTTTACTAATGCTACAAACCCTGGCGTACCAAACAAGCCTGGTGCAATCTATCAAGCCCGAGACGAGTTGAATGCCAACACATTACAATCACACTGCTCTGATTTCCTGGGCTATACCATGCCACTTACGACTATCACTTCTACCACGACCATCAGCCCGTCCACAACATTCATGAGCGTCGAAACAGTCACCGTCACCAGTTCGCCCTCAACGACCATTTCAGATATTCAAACAGCATATATTACCGCATCTTCCTCGACTACTGAACTCGACGTCATTACTGCTACCAGCTCAATCACCATAGTAGTAGGAGATGCCCAACCGGAGAAGAGACAGGCCCTTGACCACAAGGAGCGTGCTGCATCAGTGCCGGCTGTCTTGTCCAAATACCCATCCAGCGTCATTGAGTCTGCCTGTTCCTTGGTTGCAACGCTGATGACAAGCACATCCACGATCATACTAAACGCAACGACAACCGCTCCAGTGAACAATCTTGCCTCGGTTTCCACTGCGACAACTGAAACAACTGCCGATGTCTCCACGATCACTTCTCTATCCACTCAGACTATTCAAGTCACTCTGCCTGTGGTCACGATCAGTTCTGTCTCGACTACGACCATCATGGTTACAATCAAGTCCACAAGCTTTTCGACCACGAGCTCAACCTTTGATAGCATCACATCTACAAGTGCCACTTCGTCAGCGGCAGTTCAAACCTTAAATACCGTCGCGAGTTGCGATTACAACGGCCAAAAGTTCACAGCCGGTAAGTTGATAACCTTAGAATCTTTCAATCCAGGTTCTAAACATTCTCGTGTAACGAATGGTGCTGATCTATATCTCTATACAGCCGACGGAAGTCAATTTCTCATTGCATGCAACAAAGACTACTCTGGGACGGACAGCAACATCGTCGACATCAACCCCGTATCCGCAAGCTCGTACGATGGTGGTCTGTCTCTCTGTACTGCTCAAGGCAGCGCCTGCGTTGGAATTACCTTTGGTACATTTGGTGGATCTAGTCCGCAATGCTACCTCAAGAGAAAGATGTCGCCTGCTTCTACTGTCTCAGCTTACGTTGTGGACTCCGCCATACGCCTGACGGGCCCTAAAGGGGCGAGTCAGTCGCTTCTCACTAACGGCAATTTTGAAACTTGGTGATCTTACTGGGTGGACCGGGCTGGGTCTCCCGAAGTATTCGGTTGCAGAAGGCGCGGCGCAAGTCTTGTATATTTCTTTCCAATCACAGATGAGCTAACATATACATAGCACTATGGCTTTCTCTCTCATCAGAACAATGGCCATGCAAACAGTCTCCGGCGTCTTGAGGCAACCCTTTTCTCCCGCACCATCCTCATATATGAACGGCTAATACGCTCATGCTGATGTGGTCGTGAACCTGGCAGGCGTTACCCCAAGACAAGGTATCAAATATAACGACGCCTGCTCGGTAAGTCTCAACAGTGATGCTGGCGTGCTCTACTCAGGGCGCTTCGACTACGACTTCAAAAAGGCTGCACCGTCCATAAGATTGAAGATCGATGTCAGTGGCACGTTCACAAAGGTTCCGACATACCTGTCCCTCCAAACTTCATGCTCAGGAAACTATGACATGACCTCCACGTTTGACAACGTGGTCCTCAATGTCTTCGAGGCTACGACCAGCGCCAACGCCATCGTGGCCAAACCCAAGCAGGTCATTGTCAACGGCGATTTCTCCAGCGGCGCCAATGGATGGACATGGTCATCAACCAGTACTCGCTCGAGCTTTGACGGATCCAATGGCCAAGGTATCGTTCGCTTCGGCGGCCTAGACTCCTACTACACAGCGCCCACATCCATCATCCAGACGGTACCACTCATCGAGCTCGGCCAGACCTTTAGCCTTTCCGCCGAAGTATGGGCTCAAGTCCCAAGCGGAACCACATTTCTGATTGTCCTTTATGTCGGCAACGTTGCGGCGTGGAAGATGGACAATATCGGTGGGTATCAATCCTGGAACCTCAGAGATCTAAAGGGCGTGGCCAATCACGACAATACTTCGTTCAGTTTCTACTCTACCTGTACGGGTACTGCTGTCCCTACTCTTGGGTTTGATGATGTTGTTTGTTGGTACAATGTGTAAAGTTTATGTAGCGAGCGAGTATTTGGTTTCTTTGATGCTTTGCCGGGATACTATTAGAATCGGCAAGAGGCCAATAGGATTACACCAGACACCTGGGAAGGCAGGGCGATGGATGAACTATTCTAATCCTCGGAGTATAACAAGTAATCGATATATGCGGCCCTGTTACCAGCGTATATGTAGTGATAATTCAAACCTCCCCGATGAGATCAGGAAAAACCAGTATCATAAGTCTTGACCACAATTGCACAGTATATCCTCCGAACCAGAAGCGCTGGTTTGATGGAGTTGCGTTCGGCTCATCAATGTGGCCTTTACTTCCAAGCAATTCAGTCGTTCTTAAGAGAGCGCATCTTAACCGTGGCCTCAAGAACATCGCTCAACTGATCTTCCAGCTTCCTCCTCGCCTGCTCATATTTGCGATTTTGGCCTCTTTGACTAAGCTCAGCCCGGAGGAACTGTATAGATGCATTCGTGGATCCATCTTCTCGCTCACAGAATCCACGGTATGTATGGTAGTACATGCCTTTCCGAACCACCTAATGGTAGCATGTTTGATGTTGCAATTTGACAGTGATGCGAGGTTGGCTAACGAGCTTTGGGAATTCGAATTGCCTTGGAGAATAAACAAGCGCGATGCAACACGCGCACTAACCTTGTCACATTGGAGGCAACACTTGCTCATCTCACCTTGTATGAGGTGAAAAACGCCACGAAACAACACCTCGAATGCACGAACAGTTTCCAACACCATGCAAAGCAAAGAAGCGGTGCTATGGCAGTCAGATCCAGGTACTTCCACAAGCCTCTAGGAATTGTTCCAAGGCTTCAGATGATCTGTGTCCTTGGGATGACTTTCATACTTGGCTTCTAGCTCTTACTCGCGTCGGCGCTCCTCTGCTCGTTCTCTCTTGAGCTTTTCGAGATCAGACCAAATACCCACGGACTCAAGAGTCTCTTCGTCGCCTTCATAACAATTGACGCGAGCTGTGGGAACCGCAGCACGCAATCTACCATCGCCGAGAAAACGTAGTCTTCCATATCGGAGTCGCTGGACTCGCCAATGCAGAGTGTATCAAAGCTAGCTTCGCCTGGGTAGTAATGTTCAGAGGAGAGATCCCATCTGCCTTTCAAATCCCACAGGCGTCGATTCTCTAGCTTGAAAATTTGATTGCAACTTTTATTCTTGTGCAAGTGTTTCTGCTTCTTCTCCTTGAGCCCATTGCATGGCTGCCTCGTAAGCCGCAGCATCTTGAGCGCCTTCTTCATCCTGGGATTCAAAAGAGTTGTCGGAGTTCTTGTCGTAGTCATTTGTTTCGCCCCTACCGTCGTCATATAATAGATCTCCTGGGCTACATGTGGCGAAGTAATTGTGATGTTGTTGTTACGTGGTTGGCGGTATACAACCAGATTTTGGAAGCGAGATTCCTTGAAGTCGAAGAACATCTCCCGACTGGGGGCTTCAACACTGTTGCCCTTGCTGACACCCCTGCTTAAAAACCTCACCCCCACCCCATCTGGCGCGCTTCTCTTTGCTCGAGATCTTGACAACTTCGACGATGATGCACACTGGAACAAAGACACACGCCCACGGTATTGAGCAGCAACATTGTTGTTCACCATGCAAACAAACTGTCGCTCGAGATACCGAATGGCCCAGTACAATAGCTACGCACGTAAATCGAACACCCACGAGATGAGGTTTCTGACTTCGAACCGGCGCCTCTTCGCTTGATAGCGCAGCCTCACAACCACACCAGCGTAACCATGAGAACGCGTGTTCGTTTCTCTTCGTCTTCCAGCGAACCTCGCTTCCCGCCATCGAGGTCAGACAAGATCATCCGAAACAAAACTCCGTCATCAACGTCGGGAACCTGAAGATCAAGGCACCCAAGAAAGTAGGTGGTATGCTGACCATGCCTATCTTCCACCGTCTTCATTTCCTGTCCTTCCTGATTGGGACAAGGCTTGCTATATGGGGGAACGCCAGGGTCCCCTTCAACGGCGCATACCAATCTTATTTCTCCACATGCTTGCCCTCTTTAAGCATTTTTGTATTGTGGTATGCGATTCCCATTGGTTCTGGAGGCGGCGACGTCGTTTGGCGGATTGGGTAGAATTCATAGAGTTCGGGAGATTTGGTGCCGTGGAGTGGAAAAAGGTGAGTTGGTGGAAGACTATATATTGGACGATGATCCGCGGTTTTGTGTTATTTTGCTTGCTCTACTTTTTACTCCTTGCTGGCACTCATACACCATCTGGTCTGGAAACACACAAAGCCGCAAACATGAAGTACAACCTCGCACTCGCTGCTTTGGCCACCGCCATCGCTGCCTCGGAGCACCCTCTTCTCGCTCGCCAGACCGACAACACCGCAGACTACATTCAAGAAGTCTGTTTCCCCAACTCTACTTCGCCGGTGCCTCCCTGCCAGGCTATCATCAATATCGAGTCTGCATGCCAGCCCAACGGCACCAGCTCTCTCGCCTACCAAGCCCACCAACAATGCATGTGCAACGGCGGCTACTTCCCCAACTGGCGCGGCTGCCTGAACTGCCAATACGTCCACGGCACCCGCAGTGAAGCCGTCGCCAAAGCAAACGAGAACATTATCGCTTCTGCCTCATCACAATTCTGCGGTACTGCTACACCCACAGCAGTGTTTGCAAGCTACTTCGCCGCTGTATCGGATGCTAGCCCTCAGCCTGCTAGCGGCGCTGCCACCACTGTCAGCGATCAATTCCCTAGCCAGAGTGCTGTAAGCCTTTACTACACTGCCACTGGTAACCAAGGTCCTGGCGCCATTACTGGTAGTGCTGCTCAAGCTACCGCTGCGGTTTCTTTCAGTGCTGCTGCTTCGGGATCGAGCAGTGGGTCCCTGGCTGCCAGTGCTGCCACCAGTGGTGCCACTACAAGCAAAGCTTCGTCCACTGGCTCGAGCAGCAGTGCTAGACAATCGAGCAGCTCGGCACACTCCTCGAGCACTGGCTCGCAGACTGGCTCTTCGACTGCAGCTTCTTCGTCGGCGGCTGCCCACACCGGTGCTGCCAACGCTGTTGTTGTCAGTGAGGGATTACTCGCTGTTGTTGCCGGAGCCATGATGCTCATGTAAACCATAATAGATGATGAGGAAGAGTACTAGATGATTGGATGTAGATGTAGTAATGTCTTATTGAAATGCCCAGTTGCACGAAAAAGAAAATGCTCAAGGACAACACCGCTTCCCAGGTCATACATAACACTGTTTTCGTGTCTTGGTCGTTCCCTCGCAAGTTCCCATCATGTTCCTAGAAGGCAGAGCTCGATCTGGGCTAGGTGTGTCCAACAGGGGGGGAGGCTACCGGCATGTGGAAACCTGGTGTGGCGATGGCGAACCCTATTGTCATCCTGGACACTGCTTACCCGACTCCAACAGAAGATGTGGACAAGTCTTCGTGTCTAATGGCAGTGACCCCAGGGATGTTCTTCAGTTTGATCCTCCGACAAAAGCTTCAGCTTGACGGGTTTACATTGCCTCTCGCCAGTGACAGAGGATCTGACAGGACTGGCTTTGCACGGAAATTGGGGGCGTCGGTGTTGCTTGCAGGATAATGTTACTTTTGTATTGTGTCAAAAAGAAAAAGTCTAGATGAAGAGAAAATTGGTCCGATCGAATGCAAAAAAAAAAAAGATTACGATGTCCACGTCTCTAAGCTTCATTACTTTTTATATCTCTAAAAAAAGATTCTATACCTTCAACTCCGCACCAATCTCCTCAATAGCCTTGACCAGCCCTTCCAGAGTCCCCTCCTCGTCGCAGGATTGACAACAACCCTGAAAAACTTGCCTTCCTCACCAGGCGCATAATCAACCATAAAGCCCCTAGGAATAAGCTTCTTGGTAATACTCTCCGTAATCTTGCAGTTCTTATCTGCAGCCCCATCCTGCTTGTTATAGTAAAAGCAAACCTGCCAACACGGAGGCGGATTCTCCGATACCAGCGAAAAGGCAGGATTAGCAGACACCAAATCAGCAAGAGTGGCAGCAGCGGAAAATGCAGAGTCGATGGAAGCTTCGAAGCCAGAGGAGCCATAATAGATCCAGGATAAAGCGAGTTTGAGCGCGTCACCTCTGCGTCCGCATTGAGGGGTCAAGTCTGCGAGATCCCAGATTTCTGCTTCGGGGCGAGAGACATCGGGTTCAGAGGCTTCGGTGGTGTTTGCGGCGGAAGCGTCTTCGTCGGAGTCGCTGTGGAAGAGGTAGCCGGCTGGTAGTGTCATTGCGCGCTGGAATTGACGCATGTCTTTTCCGAGTAGGAAGGAGCAAGTCATGGGTACCGAAAGCATTTTATGCGGTGTGACGCCAATGCTGTCTGCTCTTTCCACTCCTTCGAGCTTGTGTTTGTGGGTGGCAGAGAAGATGACGGGGCCGCCCCAAGAGCCGTCAATGTGGAGCCAGAGTTTGTGCTTTTCGCAAACGTCGGCGATGGGACCGATGGGGTCGTAAGAGCCAAGGACAGTGGTTCCAGCAGTTGCATTGACGTAAAAGGGAACTTCACCTGCATCCTTTGACTTTTGCACTGCTTCGTCGAGAGCAGAGGGGAGCATACGGCCCTGCTTATCCACCGCAACTCCAATGACAGCAGAAGATCCGAATCCAAACATTTGCGCCGCCTTTTCCAGCGAATAATGTCCATGAGCAGAAGTAAACAGAGTAAATCTGCGGCCATTGATACCGTCCGTCTTTGTCTCCGGGTGCAAAGTGTTTCTCGCAATGGCAATGCTCGTTGCATTGCTAGCCGAGCCTCCAGGCTGCGAAATACCACCTCCATGTGCGCCGCCAAAGCCAAAGAGTTTAGCCAATACCTTACTCGTCGTCTTTTCCACAATCGTCAATGCAGGAGATACCTGATAGACATGCAGGTTCGTGTTTAGCACTGCGAGAAGCAGTTCGCTAACCACGCCAACGGCATTGGTGGAGGCATATAGTTTATCCATGAACCCTTGATCCCAAGTGTTGACACTGTACTTGAGCAGCTTTTGCACTACATCAAGTAGTCCTTCTTTTCCAGCAGAAGACTCGGGAAGTTGGACGTCGAAGAGAGACTTTAGCTTGTTTGGAGGATGGTATTCGACGAGAGCGGTTCGGGGTCCTTGTCCTTCGATGGCGAGACCGTGACCAGTGTGCTTTGTTGCTGCATCCTCGTCTGCAGAGCGAATGAAAGGGATGATGAGTTCTTGTATCGAGTTAAGGAGCTATAGTGCTTCCATGTCAGTCACAGCTACTTTCCTCCGTCTTGAGAGCTTACTAACATCGTTGACCTCCTCGGCTCTTTGCAATGGCTTCTCCTCAGCCGATCTAGAAGGTAAAGAAGTCATGTTGATTAAGAATACTCAATTGACAATTGACACGGAACGAAAAGTAGCGTGGGACCTTGGCTATATATATACAGATGACACCGGACAAAAATTATGTAGCTGACGACATATTAGTCTATGCGTTATCGCCGAATATCGCCGATCCTGCCCCTCCTTACCGCCGCTGTCTCACGGGCTTTGAAGGTCGGCGATGTTCTGACACCTCCATCCGTCAAGAATCTCCAAATCATCGACTCAGCTCACTGTGTCTGATTCATCTTTTGAGCTGGCTCTTACTGTGCCGGTGAGAGCGGCACGGGTATATGCTTTGAATGCCGGGGACACTGGTCACATTGTACATTTGCACCAGGGAGAACATCAGAAGTGAAAGTAGGAAGATTCCAGATAAATTCACCGTCAGAGGTTTGTTCAGAATAACTATATCTCAACCCTTGGGCACTGCAAAACAGAACAACTCCATTGTATCCATTCCCCCGCCATTTTAGATGATATGGATAAAAAACAAAATGCATCTATGCCTTGGTGATAGGGCTGATCGCATTGGCGCCAGAAGCATGCTTACTCGAGTTTGAGCTTCCACTCGGTCTGCTGCCTCCAGCCACATGCTTTTCCCTCGCTTGCTGCGATCTGGCCTTGTTGGCCGCATGCCTCTCTCTAGCCAACTGAATAGCCGACTTCTTTTCTGCTCCCTGTGCTTGAGGCGCAGCAGCAGATGCTTGTTGATTGGCATGCCAAGTCTTCTTGTTTGCATGTGTGTCTTTTGCATTCGCAGCCTTGAGATTCGTGTCGATTTCGGAAAAGGATTGGAATCCATCGTTGGAAGCCTTGTTCTTGGATTGCTTGACCCATTCGCCGCGGCGTCGTTTGTAGAGGTCCATTTTCCAGTTTTTCCATACGGCGCGGCCGCAGGGATTGTCGCGGAGGGCGGCTTCGTTTTCGTTGAGTTCTTCGGCGATGCGTTCGCGAATGAAGGCCAGGCCGTGAGTGCCTTCCCAGATGGCGTCGACCACGCGCGAGGCCTTGCTGTCGAGTGCCATTTCACCAATGTGGCCGAAGAATTGCTGGATCAGTTTTCGGCGGGAGATGATGGAGGCGTTGTGGGAAGTCATTGCGGCTTGGAGGGTGCGGCAGATGATGGTGTCGGATGCCATCTTCTGGAGTGTGGTGGGGGCGAGAGATGCGAGACTTTCAAGGATGAGGGCGGATAAGGCTCCAGGGACTAGGATCATGCATTGAGCGAGCAGGGAACCTTGCAGCTTGATGGTGTGTGGGTTTGCGCGCTCCTCGGCAATGTGTGCGGGCATGCCTTCGGGTGCTGGGTTGCCGTTGGTAGCTGATTCATCGACGCCGGGCTTGAGCAGTTTCACAATGTCGAAGCCTTCGGGGCCGTTGTATGCTTCGCTGAGTTGAACGGCGATGGCTAGGCTGTCAATTTCTCTGACAGCACATCTGGCGATCAAAGTCTTGATGACTGCGAAGCGGTTGCGCTCGAGCAGACTGGGGATCTGAGGGCAGATCTGCTCATGTGCTTCCATAAGATCATCTTTGCTCAATCTCTCGAGGACCTTGCAGGCAACGTAGCAAGCGATCTCGTTGCGAGCCAGCGATGCCATACGGTCCTTCAGCAGACCTCTGTACAGACTCTTAAACATCTTTCCAGGTGCATGTTCGACAATGCACTCGATGAGATGAGAACCGATGGGGTCGAAGAGGAGGCCATTGATGAATGAAGCGCTGTCACATTCGGGAGTGATTGGGTCGTCGGGAAGGAGGGTGTGGAAAATGGAGTTCTCGTCCTTTGCTTTTGACTTTCCAAAGTGGGTGAGCTCGAGTCTGATCAGCAGTTGCAAGGCAGGATTGCCGAGTTGATGTGTGGCAAGTGCGCGAAGGCTGGTTGTGTCGAGTCCAGAAACACTGGCAGTCATGAGCTTCTCGAGGGCCTCGATGAAGGACTTGGGGACAGGACGGCGGTCTTCCTTGTCCTTGGTTGTGGCATCCTCCTTGTCGTTGGTGTTACCATTGACGGTGACATGTTCCTTCTTCTTGCTTTGCATCAAAGACTTGTTGGTCGAGTCTGCGAGAGGTTCGCCGGCCAATACAAGGAGCAGGACGCGCAGTGTGTGCGAGGCGAAGCGGTCGGTCATGAGGAAACCAACATTGCCCTCCATCTCTCCGAGCGTGAACAGGAAAAGGTTCTCCATGCTGACATATACATCGCCATCTGCGGTCGTCTGGTCTTCAACCTTGGGCGGATGGAGGAGCTCTTCGGTGACGGCGGGTGCGGCTTGGATGAAGAGCTTTTCGCAACAATGCGAGGCAAAGCGATGTTGGAACAAGTGCATGAAGCTGCGAGGCTGGTCAGTTGTGTTGATACAAGTATTGCGCAAGAGCAGCAACTCACTTGCCGCTGAACTTCTGGAACAGCGTCTTGAGTTGGGCCGGTGTCGACAGTTGGATCAGTCTCTCCATCAGTCTTGAACATGATTGACTGTTGGCAATCTTGAGCTCCTTGCCATTGGCTTCGCGATAGACGTTGGCCAAGAACAGCGACCTCTCTTCTGCGTCGGCGAAGTTGTTCATCTCGAGCATCTCATCGGCGCGCTTGAAGTACTCCTGCTCTTCCTCGTCCAGCATACCGAAGAAGACCTGTTCAACAGGCGGGCCCTGGCCCTCGCCGTTCTGGTAATCGCCATTGGTGTATGCGCTGTCCTGTGGGAGTTCGACAAAGTCTTGCTGTTCGGCGGCTTCATCGCCACCATCCTCGGTCCTCTGTCGTTTCGGTTGTGCAAATTCCTGGTGAACTTCTTCCTCCTCTTCCAGCTTTCTCTTCTTCTCCTCGCCTCTACGGCCTCTCTTCTTCAGCTCGCGGGGCATCTTGGCAGCACAGTGATGGTCGACGGTGCAGCAAGATGTTGTATGTTTATGGTGTGTGACTGGGTTGGTGCGGACTTGTGAGAGTGTCACCCAGAGTAGCAGACCGGTTGAAAGGACGGGACGGACGGAGCGAAAACGATAGGCGGTATGCGATGACGCTCACGAAAATATTCAAGTCTCGAAACTGCTTGCAAACTTTCCCGAGCCGCCGGCGACGACTGTTTTTTCTTGGGATCTGAGAAAAGCCCCCGATTCGCCCAAGTTTGTGGGGTTCCCGATCGGTGCACTGACACTGCTCTTCGGGGGATAGAAATGACGGGTATAAGGGCTAGTCTGTATGGTAGACGTCTGTTGTCAAAGAGATACAATATTCTGCAGAAGCTGTAAGACGAGAAGGGCAGAGGACGCTCATGTCGAGCAGAAAATTATTACAGCCAGTTTCCGTGAATCCTGCAAGCCTTGCGATCCGCCATCTCACTTCCCCCTCCATCATGCAAGATCCAGATCGCTGCCAGATTTCGCTAAAAGCCTTGCGTCGCTGATAACAATCCTCTTTACATCTTCAATATCTACTTATATTACTGTGCGTCTCATCACTCACTCTCGTGAAGGGCCGCTTCTGAGGCACAAGCTCGTGGTATCTTACTCTGTCCAAGACCTGCAATGCCCAAGACAGCCGTTGGCGGCAAGCGTGGTTGAATCTGTGTGCTGTCGGCTATGCACTGCTTGAAGATACCACAAGACATGTCAACTGCATGAGTCCAATCAAGTTTCCCTGCAGCGTATGCATGCACCAGATGCAAGCGATACTGATGATTGATCTGGCGGCCATGTCTGCGCCTGTTGTGCAACCTGCGCTTGTGGCCACAACCGTGGATACTCGCATCTATCTCGCATCTTGTCTGGCGCCACGTCCGTCTTGGTCGCGTGTATTGCATCTTGGCTCGTGTCTGTATCTGACATCGATCGAAGCCGTGTGACGTTTGTCTTAAGTTCGTCCAATCAGATTTGTTGTCTCGGTAGGCGAGATCGAGAGACCCCTGGTGCCAGAATCTCGGGTATCACATGTGAAGCCTTCCTGTCCATGGCTCTCTGCTTCTTTCGAGTAGTCGCCAATTGCCAACATTTCGTGTATATTATCATGCCAACGTCAACGCTTTTGCTCGCTACATATGTACAACAGATTAAACTCCTCCTCAGATATATGCTGTGCTAGTAAATCATCTCGTCATCGTCTTGTGCATCATTCCACAGGTGTGGTGAACCTACGCCGGCACTCCATTACCGTTCGTCTCGTTCTGTGGCATAGCATCAAGTGCAGTCTTGAAGACCTTCTTCAGAGCCTCAGGTTCCTCGAGACCCACGCTGAATCTCACCAAATTTGCTTCGACACCAAAAGTTGCGGCCCAGTCAAGCTCGGTATAATGTGCCAGTAGCGCATAAGGAGAGCTCAATGTGAAGTTGGTTCCCAATGAAGGGCCCTTTGCAGTGTTGAGATTGTCGTAGAAGGCCATGGCATCATCCATGGAGTAGAAAGTCGCAGACAGCAGACCTCCGTAACCACCGTTGGGCAACCTGCAAGCATCGTAGTACTTTCTGGATGGTGAGTGCTTCGGGTAATTGACTTGCTTGATACGAGGGTGTTGTATCAAGATTTCACAAATGGTTTCGGCGTTAGCATTGATACGAGCAATACGAGACACAAAGTCTCTGCTGTTGCGCTCCAAGAACATGGCGTCCTCCTCGAAGAAGTTGTCTTCATAGTCTTGAGCCATGTACTTCTTGAGAGTATCGTAGTAACGACCTGCAGGATTCAAGATGGCTGATCCTCCCATGACGTTACTGTCGCCAGAGAAAACCTTGGTCAAACTGCTCACCACCACATCGGCGTATGGCAATACGTGGACGTTCAGGAAGTTACCAATGGTCTCGTCGATCACCACGGCAAAGTCGTACTTGTCGGCCAATTGACGGATACGTTTCAGATCGGGACACTTTAACAGAGGGTTGCTAGGGAATTCGCAGAAGAAGCCAAGGAAGCGCTCTCCGGCCTCCAGACACTTTTCCAGATCGTCCAGATCTTCTTGTTCACCGTTTCCATAGAAGAGAGCACCGGGACCCCACTTCTGTAGGATCTTCAGGGTATCGACGTATGGGAAGCCAAAACTGATGCTCTTGTTCTTGGGACGGATTGCCATCATGCTGCGGTGTGTGTTGAAAATAGAACTCATGCCGGTAGGGTAGAGGAAGACATCGTCGACAGAGAAGCCGTCAGCACTTCGAGTACGTTCAACATCTTCAGGGTGTTTCAGAGCATCCTTCAGATCGGCATCTGAAGTCAGTGAACCAGCGATGCGACGGCGGATGGCGAGCTTTGCTTGCTCGGCAAATTGAACGTTCAAGTTGCGACCGAATCTCTCTTCGACAAAGGCAGATGGGTCGGTGCCGTCCTTGTCATCGGTTTCTGAGGTTGGAGATTGGTGAGGAGTGTCAATTGACATTTGGCGTTGGTATCGGCGAGGGCCCTTGCGGGGCTTGTCGTAGATTGAAGCCTTGTCAACCATGGTGCCATCGAGTAGATGCTTCTCGACAAACTCGGCTCTTCTGCTGGACACACCGTCTCCACTGTGTTGCCAAACTTGTTTCGCGACAGGCCAGAGCTCGGTGGGGTATAGAACGGCAGATAGACGAGGCAGGACGTGCTGTGACTCGTCGTGACATTCGGTCTTGGGGTTCGGCACAAAGTCGATGATGCGAGCGGTACCTTGAGATTCGGGAGCGATGCGGTGCATAAACTCGAGCAGACGATTGGCGACCTTGTGGGTGGGGAAGAGCATGCACTTTTGGGAGGGATTGCCGTGGCGCTTGACGATTTCGGTGGCAAGGCGGTCGATGCTCTTGTGGATGAAGAAACGAGGATAGCCGCACTGCATCTTGTCCATGACCCATTTCTGGCCTTCTTCGTAGCCTACGTTGGCGGCCCATGTTGGCAGTGACACGCTGACTGCCTGGGAAGGAGGGGTTAGTCAATGCGTCAATTGGAGGACGGTGTGAAGGTTTACGTGAGGAGTTTCGGCAGGGATTGTCTCGCCGACATTGTCGTTGAATGCCAGAGGAACGGGCATGATTGCTATGGTAAGGAGAGAAAGGTCAGCAAATGCACTGGCAAACACAAAGTGCTCGCATGGCGGGTGGACAAATGACTCGATGTCGACGCCCCCACCGCCGCTGTCGGCATGTCGAATGCACCTGCCTGCCCTAGGAGTACCACTTTCTTATCGCCGCGACTGCCTTATCTAAAGTCCGCCAAGCATGTCGATTGTCGAAAAAGTCCAACGCCAAGCGAGACTTTGCGCCGCAGAACGAAGGAAGCTGCCACTGATCTTGCTCTTTCCTACCAATAATCAACATGGCAGTCCCGTCGAGCAAGAGAAGAAAGCTCAGTCACTCGCCCTCGCCCGTCGAAGATGACGACGTCTCCATCGCCTCCGGTAGCCAGGTCGACGATATCGAGGAAGACGACATGAGCCAGGACAACGACATGGAAGACGCAGATGTTGGCGCAGACGATATGGATCAAGACGATGAGGAAGAGAGCGACCAAGAAGACGAAGAGGTGCAAGAAAAGGCAAAACAGAACAAGGACAACAAGAAGCCCAAGAGCAACAAGTCACAGGCTTCGTCGCTCGAGGCAAGCAGCGCCGCATACACAGGAGGCACCTTCAAGAGCAACATGTTCAAGCTGCAGGTCGACCAAATGCTGTCCAACATCCGTCCGAGACAAGGAAAGAGAGAGGCCACCGCTGCCGACGCCCTGCACAAGATCAAGAAGCAGATCGACGCAATCCCTAACAGAGACGCTCTTCCCCTGCTCCAGGCCGAGCGCGACATGATCAAGAAGTCAAAAGTCGCCATTCCGTTCCCCGAACCTCGCCCCGCCCACGACGTCAAGTACAAGTTGGCATACGAGAAGCCTCAGAACATCAACGTTGTTGGCAGCTTCCCTCTCAAGTTGTCTCTTCGCGACCGCCAGGCTCCTCTTTCCGTCGACATGCTCGTCACCATGCCCAAGTCGCTCTTCCAAGAGAAGGACTATCTCAACCACCGCTACTTCTACAAGCGTGCCTTCTACCTCGCCTGCATTGCTGCTGGTCTCCAGACATCCCTCAAGGACTTTTCCTTCCAGTTCGTCAACTTCCGCAACAACCCCCTACACCCCGTCCTGCTGGTCCAACCCAAAGAGTCGAGCTCTGAGAACAACTGGCGCATCAACATCATCCCCGGCCTTGCCGANGGCACNCTTGCCAATAACAAGCTCTTGCCAAACAAGAACTGCGTCCGTCCTGCTCAGTCAGCCGACGATGAGCAGACTCAGGATTTGCCCGCTACTCCCTTCTACAATGCTGCCATCCAGGCCGACAGCCACATCACCTCATACTTGAAGTTGCTACATGCCTCTTCTACCTCTTGCGAAGGATACACGGATGCTTGCATGCTTGGTCGTGTCTGGCTGAGACAGCGTGGTCTTGCTTCCGAGACCAACAAGGGCGGATTTGGCAACTTCGAGTGGGCCGCAACAATGGCAAATCTGCTTAGAACTGGCGCTGGCTCGGGTAAGCCTGTCTTGTCAAGTGGCTACAGCAGCTACCAGCTCTTCAAGGCCACTCTTCAGTACCTTGCTGTCAAAGATCTCGCCAAGGAACCTGCTCTGCTCGATGCTGCCGGTCTTGCCCTGGCCTCCGAGGATGGTCAGCCAATTCTCTACGACGGTCCTCGTGGACAGAACATACTCTACAAGATGACCTCCTGGTCTTACCAACACCTTCGTGCCGAGGCACGCACTACCCTCAAGATGCTGGGTGACAATCTTTTCGACCAGTTTGACTCTGCTTTCATCCTCCGCTCTGACAACATCCTCAAGAGATACGATCTGGCTGTCCGTGTACCTTGCTCTGCCATCACTTCCGACGCTTCTGAAGATCGACAAGTTCTCCAGAGATACGCAAAGATTTTCACCGTCTTCAGTCAAGGTCTGGGCGATCGCGCGACTCAGGTCGTCATTCAGTCTCCTGATCACGAGTCCTGGGGACTTGGATCTGCCAGACCCAACATGGAGCGCAAGGGTGAACTATTGGTCGCTGTCAACCTTGACTCTGCCAACGCTTCTCGTGCTGTTGATCACGGACCCGCGGCAGAACAGAAGAAGGAGGCTGCTGACTTCCGCAAGTTCTGGGGTGAAAAGGCCGAGCTGCGCAGATTCAGGGATGGAAGCATCCTGGAGAGTTTGGTCTGGGCAACCAACAGTGGAATGTCAATCATCCAGCAGATCCTAACATTCTTGCTTTACCGCCACTTCGGACAAGATGCGGCCGCCAGTGCCGCTTTCTCCGGTGACGAGTGTGCTAAGCTCATCAAGCAGAGCAACGGTCTCTCTGTGTTCCAGCCTCTGATGGAAGCTTTCAAGACTCTAGAGAGCGACATTCGTGGCATGGATGATCTGCCTCTTACGATCCGCTCCATCCTAGCTGCCGACTCACAACTCCGTTACTCGTCTGTTGAACCTCCTATGTCGTCTCAGCAACAGATGAAGCGCCCAGCTGATATCATCCTACAATTTGAAGGATCTGGTCGTTGGCCAGACGATCTTGTTGCCATTCAGCGTACCAAGATTGCTTTCTTGCTCAAGATTGGTGAACTTTTCGAGTCGACACAGGAAGGCGTCACCTCGCGCATTGGTCTGGAGAACGAAGGCGAGGATAACCTAAACCAGGCTTTCCTCGATGTGATCTATCCTACTGGGTTCTCTTTCCGCATTCGTATTCATCACGATAGGGAGCAGACTCTGGTGGAGCGTATTCTCAAGTCACAATCTGCTGCACCTAGCGAGAAGGAGGCTGCAGCTGTTGCCCTCGCCACCTACAAGCGTGTGTTTATTAAGTCGCCAGCGCATACACAAGCCCTGCAGAAGCTTTGTACCAGATATCCTGTCCTCTCACCAACTGTTAGGTTGTTGAAGAAATGGTTTTCTGAGCATCTGCTGAGTAACCACTTCTCTGAAGAAGTCATCGAACTGTTTGCCATTCACACATTCACTCGCCCATGGCCTTACAACACGCCATCATCTACACAAGCTGCCTTCTTGCGCACCCTTTCGTTCCTCTCACGCTTCGACTGGCGCGCTGATCCCTTGATTGTAGATCTTGGTGGTGATCTTAACGCCGAAAACGTCACAGCAGCAACAACGCGCTTCGAAGCCTGGCGGAAGTTGGACCCAGCACTCAACCGCGTCGTTCTTTTCGTTGCCAGCAGCAACGACCTCGAAGGAACAACATGGACAGATGGCAACCCGGCGAAGGTCGTCTGCGGCCGCATGACAGCGCTAGCCAAAGCCGCAACTGCAGAAGTCGAGGCCAAGTCACTATCACTTGACATTGGAACCCTCTTTGTTTCACCTCTTGCCGACTACGACTTTGTCATTCACCTCAACACCGCTTACACCACCACGAAGTCCAAGGCAGCAAGCGGCAAGTACAAGAACCTTGCTATTGCTGAAGAGACGAATGCAGAGTTGGTCGACTATGCCCCCACGGATGCATTCTTCTATGAGCTGCATAATGTATACGGTCAATCATTGGCGCTTTTCTATGGTGGAGCTGGCAGCACGACCATTGCTGGCCTGTGGAGTCCTGTCACTGCAGCTAGAGCATGGAAGGTCAATCTGGCGTACTCAACTGTGCCTGTCAAGAGGGGCGAGGAAGTCATTGCCGAGATCAACAAGACTGCTGTTCTTGCTGAGATGGCAAGGCTGGGTGGAGAGTTGGTCAAGAAGATTGAGACCAACAGGTGAATTTTCTTGCCCACGGTCATGTGCAAAAATTCTTGATTGGACATTTGATATGTAATTTGAAGCGAACCACGATTCTGTAATACCATTTCATTCAGCTTACATTGTCGAAAAAAAGTAAAAACTACACCCATGATAACCTCCTGACTGCCCAATTGCCCTGATTGTGACTCAAGCATAAACCTCTGTCTTCAACCACTCACAGGCCCTCTCATAAGCCAACTCTGTGATTCTCTTCCTCTCCCTCTCAGCCGCGGGTTCCTTTTTCTGCACATAGTTGAAACCATGCTGTGCGCCCAACACCATTTCCCACCACACGTTCCCCCTCCTCCAGGTCTGAACACCATGTTTCTTATCTTCTTGCTCGTCGCCATCTTGCTTGTTGCCGTCTTCATGTGCCGAATACAGTTTTGCGGCTTCCTCTGCTTCCTTGCACAGAACATCGTACTCTGCACCCACGAAGCGCAGTTTTGGGGGCAAGAGTTTGCGGTCCGCGTAGATTGGNNGGGAGAGGAGAGGGTCACAGAGGTCCACGCCGTTGGGCAAGTAGCCGTAGGTAAACAAGTCTCCGCTTTTCTGCAGCACGTCGGGAGTTCCGTCTGGCGCATCCCTCATTTCTCCTCTGTACTTGCCGCTAAAATCTGTGGAAGGGTACCAGAGCAACAGTGCCTTTATTTTGTTNNTTTGCAGCGAGGGGCTTTGCGCTACACTCAGCGACAGGTTCCCTCCTGCGGAAAAGCCGCCCATGGCGATTTTCGCCGTGTCGATGGGTAGACTGCCGTCCTTGAGGATGCACGAAATAATGTCTACCAAATCATTCGTTTGGGTGGGGAAGTAATGTCCAGGCGCCTTTCTGTAGTCGCAAGACACGACCACCACACCCCGTCTTCTCAAAAACTCGCACCAAGTTTCGTCGTGGAAGGGGTCGCCAATGGCAAATCCTCCGCCGTGGATGTCGATGTACAGTGGCAATCTATCTCCACTTTTGGCTTGCTCGGGGATCCAAATGTCGTGGGTCAGACCTGCAGAACCTAGAGACTTGCGGTAGGTGGGTTGGAGGGTGCCCATGCCTTTGTAGCGGAAGAAACGCAGAGTGCCCAGGAGAGAGCGGATGGTGAGTTTGAAGATCCAGAGACGTAGCCAGAGACGTACGCGTTGGGAGAATGGCTTGGGCGTGTGAGGGGCCGGTGCTGGGATATCTGCTGTAGCAGCCACAGAGGCCGGATCCATTGTCGTTGACATTCTTCGACCTTGAAAGCTATTTGTGGTGTTTTTTGACTGTGCAAGGAGAATTGGTGTCCTCTTTGTGGTTCGGAATTTTAATCGTGTCCTTGTGCCAGATAGGGCCTATCCTTACATGTACTGAAGGCAGAAAGATATGGAAGCGATTCGTTGCAGAGGAGGAAGAACTATCTGTTTCACCTTGAGATTGTCGTGTGCCTCTTTCATGGACTAGAGGAGTACTATTGGAATGGGGGGGAGATTGCTATGCGAATGCGATGTTGCCGAGATCCTCGGCAGTTGGAGATCTTGGGGATGCTGCTAGGAAGACCCTGTGCGTTTCTGTATCAACCTCCTTCTCAAGCATCATCCGGATGACTTGGAGGTAGCAGTACATTTCCTTCATTGGCAAACCAGAGAAAGAGAAACATTAACATCTGCTTTGCGACAAGTACTGACTAAATCACGTTTGTGAGCATTATAGCAATAAAGTAGAAATGTGTTTCGGAACACAGGATTCCGTCTGCATTGCAAACTGTATCTAGGTGTGTGAACGACCAACTCTGCACGTTTCAAAACAGGCCATGTAGCCACGCGTAAAATCAAACATGATCTTGTCAGGCCTCTGTCTCGCCATAAACTCTCCAACCAAAGCCCAAGATGACACCCGAAAACGCCAATGTTCCCATCGTCAAATAATTCCATATCAATGACCAGTTGATCTAAGAAGTACCACGCAGCTTGCCAACGACAAACTGAGTGCCCAAGTTCTGCACACTGGCATCTCTAGGGTATGAGAGGTGAGCAGCGTTGATACCCTGTCCATGAGTGGTATCGCAAACACCGTCGCCATAAGCGCAAACATCAAGTGTTCTCGACACCCAACCTGAAGGAATGCTGTTCGAGTAAGCATTGTAGGAAATGCCATTGACATTTCTGGTGGTGGTGCCGCCATTGCTGTCGACATTGCAAGTCAACCCGCTCTTGTGCAGAGGGTCGCCGATAAGGAAAACGCCCTTGACGGCAGTGTTGGCGGTACCAGTCAACTTGGGCAAAGCATTGACTGTAGCGGCAGCACCCTGCGAGTATCCCTCAAGAATAAAGCATTCGTTAGGGCTTGTGCGGAGGGTAGTGGTGATCTTGTTGACAATGTCGGCGGTGCCTGCTGCAGAGTTTTGGCTGTAGTCGGCGGCGTAGACGGTGTTGTAGGTTTTGCCGCCCGAGACTTGAGAGCGAATGTTGCTGTTCATGGTGGTGAAGCCTGAGGATTGGCCTTGGGGCTCGCCGGTGCCGCGGGTGTTGATGATGGTGTAGCTTGAGCAAGCGGACTGGCGGCCTTCGAGGTCGACTGGGCTGGCAGTGGCCAGACCAAGAAGGGAGGCGCCGGCGATGATGCTGTTGGTGAAGTGCATATTTGTGGTAAGAGAAGAGTTGGATGTGAACGAAAGTGTAGGAATGTGTGTTGAGTGATGAGATGCTGTTCTTCCCTGGGCACATCAAGGTGTTTATATATCCATACCTCATGGCCTGATGCCAATCGTTGCCTATAGCACTCAAGGCCCCCAAGTTGACACTAACTCTCTTGGTAAACAGTCACGCAAAGCATGGCTTGCAGCACGGGAAACAAAGTTATTGTTTCATCCTTCCACGCCACACCACCACGAGATGCACCATCTACCGCATCGGCCTCGAACGTTGCCTGGTGCTGTAGGGCAGTCTTCCGGCGGCTGCGACATCGCTGTTCATTGCCATGTGATGAAGATCACCAAAGCGAGTTGCTCATCTGAGCGAGAACGTGTTTTGATGTCAAGCACGAGCATCCAATCAATCAGCGAGGAGTCCAGAGCCTCAACCTTGTTTCAAACTACACCTGTCATGGACAGTCAGGGCAACCAGGGCAGGTCGCCTATACGCACGTAGCCACAAAAGTGTCTTGTCAGAAGGGCTGCAGAAATCTGGTACGCAGCCGTCCGCGACTCAGTAAGCATACCGTCTTGTTGCTTGGTGCATTTTCTGCAAGAACGTAACAAAGCTTATAGGCGAATCGAACTGGAGTTGGCTGATCTGCGGTAACATCCTCACGTCCTGAAAATTTGTCGAGTCAGCAATGGCACGAAACAATCTGCAATGTCCGCTCGTCCGAGGCTCGTGTTGGTTCTGGTAAACTCTCATCACCTCACTGTCACCTCTCCTCCATCAGACTTGCACGGAGGCCAACATTCGCCTCTGTGAAGGCTTGCATGAACAGAAGCCTTCGTGGAAGATCTGAAACATACTCTCAACGGTCAAGCAGAAAGTACCGAGGCTGGCCTCTTTTGCTTGGCAGGGGACTAGCTCTTGGTGTCTTGACGCTTTCGCTTTTAGGCTATCCTCGACTCCTCAACTGTTGTACAGTACGCGAATGTAGAAGAGACCCCACCAAGTTTTGGCTAGCTCCATGCTATTAGACAGGCAACTCGGGCATAGCAACATCTAGAAGCTCTGGATCGACATTCACATTACCGAAGGATATGCATGCTTTCGCCAAGAAGCCACAACTTCTGAAGTGATATAGGGCGTGGAAGAGGGGATGTTTCCAATATACTGAAGATCATGCGGGTGTCTGATCTTCGACGTAGATCGGGAGGTCGCTGTGTAGAGATACCGAGGCCATACGTGCTTACAACCCGAGCTCCAGGAGAGACTGGAAAGAGGTGGCATCTTCGGACTATTCGCGGCCTGCTTTCTTTGCCGTCATCAATCTAGTCTGCGAGGTTCCCATAGAGTCATCTACTGCATTCAAATCCTGCGGTTGTTATTGTCTTCGTATGGTCAAATCGAGCCGCTGTTGATTTCTGAAATTGTCCGCTGGGATCCTACGACTGTTGTTGACTTTGCATGCTCAGATGAAGCAGCTACTGTTGAACTCTCTGATAAGGTCAAGCAGCCGTGTGTCGCAGAACTTATCGCTGAGTTGGGCAGCTGTTGTTATATAGCTTTACCGTGTTTCGAAATTGCGATGCCGCTGTCTCGCTATCTGTCGATCTTGTATTCTTGGGTGAACATTGTCAGTATCGCGTACAGATAGCATCGCAGATAGTTGACTGACCATGAGGTGCTGATAAGCCGAGAACCAATGATGGCCTGATGATGATGGTGATGGGGACGTGTCAAGGCTCTGCTTGCGGCTGGATAAACGTCTGCGAGCATTTGCGTGATGGCGACGAGATCAGATCTGATGACGGAAGAAGGGAGGATGAGTAAGACGGTGAGAGCCGAGACAGAGTAAGATGGCGAGGTGGACAAGAACGAAGTTCTACAAGCCTGAGAAGGACTCAAGGACCAGGCGGAGGAAGGTGCATAAGGGTCCTAGAAGCCTGAACATCGCAAAGTAGAATACATCTTACACTGTACGCTATGAAAGATGACTCCTGCTTCTGCGAGCCAAGTGTGAGTCCCTGCGTGGCATATTTGGGAGTCCGAGAAGTTTGATGGATCATTTAGCAGACATGATATATGTGATATATCTCCAGGGCAGTCAAGTTGAAACATACTACACAGTTTGAACGTAGAATCGCGCATCAATATCATGTCAGAAGAAAAGATCGATCTCAGTTCTCGTCTTATATACTATGAACTTCGCTTCTCTACCATCTGTCCAAGACAAACATGCATCGTGGAGGAGCTTTGCATCCTTGCAGTGAACATGACCGCACGCTCACTCGTCGTCGTTGATGTCGACCTCGTACTTGGACCACTGGCGTGCAGGGACCTTGCGCTTGAACATGATGTCGATCTCACGGTAAGAGCGACCGTAAAACTCAGGCAAGAAGAAGTATGCGGTGACCAAACAGAACGCGCCGGTACCACCCCAGACGTAACCACACTTGCCACCGAGATCTCCACCAGTAGGGTTCAACATGTAAGAAGCCAAGAAAATGCAAGGAATTTCCACAATGTAGTAGATACCACGACCGAAACCTGTGGTAAGGGGTCTGAGGCGAATAGCTGACGTCTCACCGATGATGGCGTAGGAAATCGGAGCAGCACCTAGAGTGAACAATACCGAGACGATAAGACCAAGCGATGCCTGAGCCAAGTTTGCTGCATTAGATTTTCCGACCGAGGCGGCAATACCGAGGGCGAACAAGAGGACTGTGTTAACAAACGAGCCCCAGAGGTAGATGGGACGACGACCAAAGTAAGAACTTAGGAACCAAGAACAGATGACGGCGACGATTTGAAGAGCAGATGTAATGAGCCCGAGGGCGAATGCGGTGTTAGAGCTCATACCGGCTTGTTCGAAGAAGTACACGGCTTGGTTGGCGATGAGGTTACCAGTAAGGTTTTGTGCAGCGTAAACACCGGAGACAATGCAAGTGCGATAAAGGTCGGTGCCCTTGAACAGCTCCAGGTGGGAAGGCTTCTTGGCCGAGGCTTCCATCTCGATAACACGACGCATCATCGAAACGGTCTCTTCGGGGCTGACAGATGTCTTACTTCCAAGACGTGCAGCTGACTTGGCTGCCTCCTCGTAACGACCTTTGCGAGTCAACCACCATGGCGATTCAGGAGCGAACCAGAAGAGAATAGCAAGGGGCGTAGGGAACAACCATTGAAGAGCAATGGGGACTCTAGATCATTGTTAGCCGATGCTAGACTCAAGGTTAATGAGAATTGAGGCGTACCTGTAAGCCGAAGAATCGGAGACTTTGTTGTAACGGTATGTAGCAGCACCGACGATAATGCTACCAATGGCCCAGAACATCTGCAACATCTGAGTGCATGGTGCACGGAGCTTGATAGGCACGATTTCGGAGCAATAAGCGGGGGCATTGGCGATAAAGATGCCCCAGGGGAGACCCTCGAGGATCTGAGCGGCGAAGAAGATTGGTAGAGAGTTACCAAAGTAGAAGATGAAGATGAAGCCATTCAGAGCCATAAGGCCACCGAGCGTTGCCCAGCGGTATCCGATACGGCTAGTGATAGGACCGGCGATCATGACACCGATCAGGGCACCGAGCTGGCCAGAAACTTGGAGGGAGGATTGCCATTTGGTCGCAATGACAGGAAGACCAGTCTTAGGATCAATGATACCGAATTGTTTCTTGAATTCTTGAAGAGCCATGAAGTTACCCATGAGGAAGACATCGTAAGATTCCATGANTCTAGATACGTCAGCTGAGAATGAGACAAGTGCAACCAACAATCGACATACGATGGTGCAGGACATGATGAAAGCCCAGAAAGATGCCATAGGGTATGCGCGAACGGCTTGGAGAACGGTCATGTTGTGTTCGGCATTCTCAGCCTCGATGGCATCGGCCTTGAGGTCGGCGCTGACTTTCTCGTCATTATAAGCGCCCTTGTCTTCGATTGTCATAGCATGTTGCTTGTTCGATTCGAGGTTGCTGTTATCCATGATAGCGATCGTGGGTTCCAGAGATGAAGGTCAGGAACGAGGTTTCTCTGTTGTGAGAAGAGAGTAACGGTCGTGAGAGAGACCGGGAAAGGGAGGAAAGTGCAACTGCGAGAAGCGCCGATCGTTGGCAGAGTGAATGACTGGGGATAGATTGCTCTTGATATAGTGTAGACCGTCACAGCATAAGGTTTCAAGACTTGAACCGAGCGAAGAGATCGATCCCGGGGAGAGAGTGCCAATTCTCGAAATGTAGAAGCAACACCTGGCAAAGCTTCGTGTTCAAGACGGTTCGCGGTTAGATATGCGACTGAGTCCAGGCAAGATAAGGCTAGCAACTCGGCCGAACAGGTAAAGTGCCTCGCTTGTGACTATTCAAGCGTACATATGCAACCGTGCTGAGCAGGGCAAGGCCGATAATTCGGCTGAAGGTCCCCGGAAGAAGGACAATTTTCCGTCCCACCCCCACCCCCACCGCCTGATCCCCCGGACCCCCAAAGCAAGACCACCATGGGGAATGGAAAGTGTCTGAACAGATGCACGGTGAACGTTGACCAACGGACAAAATATTGTCAGCAAGCTCACCAATCAGTGCAAGGATCGCAATCCGTTCTCTGGGTCAGTCTAGACTTGGAGACCTCCGCACGGTACTTGTACGGGTCAATTCGATCTAGCGCAGGAGATCAACCGGGACGTCCTATTTCTCACTCATGTGCCAAACAACTTAGTGCACTGCAGGCCGAGCGCTGTACCAAACCTCCATTTCCCAAGGCCAGGCGCAACTCGAACTTGAACTGGAAGAACGACAACCGTCCACAGATCCAGTTGTAGATTGACCTTGGCAGAGACGCTTTACGTGAGTTTCGACCAGGTGACCGCCTCAACGACATGTCTGTTATCATCGACTTGACCTTGGTGCTTGGTGCTGATGCATTGGTCAAAAATATAACCTACAGCTCACAGTACCAGACATTGGCGTCGCGTTCAAACAAGCCGTCGAGACTCCTCTGAACAACGAGCTGGTAGACGGAGAGCTCCAAATGGCTTCTGTGATTGTGAATGCAGTTGCTGTACCTGCGCCAACTTGGGTGGGAGGCACTGCATTGGATGCTGCGCAAGTGTAATTGCCGTAACTAAACGATCACTTTTGCCGAGCCAGGCCTCCGAAAGAAGTGCCGCCGACAGCTTTGCGGGCTTCAAAAGAGATCGAGGGGTGCTGATACAAAAAAACTGGGGTCATACGTGCTAACAACCGAGCTTAACAGCGGCTGAAGCATGATCTGGAATTTGGAAGCTCGATGCATGTCGACTCCAGCATCTCCTGATCTATGCTGATATCGAAACAAGGATGAATCATCGGATCCAAGCGGCTACTGTACATTGGCTATATTGTAACGGTGTGAAGGGTTCAGACATGGCCAATGTGTCGGCGCGTGTCATTGCATTGCGCGATGTGAACGGTCTGGTTCTCACATGGCATCTATGCTCTTCAGGATTCCGTTTTCGAGATTCAAGGTTGACGTGGTCGCGTAAAGAAGAATGCCAAGTTCCAAGAGTGGTTTGAGATCTGGCAACAACGCACAGCCCCACCTTCCACCTAGTGTCACAATGTTTGCTGATAACTTGCTTGTTTCTTCAACAACAACGCAACCTTGAGTATCAGATCATCAACCACAATGATGGAGCAAGAATCACGAAAAGCATCAGATGTGACTATCGAGATCATCGACAACGAACAAGATTTCACCACAGCTTTCGCCGTAATCTCAGCATGCTTCGGCCGCCAAACCAATGATGCTTTCTGGCAAGCCATGAATCCTGGTTGGGATGCCCCTGAAGGCGCGGCTGCAGGAACAAATCGCATGGTTCAGCGCTGGCAATCCACCACCAAAAACAATTCTGGAGAACCCAACACAGTGCATCTCAAAGCCACTGTACCGGACCCTAACAACCCAGGAAAACGTATTGTGGCTGGGATAGCTGTCTGGGCCCAGTTTTCCATGGTTGAGGGGATGGGAGACAAGCAATCGACTGATGTCGATACAGCACTTGACCTCGAGGAATTATATCCAGGCAATGTAACCGAGCAGAGGTTCCTTCGTCAAGGCTTTACATCTTTCATGAGCCACCGTGTCAAAACGCTGGAAGAGAAAGCTACTACCTCATCACCTGCAACATTCAGTCTAGACATGTGTGTTGTGCATCCGGATTTCCAAAGAAGAGGAGTTGCCAACAAGTTGGTGGAGTGGGGATTAGAAGAAGCCAAACGAAGAGGGGCTTTGGAGTCAACGACCGAAGGATCTGCTATGGGTAGATCTGTGTACAAACGGCTGGGGTTCAAGCCTGTGGGAGAGGTCGTATATGATATGGACCCCGAGTTCAGGGACCGAGGTTTACCTTCGAACATGTTTATGCGCACTGGCATGAGCACTTGAGCTGTTGATGGAAATCTTCTCGCGGCAACAATTGCTATCACATACAGAGCTTATCTGCACACGCGATTCACAGTAATCGTGGTATATGCTAAACTAAGACAATTTGACCTTGGCAGGTGCCTAGTATCTGAACAACCTCTCTGCTCCTTCTCTTCTCAACTTTCTGTTCTTGAACTTGTAGAAGAACAGCAGAGAGATGCAACCAACAGCCACAAAGAACAACAGTCCGGCATTGACCCAATGACCTGTAGGGTATCCCTTCTTCTTCTCTTCAGCCTTGTAGATCCACACTCCGGTGATCTGTCCTGGCGCACCGAACGAGATGTTCAAGGCGATAGCCAATCCAGCGGCTGCCGTGCTGTGCAGATTGGATGACAGCCAACCCAAGAGAGGCGGAATGCAGGAGAAGGATCCTGCCGCAGCAACAATCAAACAGCCATAACGAGCGTTGTATGCGTCAGGGGGCAGTACAGCCGAGGCTAGGAATCCAATTGCTCCGACAGTTGCAAAGATGGCGGAATGTAAGGCGCNGTCTGCTTGATGTTAGCGTCTGCTATTTTCGACAACTGGTCTTCGGACTTACGCGTCGAAATGATCAGCAGACCACGATACCAGGAGTGTTACAACATATGCAACCGCATAAGGTGGTACGGTCATGAGCTGTGCAGTAAGATCCTTGAAGCCCAATCCGGCAGTGATGGTAGGTGTGAAAAGAGATAAACTCGAGAAGGGTGTCGAGATACCAAAGTAGATGGCATAGTGGGCGTAAAGTCTCCAGTCAGTAAGAGTGACCTTAGCGTCTTCCCAGGTCATACTCTTGCTGTTGCCATGTGAGCCTTCGAATCTGAGCCTTTCTGCTGCAAGAGCTTTCTCCTCGGGGGAGAGCCATTTGACAGTCTCGGGATAATCGGGCAAGAAGAAATACACCAGGGGTGCAGACAATAGAGACGGTAGTCCTTCAAGGATGAACAACCAACGGAATGCTGAAAGGCCACCGGTGCCATTCATGTGTCCTACACCATATGCAATGGCTCCTCCGAAGGCTCCTGCTAAAGTTGCTGATGCCAGAATGAAGGCGACACGGATACTACGTTCGTCGGTGCGATACCAGANAGGCTGAAGTGGTTGTTAGTGGGTGAAACTCTCGATTGAGTGATGAATCAACCACTTACTAAGGTAGTAGACGAGTCCAGGGAAAAGACCAGCCTCGAAGACTCCTAGTAGGAATCTCAACGCCGTCACTCCTGCAAAGTTGTGGACTCCGCCTAGACCCATGGTCATGACGGACCAGCAGAGCATCAGGAACGCAATCCATTTGCTTGGACTGAGACGTTTGAGGAAATAGTTTGACGGTACTTCAAAGACCATATACGCGATGAGGAATACCATCAAAGCAATCGTGTATTGGTAGGCCGTCATATGAGTCTCTGATAGCAAGTCGTTGTGAGTAGCAGCATTCAAGACCTTGGCATTGCCAATGTTGGAGCGGTCGAGATAGCACAAGAGGTATATGCCGCACGAGATTGGTAGGATCCTCAAGTCTTGCTTCCGGACAAGTCTCTTGTCCTCGTTAGTGCCTCCTCCAGTATAGGCCTGCCGTGAGCTGTCGGACTCGACATCGTTAACAAACTCTGGCCCGATATCTTTCTCGTTCGTGTTGGTCATCCTGATGGAGAGATGTTGTGAGATGTGGTCTGGGGTAATTCTGGGGAAGATCTCCAGATATATATCAGAAGGCTCAGCCCAAGAGTAGACCGATGCCGTGCTACCCAGAAGAGATGTTGAGGAGTAGAGAGAAAAGCAGCGAGACACGATTTCGGTCCCCATCACCGACTCCGGCCTTCCTGCAGGATGCAGATCATACTAAGTTGGGGGTAGGTGTGACCCCACACTTTTCCAGGCTAAGAAGCCCCCCAGATTGGGAGTCTTTACCAAACACATGCCTTCTCTCACGACAAGATGTGGGGAGTGACGATAAGTTATGAAAACGCACGATCACTTCCGAGCCAAGAGTTCACCATGAGGAGATAACCTGAGATTCTGCCTTTCAAGGGATGCCGCTCCTTCTTGGTAGATATTGTGCATTTCTACAGACGTACTCTGACGGTCTTTCACACACAGAGATCAGCCTCCACAGCATGGCGGTCTCCGTAGCCATAGGCCCCACATTGAAAGGAACTCCACCCAAGCCCCATTCCTTCGGCCTCAATTGCCGTCCGTACCTATCCATTGTCTTAACGGCCCCGAGCCCCGTCCAGGCTGCTTCCTCATCCATCATGCAAACCACTAACTGCGATCGGTGTTATCGCCGAAAGAGCAAGTGCGACCGACTCCAACCCTGCACATCCTGTAGCAAAGGCGGGGCACAATGCCACTATACCGACCGGACAAAGGAGAGAGCAGTCCGACCGGATGTCGTAGACCGACTGGAGAGGCGTCTTGCTCAAGCGGAGAATCGAAACAAATCTTTGGCTGCTGAATTGTCCAGGATCAGATCAGCCGGATCGCAGAGCAGTAACGAGGATGGTCCAAGCAACATGTCTCAACTACCACCGGCAGTCAGTAACACAAGTAGAAGGAGTGATGTCGCCGCCCAGATCTCTATATTGTCGACCAGTGCCGCTGGGGAACGGCAGTATCTGGGCTCGACCAGTGGTGTACTATTCGCGGATTTGGTGAGAGCAAGCGTCGACGTTCCTCATTCGCGACATCCATCGCCACCAATCACTGTACACTCTGAGGACTCGCCAGATTTTTCTGATGAGATCCGTCAAGAAATTCCACGAGAACTGCCGCCAAAGAGACTAGCACGGAAGCTGATACAAGCGTATCTCGATCACGACTTCCTCAGCTATCCCTTCCTTATACCTTCAGAGATCCATAGGATTTTGGACTGTCTGTACGGTTCTGGATTGAACAGTCTGACGTGCTACGAGCTCTTCATGATTGATATGCTTTTCGCTATCAGTACCGCGCAAGTCTCCAAGTACGACTGGAGGCAGCTACCGAGTGCTGAGAGCCATCATGCTCGGGCAATGTCTAACATTGGTGGGGTTCTTCGCCTTGGAGGGTTGCAGTCTTTACATGCTATCCTTCTGCTTTGTCAATACAGAACTGGTAGCTCTATACAAGACAACTCGGGTTCGATGTGGCTACTCGTCGGGATAGCTGCTCGGATGTGTTTTGAGATGGGACTACACAAGGAGTCAGCCTACCCATTAACCGGATCTGGAGATGATGATGCAACATCAAAGCGTTATCTACTGCAAGAATCGAAGAGACGATCTTTCTGGAGTGTCCTCTGTATGGACAGAATAACTTCGCTCATTCTTGGCCGACCATGTGCTATAAGAGACGATGACTTCGAGCATATCTGTCCAACAGAAGATCTAACGATAGTCTCATCTCCCAGAGTAGAGGGACAGAAGATACCTTTTGTCTTCAGACACATTGTGTCTTACAGATTGCTTTGCGGACGAATCGTATCTGCCCTCCACCGCAAGAAAAGTTCGGATGTCTCGGAGCAACATGTTCTGCAAATTAGACAAGAACTATGTGCAGACCTCGAAAGATGGAAACAAGATGTAGAACAGTTGCATCTGGAACAGACTTCGCAAACGTCCTCTTCCTGTCACCTGTCTATGGAGTGGTACAATCTATTGTACTCTAACGCTATGCTTATCCTGTGGCGCCCTTCACCGCTCGTACCTGATGTTTCGCATGATGCAAAATCCCTACAATTCATCTTCGAATCGGCAAAACAGAGCATCACAATTTACGCGAGCCTCCACAAGTCCCGCAAGATTAACTACAGTTGGATTACTTTGCAGTCAGTATTCCTTGCCGGTCTGTCATATGTATATGCCTGCGGTCGCCACTTCCGCTCACGCTGGCGAAACCCTTCGGAGCCATCCTTGCAGAAAGACCCGACGACCATCGAAGTAGTGAACGACACAAGGGCTTGCTCAAATGTGCTGGTAGCCGTCTCCGAACGTTGGAACGCACTCAGGAATTGCCACGAAGTATTCGACAGACTGTCGGATGCCATCTTGAGTGATGCAATCAAGCTTCAGACCGCACAAGCACAACACATGGCTCAATCTATGGTAGCGCAACCTGTCGGTATGAATAACAACCACAGCAATAATTTCAACAACACTTTGATGACGCCGCGGGACGCAACCACATTCTCCCCGTTAGCGGTCGACACGGAGTTTCTGCACTGTTTTGACGATTTGCAGCAACTGTACAACATGCAGCAAATTGAAGATCCAATCATGGAGTTGAGTCAAGACTGGCTCGGATATCTAGGCAACGGTAGTGAGTTTGTCGAGCCTTCGTATCAGATACCGGGGTATTGAGGAGTTCGCCAACCTATCCGAACAGAGTGATGATAAAAACGACTCTCTCATAGAAGATTATGTATCTATATCCAGCGTGAAAAATCCTATTATATCGCGCCTCTGTGCAAAAACATAGTCGGGACGTCCACGTGCTTGCTGCGCAGATATTCGCCCACACCTTTACCCAAGCCATCGATACGAGCACTCGACGCGATACCGCCATCGAGGAAGTCCATAATGCGGCTATAACATCATCAGTAACGAAACTGAAACGTTGGTCAAGGTCTGTGACTTACAANATGCACCGCGAAGATGTTCGGAAACTCGCAACGCTCAATCCTGTGCCCAGCATAATCTTCTTGCAGCAGTCCAATTAATTTGTCCACTGTGAGTAAAGATTGTAACCATGAATACTCATCAGCATGGCGGACGAAGAAACCAACGTTGGAGTTGTTTGCTTTGTCACCAGAGCGCGCGTGCACGATGCTACCTAGCGGTCTACGCTCAGTGGGTCCAAAGGTAGCAAGATTGACTGGATTCATCGTTTCTGACGAAGGCCGCTGGACGGGGTAATGCTGTGTCTTCTTTGGCGCGGCGATTGAGATTCTTCTTCCAGCTACTAGAGCTTCATGGTTGATAGCGACTTGTGGGATCGTCGCTGGGAAGATCTCATAGAATTGTTTTGGGTCCATGGTGCGGAAGTCGAGGTTCATGTGATAGCCTGGATAACTCTGCATGCGTAGTGAATACAATGGTATCTTGAACTTTTCCGCTGTAATGTCTTCTTTGTGCCGTGCTTGAGCAAATACTCGCAGCATTACGGTACCTGCTTGTTGCGAAGACGGATTATCAGCTTGGGTGCCATAGAGCTCTGCGGAGAATTTGGAGAACTGGCTGCCACTGAATATCTTCTGGAGCTGTTGCTTCATCATCTGTGCTTTGGCTTGTACGTCAAGACCATTGATGTAGTATGTTGTTTCCGCTTGCCAGCCTCCTGGTGCCGCGACCATGACTTTAGTGGTTGGAGGAGGTGGAGAGCCTTTGCAACCAGATACCAAAACACAATTGTCGCGACCAGTGTTCTCGATACGAATACTGGCAATGTCCGCTACTACATCAGGGTTCAGGTACATTTGTCCTTGGAGCTCGTACAGCAGCTGAGAGGTGATGTTGAACTTGTTGACCACACCATTCATCGAGTCAGGCTTGGTGATATAGCATGACCCAGATGGCATGATTTCTGCTACTGGGAAGGCCAGGTCGACCAGCTCTGGAAGGAACTCCTTGAAGCCAGAGAAATTTGCTCCTGTGGCATACGGTCCACATTCGATGAGATGACCTGCTATTAGTGTTCCAGCCAATTGATCATAAGAGTTCTCAGACCAGCCGTACCACCAAGCAGCAGCACCAATGACTGGCGAGGCATCCGTGACACGACCACAGATGACGATATCGGCACCCTCTTTGAGCGCTGCGACGATGCCCCACGCTCCTATATATGCAGCGGCACAGGTAGGCTTGAGCTCATCATTCCAATTCTCTAGAAGCTGTTCTTGATAATCCAGGTGAGGAAAGTCAAGAACTCGATGGCCAGACTTGCCCTTCTTCAGGAGATGGCTTACATCGTCGCCGAGTATCGTCGCTACCACCAAATCATGACCACGACTTTGACACAGTTCCTCGACCTTGCGAGCTAGTACTGGAGCATTCATCGCTCCGGCATTGGTGATGATCTTAGTCTTTCGCTCCGCAATATCATCAATACACTCGGTGAGCTGTCTGAGGAAGCCCAAGTCGTAGCCGAGTTCTGGATCTTCAGCCTTCTTGATCGATTCCCAAGCGATGTTCATCTCTGATAACCTTCCCATGAATCAGCGCGGTGAGATAACTTGGAGAACATGCACTCACCAGTCGCCAGTAATCACATCGACATCGGCCTCTCGTACCATGCGAGCCATTGCATGAGGGGCATCGCCTGTTGCACCACTGCAATTCCCAATTCTCAGATTCCTTTCTGTAGGCATAATGTCTTTTAGTCTGGGTTTTTGTTCTTCTGGAGCTCAGGAACAGCAAGGAGACAGGTTCGCATATCTACCAAGGAATTTGACCGACCCTCCCCAATTAGCGGCATTCTACTCTCGGTCGTCGGCGGACACCATATTCGTGTTACATCTTGTGGTTGAGAGTCCGCCTCGGACACAGACAGGGAGCCGAAGAATAGTACTCTATCTTGTCGGGCGTCGGTCCCTGAAGCCTATTTGGGGCCTTCCGAATTCCAGCCACTCACTTCATTGATGACACGTCGTGCACGGTGTGGGGACTCCACAGCGGGGCAAAATGGGTGTCATTGTTGTTCCTCGTCTTCCAAGACCAGGCTTAGAGCCATACAGTCTTCGGTTACTATGGCCTCAGATCATCGGCGCGTAATTTACCACAGTGAAAATCATCAAGTCTCGAGCGGGGATGCTGCGACGTCCGCCGGCAGTCATGGCAGGCTGCACAGGCCGAGATGATCGTCTAGTATAAAATTCAAGGTATACCTCGAATAGCAGCTAAGTGGTTACAACATCTTCCACAACATGAGGTTCAGTCTTGCCCTTGCTGCTCTTGGAGCTCTGTCGACCTGTGATGCACTTCTCACAATCAAGAACAACGATTGTGCGACGTTCATTCACAACCTCTCTCTTCCAGAAAACACCACGATCTCGAATACAACATATCATCCACCTCAGACAATCAATATCACCGGCGGAGCGCAGAATATCTATAACAAATATGCGTTCTGCGAGGTAGATGGCATCATCTCGTACGGCAGAAACTCAACTTTGCACTTCTCAGTCTATCTTCCAGATGCCATATCTTATAATGGCCGCTTCATGGCTGTTGGAAATGGTGGTATGGCTGGAACACTAGACACAGTGGCTCTGATGCAGCAACTGAACTCTGGCTTCGCCTCTGCCGCTGGCGATGCAGGCCACCTTGCCAGACTAAATAACGCCGGTTTTGGGGCACCTGATACTTACCTCCCATATCTGCACGATGCAGACGAAGTACAAGCCTGGATCCACAATGCGATTTCTCTCTTCGTGCCGTCCACGAAAGACATTATCAAGGCTTACTACAATAAAGCTGCAGCCTATAGCTACTACAGTGGTTGCTCGACCGGTGGAGCTCAGGGCTTTTCCTTGGCTCAATACCATCCTGAGCTTTTTGATGGCATCATTGCCGGGTGTCCTGGTAACTGGTACTCACATCTTGCTCTCTCGTTCCTATGGAATGGACAACACGCAGTAGTGAACACATCGTCCTATCTCTCGCAAGCAGTCTTGAACTTTACCGGTCAAGCAATCTTGGAAGCCTGCGATGCGAATGATGGCGTCAAGGATGGGGTCATCGAAAACCCCCTGAACTGCAACTTCTCCATCGACTCTTTGGCTTGCAACACTACCACAACATCGCAGAGTAACAACAGCATATCCTGTCTTACTCCAGACCAAATCACAGCTGCAAAGGCCATCTACGCTGGACCCAAGAATGCGGAAACCGGAGAACAGCTATATCCTGGTTTTGCTCATGGTTCAGAGATCCAATGGATTTTGCAAGAGGGTAACCTCGCCGATGCTTTCTCCATTCCCATCCTGCAGAATCTGGTTTACGACAACTTGACGTACAACGCATCCACCTTCAACTGGGCAAGCGACGTGTCCGACGTCGACGCAAACGCTGGAGCCAAAATTGATGCGATAAGCACCAACCTCACCGCTTTCCGCAACAGAGGTGGCAAGTTGCTGGTCTACCAAGGCTGGTCTGATCCCCTCAATGCTCAATTCTGGCCGATCCAACATTATGAAGATGTGCAGTCCTTCTTTGGTGATGACATCTCGGACTTTTACAACGTATTCATGGTTCCTGGTGGTGGACACTGTGGAGCTGCGAGCTTTTATCCTCAAGTGCCTGCAACGTACCATACCGTGCCTGCACTGATGGATTGGGTGGAGAGAGGGGAAAAGCCAGAGGAAGTTCTGACGACCGATCCTTCTGATGGGGAGACGAGGAGTAGGAAGTTGTGTCCCTGGCCGAGAACAGCGACATATGTTCAAGGCGATGTTGATGATTGGACATCGTATGTTTGCGAATGATCGACGATGCCCCCACAACATGATGAAGTTTGTATATTTAAACATGCGCAAGACTTCAACTTCTCCTCAAGGGTCACTGAAGCTTTGTAGACTCCAACCTCATGCCATGAACTCAATCCTTGGACCCTTCTCTCCACTTCGCCTCTCTATATAATCGTCCTTTCCACATCGTTTCGTGGCTTTCTTTCAATTCACCTTGACAGATCCTACGTTTTGCTTCACCAGCCCTCGTCTCTGCAATTGTCCTTCATGATGACCTTCGACATACCAAACGACCTGAGCAGTTTAATCTGCTCAATCCTCCTTCTGGCTTCTACTGCATCCAGTGCCGTCATCCAGTCCCTTCCCGATAAATCCATCATCAGTCTTGCTTCCATCAAAACCCCAACTCCTGTCTTCGACCGTCCCGTCGACATCTCTACTGAGAAACTCGTTGACTTGGACTTCATATCCACTCCCACCACCTCCATCGAGTCCAACGCCGCTATCACCTTTCCACACTGGACTGTCATCACCGACACCGCCATATTTCCCAACACAGACACCTTCGCCAGCATGATCACCCCAGCCCCCGAACCCGTCCGCGAGCGCAGAGAAGCAAACTACGACCCCAACGACCCCAACTGCAAACGCATCGACCTCTGGGAAAACCCTTTGCACAATGTTGCCGATCCGAGATATACCACCAGTTGCCGTGCAGAGTATAATCCCAACTACAAGCCTTATACTTTTGATGATGAGCGTGGGAGTGAGGAGATTGAAAAGGATAGGAAGAAGAAGGCTGAAGATAGTGATAGTGATGATGATGATGATTAGGGGAATGGTCATGGCGATGGCGATGGCGATGGGGGCTGGAGTTTAGATGGGTGTGGGATTCGAGCTTCATGCGAGAAAAGAAAGTCTAGGAGGGAGTGAGGTATGAGAAAGGCTAATGGAGAAATTGGAAAATTGGTAGTTGTGTATTTAATAATGTTAATGTTGACTTTTGCATTACCATCGCATATACTTTCCCACTCAACCAGCAAACCCAGGCACAACCTTTTCCCNCACCAACCTCTCCAAAGCCCCCTCAATACTCTCCCAAGTATCCTGATAGCCACTCCACCCAGCCTTTCTAGCTTTACTCATACCAATCACCAAATCAAAATTCCTGCCCAGCACAAAGTTTAGAAATCCCCATGTTGCATTGTCGAATGCTGATGTATCCAAGCCTTCACGAGTCGCAAGTCTCTCCCAGGCGTCCTTGACTTCTGGCTTTTTTGCCCATTTGGAAAGGTCGATTTTGCCGTGCACAAAAGATTGTTGAGTAAAAGTAGAGTCAACGAGACCGGTCTCGGCAGCAAATTCGGAGAGTGGAGGGGTGGGATGGAGTGGCATAATCAGTCCATCTTCACCAAACTCGTTTTTGAAGTCTTTGTCGTCAAACATCTTGTCGGGAATATGGCAACCGAATTTCGCAGCCACCTTGGGCCAGAGGTGTTGCCAGGACTCTATGTCGCCATTGACGACATTGAATGCATTGTTTGCCGCGCCTGGTGCAAAAGCTGCCCAAGCATTAAACTGCGCATGCAAAGTCGAACAAGTAAAGCTGTCGAATTTGGTGTAAAAGTGAGGGGAGCCTGGCCAGATAAGTGGTTGCTTCAATTCCTTGCAGATGGAAGCATAGATGCCAATAGCCGAGACCAAGTTCATGAAGTTTCCTTTGGCTACACCAATGACATCGTTTGGGTAGGTGACTGTCCATTCCCAGTGGTTTTCTTCTGCTTCCTTTTTGAGGATTTCTTGCTGGCGGTAGTAGAAGTTTGAGGGGTAATCGGGATTCGTGAGCCAGTGATCGGATTCATACATCGGGTTCTTGGGGGCGCCAAAGTGGACGCCGTATTGTTTGGCGCCGGTGGTTAGGATGAAGCGTTTGATCTTCTTTGCGGCGCCTGTGATTTTGAGAGCAGTGATGAAGTTCTGGAGCATGTCGCCATTGACTTTGGTTGCGTCGTCTTCATCATCTTGAGCGAGGTAGGCTGTGAAGAAGACGTATTCGGCGTCGACATGTTCGATCTCCTTTGCCATGTCCTCGGGGTTGCCTTGAAGGTCCAGGTGGGTGTGCTTGACATTTGATGGGTAATCTTCTTTCTTGCTCCGGGACAGAGCATATACAACCGGCCATGTCTTGGTGTCTTTGGCCAGTTCGAAGACAATCTCGCGGCCGAGAATGCNCTGCAATGTAATTAATTAGTTCTTGATTTTATGTATGGTGCCAAGTCAAAGCTTACCAGTGGCTCCTGTCACAATTGCGTTAGGCATGCTGAATGAATGGTCACTACTTTCTGTGATGTATGCTATGTTTATTCAAAGCCTGAGGAACTCGTCAAAGGCAGAGCGATGTGGTTGATAAATCACATATCACGACGGCCATTCTGTAAGCATGACGTAGATATGATGGGGTGGATGATACAAGTACAGACTGATCAACTTCCTATTTAAGGTAGAATTCGTTTATGCACATCAACCGGAGTGGAAAGTCAGATTAGGTTCAATGTTGCTCGGTCAAACATGCAAGGACCGACGGTGGCCGAGTAGAGGGGTCTCTGCATTGTCGAGAATAGTCGAACTGTTGGTTCGTTCTTGAGAAATCTGGCTAAGATTTCTAATTCAATTGTCAACTTCTGCGGACCCGATAAAGTCGTAGCGTCGTGATGGTAGTGTGTCCGTTTATATGGGTAGTTCTTGAAGTAGACGGCTTTTCATGTGGCACATCTCGCCAGCGTTATGAGGGTATACCCGCCTGCCCCTAACAAAGCGGTGGGAGGAGACTTGTATAGCAAAGGCCTCGGAGCAGTCGAGATGTTATAAGTGGCGTAAAACGAGCTCAAGGGTTCTTGTGGCGGCCACGAGATTGCGAGCGGAGTTCGTCCATGAAGTGAGACAGGAAGCCTTCTTTGGGTGTTTCAGGTGGGAGATCTGGTTTGGAGCGAGCACTGCCGTCTTGCGTAGGTCGGTTCGGCGTGGGGTGATGTGCTTGTGTTGTGCGTGTCGGGTCGGACTTTTCCAGAGGATTACTTTCGACCTTCTTGCGACCGACTTGTGATTGAATCTCGTCCCAAAAGTGTGAACCGAAGCCTGGCCCTTGTCCTGATGAATGTCAGCAGCTGACGATAAGCATGCGAGATGGACGAGGGAGAGACGGACTCTCGAGGTTTGTGCCTCCTTCATCTCCTTCTAGAGGACCATGTCGTAGGCGGTATATGCTCTTGTGAACCCTTCGGACGCCTCGGTGGAATGCCTGGCTTTCTAGTAGCTGAGAAGAAGGGTGTCAGTGTATGCCTAGTCATTCTACGTGGAGGGCGCATACTTGTTTGACTAGCCATGCCTGTACTGAGGTTAGCGACTGGGTGGCAACGCAGGTTATCACATAGCGGAGACACTTGCCTCTACGATTGCTAACCAAGGGCCCCTCATGTTGGGAATCTAGTCGAGTACAATGTGACTGCTCGTGGACAGAAGCAAAACGTGTTGTCTGATTGTCAGAGAAGGAAAGAGCGTACTTGGATGACGCCTACGGAGATAATGGACTTTTGCAGACAAGTCGGCTTGGGGGAAGGTGCAACCGAGGCTCTCCAATCGAGACTCTGCAGCATGCACCTGCCCATATGGAGCTGTGAGAATACGAGGAATCCGAGGAATCGACATCACCACAACTGGGACATCCTTCTTTCCTAATCTGAGCAAGACTTGGTGTACACAGTCGAGTGATTTCTGTTCCAATGGTATATCAGAATGCGAAACGGTTTCGGACAAGGTGCCGACGACCGAGGGGCAGGCCGTCATAGGCCATGTCATGTTTCACACTTTCAGCCTCGAATCTCCCAAGACGACACCATCTCATCCAACTTCCACTCGTACCAGTCGATATCCTATTCTTTCAGCCTCGCTTCTGGCTTGTTCCGTTCGGCTTTCACTCGCGGACTTGACCATATAACTCACGCAACCCTCCGCCAAGTTGGCTCACCACACGTCGCCCCGGCGCATTCGCCTACTTGATAAGCACCAAAGGTTTCTCGAACGACGATCCGCCGGTATCAGAAGAGCCATGGCTACTCGCTCCACTTCCAACCACTCGTTGCCTGACACGCCTTCCTCACTGCCTCAATTCCTCCGTCAGGACCGCTCAGCACTGGTCAACAAGTTCCACTACATCGAGAACCTACAGCGCGACCGCCTGACCGAACAGTACGAGAATCCAGAGAAAGAGTCGGAATGGACACGCTTGACTGGCGACCACATTGCCTATCGCAACCGCTACATCAACGTCGAACCCTTTGCGAACAACCGCGTCAAGTTGAACGTCCGAGAAGGCTTCAACGACTACATCAACGCTTCCCCCATTGCACTGGGCCCCCGCCGCTACATTGCTACCCAAGGCCCCAAGAACACTTCGACTTCTCAATTCTACCGCATGCTTGCTCAAGAATCGACCGATAGAACCCCTTCGGTTGTCATCATGCTCACACAAACCCACGAGGCTGGCCGCGAAAAGTGCTTCAAGTACTTCCCCGACAGTAAAGACACGCCTCTCGAACTCCACCCTGATCCCGACCTTGACGATGGTAAGTTTTCCATCACACAAGCCACATGATAACTAAACTGACCTCTGACTCTCNNAGGTTTCGAGGGCATCGTCGAACTTCTGGCCGCCGAAGAGGACCCCGCATGCCGCTGCACCACCCGCCACTTGCGCCTGCGCTACAAGACACCGACTCAAGAAGGTCAAGATGACGAACGGCACGAAAAGGAAATCTACCACTTGCTCTTTGCCGGCTGGCCAGACTTTTCAGTCCCAGAGGGCGAGAATCGCAAAGCCATGCTCAACCTCATCGACAAGTCCGCAACCTTCAATCTCCCGCATGCTGTCGCGACTGCCACTTTTCCTCTCGACACCGCATCAAAGCCTCCATCAGAAAACACACCCAGTCCACGTATCATCCACTGCTCTGCCGGTGTTGGTAGATCAGGCACTTTCATTGCTCTAGACTTCTTGCTCGCTCACCTGGAACAGGGCAATCTTGACACTGTTCCAGATGACGTTGATCCCATTCTGGACACCGTCAATGCTATGAGGAAACAGCGTATGATGATGGTCCAGAGTGAAGCTCAGTTTCTGTTCCTCTACGATGTCATGCGCCTTGCCTGGTTGGACCATCACGATACCTCCGGCACAGTACCTTGAACAGTCCAATAACGCACCTCCACATACACGCATCTCGAAGCTCCACTGATGAAGCAGTGGGCTATCGTAACACGATTGTCAATACACTTCTCCAGCCCTTGCAATACTGCGAGACTCGACGTTGTACCCATCATCACATTGTACAGTCTCCACGACCCTCGTCCCTAGATTTAGCAGAATCACGCTCCATTCGTCTCGACGGGGGATTGTGATGGCAGATCGCAGATAAAACCCGACACTCATGACACTTGTGCGCATGGGGACAGAAGACAATACACAAAAGCATTCTAGACACAAGCTAGAGACGCGAAATGATCAAATAAAAGAACGAATGGTCGTTTTCTCCTCATCAAATCTCATTTTAAGGTGGCCATATAGAAAAGGGCTTTTTGCCATAAGAAACTCGAAACTTTGATTCCACACTTTTGTCATTTTCCCTATTTTAGTTTGTATGAATATAGATTTCTTCATTTTCTTCTCTCAATTTCGTATTTCGTGTCTTCTCTCTCTTCAAAGCCCATGTGGAGCGGGAATACCAGACTGCCCGCCTCTTGCATTATCCGAAATTTACTTTTCTAGCAAATATTTGAACTTTTCCCCCTTTTGGGCACATGTGTAAAACATGTTTGGAAAAAAAGTACAAATACCTACAGTATACACAGGATATTCAAAAAGAGCCAGCTGGCAAAAGGAACACAAAAAGTCTGGGGTTCACCAAAAGTCTCTTAGAACACAGCACCACCGATGATAAACACCCTCTCCTCTTCTTTCCTGACCCACTTGATGACCTCTTGTGCCGCTTTAGCCACAGTCTCCCTCTTCACTCCCGCCCCGGCGACACCGTAAAATTCATACTCCTTGGTTTCCCAACCAAGTGCGACTGCATCCTTTGCGCACGCGTAGTGAACCTTTAGATGCGCGGTTTTGTTGTGTACCGCAGTGTGTAAAGCAGAGTATAGAGATACCAAGCGGCGATGAGGTACCAAAGAAGAAAAATGAGGGTGCAAGGAGGGAGTGAAGAATTGGACGTTGGGTCGGGATTTGTAGATGAAGTGCAGGAGNNGGGGGGAGGAGGGGAGGATGGAGGAGATGGTGGGGCGGCCGCGGCGGATGGAGGTGCTAAGGATGGCCATGCTGCCGTTTTGGTTTAGTTGNNCTGTGATTGACGAGACATGTCAGTATTGTGCTGGTGGGTAAGTCGTGGAACCTGGAGAATGACTTACCTCTATCAAGTCGTCGCGCATCTGGCGTAATTCGTAAAAGGCCTCTTTATCCGCGCTGATGAGGATGATAGCCAATTGATCGTCATCGCGAGGAGAAGTCGAAGCTTGCGATCTTTCTTCCGATACTTTTGCGTGATCTGCACCAATGTCCAAGAAACTAACATACATGTACAAGAATCCAGTATTGTTGAAACCAGGCAGACATAGCGGGATCCAGTTCTCGCCACCGCCGGCTTTGACGCTGCCGGCTTCGAAGAGCATGTTGAAGATGAGTTGGAGGTCGCCTGGGTGGAGAGAGTGTTTTCGTGGTCGTACTACACTGACTAGACGTCCACCTGCTACCATGAGACCGTAGAGCAGATTTGGTGATTTGACTTTGAGAAGAGTGTTGTTGATGACTTGGCGATGAGCTTTTCTGATCTTCAGGCATTCAAGTGCAGATAGAAGTGTTGGTAAGGAACCTCTTGTGAAGCCATCTGCCAAGGCTCCGAGTAACACCTCTGTGCCTTGTAGTGGTCGTCGTAAGTCTGTGGAAGGTCGATTAGAGAACATGCGTTGCATGCTCGGTAGAGTCAGTGTCGAAAGGATCTGCATATACAGAGATTCCAACTGCGTCTTAAGCTGCAAGTCACTCTCGCCGAGTCTGCTGATGGCCGCCAGATTCAGATGACCCTTGGACAGAATCACGAACCTCGCGTTTCCAGCAGTGAAGCCTCGTAGATTGTCGTCCACGTCCTGATAGAACGAGATGAGAGTCTGTAGTATTCCAATGTGATTGGCGATAACCTGATCGTCTCCATGCCTACTCCAGATGGGCTTTCCCGCCGACGAAAGAATGAAGAAATGCTTGAGTTTCGCAGTCCACGAATTCATCAAAAACTCCTCATTCGTGCCATTGGCTCTAAACTCCTCCAACTCGTCAAATTCATGATGCATGCGAAGGCTGAAGATGTCATCCTCATCAAAAACGTGATCCATTGGGTTTTCCTTTTCGAGTTGCGCACTCAGCGATTTCCAAGCAGGGCTAGTAGGAAACGGGTCACCGAGAAGACTTTCCATCTCGGCGCCTGTTCCAAGGGTGTTAGCGAAGCTGCGAACACTGCTTGTTTCAGCTGCGTCACTGCCCACGCGACTTCGAAACCGGTCCATGGTGGCCGTACTCTGTTTTCTGGATACAGGCCGGCTGGAATGAGCAAGAGTCGGCGAACCATGGTCTTGTGGATCATTTGACGTGTGTACATCAGTCAGGGAAACCGCGGTGGTTGGTCGTGCTTGCAAGTTCGGTCGCGAGGCCATCCGCTTTGGCAACCTGACAGACCCGCCAGATCCCCTTTCATCTAGTAAATCCAGATTCGTTGGTCTTGGGGGTAGCGGCGGTCGAATCTCCCGTGAGTTCTCCATCACGTCCTGTCTATGTTGTCTGTCTTTGGCGTCTGGAGATGTTGTCGGTGGTGAGGACGGGAGTTCCCTCGGCGCAGATTCATTCGCCACGGCGACCCGGCTCGCCTCGTCGGACATGTTAAATCATATGTCGAGTTTGTGTCGTGAGAAGAGAATGCGAATGGTCAATACCAAGTGTGATGCATCATATGTTCATCATTCGCATTCGACGAGCAACGTGGCTGGGGCTTGGTGTGGCTGTGCAACTTCCTAATCAGGGTCACCACAGTTACAACTTTTGATAGTAACACTTTGATTCATATACTTTTCGGCAGGTGGTTGAAAAGAATGCAACATATCTTTGAGACTGGAAATCAGCTTCCTAGGTTCAAAGCACAGATTTTGATGTTCAAAGCTAACTGGAACCTGGGTTGTATACTGAATCTTGTGGTTCCGTTGAATACAAGGGCAACCATGATTCAGGCGTCAGATCAAGATATTTGTACGATAGCTAAAGTGCAGACGAGGTCGAGCTAATATGAATAGTTGAAGAAGATGAATGCTTCGCACTTTTGATATGCCGTACATACAAAAAAGAACGCCATCATCCCAGTAATATTGTCAGAGAACTCCGCGCATGGTATATGCAGTGAACACATCTATTTCTTATCCTTCTTCTTCTTGTCCTTCTTTTCAGCCTTCTTTCTAGCCTTTTCCTCCGCCGTCTCAGGAGCCTCATCCAGAGTGCCCTCAACCAATTTCTCGGCTGCCTCTGCTGCCTTTCGGAACCTCTTTTTCTCTTTGGGCGTTTCTGCCTCCTTCTCATCACGCTTGCGCTTGCTGCGGGCTTCCTTTGCAGATTTCTCGACTTGCTTGGCGTTAGCGTCGCTTTCGTCCTCGGAGGAACCAATGAGACCAGGATCCTCGTCACCGAAACCTGGAGGCTTGTATCTCATTCTCATGCCTTTGGGTTGAGGACGAGGTGCACTGATGGTAGTGGTTTTTAGACTTGCTGCGGCATTTGAGCCGGTGTTGGGATCGGTTTGATAAGCAGAGAGGTTGGGAAGGCGGATGGTTTGTTGCAGGTGAAGAGTCTTTGAAACAGGGACCTCGACGGCGGTGTATGCGTCCGACTTTGATGAGGGTAGCAAAACGCGGGCGTTGTTGGTGGGTTCCTCAGCCAAGTTGTAGTCGGTTCCGTCGTGCGAAAGAATGGTTTGGTGAGATTGAATGGCGGAGAGCGACACGGACTTGATTTGAGATAGCGGGACAGATGAAGGAGCGGTGATATGCCAGATCTGTTTCGAGGAGATGGTAGAAGGGTCGAAGAGGGAGTTGACTGTCTTTGCAAGGGCAGACTTTGTGTTAAGTGCCTTGTAACCCGGCGGAGGAACAAAAGGCTGGGGAGGAACGACAGCTGCTGCTGTTGTCTCGGAGGCGGCAGCTTGGCCAGCGGCTCTAGCGGGTGCAGCAGGCTTCTCAGCCTCGGCCATCTCGACATCGCTATCGCTCTCTTCCTCGTCGCTACTGTCGTCTGATTCCGATACCTTCTCCGAGCTCTTCGATGACTTGGTCGCCTTGGACGTCTTTATTGCTGCACCATTGGCCGTCACAGCAGCAGGAGCTTTCTTCTGTGCGTTTGCCTTTGCGACGGCAGCGTCCAAGTTGGCGTCTGAGTCTGATTCCTCGTCGCTGCTGTCATCGGGAACTGGAGGGCTGTTGGGTTCCGTCTCTTTGACCTTGCTTGGCTTGGGCTTCTTGGTGTTCTTGCGCTTCTCTGCATCGCTCTCGCTGCCGCTGCTGTGACCACTGCTGCTGTCGCTGTTGGATTCATTGCTGTCGCTGACATTTTGTACTTCTTCGGAGTGTGGAGGTGCCTTGCGCAAGGTATCGGACATCTTGGGGGCATTCAAAGCAGCCTGACCCTTCAGGGCGACCCTTGTCTCCTTAACCTTGGGCATTTTGAACGATGGTGGTGGTTGTCAATGCTAACCAAGCATACGAGGTTGGTGGGGAGTGATGATGTAGGTATCGAATATGGTATTGATGTTGGTGGTATTGGTGAAATGTACGCGGATGTCGTTTGCAGCCGACTCTTTCGAGTCTTTTGATGTAAATGGTATGCAAAAGGAAAAGACCATGTCGAATAATTTTTGGCGGTTGATCAAAGCTTCGCAACCGCCAAGCTCTTCTTCTCCGCTCTCTTCTCCGTCGCAAAATCCCCAATCCGGCAAGAGCCAACGACATCTTTGACTTTTTTATATCACAAACTACCCATCATTCTCGTCCTGAAATGTTGAGGAAGACGTCTTGATAAGCAAGTACACAGGTCCAGAATAAAACATCGCCACTCAAATCGTTCAATCAAGAAAGACCAATCGAGAAGTTAATTCGGAAAGAATCATCGAAAAGGAACAAACTTTTGTTTTGCAAAGAGAATGACCATGCAGCAAAAAGAAAAGCTCAGGAAGCTTTCCCTGCTGCGACCACACAGCGTAAGTCTAGACAGCTCACACTGCTTGAATATATAATGCTCATACTAACAAATCAATCAGCTCGCCTGAGTGCATTCGCTGCAGCTAAAGCCAAGGCAGCAGCAAGCCAAATACCTTCTGATGATGTATCAGAGGCGAGCGTGATTGCTGCTGCAAACGTTACCGGAGTCCCTCGTACCAATGGCGGCGCTGATGCTGAAAACCCACAGCTTTCCACCTTGTTGTCGAGTTTTCCCTTGACAAAGGCTCAAGAGCTTGACAGCCAGGCGTCTAGCGACGATGAACGAGATGATACCGACTGTGACGGCAATTATTCTCGTCCCTACAATGGAAACGCATACAAAACCGACCAACCATGCAAGCTCTCGAATCTACCACCGGACTCACAATGTATCATTTCAGACACGTCCGAGATGCTCAGCCTAAGACTGGGAGACGGAGAGACTGCTACTTTTGTTGGAGAGTACGACTTGCGCGTCAAGTCTGGATATGTCATGATTTACGGCGCTGTACTGAGGTCTGGTCCGACGAAACACCGTGTATATGCACCGACCACACATGCATTGCCGGTCATCATCGCAAGGGGCGGTCCTGCTGAAGTTGATATTATCTCGGTGATCCGCTCGCTAGGCCTCTTGAGCAAGGTTTCTCCTCTGTGGACGAAGCTTTGGCATGCCCAGACTCCGAAGGACACACATCAGGTAGAGCCAGAGTCAAGGTCTTTTGCGCTGCTTCGAAGCTCTTCTGACGACCCCCTGAAACGTGCCGTCACGACTCTCGAGGTTGAGCAAGATTGTCAAATCACTCTGAACAGGGTCTTGAGCAGAGAAACTGCAACACATCCCAGCTCAGTAATCATGGTCTCTGGTCCCAAAGGCTCCGGCAAGTCGACCATATGCAAATGGATCATCAATACTTTCTTGACTGCTTCGAAGGCGACAGCATCCACATCATGCTTTTGGCTGGATCTCGATCCCGGACAGCCTGAATACTCGGCGCCTGGTCAGATGTCTCTGGTTCAGATTCGATCGCCTGTTCTTGGACCAAACTACACACATCCATCTGGTCATGTCAGTTCGGCTCACAGAACAATCAGATCACATACAATTGCTGCCAACTCGCCTAGGGACGACGTTGTTCACTTCCTGGCTTGCGCAATGGATCTGCGTGATGAGTACTTCCGTGCTTTGGAGGATTTCGCTGGAGCACCTTTGATTCTCAACTGCTCTGGCTGGGTGCTTGGATCTGCAGTCTCTGCCATGATGGAACTGGTCCAGCAATTCCCTTTGACAGATGTCGTGCTTATGGAGCCCATGGAGAGAGATACCGTTGCATCCATCGAAGCCACACTACCAATGGCCAAGGTCCTGATGATCCCACCCCGATACAAGCCCGCTCAATCTCGTACAAGTGCCGAGCTGCGCGCCATGCAAGCAATGTCGTACTTCCACTCTCTACCCCCAAGCAAAGGACTATCCCAATGGACAAACGACACACTCTCCCAAATCCACCCTTGGCACGTCAAATACAACGGCCCCAACGCTGGTATCTCATCGATAATGTCCTACGGCGAAGCAGTAAACCCAGACTTTTTGGCATCAATTATTGACGGCATGATGGTTGCCATCTGCGAAGTCGAGTCTGATGAAGCGTATGCTACAGTCCAATACAGACCTCCTCACGTCCCCTCCGCCTCAGCAGCGGAAATGGGCGAAACGATGACAGAACGAATCGGCAGAACACCTGAAGGCCTACCCTATCTCCGCGCCGACAACAGTGGACTAATCCAACCCCTCGACCCACGCTTTTCATGCTGCAAAGGATTGGCCATCGTCCGCGGCATCAACGTCGCAAAACAGGAATTACAACTCATCACACCCATGTCGGTGAAACAGATTAAAGCTCTGCAGGGTAGTAAGACAGTATTGGTTAGAGGCAAATTCGACTCGCCTTCTTGGTTGTTCCTGGAGGATACGTATAGTGGAGAGGCGCAGAGAGTCAAGAGGCAGGAAGTGTTTAGTGTATTGAAGGATAAGACCAGTAGACCGTATGTCGCTCAGAGGGATGCGAACGAGACGGGATTGGGACTGGGAGAAAAGGAATGGAGGGTCAGACACTTGCCCAGAAATTTTGGAGCTAGGAATGCGTGAGAGGCGCCGTGGGCGCCTCTTTGGTGTGTTTCTGCCAAAAAAAAAGCGTGTGTCTTTAGTATACTCATAAACACCCTTTTTCCATCTAAAGGCCCGATCCATGGCTCATCGAAAGGGGTATGCTACGGAACTCGGCCATGTTGAAAGTTTTGGGCCAAAGAAAGCAAAAAGAAACAAGAAGCACTCATTTGCATTTACAATGTTATCAGAAAATTCCCCCTTTGTGAGTGATAACATCAAGGAGGAGCCGCTCCTAACGGCTTATAAGTGAGTTTCCTTCCATGATCTCTCGTGTCAAGAGTATCATAGAAGGTTCTCCTGCACACATCTCTGTCCTCGTCTGCTCGACGTCCAAGGTATCAAGACCCTTCACCTTCTGCATCCCCTCATTCACACCTCCTCATGTCGCAAAAATCACCAGTTCTACTTTGTGACCTCGTTGGGAGTGACGGCGAATGTCGGACGAACAAAGCTAAAAACACATCAGCCCTATTCTTCTGCATTGACAATAGTAGGAGAAGAAACATACCGATCACTGTGGTAAACCTTGGTCTCGGCGCCCAATAGCTCGCGCTCGCGGGCCTTGTCGGCAAAGTGACGGCGGACCTGGTCGCGGTCTTCTTCCGCTTGCAGCATGGGGATCAGGTGGATGCGGGACCACATCTTTTCGCGGGCGAGTTCGCTGGGAAAGGAAAGAATGTGTTAGTAATTTGTTCCGTGGGGGTTTCTTGCTTGCGGCCAACTCTTTCTGTGTGTCTTTTGTTTGCTTGTCTGATCCTTCTCTTTCTCCTTTTTTCCAGACGTTCATCCCAGCTCTTTTGACGCGCAGTGATTGACTTCTTTGGCGATTTTGGGGATGATGGTGTTTCGAAGTTGAGAAGACAAGCATACTTTTGTTCGCGGATACCTTGGCCCACGCGCCAGAAACCGTAGGAGCAGATGGCGCCGACCATGAGCAGGTAGGTGGCAGGACGGAAACCGCGGGCGGGCAGGTTGCGCTTGTATTGGACGGGCTCGTAGCCGCCGGTGGGCGGCATGTCTTGAGGCATGATGGGCGAGTGTTTATGTGTGTAGATGCGGGTAGAGAAGTCGGGAGACTGATCGAGGGATGGGTGGCAGGCGCAATTGGCGGTGGGGGAGTGGTATAGACTGCTGGTGATGCGAGCGGGTGCTGACCTTGACTGGCTGCGATGAGAGGTGCATGTGAGGCCTTGGCGCTTGACTCGGGGAGAGGCTCAAGCATGACTCGAACAGTTGCAGTCGTTGGCAACTTTTCCCCGACCATCATCGAGCAACCATCAACTTGTTCTTCGCATTGCATAACTTGACAAAAGATGGAATCGGACGAGCGACCAGCCAAGATTCGCAAACTCAGCAGTCACCATGACCGTGATGCACTGCCTGAGACTTCTACGGATGCCCACATGCAAGATGCTGCTGGTACCGCATCACCACAACCACCCACCACCGCTCCCCTAGCTGATGCCCCCGAGTCCACCATACCCACACCGTCAAACCTCTCCGCTGGCACAACAATCGCAATCCCCTCCGCCAACACTGCCACCGCTCCCCAAGAAAATGTCACCAACCCACCCACAACAGCATCCACCACAACCTCCACTGATGGCTTCACCAACCCACCCCTCTCCAAGTCCATGCAAAAGAAACTGCGCAAACAAGCCGAATGGGATGCCAAAAAGGAAGACCGCAAGATCTGGCGCAAGGAAAAGAATCAAGCAAAGAAAGAGCGCAAGCGCGAGGAAAAACGCACAAACCCGGATGCCTGGAAGGAAAAGCAAAAGCAATGGGTCAAACCTACCATGCTGCCCATCACTCTGCTCATCGACTGCGATTTTGACAACCTGATGAGGGATAATGAGCGTATCTCGTTGGGAGGTCAGTTGACGAGGTGTTACTCCGACAACAAGAATGCCGCTTTCAGAGCTCATCTTGCCGTGTGCAGTTTCAATGGAAAGTTGAGGGAGAGATTTGACGGCATCCTCAACAAGAGCTATCAGAGTTGGAAGGGCGTCAGATTCTTGGACCAAGACTTTGTGGTCGCGAGCGAAAAGGCAAAAGAGTGGATGGCCGATGACAAGAGAGGAGGAAAACTCGGCGGTGTTTTTGAGAAATACGCTCCTGCCAATCCCACCATCGAAGAGGAGCAACAAGACACCACCACCACTACCCAAGCCATCACCACCGTCGAAGAACCCGCAGAAGCGAAGACTGAGGATACCAACACCGAATCCACCAAGCCCGAGGAGACCACAGACACCAAGCCCCAACTACCCAAACCCAAACACCCCATCTACATAAAACCCACCTCTCTTCCCCCAGCAGACCTAGAAACCCTCCACGCCCAAGCCGAAACAATCTACCTCTCGGCCGACAGCGACTACACCCTCACAGAACTAAAACCCTTCTCCACATACATAATCGGCGGCCTCGTCGACAAGAACCGCGAAAAGGGCATTTGCGCCGCCCGCGCCGCTGCCGCAGGTGTAAAGACGGCTAGACTGCCGATCGGCGATTATCTAGCCATGGCAAGCAGAAAGGTACTCACGACAAACCATGTGCATGAGATTATGCTCAAATGGCTTGAATGTGGGGATTGGGGAGAGGCGTTTATGAGTGTCATCCCCAAGAGAAAAGGAGGGCAACTTAAGGGGTATGGGGGTGAAGGAGTAGAGGGAGATGAAGATGCAGATGGGAATGCTGATGAGGAAAACGATCATGTCGAGCATATTGAAGAGAGAGAAGAGGAAGAGGCCGAGGAGGAAAACGAGGCAGATGCAGCAGCAGAGCAAACTGCTGGGGCTGAGAAAACGGACTAGAGACTTTGAATGCTCAGATCCTCATTGTAGAATATACTCATATAATGCAATTGTTCCTCATCTAAAAACTGGGATTTGACCTTGTGCAATTGCAAACTTCCAATAGGTTGCAATCGACGATTACGCAGAGGACTACAAGCGCAAACAAAACATCACGGAGAAAGAGAAAAACAGGAGAGAAAGTAGCGACCCCCAGCTCATAGAAGAAGAAACCTTGATATTAAAAGTCATTCAATGTATGAGATGCCGAAGAGTGAAACGAGGTATAACCACGAAGAAAGTACCCTCGACGCCATGCAAAAAGAGAAGGAGTCCCCTGGTCCCACCTCATATAGGTATCCGGGAAACCAAAAGATTGTAAGAAATGGAGAACAGTCAAATCTACATCATAATACACTCTTGATCTTGCTTGTGCTTGGGCACACCCATCTCTTCAAAAGTCTTGGGTCCAGTTTTTGCTGGTTTGGCGGGTGTTGCAGGTTTCGGCGTCGTTGATGCAGGTGGAGGAGTTGGGAGACTACTGCTGCTATCCGCAGAAGGGCCTGGACTGGGTCTTGACGACGAAGCAGAATCTACTCGAGGTGGTCGTGCGAGATTGGGGTTACTGTTGGATGTTTGTGGGCGTGCGGAGTGTCTGCCTGATACAGGATTTTGTGGCGCGGTGTAGACTACACTCGGGGGAGGGCGTGTGTCTGGCGGTGCGGTGTAGCCGATGTCGAGGCGAGAGTTTACAGGCGGTAATTGCGAGGTAGCGCTGACACGAGGAGAGCTTCCTGGCGGAGGGCGAGGTCCAGAGATGGGTCCGGAGGCTATGCGTTGACCAGATGGCCTTACACTGCCCGGCATGGGACGCATTCCTTGGGGNNGGGCTGCGGAGGCAGACTCGGGACGTGGCAGAGCGGATTGGGCACGTTGACGGTTCCCCATCGGCGTAGTGGTTGCAGGACGAGTATCTAAGAACCCACCCATAGGCCCGGGTGCAGGGGTTGGTCTTGGAGTCACATCGTCCATGGGGTAAGGCGCGGTAGAGGTAGATCTTGGAGGAGGAACAGTTGGAGGTCGATCATCCAGAGGATACGGTGCAGGAGTGCTGGAATTTGGAGGACCGAGAGATGATAGACGCCTTGGGTGAGGAGAGACCGAGTTTTCCGAAATTGATTCGATACGCGGCACTTGGGCTTGGAACCTCGGAGGACGTTGTCCGCGCATGGAACCGTGTTGTGACTTGATGCGGTTCAGAGCGACATTCTCGTGATCTTTCTTGGACAGGATATGACGGTGAGCGATACTATCGATACGACCCTGAGCATCCTTGTTTCCATTTGCAGCAGCCTTGTTGTACCATTGCAGAGCGAGATCAATGTTCTTGGGAGTGTGAATACCAAGCTCGCTGAAGTAGCCCATGGCGAATTCGGCAGTCGACAAACCAGCATGGGCGGCTCTGTTGGCGTAGATATAAGACAACTCCTCGTGCTTGGGGAAGAGACCTTCATGACCCACAAGGAACCACTTGCTGATGGCCATGTCGGCTTCGGGCTCTCCTTGTTTTGCAGCGAGGCGATTGTAATGCAAAGAAAGAGCAGGGTCGAATTCACATCCGAGTGAAGCCAGTTCATAAGCGGATGCCATTTTGAGCTGAGCTTTAGAGAATCTGCAGAAGGCCGAATTTTCGATGTAGTGTTTGGCTTCTTGTTCGTCGTACGGCAAAAGACCTTCGGGGAGCTTGATCTGAGGTAGTTGACGAGCGAGCAGCATACCGTAAACGTAGGCTCCTTGAGGCGCATTCTCATCGATCGAGTCGGCAGATCGTCTGATCAGGTCGAGACCGGTAGCAAAGTGCTTGGACTGGCCGTATTGTCCTCGTAGAGTGATCATACCCAAACGGTACAATGAGGCGCTGTCCTGAGCAGCAACACCGCGTCTGTAATTGTCCAAAGCTCTTTCTTCGTCATTCGCATTCTCGTACAACATTCCGAGACGATAGCAGGCGCGGGCATAACCCCGGTCGGCGGCTCTGGCATAACAACGGAAGGCTTCACGCTTGTCGTGGGGACAGCCAAAGCGACCAAACTCGTTCCACATTCCACGCATAAACTCTGCCTTGGGATGATGTTGGTCGGCGAGGAAGGTGACAATGTTGATGGCATCGACCATGATCTGGTGCTCGACTTGGGATTGGTGTTGACGCGGGGGTTGTGTCTGCTGTAGTCGCTCCTCGTTCTCCAGACAGATGGTGACATATTGCAAGGCATCCTGAGCCCATGCCAACTGCATGTCCGGGTCATTGGAATTCAGGACGGTGACTCTTGCAGCTTCCAGGACAGACTCGAACTCGGCATCGGTCTGTGGGATATGGCGACCGCGGTAGGGGACCTGAGGAAAGGCAGCGGCCTCGTGTTGTGCCGTGACGGAAAGCTGCATATTTGCGATTCCTTCTTGAATCTGGTCGCTCATCTCGGGCATGTGCCNTGTGTCTTGTTATCAGGAGAGGCACACCAACGACGAAGGTGACAAGTTCTAGGCAGGACATGCAGGAGGCAGGGTGTCATACCGTTGGGGAGCGGGTGCGACGACTGAGACTGGACTGTTAGGCATGTAGTAGTCGTCCATGCCGCCTGGCACGAACGTCGCGCTTGTGTGCTGCGAGTGGTACGCCATCGGAGAGTGTTGAGGCTGATGCTGATGCGAATGAGAGTGGTTGTGGTAGTGATCTGGGTAATGATCTGTATGCATGTCACAAGTCTCAGCCTCGGTCAAGCTGTCTCTGCGGTCGCGCTACGGGCAGTGAAGATGGTGAGCTGGCAGCATGCATCGTGGAAGGAGAAGCAGAAAATAGTTAGGGTAGGTCAGGTTGTTTCGTACCATACAAAGTCCCCCACGCGGCTGCCGTTTGTTGTCGACTGCCCAAAAGCATCTCGGCGGGGAATCTCAAACGGCCAATTTCCTGCTTTCTTTGTTGAACAATCCTCTGGCTTTCAACGACTGTGACACTGCTCGACTTTCTCCTTCTCGAGGCCTTGTATCTTCATCACTTCTTGCAGTATCTCCAAGCCGTACTTCCGTCCGACGCGTGTCTTCATTCCAACCCCCACCAAGCTCTCCCATCTCCTGCCAAACCTTCTATACTATTCAGGGGCAACTTCGAATTCTTGGCACCATCATTTTGGCCGCTTCCTGTGCATCGCCACAAGACTCAGCCTTGTCTTTGTCCTCCTTTGTCCCATTCGGCGCACAAAGACACAACCCAGGCCTGACTCCGGGGATTTACAAGCCGCCTGAATCCCGCTGTGCTTTCTCAAACACTAGCTCCAGCCCATGACAGCATCAACGTAACCATCTCCAGACGCCCACGCAGTATTGGCACTGCCATGAATCGACATTGCGATAGTCGTTGAATTTCTTCTTGGGTACCCCATCCTCTTGGCCCTGACCGCGTATTGCAACACGGATCAATGTCCAACTATGGTCGGAGATAAGACTTCATCACACTCTCGAATGACACTCAGCTACCTCACAATCCTCCTAAGGCATAGTGTTGATGGTTCCAAGTCGATGCCGGTTACGATCCAAGACACGACCAACAGACGAATTCACAGATTCATTGTAGTGATACGAATGATGCAGACTTCCAGTGGTATCCTTTCGTATCTCGACACCCGGACAAGACACAGTCTCAAGTATTCCCTCTGTTTCGCCTGTTCTTAGCTTGAGGTAATGTTGTGCCCTACGTATATCAAGGTGTCACTGCCGGGGATATACACTCTCCGTTTTCTAATCCATACACATCCAAGCAAAAGCACATCATGGCTGCTTTCTTTAACGACATCACGCAAGCACTTACGACTCTTGCCATAAACGACCCAATCCAGCACGATCGAGGCCACAATCCAGTCATCAACCCCAAGTTCCCCGACTTCTCCACAAGCACATATGCTGCTAGAGGCCGGGACATTCGCTTCACACCTGAACCCACCGGTCCGATGCGGCCAAACTTCATTCCAGACGGTCCGAGTACTCGCCTCATCGGGCGCTTCTATCCTACTGATACTTCGATGCCGATGTGTTCGCTCGATGTCATCAGGCCGCTCCAGACTGTGGGAACGCTGAGAAGCCAATCCACTGTTGGCAGATGGAAGGCTATGTGCGACAACTGCTTTGAGCACTGCGCCGAAGGCTTTTGGGAGAAGGCTTGTCAGATTAACACCCGAACCAAGCAAACAACCTCAGCAGTCCGGTTCATGGGGCGATGCAACAAGTGCGGCCGATCTTTTGCTGAGTCTGTATCTGGAATCTGAGCGCGGTCCTGGGATTGTCTGTCTTCGACATTACGCGGCCGACAAGGCCACGAAACTAATCGTAGTTTCACAGACTTTTTGCGACACTGTAGTAATGACATTGGAAGAACGTGCAAGGAACGAGAACGAAGCTTCATAGCCAAGGAAGACAGCCAATATGCCACTATTCATTTGTTCCCTGTATCTCACCTCCCTTACCACCATTTATCTGGAGATGTACCGATGGCCAGAATTAATGATGGTAAAACATCGGACTTCATGCCGGGACCCCTTAGACCTCAGCTGGACGTTGCAGACCGTTATTCGCCTCCTTTACCGAAATCCTAAGTTTTATACAACATACAGGTAGGCCGTTGCGCTTCTCATTCAGTGGCTTACATATCTGGCAGATTTCCTATACCAAAAATCTTATTTAGGAGACCAGAAACGAGAGATCACATCTCTGAGCGGCAGAACCGTTTGACCCTTTTTGCATCTAGAGCACCAATTCTCCAGCCATGGTCGTAGGGAAAATGGCTATAATTGTCGACATGGCCACAGAGTTAAAAGCCTCAAAGAATTGTTGTCCTTGGTAAAGGGTATCTTCTCCCGTGTCGTCGACTAATCAAGATCAAGGAATCACGGGTTTCTCATCAGTATGGTCAAAGTAACGTCTATCCTAATCACTGCTGGTCTTGCCGTTGCATCTGCAGCAGCCGGAACTTCACTCTCATCCTCGCATACAACCACCGGACATACTAAATCTGTCATCGTCAAGACATCCGCGAAAACTTCTCTCCATACGACCGTCAGGTCGTCGAGCAACTCGATCCACACCACCGCCAAGTTATCGAGTAGTGTCAGACCGTCGAGCAGCAACAAACCATCAAGCAGCGCCAAACCATCAAGCAGCATCAGGCCATCGAGCAGCGTCAAGCCGTCAAACAGCGTCAAGCCGTCAAGCAGCGTCAAGCCGTTAAGCAGCGTCAAATCACTCAGCGGTGCCAAATCTTCGAGCAACATCAAGCCAACCAGCAGCATCAAGCCATCCAGCAGTATCAAGCCATCCAGCAGCATCAAGTCATCCAATATTGTCAGGTCTTCGAGCAGTGCCAGATCTTCGAGCACTCTCAAGAAGTCAAGCATTGCTAAATCATCAAGCACATCCGTCCGTACTACGGCCAGACTATCAAGCACCTCTACAGAACCTTCTATTGTAGCAACACCCACCGTCAAGCTAGATTACTCGACGGTAGTTCCTGTATCAGGCAACGCCAAAGTCGGCTACTACAAATTCCAAAACATCCGATATGCTGCTCCTGTCAATGGCAGTGGGCGTTTCTCTGCACCCACATGGCCGCCTCTTGAACAAACTATCAACACTGGAAACCAAGCCGCTTCTAATGTAGCCTGCAACAATGCCGAGGACTGTTTGTTCTGTGACGTGTACGCTCCCGTTGAAGCTTTCGATGGTTCCGACAAGAAGTTCCCAGTCATGCAATGGTACTGGGGAGGAGGCTATAATGGAGGCGGCAAACTGAGTAACACACCTGAAGGTCTTTTCAACCTGACTACTGGATTTGTTTTTGTCAGCTGCAATCATCGTCTTGGGGTCTTTGGTCTAGCTAATGGTCCTACTTTTACCCACATTGGTGGTTCGACAAATGCGGCCGTTCGTGATGTTGAGCACGCCTTCCGATGGACCAAGAAATATATCAGTGCCTTTGGTGGTGATCCCAACCAAGTCACTGCTGCTGGCATGTCATCTGGTAGTTCTCAGATCTTGTCGCAGATGACCGTAAGTCAAACCAGACAGAAAGACGACTTCCATCAGCTGACCCTTCGGATAGCGATATGCTGGTCATGCTGATCAATTGTACGATCGCGCGTACATCATGAGTCCCGGTCTAAATCCTGGTGCAGGGCATCACCAAGCCGAAACTTTCTGGCAGAATCTGACTTCTGCGGTTGGATGTCAAGCCACTGATCTATCGTGCATGAAAGCAGTCAGCTTTTCTTCGCTCGCATCTGCTTCAAACTCTCTGGTTTCACAATATGGATATGTCATGCAGCCCAGAACAGATGGAGATTTCATGCCCGATACTTGGGAGACTGCACTCTACCAGAACCAATTCAACTTCTCCGGTCCTGTTGTCATTACTCATCAGCAACACGAGTCAAACGGAAGTCCATATCCCGGTGTTTACACCGAGGCCGATGTTGTCGACGAACTCCAGCTCTTCTTCCCTAGCATATCTGCAGATGCTGTTCAGCAAGTCCTCTCTCTATATCCCTCATCATCCTACAGCAGTCAAGGACTGCGGTTCGCAGATATTCATCAGTCGTTCCATCATACTGCCAAGGACATTGCATTGACACACGCACTGGGCAACGCTACTTATAATGGCTATATGCAAATTCCACCATCTACGCACGGCATGGACACGGCATATTACTTCTACAACGGAGCAAAGAATGTTAATGCCACAATCGCACTAACGCTGCAGAAATACCTCATGTCGTTTGTTCTGACCGGAAACCCAAACACTCTGTGGCCGAAGGACAAGATTACATGGCAGCCTTATGCTTCTGCTAATAGCAGTGGTGTGCAATTGGTTGTCAATAATACATTGGGCCCGGATACTTTCCGTCTTGTTGCTGGCGACGATCTCGACGATGCAAGGTCCTTGTTCTGGAACAAGGCTCTATGGTATTGATTTGATCAAGATAACATTCATGCATAGATAAAATACTGTAGCAGAAATGACGAATGGAGGAACCATCAGCTTCCACCATCTACGTTGACATGGCCACATAAGCCACCCAACCATAAAAGATGCCACCTCATGATCGCTTACGACTCGTTACACCTCTTCATTGAGAATTGAGATATCGTGAGTTGTCCTCGTTCTTTGTCCTGGACATTTTACTTGATGAATGCAATTGTCATCCGTCGACCTTGCTTTGTTCTTTGTCTTCTTCTGCTCTCACATTCTTTGATCTTTTCCAGGACTTTTCTTTATTCTTTATGCAAGCATTGTTCCTCTTGTCTGCTTCTACAGAGTAGGTCCACTACTTAAGCACCCTCCAATCCATTGTCTTCTGTCTTTTCTTCTGCTTGTCACTCCCAGATCAATAGTCTGGGGCCAAGAGAACATACAAGATATTTGAATCAACTAACAGGACAGAACACTCGTTTCTCCATCTTCCCAAAACAGCAACATGTGGATTCACACTAATTGTTATTGCCGTCTCTGCGCTGGCCGCAACATTCCTGAAAAGTCACCTGTCAGCCCCCTTTCTCCTTCTTTGCACAACCGTGTCAACATTGACTCCCCACCCAGTCCTCTCTCACCAGCTCTGTCTTTTACAGCTGCACTCAATCTTCCCAGTCCTATTTGTCCCCTACTCAACGCTACTGAAGACTGGCCTTTGAGTCCCGTCTCGCCTTTTGCACTTGACCACTGGAGCCCAAAAAGCGCCTGCAGCACAGTTCCTCCTTCGCCTACTCTCTCTATTGCTGAGTTGACGCCTGGTGACTTTCCTTCCCCTGCTACCCCATTGAAAACTGCTTACATCTGGAACCTCTGCATCATTCCCTCCATCCCTGCTGACTATTCTGTCTTTGCACCTCATTGGCGCAGCGATGCTTCTTGCCCATTCAACAGCCTTGCTGTCATAATCAATGATGAGCCAGTCAGTCCTACAACTCTTTCCAATGGTAAGAAAGCCATTCGCTCTTCTGCCGCTCCTCCACTTCCACCAAGACCCATTCCTCGTCGTCCCAAGAGATCTCCTCTACGCACTTCCAAGTTTTCTTGGAGCAGCACGCCTACAACTTCTCCTTCTTTGGTTTCGCCTAATTCCTTTCACTTTACTGGACGCATCTACACTTTTGAACCTGTTGCCGAGGAAGTGAAGAGCAGAGCTGGTTCTTTATCTCTTGCTTCCTCCGACAGTCTGCCTGGAAATAAGCCTTGGTGGGAGAATATCCCTGAGGTTTCGCCATTGCCTTCGCCTGTCCTCAGTGTCCATTCTTTTAGCGGCTTTTCCGGGATCCATGTTCCTGAGTTCAGCTTTCCTTGTCCTTCGCCTTCCTATTCGCCTTCTGTTTCGTCTACCTCTACCTCTTCCTCTTTCTCTCGCCCTTCTGGGGCCGATATCCGTGATGTTTTCTGGACTGAAATTACTCCACAGACTGCTGCTGAGTACTTGGCCATCTTTGGTACTTCGGTGTTTGAAGACCCTTTTGCTTGGATTCGTTATCCTGTTCCTGGTCCCCACGACTTGTGCGCTTCCGACGATGACGACGAAGATGACGATGAGACTGCACACTATGACTGGGACAACCGCAACCCTACTGCTTCTGATGCTTCTGATACCTTTGGAGAGGTTGATGATGTACTTGCTTTCTATGAGCACTCGTTTGTTTCTTCATATCTCTCTTGCGATGATGATGCTTCTTATATGTCCTTTGATGCTGATGAGTACTCTGGTGTTACAGACAGTGCTGATGTTGCTATGAGTCAGGAGATCTTATGTGCGAGCTATATCTCTTCGTTTCTTGGTGGATCTGCTGTTTCCGAGGTCAAAGAGGTTTGTTTTGAGGACGACTGCATGGCATCGCTTGAATTGATCATCTCGAGTATCTTTTAGATTTGGTAAGTGCGAGGTGAGTTATAGCGCTGGTTCGCTGATACATATGGTATACTTCTCCTCTGTTTGGGAAGGTGTGACTCTGCCGACATCCACGCTTGCTTTGATAATAATTAATATCTACACATTCATCCTTACTGCTCCCCATTGTTTCTTGGTGTCTCCTTCTATATTAATTGTGACTTTGTGACGTAGAAAAAAAGTGACATGTTCATCATAACTCGTGGATTTTTTTGCTGTGCCTGTCTGAATTTTCTGTGATTCCTTACCATCGTGCTTTGATATCCTCTCTTTTACCATCAGCCATCGCCAACTGCCCAGCCTCGAGGATTTGATTTGAACTCGCCGCTCTCTTCACACACGACCCATCACTCCCCTTACCCACCCCGACTCTCCCAAGCCTCTTTCTCTCCACCGACCATCCCACCCAACACAACCCCATCAACACCGGAAACCCATACAACTGTGGTTTTCCATCCCCAAACTCTGGGTCCATCCACCCAGCCCCCGGATACAATATCCCTGACAAACTACTCCCATAGATCAAAGTCTGCAGCACCAATATCCAATTCAGATGTAAAATTTGGGTTGAGGGGGAGGGTGTGGATGGCAGGTGGACGAAAAGGATGTAGAAGGTTAAAAGGCCGATGAAGAGGCCCATGGACATGGTTTGGCCGTTGTGGTAGCGGGCGTGGGGTGGCCAGGTGGGGTTATAGATGTGTGTTTCACTGTATGAGTGGAAGCAATGAGTATCAGCACTTATTGATGGAGAGAAAGTAAAGATAGGGAGGCGGTAGTGCGCTCGCTTACTNNTCCAATCTGCTAGGAAGGGGCCGAAGAGTGTCACTATGTTGACAAGTGCGATGAGGGATTTTCCTGGCGTGAACATTGCTTGAACTGGATTTGCCATGATCGTTGAGAGATGATAATACGATCTTGTTCTTTCTAGCTTGAGATGTGTATAGCAGTGAAAGCAGAGGACGTCGGTCATCTTTATCGGTGGATAGTCAAGTCTTCGGAGTTTCGGAGCCGAGCTTTGTGGCACGCCCCCACCTTTGCACCACCTCTCTCTTATCCGATAACCTGCTGTCCTTGAATCTCCATTTCCTTTTCCTTTTTCACTTCCTTCCTCAACATTTGATGAACTCCATCAACTCCGGTCCTGCGTTGTCGGTGTTCAGTTGAGCATTAGGATTCTCTCTCAATGTCATCTTGAACCACTCAGCAATCTCCTCGCCTTCATTGCTGCGTCTTGCATGCTCGGCTTTGCCTAAACGATAGTCGACGCCGTGAATCTTGCCTTCTGAGATGATGAGGGTGTTGCCGCTCCAATGACTGTGTAGCCGACATCAGTTTAAACATCCTCATGGTCACCAAAGTAATGAGTAGTTGGTTTCAAAGCCTTACTTACGGTCTGCGAATTGAGGGATCTTCTTGATGGATCTCGATCGGTGCTGCCGCGATGCGAAGCAAGAACAACGAAGAGATGAGTAGCGTGTTGATAGAAATGGACTGCATGCTTGTTTTGCTGTTGGCTTCCAGGACAAAAGGTATGTCGTGAAGTGATCATGGGAACCATTCCAAACAAATATCAGAGAAGGTTGATTAGGCGCTCACTACCATGAATCACACATCCAGATCCTTCGGCGGCTCGAGGGTTGCTACCCAGTTCAAGATCGCGCACGGCTTTGTGGCGCGACTCTCAGGACGCCTCGAAAGTGCAAGATATCCACTGAACTTCGACGGTGTACTACAATCATGGAGAATACACTTGAAAACGGACTATTCGTAGGTCAAGTGAGCACCGAGTCGAAAAAGTTGTGTTACTCAGAGGGTAGGCACGCCGTGCATGTCGTGGCTTGCAGACGGCTTAAGTATCTCGATCTTGAAAACACTCGCGATTCGCTGGAATACCTTGATATGCAGACATTGGTATGTGTGCACTATCGAGCGGACGTGAAGGACTTCAGTACATGGTGCGCTTACAAAACTTGCAATAGGTACGCGGCCAGAGTGGCACAAACACTGCATCATACATGCATGCATGAATGTCGACTCAGCCACAGATTGCGACTGCCGATATTTGTAGTATGCCCACTCTCTTCCGCAAGAACATAAACGACTAGTCTTCCTTTCTGACTTCCACCATGTCCGAATTTCCATCAAGATGAACACGTCGAACGAATACCAACTGGTCCCGATTGAGGCTCGGCCTAAAACTGCAGATGATAGCGAAACGACTCAGCTCGTTGATGACTACTCCTTCGAGCTTGGTCGCGAGCGCCGGCCCGCACGACAGTATCGCAGAGGATGGAGAGGCGGCATGTTTTGGGGTGTCGTTGTCATTGTTATCGTACTTCTCGTGAGTATCACAATGATTATCTGGGTGTCCCGACAAATCGAGACAACCTCAGGCATACACATTCTGTTCCAGGGCAGCTGCAGCAGGTCCAAGATTGTCAACACAGCCTCCCACGTTGCTATGAATATCATGAGTACCTTACTCTTAGGGGCCAGTAACTTTTGCATGACGGTACTGAGCTCACCGACACGAAAAGAGGTGGATTATTGGCATTCAAAGAAGGTCGCGATGGATATCGGCATCAACAGCGTGCGCAACCTTCACAAGATCTCGTTTGAGAGGAGAATATTATGGCTTGCTCTACTGCTCACATCGGTACCTTTACATCTGTTGTAAGTGGAATAAGAGAGAAGAACGAATGGATATGCTCACATGCTTGTAGCNTTCAATTCCGCTATATATGCAGCCACTTCCACATATAGCTATACTGCATCTCTGGTCACTGATGAGTTTCTCAGTGGTCGTTTCTGGACTACTGATGGGCTGTTGGGGCTGGAAAAGTGGCCCAACGACTATGAACATTATAGTGAATGGAGTTATGTTGATTGGAATAGGGTCCCAGTCCCAAATTCGACGATATACCTATCCTGAATGCACGATGTCCAAGCAGGCAAGATTGACCTGGACCGTCTGGAGAACAGATCATGTGTTGAAACCTATGGGAAACCTTTTCTGGCCAACAGAGCGAACATCATCTTGGTAACGAAAAGTGACAAACCGGGCACGCCTAGTCAGTTCAATAGCAGCTTGATCGCGGCTTGGTCTGCTAGATACGAGTACGAGGGCCGTAGTCGTTCCCCCCATGCCTGGCTGTGTGGAGATTCTATGTCCTCAGACGGACCTGATGTCCAGTGCTCGACGATGATCAAATACCCAGGGAATTTTAGCGTTACGGCAGGCTTCTTGGATACTAACGAAACAAGGAGTCTAATGGGGTTCAACAAGACCGACTACCCCATCGAATATTGTTTGAGCCAGAAGGTAGATGAGAAATGTACTGTGGAATCCAGCATCGCTATTTGGGCAATCACGATCGGACTTGTTGCAGCTGAACTCTGCTGTATCTTATGGACCCTGCTTGTCTTGGATGAGGAAACCATGGTCGTTCCAGGAGACTGTATCGCCTCTTTTCTCAACCGACCTGATTGCACAACGGCCAACGCTTGCTGTGTGAACATTGCATGGTTTCGAAAAGGTCACTGGCAGGGCAAGTACAAGTGGACGTCACGAAGAAAGCCATGGCGTGCCGCCGTCAGTACGAAGCAATGGACTTTTTGTCTCTCATTGTAACACATCTGGCGATCAAGAAAATGAAACCCTAAACTGACACTTGACAGGTCAATCTCTTCCCCAATCATCGCAAGTGTCTTGCTTGGTGTAGGCTTGAGATCCTATGTGAACATGAAGGATTTCGCTGATGTCTTCCGGACTGGATTCGGAGCCACAAACTTGGTCTTTACGTTTGACAGAATCTTCAGACCAGGTTCTGATTTGTCTTCCGCTCTCATTGGTGCATCAGTACTGGCAAACACTCCACAACTTCTGGTCACTTTTCTATACTTCACATGCAACTCTGTCTTTAGCTCCATGGTGATGGCGCTAGAATGGAGTCAATTTGCACACCAGCGCAAGTTTTTAAGAGTCAGCAGCCCTACAGGTCAACAGCGGTCGACCTATCGTCTGCAACTGCCATATCGGTATGGCGTGCCAATTATGCTTCTATCAGTCAGCCTGCATTGGCTACTCTCTGGTTGCGCTNNGTTCACCACTATCGTCACTGTGTGCGTTGCGCTTGGGACATTACTTTGCTTTGGGGCCTTTCGCAGCTACAAGCCAGGTACGATGTTAGTCGGAAGCAGTACAACAGTCATCAGTGCTGCGTGCCATCTCATACCAAGCCAGTCTGCAACAGACATCAGTCTGTTTGCACTGCAATGGGGTGTTTTTTTGCAAGAATACGAGTCTGAGTTTGGTCATTGCGGGTTTAGTGCTGGACCGGTCAGTTTCCCAGTCGATGGCTATAAGTACGCTTAAAGGGGTTTGTCTCGTACGATCATAGAGGACTTCTTCTCGATTCTTACGATCTTACATCTTACTAGTTGCTTATAGCTGAGAGACTTTGACGATTGGTCCAATACAGTGTTTCTTCCAACTCTTTAACCATCAAGACTCTGACAAGACCTGGATTCAACAATGGCGACCTTGAATGCCTCCCAAGAGATCTTTTGATTGCGGTATACTATTAACACGTGGATCCTTCTTTAGTGGTTTTGCATAGAGCTTTGGTGGTTTATGTCTAATCTCACATCTTGTCGTGACTGGGTCACGTTATCTGGCGTCGAGAAGATTTGTAGCTTCTAGTCTTATCGCAAGATGCAGGATCGTGGAAGTTGACCTATAGCGAAGAGTGCAAAAAAGAAAAAAGGGTGCTTCCGGGAGCTGACTTCAAGCCCTCATCTTGTCCAGCCTATCGTCGATGTCCCTAGGTCTCTTACAGGGTGACATTCTTGCATTACTGGAAGCGTACTCTGGTTCGAATGAGTAGCTCACTATACAGCAGTAGTGACATTCCTGATCGAGATCTTGACTCGCTCTATCGTCTGGTCGAAGCAGCAGTTCATCTCGAACTTACTCACCGACAACATGCATATACGAATCGCTCAGGCACGAAAGATAGATTCGGTCACGGAGATACAAGAGACAAGTCGCAGAGTCAAGAAGTTGGAAGTGAGGATCAAAGTTATGTCATTTCTGTCTCAGGTGCGTTACGTAAAGCAGCAAAAGAGGTATCCGCCAATATCGTATCATCATGCTGCCATCAGAGAATTATTGCTTCGTAGGACTGTTCCATCAGATAACTAACCATTGCAGATTCGCAAGGTCAGAGTCATGAACTCAGAGGTTCTTGTTGACATAGTCGGAAGTGGTGGTGGAGGTGTTGGGGTCCGTGACCTCAGCAGCATCGGAGCGCTTGTCAGAGTGGAGGCCGGGAATGGCATCCTTGACCTTGTCGACAACAGTCTTGTGGTCACCAGTGGTGGTGTTGGTGCCGGTGATGTTGGAGTCGGTAGCGCTGGAGCTGGTGGTGTCGGAGCTGGTCATGCGAGAGACCTTGTCGTGGATGGACTGGCCGGCGGACTTGTGTTCATCGGTCTTGAGGTCNNTCTGTGATGAATGTCAGAAGTGTCGTTGTGATGAAGGTAGATGAATGACAAACCTGGCAACGTGGTCGGCGGTGCCGGTGGCATGCTCCTTGGTGGTGTCGAGAGGACCCTTGGCAGACTGAGGAGTCATCTTCTCCTGGACCTAGAGCGACGTCAGTTTTGTGCATGGGTAGTGAAAGTAGAAGAGACCAACCTTGTCAGAGAGATCCTGGATGTCTGTCAGTCATGTGCATAATGGATCAATGGATAAAGAGACGAACCTTGCGTCCGAAGTCAGTGCTCATGTTGGCGGTGAGTGGGTTGTTGATGGTAGATGAGTAGTGAAGGTTGTTGTTGATGGTAAGACTTGAGGTTGGATGGCTTGGATGATTGATGAGAGGATGTGAATGTTTTGTTGATGGACAGAATTTGGTTTGGGAGGTTTATAAACAAGAGATGAGAAGGGAAACGCGGAAGAGGCCGTGTTGGACTTTCCGTTTGTAGAGTGTTGAGACATGCATGTGACAGCGATGGGGTCGCTGCGTCGTGTCTTTGGTCAGTGGTGAGTGAGGGAAGGTGCTTGCAACTTCGAGACAGCCGATGAGACTCCGGTGATACTCTCTAAATCTGAAAGTCAACTCAAGGATAATCATGCTCGGTCTTCTGCCCCTGAGATGATCCACTTCCCAATAGCCATTGCTGAAATTGATATCAGCTTTGGGAAGACTGTTCTGCAGCTGCGTTCACAGTGCCAACCCATCATCAGCCACGCGAAAGATGTTCGATCAATCGGGCCATGAGCTTTCAATCAGCTCGAGTAAAATAACGGATATTGACCACAAAGAAAGTCACAAAAAGACTGGCAAAGTGAAATAAAAAAAGATGTGTGTGTCTGATAGTAAATCTACCTACCAATCATAGATACAACAACGCTCCAAACAATCGTCTCAGCGATGGTATCCTTTTTGTGTTCCGTGCCAACGCCATAGATTCTTCGTCAAATGCCTCTTTACAGCTCAGTCTTGAGCTTNNTTCTCTCGTCTCTCAATGCCTCCATCTTCTGAACGGCGACATCGAGAGGAATGAGTTCACCCAACTTCTGGGTCTCGGGGTCATCTCTGTTTCTGATGTTGACGGTGCGAGACTCCTTCTCCTGGGCACCAACAACGAAGATGAAGTTGTATTGGGCGAGTTGGCCGGTACGGATCTTCTTTTGCATGGTGTTGCCGGTGACATCAATGTCGGCGTGCATACCCTTGCCGCGGAACAGGGCCTGCAGCTCCTCGACGTAGTCGTTGACGGCGGGCATGACGGGGACGATGAGAATCTGGCGGGGAGACAGCCAGAACGGCCACTTGCCAGCAAAGTGCTCGGTAAGAATGGCGATAAAACGCTCGAACGAACCGTAAATGGCGCGGTGAATCATGACGGGACGTTGGCAGCCAGGAGTCAACTCACGACGGTAGCTGGCTGCGCTCTTCTCGCCCTTCTCGCCCTCGACAGCAGGAGCGTCCTCAGTAGGCTTCTGCTCGAGGACAGGGGCCTCCTTGACCTCCTCGCCCTTGATCTTGGNCTCACCAGCCTCGGCACTGCGGTACTCGAGGTTGAATTGTTGAGGAAGCTGGAAGTCGAGCTGGATGGTGGCGCATTGGAACTCACGCTTGAGGGCGTCCGAGATGGTGATATCAATCTTGGGACCGTAGAAGGCACCATCACCAGGGTTGAGCTCCCACTGAGAACCACCACCAGCAACGAACTGGTCGAGAGCCTTGGTGAGCTGAGCCTCAGCCTTGTCCCAGGTAGCGACATCACCAAGATGGCCCTCAGGACGGGTAGAAAGCTTCATCTTGAAGGTGAAACCAAACTTGCCATAGACGGTACGGAGGAAGTCGAAGAGACCAAGGATCTCAGACTCGACCTGGTCTTCTGTACAGAAAATGTGGGTGTCGTCCTGCTGGAAGCGACGGACTCTGGTGAGACCGGTAAGAGCACCAGAAGCCTCGTTACGGTGGAGAACACCAAAGTCGGCGATTCTCATTGGCAGTTCTCTGTAACTGCGCTCACGGTGGGAGAAGAGCAGACAGTGACCAGGGCAGTTCATAGGCTTCAAGGCCCACTGATCCTTCTCAACCTCGAAGGTGAACATGTCATCCTTGTAATGTTGCCAGTGACCAGACTGCTTCCAGAGGGCAGAGTTGTACATGTTGGGGGACATGACTTCTTGGTAACCACGGCTCCAGTACTCGTTGCGGAGGAAGCTCTGAAGGGCGTTGTAGATGATCATACCGTGGGGAAGGAAGAAGCAGGAACCAGGGGACATGTCGTGGAAGAAGAAGAGTTCTTGCTCCTTACCAATCTTGCGGTGATCGCGCTTGGCAGCCTCCTCGAGGTACTTCTTGTGCTCGACCATCATGGCCTTGTCGGGGAAGGAGACACCGTAGATACGCTGGAGAGAGTCGTTCTTGGCATCACCAAGGAAGTACGAGGCAGAGTNTCTGTTGCAACGTCAGTTTGTGTCTTCAAATTATTGGCGCCTGAGATGATATACCTTCATGATCTGGAAAGCCTTGATTCTACCAGTGTGAGGAATGTGAGGGCCTCTGCACAGATCGATCAAGGGACCGCAACGGTAGACGGTGGTGCTGGTGCCGTCGGGGATTTTGTCCTGGATGATGTGCTGCTTGTATTTGTTGTACTTGAACATTTCAAGCAAATCCTCCTTCTTGAGAGTAAGGCGCTCAAAAATCTGCTTCTCCTTGATTGCCTTCTCGGCAACCTTCTCCAGGGGCTTCCAGTCTGACTCCAGGACGGGCTCCTGGTTGGGGAGAGCCATCTCGTAGTAGAAACCATCATCGACAGGGGGACCAATGCACAAGCTGCAGCCGAATCTTCTCTCACAAGCCTCGCCCAAAACGTGAGCACTCGAGTGCCAGAAGACCTTCTTTCCCTCGGGGTGTTCAAAGTCGAGCAATTCCAGCTTGCAGCTCTTCTCTAGAGGACGGTCCAGATCCCACAGCTCGCCGTCGACCTTGGAGATGACGGTGCGCTCGAACAGCGACTTGCTGATGCCACGGGTGATCTCAGCAGGAGTGGTCTCCCAGGCCTTGGCGACACGGACGTTGCCATCGGGCATGGTGACGTTGATGTCGTCGCGGGGCTGTTGGGCAACCCATTGGTCGTACTCGGCCTTGACTCTGTCAAAGATCTTGTTGCGGTCGTCAATGTATGACGGGGGAGGGGACATTTNCAGGGGACGGGCATCACCCTCTTCCTGTGCGCCCTTCTTCTTGTCCTTCTTTTGCTGCTTCTTCTGCTGAGACTGTTGTTGCTGAGCCTCGGAAACGGCCATATTCTTGACACCCTCGACGGCATCCTTCACGCCGTCGACGGCTCCCTTGACAGCGTCCATTGTGCGAGAGTGATTACAGGCGGCGGGGTAAAAAGCTGTAAAAGTGCGGGCGGAGGTGATGTGGTGATTGGAGATAGCCGGGCGAGAGTTGGGCCTATGGAATGTAGCGAGACAGCGGGTCGGAGCAGAGGAGAATGGAAGCCTCTTGTAACGACAGCAGCTAGACAGCATATACACAAAGAGTCACAGCTAGCTCGAACACCGCATCGAACTGTTTGTCTAGCGCAACCTACGGCAGGAGCGACTTGGGCTCGCGGCAGCTTCCGTCCCCTCCAAAATTCGGGCCTTGGCGTAAATTTCAAGCTTCATCGAGCGCAGCACAATTCTCGCGCAGTGTCACTCGTCGTCTAACGAACGCCAACTTATACTTCTTCGATTGCTGTCTTTTAGCCGACGGCTCTCTATCACTCGTCCAATCTTCCGGTCAATATCGCACCGGTTGTCCCTTAGCGCTTCATAAAATCGACAACTCCGACCAGAAAAAATGTCTTTCCGCGGTGGTGGTGGCTTCAGAGGTGGACGCGGCGGCGGTGGTTTCGGTGGATCCCGTGGAGGTGCGCATTGATGCTATCATGCTGGGAATGTACAAAGGAGAAGTCAAGACTGACATATTCTGGTTTTCTGCGCAGGTCGCGGCGGTTTCGCTCCCCAGGGTCCCCCCGACCAGGTCTACGAGATGGGCACCTTCATGCATGCCTCCGAGGGCGAGATGGTCTGCACCTCGACCAACGTGAAGATTCCTTACTTCAACGCCCCCATCTACCTTGAGAACAAGACTGCCGTCGGCAAGGTCGACGAGATCCTCGGCCCCATTAACCAGGTCTACTTCACCATCAAGCCCCAGGAGGGTATCGTCGCAACTTCCTTCAAGAACGGCGACAAGTTCTATATTGGCGGCGACAAGCTCCTGCCCCTCGAGAGGTACTTTTCCTCTTCGCGCCAGACTTGCTGCTGCAACCCAGTCCTAACACTTTCTCCAGATTCTTGCCCAAGCCCAAGCCTGCTCCCGGTGCTCCCAAGGTCAAGAAGCCCGCAGGCCGTGGCGGTGCTCGTGGCGGTTTCGGTGACCGCGGAGGTCGTGGTGGCCGTGGAGGTTCAAGAGGCGGATTCGGAGGCCGTGGCGGTTCGAGCTTCGGTGGCCGTGGAGGCTCAAGAGGTGGATTCGGTGACCGTGGTCGCGGTGGATTCCAGAGCCGTGGAGGCTCGGGAGGTTTCGGTGGCCGTGGTGGTAGCCGTGGTGGTGGTCGTGGCAGAGGCGGCTACTAAGAATAGCTGCCTTGACACCAAAGAAAAGTGCAAGCATGTGGGCGTAAACAGGCAGTGGCGTCACGGAGTTATGAGGCCTTGGACGGCTTGGGAAATGGTTCACAAGGAGGCATTGTTTCGAAAAAGAGGCAGTTCATCTCATGTTTTACGCTGTACAGGACTATTGAATACAGAGAAGACGAGCAAAAAAAAACTATTTCAACTTCATTCGTTCTGAACGGAACATCCTACCTTGTAAGTCTGGTACAGTTGTATGACTTACATCTAAGGTGTGAGTGGAAAGGGACATTACGGTACTTCTACATACCTATGCTTGTGTCTTGCATATGATCAGATAGCCAACACTTACTGGTAGCCACATCTATAGTGCATTCTCACAAGATCAGCCGTCTTTCTCAAGCTGATACATCCACAGTAGGCTTGCACGAAGCTAGACGATGGTGTGTATCAGAGCAAGCAAACGTTACGAGGCGATGAGTGAAGCCTCACTTGCTCAGACTCTGAATATAAGAGGCCTTTGTGCAGCTTCTTCGTGACACCACATTCATTACAGACGAGACTAGATCTGTCGACAAGAAGCGTCTTGGTGTTAACCTGCTTCTCGAAAGTGTTAACGAAGTTTTGATGCTCAAAGAAAGAGTGAAGGGCAGCTTTACCGCGGAGTGTGATGTGTGGCACAGATAGATGGATGTGGCTGTGCTTGTGGTCCCTTTTGTGGCTTTCCGAAATGACGCAGGCCAGACCAAGCAAACGCCCGCGTCAGAGTTAAACCTGCTTTCTCTTGTGCATCGTGAAGACGTCGTCCTCTTGCTATCTCTTCTACTCCTAGCAACCTTCGTTCGTAAGCTGAACACCTTCCCAAGAAACACTAAGACTCAATTCGCCATGTCCCGCAGAGTAAACGCGTCGACCGACGCTGCAAAGGAGGTCACCGCCAGTCCCCGTACGTCTCTGCCAAAACATGACGGTATAGACACAAACATTGACGGAGAAACAGCCATGGACAAGCAGAAGCGACTGCTGGAGGAGTCTGACCCCGGTCACTTCTCCATGGTCCGCGCAATGCATCTTGCCGACTTGATCACTCTCCTGAACGGTATAATTCACTCCGTGCAACTTGAAACTTCAGAGCATCCTGTACTAACATTACCTCATNNAGGCTTCTGCGGCATCAACTCTGTCATGTCCTCCCTCCGCTACTGCATGGGTAACCCTAACGACCTCGGCAACCTCTGGGCTGCTCTGGCCTTCATGCCCTTCGGTCTCTTCTTCGATTTCATGGATGGCAAGGTCGCTCGCTGGAGAAAGAAGAGCTCTCTGATGGGCCAGGAGCTCGATTCGCTCGCTGATTTGGTACAACTTCTATTCTCTCACGGCTGACAATCCATTGGCTAACCACAACAATGCAGNATCTCCTTCTGCGTCTCTCCCGCCGTCGCATCTGTCGCAATTGGCATGCGAACCCCTCTTGACCACTTCCTCCTCACCTCCTTCGCCCTCTGCGGTCTCCTCCGTCTTGCTCGTTTCAACATCACCACCGACAGCGTGCCCAAAGACGCCAACGGCAAGGCCAAGTACTTTGAAGGTCTCCCTACTCCCACCTCCCTAGGCATCGTCTCCCTCATCTCCTACTGGGTCAGCCAGGGCTGGATTCACGACCAGATTCCCTTCGGCGTCTTTGCCGAGGGCTCGATACTCGAGTTCCACCCTGCCGCTCTGATCTTTGTGGCCCATGGATGCCTCATGATCAGCAAGACCTTCCACGTCCCCAAGCCTTGATTTGAAAACATACGAGAGGATGGAAGAACAAAAAAGATATGCGATATGATGTGACTCTTCAGTCCTGGGGGCGTTTGATGAAGATTGGTCTAAAGCAAGTCGTAGGATATGCTCAATGATGTGCAAACACAAAATTAGGTCTGCGCAGTACGTAGATCATCAATGAAAACTCCACCGAGAACTTCCGATTCGACAGTTGGAAATCGTGGACGAGCATGATGTGGATCGATCTATGGTCAAGGCGAAGAATCGGATGATGATTCGCCCAATCTGGCTGTCCGAGACGTTTTCCCGTGCCGAATACATGCCCTTTGGAAGCCCAGGTTAAGGCTTTCTCCCAGTCCATTCTACAGAAACAACTATGGCAGTCGAGAACCTGTCCACTAGACTTCTTGTCCTTCTTGACAATTGAGGTCTCGTCAGCCTGCTTTGGGCGCCACCAGAGCTCGCGTGTAAAGACGCTGTCACAGGAAGCGCATACTGCTGGCAAGCCATCATTCTCGGCTATCACTGGCTCGTGTGTCTCCCAGATGAGTCGACGTGACCATCTTCTTTGCAAGATCCAATTGTTTAGGTNGATGAGAATCTGTTTGCGGTTGCTAACGTTCTCCAAGTATTTGTTATAGTCATTCTGTTTAGTTCCCTTGCTGCGGTAATCGCGTTGGTTTACCGAGTCGTGGTACTCTTGGTCTTCAAGATATTTTTGTATGTGTTCCGGTCGCTTTGCCTTTCGATCTTTGGTGTGCCATTCAAGCGTGTCTTGCAACATTCGTTTGCGATATTCTGGATCATTGGCATATCTCTCGCGCCTCCTGGCATTTCTCTCAGCAGCGGTGGATTGTTTCCNACTTTCTGTCCCGTTCGCGCATCCTTTCCCGGTATTCTGGAGGTGGAAGAAGCGGACCAGTGATTGGGATGAAGCAATGTTACTCCGACATTGCGAGGAGATAAGGCTTGCGCTTGTGGCTAACAAGCCGACCTTGGCAAGAATAGACGACATGAGATCTTTGGTACAGCAACGCGAGTGGTGAAACGCAACCCGCGACGCAATCTGATTCGCGATACGGGACCGCAGCGCAACCTTCTCACGATGCTTCTCATGCACGTGGCGGTGTACGAGCGTCTGGAAGAGGCCTTGCCGTCAGTCTAAGCGCCAACTGCCGAAGTTTGTCCGCATGTCGGAGCTGTCTTTCCTGTATAGAACTAACTTGCCATGGGGTCGACAACATGATATGCCACTCGTCAGGATCGCCTAGCATGGTTTGATGAGCATGGCGCTCGAGGGAGCTTTGTTGACTGCACAGTCGACGTTATATGTATGGCGACTATCTGATATGGATTCCCCAGTCCAAGCTGAAGCTCTCAGCTCCGTGGTGGCTGCTTCGAACCCCAGCTGAGGGGAAACAAGGCAAACTGTAAAAACGGTAGGTCGCTAAGCTCAGGTACCTCTGCCAACACTCCGAATCAGGATACAGGTCTCAATAGAAGGTGTGAATCGTGTGATCCTTCGAAAAGCATGTACCTGTGAGCTGTCTTGAGCCAGCTACTTCAAATATCTCGTAGCTCAGCTTTGGTTTGTTCCTTGCTCCTTCTCTTTCATCACCTTCATCCATCACACAGTCGCTCTTATCAAGACATCAAAAATCTCACCTCAAGTCTCTCGCTCTTCGATATCTTCTCTCGACATACACATATACATATCCTCCAAGATGAAGTCCGCTGCTATTGTCGCCTTTGCCGCCGCCGCCATGGTGGCTCCCGCTCTGCTCAAGATGCTGCTGCTCTTGCTTCCCTCCTCCCTAGCTGCGCTGTACGTTTCCTCTATCATTCTCATCCACTTTACACCCACTAAGACAGTTTCAAACAGGTCACTTGCGCCTTGAACGCCATCGGTCCCACTGGCTGCGTGGCCACTGATGTGTCCTGCCTCTGCGCCAATGCAAACTTCGTCTCCTCCATCGCCGCCTGCACCAAGACCGCCTGCTCGGCCGAGGACCAGCAAAGACTGCCGCCGCCACCCTGCAAATCTGCCCCAATGCTGCTGGTGCCGCTGCCGCTTCTGGCGCTGCCTCTGGATCTTCATCCGCTGTTGCTGTCGTTTCCAGCGCTTCTGTTGCTGCCTCGTCGTCGGTTGCTTCTGTTGTGTCCAGCGCTGTTTCGTCGGTTGTTTCCAAGGCTTCGCCTGTTGCTCCTATTGCTACTGGTACTGCTGTACCTAAGCCTGTCAACGGCACTACTGTTACCAACGGCACTTCTTCTGCTGCTGGTGCTGCCAGCGCTACTACTTCCAAGCCTGCTTCGTACACTGGTGCTGCTTCGTCGGTCAGTGTTGGTCTTGGTCTTCTTGCCCTCGTGGGTTTCGCTGCTCTCTAAGCGTAGCTGTTCTTTTGATGCTGTGAAGGGCGTTTTGTATCTGTGTATATAATGTTTTCTCTTTCCTCCACCAAGAGTGGAGTTTTCCATCAATAGTGTCTTATATGATACCTTGGCCTCAGTCGACTGTATGAGGTTATTCTTACTCATGAGTTTGCTACTCTGTTGACTCTGGTGATTGGCCAAGTGCTGCGATTTACTCGCATCCTTGCAGGCAGGTCTTTGCGCGTTCCTCGCTGCATGGATTGAGCATTGTTCATCTAAGCATGTGTGAATGGCAATGAGGACTATGTCATATGAGCAAGCATCGCAACAATTATATTTTCATCTATACATAACTCATCATCAACCCCTTTTCTTTCTCTTACATGCTAATCCACCTCGCCATCCAAAACTCAGTAACCTGCTTGGCCTCATCCACCAACCCCATATCCAACAACAACTGCGTAGTACCCCTGACCGCCGACTCCAACGCCGAAAAGATCCACGCATGCGTATAACTCGTATGCTCACCCACAAACACGGTATGCTTTTCCGTCTGAAAGTAAGCAGGAAGGTATAGATCTTGTTGTAGAGCTGTGGNGGATGCCCAAGCACCTGCTTGGAACTCGTCGTTTGCCCAGCACTTTCTGTCGTAGGCGCCCGTGTATTGTTGTGCTGCTATGGGTCCGTGGATCTCGATCATGGCGCGTTGGACGTAGGCGACGTGTTGGTCTTCGGTCATGGCGCCGAGGGATTTGGCCATGTCGCCGCTGAGGTACGAGGCGAGGATTACTCCTGGGCCGGAGCTGTTGAGTTGGTAGCTTGGGTAGCAGACACTGCCGATACCTGCGATGCCGCCGCCGGAGCCGCAGCCACCGATAATAGGGCGAGGCAGGTGCTCCCAGAAGCGAGTCTTGTAGTGGAGGGCCACTTTACAGGCAGGCGAGTAGTTTAGTCGTGCAATAGCGCGGCTGAGCAAACTTGAGTAGTCGGGAAGACGCCATAGTCTGACTTTTGAAAATGGCACTGCTACGATAGTGTAGTCGAAATCAATAGTCTCTGTTTGCATGTCGAAGGGGTTGCCAGGACGGAAGTGGACGGACATTTTCTCGGACGTTTCGTTCCAGGTCATTGCTTGTACGGAAGTCTGGAAGCGAGTGCGATTGAGGACTTGAGGGCCAAAAGCTGCAGGTAGACGACTCAGACCTTGGTCGATGGTGCGCCATTTGGTGGCTTCAAAGTATACGTCCTCGTATGGCCATGAGGGAAGGTTGTCGGCTACAGAGTCGATTTGATCGGTGATATTGTTGTCTTGACCCATCTTGTAACGAAGATAGCCAGACTCGGAAAAGTCGAGGAAGCCTTCGGCCACGGCTTGCTTGTGCGCCTTGAAGACGTTGGTTGCATACAGACGAGTCTTTTCGGCATCCATGCCGAGCCAGTTTTCATACTCCTCTGTTGCTTCAGCTACAGCAGTTGCGTTGCTATATGTAGCAGTGGTGTTGACCGCGAGGGATGGGTTCTCCTTCACCTCAGCGACGCCAGGAACAGTACCATCAGATTTTCTCTTGGTTGTGCTGGAAGGGTCGTTGACAGCACTCTGGATCCATGGAATGAACTTGACTTCATAATTAGGGTCGTATTTGTTTTGCTTGTTGAGTTCGTCGGCAAGCTGGAAGACCATCTTGTGGTCATTGATCTCGATAGTCTCATTGTCCATAGATAAGCTGACCGGGAAGCGCATAGGTCCCATTTCCTGGTACTGATATTGATCAGACTTGGTAGCGTTGAGGTACGATGTATGAACACGGCCTCCAATACGCGATGAAGCCTCGATAATCTGCCAGTCGTGGAAGCCAACAGAGTCCAGGATGTGAGCTGTCATAAGTCCAGACATACCGCCACCGAGAATGCCGACGGACTTGCTTTTAGTTTGAGCAACAAAGACTGACTCTGGCTCCTTTTCCTTGAGATATGTGACACCGTCAAACCAAGGGCCCATGGCATCCATGATCTCAGCAGCGGCAAGATGTCTCTTGTTGTTCCTGCGGCCAACACTGACAGGTGCAGATCTTCCCAGCAAGACATCTCCAGAGAAAGCGTGCAGACAACCATCACTAGACATGTCCTCTGGAGCCAGCCAGACAAAACGGGTTGGTCTCTGTTCATGCCAGTTCAGATGACGCTTTGCCAGGTCATGGTTTCCAACATGTGTGCTGCCGAGAACATGATGGGCGTCTTCTGTGGACTTGATACCGCAGTCACCATAGACAATCGAAAACTCTCCGTCATGAGATGAATGGTAGTCGACGTGGATGTTGTGCATACCACCTGCCTCAATGATTTCGGGGAACTTGAAAGAGACGACCGGGCCTGAAGGAGCAGCGACAGCATGTTGTATCAGCGTCGACAAGGCAAAGACGCCTGTCGAAAGCTTGCGAATAGACATGACGAGGGAACAGTGAAGAGAATGTGTGTTGGAGCAAACATCCGGGTCACAACTTACCATTATATATCCTGCAGCAACCTACTGACACAGACAAACTCTCTCAGCAAGTCCCAACACCAACAGTCTGCGGAGTCTACACAGCCTACATGCTCCGGTTGGGACTGCAGGCAGATGGGCCATGGTTGCGGTGCACAGTCACGCCGTGCAGAATCGTCCTATCTCCTTCTCCACAATACCAAGTCGGCGACGTTCAGTACCTCCAGAAACCGGGCTCTCCGTCGAGTGCCAAGTACACGCTATACCATGTTTGCGGTATTCCAGCCGACGGATTGTATCCGTTATCGACAGAGTGACACTGTTCGGAGTGCATACAAGCGATGGCCAGGTCTTGGCCGCTCCGCCTATCTCTGACCATCAAGACTTGTAGGGCGCAGTACTTGTTCGCACACCGAGTATGGAAGCTCAACAGCGAGTGAGGAAAGGATTTTAATGTGCCGGGAGGAGATCGACGAGATAAGGTAGGTAGGATGGATAAGAAGCCTTGGCAGTGATAGAGGTTACCACCTTTTCGGTCTGCTTGATCGCTTACCACATAGCAAGATGAACTATTACTCATGGTCATGGCCGGATGCTCGGTTGGAAATGGAGGCTGTACATATTCGGTAATTCTCCGTTGATAGTGTGGCTAAATAGCAGCTATGGTAGAAGTGTTTGATAAGACGTGAAGACTTGGATGATCATGATGGTACAGTGGAACTTGAGCTTTATCATGATCGCTTATCGCGCATAGTCATGAACATGCACAACTATGCAAGACTGTCTTTCGCGTTGGCAACATGTATCCTGCGTGTTCTCACATGGAGCGCACAACCACCGAGAAAACCCCCTCGACCGCTCTCGTCCATTTAATATAATCACGGCTCATACCCTCATTATCGCATAGTCACACAAGCAATCATACTCCTCACCATCTTCACGAGCTCTCTAGTACTGCTACATATTAGCAATCGCGCTCTAGACTGTAAGCGCCGCCGCAGACAAGAAAAGCAGCTGCAAAGTGCCCGTCTGTTTCATATCATGCACATTCTGCAAGTAAGGCCGCCAAGGAAGATCCTTCCCGTGCGCCAACTCGTGTAGCTGCTGCTCTCCCATAGCTTAGATGCCCAAAAGATGCCTTGGGCTTGGGGTTTTGCATGTAAGAATTGCACGAGTAGCGGGCTGTGGTGAGGCACGCAATATGCTGGTGCTAATATATGTAAGTCGAGAGGGCTGGCTCAGCCTTTGCTACCCATTTTTTCTTCTCTCGTCCTCTTTGTTCCTTTTGCTGGGTGCATTACTGTATCCTCTTACCTTTAGCAATGGCAGAATCGTCAAGATGGACGTCTGTCCCTAGACGCGACTCTACCTCCAGTATATCCTCACACTCCTCACACTCCATGGCCAACCAACAACCCGAAGACGCGACAAAACCAGAACCCACAGCCAAAGTCCGGGGCTTAAAGGAAAGGCGACGAGCTCCCTCTTTCTTCATGTCGCCCACGGCAACCTGGAACCTCTACCGTCACAACCCCTGGTACCTGTCCTGGCAACAAGAAACCTGGGCCATGATTTTTTCCGTCGCGTGTTTAGTCGCCGTCGCAGTGATTATGGCGTGGATAGATGGGAAAAGACTGTCCATCTGGCACTGGGCTATTCAGCCCAACGCCGTCATTTCCGTGTTGATTGTATCTTCAAAAGCGGCTTTGATGATCAGTACAGCGAGTTGTGTTTCCCAACTCAAATGGACGCATTTTCAACAGCAGCCGAGGAAACTCAAGGATTTGGAAGGCTTTGATGATGCGAGTAGAGGTGCCTATGGAAGTCTGTGTTTGCTGATGAGCAAGAGTGGATACCTAAATGTTGCCGTCACACTGGGTTGCGCGGTGACAGTGTTGGTGCTCGCCATGGAAACTTTCGGTCAGCAGTTGTTGAGTTTTCCTGAGAAACGCATTGCAGTATCCAACGAAACTGCTTCATTTCCGGTCATCCAGGATATGCTGCAGATGCCGTATTGGGGTGATAACGCGAGGTTGTCCGATCGAATGTTGCAATCAAGACTGGGCTTGATGGAAAGTATCTACGGGAAGACCACGGCTTCGCCATTCGATTGCCCTGCGTCTTCATGCTCTTGGGATTCTCATGTCACTCTTGGTCTTTGTTCGAGCTGTCGAGACATCGCTACGACTGAAAGCGCTTGCAGGTACAAGATCTCTTCGCACTTCGACGGATGGGCGACATACAACAGCACCTTCCTGGAATGTGACTACGCTGCAAGCGGTGAGTTCCACTCTGAAGGAGGAGGTGGCAATCTCACCACTATCAGACGGAAAAAGGCAGATGAGGTCCTATACCCAGGTCTCCCGGACGTTAACAATGCATCTGCCTGGGAATACAATACTGCGATCAACATCATCACCTGGTTCAACGAAGGATTCTGGTACAAAGGTCAACCCGCAATCGCCTTGAACTTCAGTGTGATCGTCACGAACGATACGTGGGAACAGCCACAGATCACCACCTGTACACTGCAGTTCTGCGCGTGGGTATATGAGAATTCGACTGCTCAAGGTCAAGACTTTGATGATGGCAAGCTGGAAAAGTATCCTCTGGGTTACGAGTCGATACAGTTGCACCAGAGTGGTCATGGAATGCCTCTAAGTTATTCTTACACCAACTACACTTTTCGGGCCAATGGTACTGGTTTTCCGAGCGACAAACACAACGACACATTCAAGGTGTACGGAGATGCATATACCGAGTTGAGCAGTCATCTGGGAACCATTCTTGACTCGTCAACCTACGACTACTCAGCCGGCTCCAATGCGTCCTCGGCAGGTTTGGGTAGTGCCTTGATCATGAACTCGAACATAACGGAGCTCGGTGATAGGATGGCTATCAGCTTGACCAACGTTTGGAGGCAATATCAAAACATACCGGCCATAGGTACAGCATGGGAGTCCGTCGCTTTCATCCATGTCGAATGGGCGTGGCTTGCATTACCAGCTATGGCAGTCATGAGTGCCGGTATTGTTTTGCTTATGACTACTCTGCAGAACCGAAGAACAGTTCTATGGAAATCATCCGTTCTTCCGTATTCTTTCAGGGTCTTGCATGGGTGGGATGATACCGAGTTCGACAGCGAGACTCTTGAAGAGATTAGAGAGAGGGCGAAGGAGATGACTGGCCAACTTGTAGGAGACGAGAAAGAACGCGTGAGGTTGGTCAAATCGTGTGATTAGGAATAGCCGATCTAGAGGACTTTATCGATTAAGAGTCCTGATTTACCGTTCATGTTTGCGACAAGATGACTTCGGTAATGATGAGTCGTTATCGTGCAGTTTCCTTGTCTTACTCTGGTGGTGCGTCTGTGAGTGGTACATATCGGACTCCGTAGAGCCTCTTCTTCTCGACAGAGCCATCTTCTTTCTTGTCGACGACGTAGATGAATTGGTCATGCTCGCCAACAGGCATGAAGAGTCNTAATTCACGTAATCAGCATGCCGTCGGATAGTGATTGGTCCTCATCCTCATTAGTGCTGCAACAAGAAGCAGCTTGAGATCCGCGAAGAGCACTCACCTTCCTGGGCGTTTGAGCTGATCGATGAGCTCTTGATGGAAGTCAACTGCTGCTGCGCCCACATGGATGACATCAAAGCCCTCTTCACCACCCTTTCCTGTCCATCCCTTCCTACCGTCACCCTTCACGTATGAGATACTCCGATTGGCAAGCAGTGCGCGGCCTTCTTCACTCTTTGCGGTGTTCTTCTTTGCAAGATCCACGAGTGGCTGGATGTGTTCAATACCAACAACGGTGCCTCCGGGCTTCACTAGCTCAGCAAGGACGTGGGTCAGATATCCAGATCCAGATCCAACGTCCAGCACTCTGGCTCCAGGTCGCAACAGATCAATCATAGCTTCGCAAGCATTGGCGTGCATATGAGGAGCGGAAATAGTCGCTTCATAACCGATTCTCTGAGGACGGTCCTTGTATGGCTCCGTCGGAGCATAGTGTCCTCGATCGACCTGAGATTTGTTCAGTAGAGTCACGCTAGCTGTAGGCCAGGAGCTTACGCTTTTCATGGCTTCTTTAACCCTGTCTGAATTGAGTATACCGTTTCTGTGCAGGGCATCGGCCATATCCTCATTTGTTGCGCCATGGCTGCGCCAGGCCATAGTTATTCGGCGATGCGGAAGAACGGGAGTCGCGTGCTCAAGGCGTAGAGTGTTGAGGGCCGACGACACCCTCCTCGAGGAGCTGATGGCGAAAGTCAGACTGATGGAAGACCGCAATGACCAAGCTGAGTCGTAAGCCTCGAGGGGTTCTTCGATTTCTTCTAGAACGTCACTCAGCTGGGAAGAATATAGAGATGGTGCGGGGTTGTGGTAAGATCAACGTCACACGACCTCTTGCTCCAAGAAGGAAAGATCGATTCGGATATCGAGATGTGTTACGGTGAACACATTTGTGAAAACAATGTTTGAACAGGTAAAACTCATAAATTTCCTCCGATAGGACATCGTCAAATGCTATGTACAAAGAAGTGTAAAGGCCTACAAACACACTGCCTAGATCATCGATGCGAATCTGGAGATGCTTGCTCAGAGAAGAGAATCAGATACACGAATAAATTATCCGTGACAACAGAAGAGAAAGATTTAAATCGGTACTCCACAGAAATGCGTGCCCACAGAAAAGATAACCATGACTCGTACGAAAATTTGCTAAGCACTTTGTACAGTCTTAGTTGCACATACCCCAGTACTGCTCAGCGTTGAAGGTGGAGGGGTTGTTGGGCTTCCACATGTCGTTGAAGGCGGTGAACCAGATGATGTTGGAAGAGACAGCAGACTTCATAGAAGAGAGGGCAGCCTTCTGGTTCTGAACGCTGGGAACAGCGACACCGTTGGAGTTACCCTGAGTGGGCCAGCCAGTCTCGGTGATCCAGGTCTCTGCGCCATCACAGACGCTAGAAACCTCCTCAATCTGCTTGAGCAGCCACTCGCCAGAGTTCTCAGCAGCAACGTTGCCGTCGAAGAAGGGGTGAGAGTTGACGGCAACGTAGTCAGAGGCACCGCAAAGGTCCTTGCCGTTGGCAACCATGGCAACGAGGGTGTCGACGGCGACGATGGGGCCAGAGTAGCCAGCGGCCGTGAGGACGCCTCTGGCAGTGTCGACAATGGGCTTGACAGCACTGGCAGCAAGCTTGCCTTGGTTGACAACCTCGTTACCAATGGAGATGGTGTTGAATCTGGACCAGTCATTGCCGATAGCCTTAACGGCGTCGGTCAGGAGACCAAGCTCCTTAGTAAGGTCGGACCAGATGTTGTACAGACCAGCGAAGATCTTCAGGTCGTACTGCTCGCAAACGCTGAGGACCATGGCGACCTGGTCGCAATCGGTACCGTAGATACGGACGAAGTCGTACTTGTTGCCGCTGCTTTGGGCGTAGGACATGATCTTGGCGAAGTCGGCGTTGACCTCATCTTGCTTCTTGCAGTCACCGCTATCGGTGTAAGGAGAGTAGACGATACCGTAGCCCTGAGGACCCTTGCCGCTGGAGGCAGCGGGGGATGAGGCAGCGGCCTTGGAGGAGGAAGCAACGGAGCTGTAGGCAGCGGTCGAAGAGTAGACGGGGGCCTGAGTGGTGGAGGCAGACTCAGAAGAGGAAGCCTTGACGACAGAGGCAAGAGTGGTGGGGGTGGGAGCCACGTAGATCTCAGTGGAGGATGAAGAGGCCTCAGAGTAGGCGGGCTTGGCAGCAGCCTCAGTGTAGACGGGGGCGGAAGAAGCAACGACGGCGGCAGCAGCAGAGGTTGCAGGGGCCTGACCCTCAGTGGAGGTGGAGTAAGGAGCGCCGTTCTCGTCGACGAAGACGACAACGTTGGGGAGCTGGGTGGTCACGTAGGTGTAGTCGGTCTCGTAGACGACGTCCTTCTTCTCGTGAAGCTGCTGGTGACNGACCTGATAGACGATTAGGATCGTTGTGCCAACGGATCGACTCCAATTGATCGACTTACGGTGGTGACCAGAAGGCTTAGCAGAGGCAAGGTTGATCAGCGACAGAGCGCCGAGGGCAGCAACACCAGTTCTCATCATGATGAATAGATTTAAGGTAATGATAGTTTAGTCTGGCCGGCCAGCGGTGTCAGCAATTGTGTATCAAAAGAAGGTGCGGAGGATGTTCAATTCCGAGACGAATGGCGGAGGGACAAGTTTTGAAGGCTCGAAAAAGGCCTTGAACCTCGAGGACTCGAGCCAACTACCTGGTCGGTGCTTGGTGAAGGGGGGCGAAGCGTGAAACTTACGAACTCGGTTCCTAAACAAAGACGAAGGCGTAGAATAGATTGTCTCGAAATTGACTGACGCAAGGAGTTGCTCTGTGTGTTTGTTGACGTTCAAAAGAATGTGGCAGCTGTCCGGAAGCGCACGATAGAATTCCTCCCGTTGGGTTGGTAGAGACTGCTGGGGTAAAGAATGTGGATGACCTTGGAGCAAAAACGAAAGAAGACCTGGCAAGGCAGTGGGTTGATATAGAAATGAGCAGTTGCAAACAGAAACAAGCCAGAGACGAGAGCGAGGTCCACCCTCAACTATCGATGGCAGAAACGGCCGACGGATCGCCGTTGAATACATAATCAAAGTATGGCTTCCGCCTAACTGGAAGAAGGAAGGACCAAGCCAAACCGCGGCTTCCCGAAATTGCCCAAGAGCTCTAGTGCGTCCTGTTCCTGAACATCCCCCAAGCCACTCGGACTTCTGAAGCGAACGTGCCAACCTTCCGTTGCGTGGTCGTGCGTGGTCGGGTGGAGAATCTCCACTGAGCAGACTTTCTTTTGCATGCAAAGAAGACGGGAAAGCTTCATAATCAACCGAAGTCCGCTGCCTGCCGTGCGAAAACACGAGGTGTTGTTGCGTTTTGCGCTGCTCCTCAGGCGGCCAGGTCGTCGTTGCAACAAAAGATGTGTCCTCAGACCACCAGATCAACAGCCTTGACGTTGGCCGTTGACGACGGTAAACAAACTGCACTCCAGAATCTCCCTGTGCGACCAAGGGTAACCTTGGTTCCTGCAAGGTGTTGACTCGAGTGGTCGAGCTGCGCCAACCTGCATGACCAAGAACAACAGACGTTGTCGATATGCGGCTAGGCCACGCTGAGCATTCAGCAGTTCTACACGAGTTTGGCCTTGTGGATGGTTTGACGTCCGATTTGCCTTTATTCTCCGAGCGCCATTGTTCAGCTCCTCAGCCCGAACTGAATCTACCGTTACCTTTGGCCAGCTCGATGAAATCCTACCAAGATGAGACACGCGGCCAATGCGCTGGTGACAACATGTCGAGACTCGAGACTGAATGGTGATCCTTCGAAGTAGGTACATCTCGAGTACAACTCGAGTCTCGCCTATCTCAGAATCTCAGCAGCTAGCTGTCTTCGGGTCTCCGCTTCCCTACCTGTATCACTATGTTGACCGGTTGGTACAAGTCGGTAGGTTTATTGCTTCTCGACCCACTCCACATCTCACATCTTGTCGGTCAGAGATCAATGGTGACAGTCGGAGAAGAGGAAGACTTTCGTAGACCTTCGTTTTGATTGTCTCACTCAACAAAGCCCGCATACTCAGCGACTGCAATTTCCCACCGCACAATGGACTGCATCAATCCAGACAGATTTTTAGGCTGGCTTCAAACAATTACTTCTTCTTGCTCTTAGACAGCACCTCTAATGCCTCATCTTCAGGTGCTACGAAATGGTTATCAATCTTCGATTGCCGAAAGGTAGAGCATGTGTTTGTTACCCATCTTCCGATCTCTCCATGGGTTCGCGACCTGTCTGCTGCGTACAGCCGCAGAGACATCTCAGCAGCATGATTTCACGTCTCAAAGATTCTTGTCTCTTCTTCTCCGGTTTGAGCAGGTCGTCTAATCGGCTGAGACACCAGAACGGTCGCCCTGGAACGTCTACACGCAGCGGCTAACACGAGCGATCAAGCAGTTTGTGCCTTCCTTATTGGGCTGATTTGTTCCAAAGCAGGACAGCACTACGACTGACCACCATACGAGCAGTCTCGACCTACTTGCCTCAGCATTTCAAAGTAGTGTATACGACCTATAGAGTTGGAGCTGCTCGTACCCCACCCAGCTTTCTGGTTGAGAGTGCCATCCTTCTCCGCCCTTCTGGACTCCATTCAGCTCCATCGTTTTCACTTCGGTAGCTTGCGACACGATTCATATGCTGCAACCATAGACAATATCGTAGACCATGCATTTGTCACACTAAGTTGCCCTTCAGTTAGTTCACAATTGCCGACTTCACCTCGACCATTGAGCAGTGGAGTCCTTCCTCTTCTGGCTGGCAAAAGCAATGTGGTTCGAGACACTACTGGCTTCAGCCCCATCGCACTTCTTGGAACATGGAGTTGCCATGCTCAAGAATTGGACACTGATTGAGAGGGAACCTTTGGCTTGTGTTTTACACAGAGATTTCGACTGTGCCTGACAAGTGAGGCAGATTTTATGGTTAAGAGCACTTTCTCCAACTGCACTAGTACTACCCGAATACAAAAGGCATCGTTGATGAAGACTTACTGCGCGGCTTAGGTCCACTCTAGCAAATGTCAAGACTGCTAAGAAGACTCCACCGTCTTTCGTGCCGCAGATGTATGTCGCAACAGCAACGAGCGATCGATCTTCCTACGAGCCATCTAACAGATCTCATCGCAACATCTGGTCATNCACCACAAGAAGAATCATGACAACAGCCTCCACATNGCGACAACGGTGCTGCATCTTGCTAGCCAAAGCCTNTCTGGTGTCTTGCTCGTATTGCTCCTCTTTGCAAAACCCGGCCGAGTTTCCCGTGTCATTACTGCACACAACATGACTGTGCCGATCCTAGATAATTACATGTCNACCTCACTTCCGCCTCGTCTCGTCTGTGTCAGGAAACACGACACATGCGGACCTGTCACAAATCCTNNTCAACAAGGTCAAAATNNAGCGAAGCATGACAAAATTCACTGCAGGTACAGCCACACACGCATNGCAGGAACGGAAGCACAGGATCAAAGCCTCCTAAAGCAAACGTATAACGGTAAGCTTGCATACGAACTTTTATGCACCGTGGCAGATTTCCGTGGAGATTTGAGCGACGACGCCCAGAGGTTTCTTGGGGAGTAATCACAACAACCAAGGGAACCTTCCATGAAGTATAGATAAAGGAGATACGATGTCTCGCAACGACATCAAGGTAGGTCAGCTGAACCTACTCTATAACGAAGGGCAATTTTAAATGGAAGAAAGGTTGTCGCGGAGATCGACAATTGTTCATTACGGATTGGTGATGACCCGAGATCTGGACTGAACTTGATTGTATAGAATGCGCAATTAGACCAGACGACTCTGATTGATGTCTTGGATTGAAATGATCGCTCTAGACTCGTTATTGCGATTCTTGCAGCAGAAACGCATGTTGGTCTGCGACTGCGATGAGAGTGGCTGGGACTGTATCTCCGAGTGGACAGGGTCGTCCCGGTTACTACGAGCATCGACCAACAATCGTCTTTTACAGTTCGAACAACCCATGTCTGTACACCTGTAACGTATGAAGAGACTGATATGTACCTTGATGCTTGATTGAACTATGCACTGTGTCGTTGTGGGCGCTGTAGGGCTCCTAATGTTCAAAAACGTACACAGCTGCTTTTATTTCAAAATCTGTCATCCAAACAATGCTTCCCACACTCAAATCTATTGACGAGTAAGCCAAGAGACGAAACACAAGTAAAGGTTACCTTCCCGGCAGAAAGACAACCCCTTCACGATACTACCTGTCTTGATATTCCAAACACAGTGGTATATGCTTATTGTTGCTGTCTTGACCATTGACCAAAACAATGACATGTGAAGCCAAATGACGTCATTTCTATAATCCATTAACGCGTCATTCGCAGGCCGTGTCTTTGTCGCGATTAATGAAACCCTCCTGGCCATCAAACATCTGAGCAACCAAGCAGAAATGTCGACTCCTTCAAAGAGACGGAAGAAGAACGATGGGCAGCCAGTACGAGGCCTCGACTACTTCTTCGGCAAGCAAGCACAGGCGAAACAGCAACCCAAGGACGAACCAAACCACGAGGCTCAAGAAGCAAGCACAAAACCCGATGACCTCGACCACGATGTTCTATCAGACGAGGCACTAGCTAGAAAACTGCAAGCAGAATGGGACGAACAAGATCGAGCACCGCAAGCTCCTACTCCTTCGCCGTCGAAGTCAGCAGCCACAACCGAAGCCAGCGAAGCAGCACCAGCCCTACCAGAACATGTCAAGAAAGAGAGGGATATAAAGGAAGAGACGCCTACACCAGCTCCAGTACCAGTGGCCGTGAACCCATTCGCAGGAATGGGGAAGAAGAACACATTGTCGCTTCAGTCAGCCACTGCCGACGACGACACCATTACCTACGACATCCCCTTCGACCAAAGTCCCTTGACCTTCGACCCGCAAAAGTACATTCCGGAGCTGAAGAAGCAATGGGTGACCGATAATGGCCATGCTACGTACGCGCTTCTCACCCACTGCTTCGTCATGGTCAACAGCACACAAAGCCGCATCAAGATTGTCGATACATTAGTGAATGCTCTGCGTGTCATCATAGAAGGAGATCCTCAGAGCCTGCTGCCTGCAGTATGGCTTGCGACCAACTCAATCTCTCCACCGTATATCGATATGGAGCTTGGATTGGGAGGCTCTGCAATCTCGAAGGCGCTGAAGAAAGTCTGTGGGCTGGACAATGCCGGCTTGAAGAAGTTGTCTGACAAGTACGGAGATGCTGGTGATGTCGCCTTTGAAGCAAAGAAGCGACAGAGCTTGACTTTGAGGAAACCGAAGCCTCTGACCATCAAAGCTGTCTTCGACTCATTGGTCAAGATCTCACTGGCAAAGGGCCATGGTAGTGTCGAGACCAAACAGCGACTCGTAGAAAGACTTGTTCAGGATGCCAGAGGAGCCGAAGAGAGTCGATATGTCGTTCGTACTCTGGTGCAGCACGTGAGTACATCATTTGAACCTGAGGCAACCACGACCTCTGACATCTATGTANNGCTTCGTATTGGTGCGGTCAAGACGACTATGCTTATCGCTCTGTCTCGGGCCTTCTTGCTGTCCAAGCCGCCCAGCGCCGACTTCTCGACGCGCGACAGGCATGAGCTGGCAAAACTATCAAAACAACAACTGGTCGAAGTGTGGGCTCCTGCTGAAGAAGTCGTGAAAGCGTGTTTCGCTCGTCGACCCAATTACGTGAGTATCATGAGTTCCGTGTAGTTTGATGTCGAGTCTGACAATCCTCAGAATGATCTCGTGCCCACGCTGCTTGAGATTGGTGTTACCGAGGAACTTCTACTTCGTTGCGGTCTCGCCATGCACATTCCACTCCGGCCTATGCTGGGTGGTATCACTAGAGATTTGGGCGAAATGCTAACAAAACTTTCTGCTCGCGAGTTCACCTGCGAATACAAGTACGATGGTACGACTCCCTAGAGCTTGTTTTCGAAACTCCATCTTTGATCTTCGACTAACTTATTCNNAGGCCAACGAGCACAAGTTCACTGCGACTCAGCCGGCAAAGTAACAATCTTCTCCAGGCACCTTGAAGTAATGACCGACAAGTACCCCGACCTCGTCGCGCTCGTCCCCAAGATTCGTGGCGAAGGGGTAGACTCCTTCATCCTTGAGGGCGAGGTCGTAGCCGTGGACCGCGAGACTGGTGCTCTTCTTCCTTTCCAGACTCTCTCCAATCGTGCAAGAAAAGACGTGGCCATCACCTCTGTAACAGTGGATGTATGTCTTTTCTCTTTTGACTTGATGTATCTGAATGGCGAGGGCCTGATGGACAGACCGTTTCGTGAACGAAGATCTCTGTTGCGGAGTCTGTTCATCGAGCTTCCGCATCATTTCACCTGGGTCAAGAGCATCGATGCTACGTCAGCAGACGTCGAAGCAATCTCCGACTTCTACAAGCAAGCATTGTCCGACAAGTGTGAAGGCTTCATGGCCAAAGTGCTGGACAACCTTCCAAATCCTGACCTCTTAGACGCCAACGAAGATGGAACACCTAAACCACCACCCACACCGTCAAAACGAAAACGTACAACGAAGCGTAAGCCGGGCGATCCACCCTCCTCTCCGCCTCCTGAATCCGAGAGTGCGACGGCAACGAAAAAGGGTGGACGCAGAAAAGCACTCCTCGCTACTTACGAACCGGACAAACGCCTCGACTCGTGGCTCAAAGTCAAGAAGGATTACGATTCGTCTGCTTCAGACACTATCGATCTTATTCCAATTGCGGCCTGGCATGGCACAGGCAGAAAATGTAACTGGTGGTCTCCTATCTTACTCGCTTGCAGGAACCCAGAAACTGGAGGACTAGAAGCAGTGACCAAATGTATGGCCGGCTTCAGCGATACATTCTACAAAGCCAACAGAGCAAAATATGATCCTGATGCAGCGATGGACGAAGATGAGGAAGAAGATGTAGAGGATGAGCAACCAGAGACCAAGAACAATACTCTAGGCAGCAAGCCTTCGTATGTGGAGTACACTGGTGGCCATCCAGATGTATGGTTCTCTCCTCAAGAGGTCTGGGAATGTGCGTTTGCGGATGTGACGCTGAGTCCTACATACACTGCTGCCATTGGACTGGTGTCAGAGGAAAGAGGATTGTCATTGCGCTTTCCTCGCTTCCTCAAAGTCAGAGAAGACAAGGGTATTGACGAAGCCAGTACAAGCGACTTCCTAGCCGAGCTGTATCGGAAGCAGGAAGCTAGGGGCGAAATAGAGAAGGAAAAGAAAGACGCGGAGATTGATGAAGAGGATATGTGAGAACGAACGATCTCTCTATGGGCCGGTATGCCTGTACGCAACGAACATCCACAAGAAACGAACTCAAATTCGTGGTACACGCGAATCAAGCGTAACGATATCCAACCAATATCGCAGTCATGCTCTTGAGTCACATCCATGACAGGACACAAGCCTGATTCATTCGCCTCTCAGGTTCTTCTATATCTCCTCTCTTCGCCTTACAGAATACATCAGCATCAGGTACTTGACAATTCCCCGAGCCGTCACCACCACCCTCAAACATTCCGCATATCGACGATGTTGTTCGCAATGAGAGCCGACTCAAACATCGCCAGCATTTGGACGCCTGAGTCTTCGAACGCTAGCACGAACGGCAGCAGCAACATACACACGCCACAATCCTCTCCTCCGGCCTACAGCATGTCGGCCTGCGAGATTCCAATACATGACGCGGCTCTGGACTCATCTCCTCCAGCATACGAGACGCAGGATTCGGGTGACAGTTCGTCGCCAGCATCCGTTCTACCCACACCAGTCACACAATCTAGACGACGACGCAGCTGCGAATGTCTCAAAGGAATTGGATCGGTCATCGGACTGATGCTTGTTGTTGCCCTTTTTCTAGGCGCCGGGGTGGGGTTGTCTTATGGCCTTTACAGATTAAGCTGGTTGCTTGGCTCGAAACTGTGACCCATGCCAGCTCAGCGCGAAAGAGAAGAAAAAGGTAGAGGCAAAAGAATGGAACCGAAATGTTGATAAGGAGCGACTGTGAAGGACTTGCAAGTTGCGAGTTTGGCATATTCCTATTCGGGTCGTTCTACACTCAGCAATACACACAACGAAGTACTGCTACATCTATCTCTTACTACAAACTGCTAGTAATAATTTTTCAGTCACATCGACTGGACTGCCACTCACCGAATCAAATTGTCGCATAAATCAAGACGAATCCAAGCGTGAGGGATAATCTCAGAATCTCGGTTGCGCTTGCTGTTTGTGGCGTCGCAGCCCGCGGCTGAGAACCTTTCCTTCTGCATGCATTGATTTCAGCTTCCAAATTCGAACCTTTCGAACGATCCGCTCTGCATCTTGCCGTGTACACCCTCTTCTAGCATGGCTCTCCAGGCATGAGCCCAATGACTGTGATGCATCTGACGAAAGTGTTCTCGATCAGGTCATGCATGAACACTGGATCGTTCATCCCATCATAGGCGCGCACGCTTTGAGCAGTTCTGCCAACATCAGTTTACTATACCCATTTTTCACAACAAGTCAAGCTCTGCATGGCCCAGCTATACATCAAAAAGTCACGATAAGAGATACAAACCAGAGCGTAGGCATGGAGATTCGCGAAGCTTTGAGGATGCTCCTCGGCCGCGCCTGCCAGCGATGGCTTGCGTCGCGGGGACAGCTGAAAGATGTACCTTTTCACGCCGGACAGCGCGTGCCCTCTCTCACCTGAGCTTACAAAAGTACAGCAAATCGGAGATTTTACTGAGGTCGAGATATGAATTCGCAAGTCATAGACTCTCCAATGAAGTTGCCAACCCCCCTGTAAAGTCAAGTCGCGGTAGCTTGATCTTGTCGGCGCGACCGACGGACAGACTTTCTAGGTAAGAGGTATGCATACTCCGGTATGCATAGCGCGATCCAGACGCTGTTGCTCGCTGACCTTGAGCTGAGAACGATATTCTACAAGCATTCTTAAAGCACCGGAAGACCTGGCTTTTTGTCTTTTTTCTTTACCACACAAGTACCTGAATCAAAACATCTCAGCCATGGAGTCGAATGGCAAATCTCCCATCGAAGTCGTCCAAGTCATCTCTGCCGAAGATGCGTCATCTCAGGATCCAGAGAAGCAAGGACCTGGAGATGAGCAGAACAACACAGAGGAGCCTCTGCACGGAACAGATGACTACTGGAAATGGGAGATAGCGGGCGTAGTTGGATCTGCACTCGCTCTGATGGGCATCATAATCTTCGCCAGCCATTACAACAATGGTCCAACGCCTTCTTGGTCAATGACTGTCAAGAAATACGACAAGACTTTCACTGTCACCATAAACTCGATTTTGTCTCTTCTCAGTACAATGGCCAAGATATGTGTGCTGATTCCCGTCACCAAGGGCCTGGGTCAGCTCAAGTGGATTTGGTTTGCGAAGAAGGAACGTTCCCTCAGAGATATTGAGACATTCGAATCAGCCTCGAGAGGTTTGACTGGAAGCGCGTTGCTTATATGGAAGCTCAAGTGCAGGTATGAAACCCAAATCAAAACGACTTCTTCAAAAGCTCATCCTTGTATAGACATTTTGCTGCTCTGGCTGCCCTGGCGATGCTTATATCGGTCGTCTACGATCCGTTCATCCAGAATCTTGTATCATACAATATTCGCAATATTGATGAGGAGCGGTTGGGAGTTTCTCCAACTGCTCAATTGTCATATGCAACAACCTACGATGTGTTGATGTCTGGAGGTAGCGAAAGTAAGCTCATCTGAAAGCAAATAATTCGGCATAAGACCTAGAAACTGACCAATTTACAGCCCAACTGGACATGACCATGAAGAGCTCGCTGTATTCCTCGATCTTCGATACCTCAACATCGTGGGTCACGCCGGACCTGTACTGCGGCACTGGAAATTGTACCTGGCCAAATGTTGCAACACTGGGTGTATGCCAGCGATGCGTTGATTTTGACGCCTACAATAACGATCCAACACTGACGCCCATGAATATGACGTGCGACCTGGACGGCTGTGTGGCTTCGTTGCCTGATGGCTTTTCACTAGGTGGGCCGAACAATAATAGCCATAACGTCATGGCAATGAGGACAACAGATCAACCTATTGTGCTCACCAACTTCACCAATGCTTTGGGCTATGTTCAATCTATCTTCGCCGTCGACAATACTGCCATCAGCAGATTCTCTAGGAACATCACAGCATACGCGCCTTCCAATAACTCCTACATTTACGCCCATGAATGCGCACTGTATGCATGCGTTCAGGTGATCAACACCACTGCGACAACTTTTCCTGGTGGCGCCGACACCCAAAGCTACAATCCCGTAACGGAAACAGCTTTGCAGGAATACACCGACTTCACCATTGATGACTCAGGCAACATGATCTTTTCACCAATTCCCCATGAAGACATGATTGCGATGAACATCAGCAATGGCAACGCGACCTTCTCCGTCCCGGCCAAGTCACTGAATCTCCTGAGTACGGTCATCACTCGTATATTCCAGGGCTACGTTAGTACCGATGCCAACTCGACCGACTTCCTGTACGACCGCGACGGCATCAACAACACCGACGACTCCAACTCTGCCGACTACATCCAGTCCATCTTCTTCAACAGCGCGTACGAAGACAACACCTCTGGACTGTGCGAGTGGCCCGGTCACTCGCACTGGGAAGCAGGTGCAAACGGCGACGTCTCGTGCACCGTCAAGAACGTCGCCAAAGCCATGTCCAATGGGTTCCGCTCTGTCGCCTGGTCATCCGAAGAGAACCTCCACATCTTTGGCTCCACCATATTTGCCACCTCGTGGGTACGCGTGACTTGGTTTTGGCTGTTTGTGCCGCTGTTGCTTTGGCTACTCTCTCTCACCATTCTCATCGGCACGGCACTGAAGACAAGACGGGCAGGCGTGAGGACGTGGCGTACAAACCCTCTGCCCATGGTCTTCTTGGAGATGAGTGATGAGCAGAGGTCACAGGTCCAGCAACATGACATGACGGAGGAGGGGTTGGCAAAGAAGGCTAAAGCCTTGAAGGTGAAGCTGCAGCTCGACAAGGATCAAGTCAAACTAGTCAAGCCGGAGTGATTCGACAAGTCACGTAAGGTATGCTAGAGGTATGGTCATTTGGTATCTCTTACGAGTTTAGATTCTTCTACAGCTTCAGCATTTCTTACAAGTCTATGCATCTCCCTCGAGTTCTGTACGTCTCCTAGCTCTTCACAAGCGATATATACAGACAACATTCTCGACACCCCACCGCTTGATCAACACCTCTTTATGGCCTCGCTTTCACGAGACAACTGCATCTCATAGAAACAAAAAAAACCTCAATTGCTCGCATTGTATACAGTGAGTCAAAAGATCTATGCTCATGCTCAGATAAGAGTCATCGATGGAAAGCGAACAACTACTTAGAATCTTTGACAGCCTCTTTTCCTCTGGTCTCCCGAAGCGGGATATACTCGGTAATAAGATATGATACAACCTGCCTATGGTGAGAGCAGAGAAATCAAGCAGAGAGGCATATTCATATACACACACAACAAAATAGGACATTCGGGGAGAAACTGGCCAAAAAAGGCACAGAGCAAAGGTAAAGAAGCACGAAACAGAGCAAGAAACCGCAACTACACAAAAAGACGAATATGGCTTTGATAATTTCGTCATTTGTGATGGAGAAATGTATTCCTATCTTCTCGATCAAAATTATTCAGTAGTAGTAGTAGTAGTAGTAGTAGTAATAGTAGTAGTAGTAGTAGTAGTAGTAGTAGTAGTAGTAGTAGTAGTAGTAGTAGTAGTAGTAGTAGTAGTAGTAGTAGTAGTAGTAGTAGTAGTAGTAGTAGTAGTAGTAGTAGTAGTAGTAGTAGTAGTACAAACAACGGAAAAGCCAAAGACAAGCAGTGTGAAATGCCTTCCCTTGTGGAAACGAGAGGGTATGCAAAAAACAGTAAAAGAGAAACACAGATCGCTGACACAAGCGCTGGGGTGGATGAGTGAAGAAGACAGAAGCGAATATGCAGAAAGAGCCAACCGATACCCAAAAGACCGAGAAACTCCACGCTGCACTAATTTTTTTGGTGTAAATCCAACAAGAAAAGACAGGAGGCCGTGATAATGCTACAAATTCAGAATCGGCGTTTCTTAGGCTGATGACTCCTTGACAGCCTTTTCGTTCATGCTGCCAGCCATCTTTTTGCCAATTTCGTAACTGCTAATCATGATGGCGCAGGCGGGTGCGACCTTCATTGTGCGAGCAGCCCATCCCTTGAACAAGCCGGCGGCACCTTCGGTCTTGTAGATGTGCCACAAGAATCGCGGCATGAGCTTGTCCTCGGGACGGAGAGCAGCGACAGCGGAAGATGCAGAGTCGGCAGAATGGCGAGCGACCTGTTGGCGAGTCTTGCCGACGTCGAAGGGAGTGGTAACGAAAGCAGCGACGGCTCCAGCACTTGCGCCAGCGATGAAGCTGTCGACCAGGACAGTCTTGTGGTCCAGCTCGCTGACAGCGCGGTTCTTCAAGCTGCCTGTTGGTTCGTGGGAAGCAGGACCTTCTCTTGCGTTGTGCAACGTCTGTCTGCCATATTCATAACCCCACCAGTACAAGGCAGAGAAGGGCACATCTCGCCAGAGTGTCAAACCGAGACCTCTCCACAAGGCGCGGTATCCATCTGCTTTGACCATATCTTGAACACCAGATAATGTGTCTCTAAACACACCAGTCGGAGTGGCAGCCTCGGGGTGGCTAGCTTGCATTCGTGTACGGAACATTTCGACGGGGCTGACGACAATGGCGGCCAGTATTCTGGCGCTTGAACCAGCAAAGAGCGGAGCGTAGTTGTCGGATACGCGATCCTTCATGGGACTGTTCGGATTTGCGCGCAACCAATCGTAGCCAGCAAAGTAGATGACATTGGCAGGGACGGACATGAGCAGGGTGGGACTCAAGCCACGCCACAGGGTTGTGAGACCTTCGTTCCGGGCAATCTTTTTCAAGCCATCGATGGTTGAATTAAAGGTTCTTCGCTCAGTCTCCTCTGCCGCACATTGAGAAATAAGCATTTGGTCGACAGTAAGACCAGCGGATGAGGCCATGCAGTAGGGGCTCTGATTGGGGACGTAGTATATTTCTCTACAGCAGGCGGAAATGCCGAGATTGGGAGGGAGCCGGGCGAAGGAGGGTTGGGTAGAAGCATTGAGGGGAGACGGACCGGATTGAGCTTGTAGTCGAACGCGCACAACGTCGAGAGGGGTGANCTGCGAGGGGAGTTAGTTGGACGAAGGCAGAGATGGATGAACAGAGTACAACACACCGAGTAATGAGGTCAGGATGCTGCCAGAGACGGCAGACAGCATCTTCTGGGTGATGGAGGTTTCTTGATCCATGGTGGCGGCAGGGGTGTCGTCGAGAGGTTGTGAGGGGACGGCGGGTTGGTGGATGTTTGCGAAATCGGTAGCAGGCTGATTTGCTGCGGGAGAACCGAGATAGGCCATTCGGCCAGGTTTGAAGAGTTGTGTCGTGTAGCGAGGAGAGAGCTGGATGAGTCGGCGCTGATTGATAAGATTTTATGACGGTGGAAGCTGCAAGATCGACGTCGGCGAGGAGGGGCAGAGATGCAGAGACGTGCGGGTGGTGGATTGGGCGAGTATGGCTGGTTGGAAAAGGACGGAGCGTCGAGTGGTATGCGGTTGAAGGACTGAAAGTGCACGACGAGTGTATGATGGTGTTCGCAGGGCGTGGTGATGCTGGCGGCCGATGGCGCTTGCCCTTTGGACTTTGTTCTTTCCCGAGCGCGCCCGCGTTCGGTGGCCGTCATCGAAAAGCTTCTTTTGCTGGCTGCCCCGGCCTTTGGACCCTCGCACTCGGCGATAAGCCACCTTCCATCAAGGAAACCACAACGAGACACCGCTGCCCCTCGGTCTCTTCCTAGTCCATCTTGTCTACATCCTCTTCTTCTTCTTCCTGCCTCTCGCTGTCTCGACACAATCTCTCCACGACTTCTACCACCACGCCGTTGTGCTGAACCCAGCCCCTCCTACGTCACGCTCTATCCACGCCGAGCCCACGAGCCCGCCTCGATCTAGACTGCTCGACCAGATCAAGACTATCAACCACAATCGCCAACACAAACCACCTCCAAAATGTCCGAACATGACCCTCCCAAGGATACCGATGCCGAGCTAGAAGCCTTCAGACGACAATGGCGTGCCGAAGTCCAGTCACGGAACAAGCAATCCACATCAGAACGTTCGCAAGCGAAGACCCATCACAAGAATTCCCATCCCTCGTCCTCCGCTCCGAAGCCTCGACCGCAACACCATAAACACGACGAACATGATGCCGATGAAGAAGACATTTCCTCGCACGTACACTACGACTTGCCAGACAAAGAAGCCGAGCTACGTCTGGATGCACACGAACAAGCCCTGGCGAGAGGTGCCTTGACCAAAGAGCCCAAATCCGCCCTCGACCATTATGAAAAGGCCGTCGAGAAAGAGACCATGGGAAGCTTGGGCGACAGTGTAGCTCTCTACCGCACTGCCTTCAAGATGGACGACCGCGTACATGAAAAGTACAAGAACAAGCACTTCCCCCCCTCGGCATTTCCGCCAAAGCCAAAGCTCCCTGCACAGCAACCCAACCCCTCCAATGCTTCACAGACGGTGCCTGGGACTGCCCACCACTCGTCCCACGGTCTGCCACCAACTCTCACCGAGCTGGTGGACCAATTCTCTCACCTCTCTATCCCTGGCGCACCAGCTCCTACAGATGCCGACCCGCCACCGCCGTGTCCTATCGCAGAGCTTCCCGGTGAGATCCTATCCGAGATCCTGACCTACGCCGCTATCAACGATCTGGCTTCTCTCGCCAAAGTCTCCCTTGTTTGCAAGAGGTTCGCATACATTGTCATGACCGACGAGTCCATCTGGAAGCGTGTCGCCCAAGGCCCAGAGTTTGGCTTTGGAGGCATGTACTACAACTATGCATGCAACCTCAAGGGAGAACCCCTCGAACCAGATCTCGAAGATGATACGGCATACCTTTCCGAAGGACTAGACCAAGATTCAGACTCTGAAATCCAACTTACAACTCCTCCGCGTCCCTCTAAAACCACCCCAGAAATCGACAATGCATTGCTACATACTCTCTACTCATCTTCCTGGCGCCAAATGTTCCGCTCCCGTCCCCGTCTACGCTTCAATGGCTGCTACATTAGCACGGTCAACTACCAACGACCTGGCGCGACAAACACTTCCTCTTCCACCTGGGGCACGCCAATCCTCATCGTGACTTACTTCCGCTACCTTCGCTTCTTCCGCGACGGCACTTGCATCTCCCTCCTCACCACCACCGAACCAATCGACGTAGTCCACCACCTGACCAAGGAAAACATGCGTTCCTACGCCACAGGTTCGCTCCTCCCCAACAGCGTTATGAAAGACGCTCTACGAGGCCGCTGGCGTCTAAGTGGTCCGGGCAATGATCCCACTTCCGAAGCCGAAGGAGATGTGCACATTGAAACTGATGGTGTGATACCCAAATACATGTGGAAAATGCAGTTTGGCCTTGGATCACGGGGCAAGAAGAGCGCGGGAGGAAACAAGTTGTCATGGAAAGGATTCTGGAGCTATAATCGCTTGACTGACGACTGGGGCGAATTTGGACTGAAGAATGATAAAGCATTTTTGTTCAGTCGGGTTAGAGGGTATGGTATGGGGTACTAAATGCTTGTAGCCTTTTGTACAGACGATACAGTACAGTAGAGTGAAGATCTAATGAAGTCATGAGGTTCGCATCCATCTTTTGATTCAAAAAAATTCCTTAGTGCTGTATGCCGGGCCATCAATGTAGACGCCAAGACCTCATCAAGCTGTAAACCCAAAACAACTCCAAAAACAGCTCCAACAACTCCTATACCATACAACAAACACAACACATCCATCTCGTCTCCAACCGCTCGCCAAACAAGAGAATCAAGGAACCACACCAACAGCAAAAAAAACAATGAATCAGCCACCTACCTTCCCTGTCTCGACACCGCTAGAATACTCACTCTTCTCGCCCTCCAAAGCTGCAGAACAGCAACGTTTGGCCAAAGATTGGAACTACGTTCATCAGTTCTTGCGGCAGAAGTACCCTTCTCCGCAAAAGGTGCCGAGGTTTGAGGAGAATGAGGAAACGTTAAAAGCACTTTTGGCGTTGGCTGCGTGGAACGAGAGGGGGGACGAGGCATGGGGTCAGTTGTGTGGGATTGAGGAGATGGGGGTTAGAGAGTTGGAAGAGATGGAAGAGGTGAGTTCCTGGATGATGAGGAGGTTTGATAGTTTCCGATGCCGAGATGCGACTTTTGGGAACTGCAACNNTGCATGCAAAAACATGAAGCTGACATATTCCGTTCTATCTGCAAAGAGAACTCACAATACGACAAACACTCTCAACAACACACTCACAACATCCCTCCAGTCCTCCCTCTCCGCGAATGGAATCACAGACCTCACAGCCCAAGCAACAACAGCAGTAACCCTCAACACCACCACGACTTCTGCAACTACCCTAGCAACCACCCTCCTCACCCTCTCAACAACCCTCTCTTCCCTCAACAACCAACTCAGCGCTACCCAAACCCTCAAAGCAAATCTTCTAACCCATCAGTCTTCCTTACAAACCGAACATCAAACCCTGACATCTCAAGCCTTCCAAACCGAATCCAATCTCCCCAAAAGAACGGCAGAAGTTTCCCGACAGACCAAAGTCCTCAAGGCAAAGGTTGCCGAATACGATGAGAGGCTGAGAAATGCATCTGACGGTGGTGCAGAGATACCGGAAGTTTTGCTGGCCGAGGTGGAAGCTTCGAAGACGGGGTTGGGGATGTTGATGAAGAGGTTAAGCGATGTGGAGAGTAGGATAGAGGTGTTTGAGGGTGTGCCGCCAGAGGCAAAGGAGGTTAGGAGGGTGATGCAGGATTTGAGGGCAGAGTTGGAGGGGTGGGTTATGAAGAGGGATGGGATGTTTGAGGGACTGGTGGGTTGTGCGAGACGATAGAATTATAATTGTGGGATAAAGTATAGAATATCTCCACGATGAAGAGCACTCATGCACATATCGTGTCGATGGAAAATGGTTATGGAGTTATGAGCGTCAATCCCTCCTCGCTGCGGCACACAACAGGCGAACTACACGAGACCTAAAGTTCTGTCGCATGTGTATAGCCAGCGTTTGCTCCTCCTCTCAATAGCTCGATTGCAGGTAGCTTAGGCACGTCTATAACCGTGAACCAGCCTCATAGTTCAGGGTATGCTAGAGACTTGGACGATAATGTAGGACGTCTATTCGGACATTGCGCGACCATAGCTCTCATCCTACAAGATGACCATTGAAAATTCATCTTGAAATCTGATCAATCTGGTCGTGTGTTGGAGCAAGAAGGTGAGATTGCACACCCAAAAAGTGGATTTCCAGATCGAGGAGGTCCGTGCTTTGACATCAAAAACGTCATTGATGCGCGACTGCCTTTGATGGAATTCATCCAAAAGAGACAACAATTTGTCCCTGTCACATGCCAATTCGCTCTCACTCATTTGTCTCTTGTGTTCCGAAAATTCGAGTCTCAACATAAGACGGCTTGTTCCAAAGGAGAATTGGCAGACTCGTCTCACACTCGATCATGTCTGGAAACAAGGCCGCGCTGAAGGCCGCCAAAGTCGCCTTGGATGCTGAAAACTACGATGATGCCGTCACTCAGTGCCAAATCGTACTCGCATCAGATTCTCAGAATTACTTTGCGTATGTCGGCTCCTTTCCACAAGATGAGTTGATGACACTGACAACAATCCCAGCNAAGCTTTTCTTGGGCCGCGCATATCAAAAACAGAACAAATTAGACGATGCGGCAAAAACATACAACTCAGCTGCAGAGATCAAGCCTGATGACGCACAAGCATGGCTGGGTCTTTGCAATCTGTATGAAAGTCAAGGTGGTGTCAAACTCGATCAATACCGGGAAGCCGTTCTCAAGGTTGCCGAGATACAAGCTGCTGCAGACGATGCTCACAGATGCCAAACCACCATCAACAAGCTAGTGGAATTTACAAAGGAAAATGGAACAACCGCTCAATACAAACGCGCCCTGGAAGTTCAATTACCTGGAAGCCCGATTTACGAGTTCCTGGAGGGCCGTTTACCGAGTCCGTCGCATACCTACACCCGACTGATCGAAATCACCGAGGAAGAGGAGAAGCAGCGTATCAACAAGGAGATTGGTGAGCGAAGAACACGACTAGGAGCTCGCATCAACCAGGTTACCACCGACGTTCGCCGAGAAGTCTTTACAAAGAGCAACATTGAGGAGCTCTACCAAAAGCTGATTGACTGGACCAGCGATGATGAAGTTCGTCGCGAGTATGAGCAGAAGCTCTTACAACGCGCTTACGATACGTTGATTGTCCTGACTGGTGACGCAAAGGCCGAAAAGCGCGAGCAGGTCATGGGCATCGTTCACGGCATGGTCATCATCAAGCACCCATTCCTTCTAGCCTGGATCACAGAACTGGACTGGAAGGATATCGCGAGTGTTTCAGATCTTGATATTGGTGTACTAAGAGAGTACTTAGTGTTCTTCCCAGAGACCAGTCTCGGCAAGGTGCTCAAGGCATATCTCGACTGTGAGATCTCACCATTCCCCGCACCTCCAAAGGACCCGGAACAAAAGGAGGAGGATGTCGAGGCACCACTAAACCAGGAGGATAGAATTCTCTTGATGAGTGAAGGTCTTGAAGATGGCAGCAAGTCTGTTCTGGCACACCGTCTCGTTTCAGAATACTACCTCCACCTGGAAGAATACGAGAGCGCAGCAGAAGTAGCTAGGAACGGTCTCAAAATGCTTGAATCAGAGGTTAGGAAGTCTGGTCTCGTATTGCAGGACAACAAGGACGCCTTCAACAGCACACTCGCCACTGCACTGGTATATCACCAGTCACCTAAGAACCACCCAGAAGCTAGAGACTTGTTCAACGATATTCTCGCAAGAAAGCCCAAGCATACTGCAACACTCATTGGATTAGGTCTGATTCTGGAAGAGCAAGAAGAATTTGATGAGGCAGTCAAATTCTTGTCACAGGCACTGGAACAAGACCCTAGCAACATCCGCATCGAGATCGAGTCAGCCTGGTGCGATGCTCTGCGTGGCAACTACGGTCCGGCTTTGGAGACCATGGAGAAGTGCCTGCCTGACCTGAAGCTGGACGACCCCAAAGCACGAGAGCTCAGGGCACAAACTCTGTACCGTACGGGTATCTGTCTTTGGAATCTCGACACATCCAAGACTGCCAGAAGAGATCGCAACGGAGCTTACGCCAGGTTTCTGTCCGCAATCAAGACCAACACTAACCTTGCACCTGCATACACATCTCTTGGTTACTACTATGCTGATTATGCCAAGGATAAGAAGAGAGCGCGCCAATGCTTTCAGAAAGCCTTTGAGTTGTCTGGATCAGAAGTCGAGGCTGCTGAAAGACTCGCAAGATCCTTCGCCGATCAGGGCGAGTGGGACATTGTTGAGATTGTTGCTCAAAGAGTTGTCGATTCAGGCAAGGTCCGACCTCCACCGGGTTCGAAGAAGAAGGGTATCAGCTGGCCATTCTCGGCCTTGGGTGTTGTGCAGATGACCAAGCAAGAGTACTCCAAGGCGATAGTCTCGTTCTTGTCAGCACTCAGAATCAGTCCTAACGATTACCACTCATATGTCGGTCTGGGAGAAAGTTATCACAACTCTGGTCGTTACAACTCTGCCAGCCGAACATTCATCTACGCCGAACAGCCTCATGATGGTATTTCCATGAATGTTACCGGGCAGAATTGGTTCACGCGATACATGCTTGCCAATGTCAACAGAGAACTTGGCGAGCACGACGAGGCTATTGCTGGTCTCCAGGAAGTTCTCACTGGCAGAGCCGAAGAATTTGGTGTTCTCATTGCACTCTTGCAGACATATAACGAGAAGGCCTGGAGGTGTGTAGAGACTGGGTTCTTCGGCCAGGCTGCTCACAGTGCTGTTCAAGCAATCGAGCTTGCTCAAAAGATTGCCGATCTGAGACCTCAAGCTTTCAATTTATGGAAGGCAGTGGGTGATGCTTGTTCAGTCTTCTACTGGATCCAGGATAGACTTGACATATTCCCTAGCGACATGGCTAAGCAGATGCTGACAAAAGATGTTGATGTCAAAGAGTTCAGTATTCTGTCAGAGATTGATGGAGTCGACTCGAAGGTCCTTGAGAGCTCAACGGAAGGCGACGCAGCTGTAGCATGTCCCGAGTACTTGGCCCTCTCCTTGCTTGCCTACAAGCGTGCCATCTTCAGCTGTGCAAACGACGTACATGCTCAAGCTGTAGCTTGGTACAACCTTGGTTGGGCAGAGCACAAGGCATTCAGCTGCAGTGATGCAAAGGCCGGCAAGAAGTTCCTCCGCGCAGCTGTCAGGTGTTTCAAGCGTGCCATTGAGCTCGAAGCAGGAAACTCGGAATTCTGGAACTCACTTGGTGTCATCACAACCAGACTGAATCCCAAGGTCTCGCAACACTCCTTTGTCAGATCGCTGCATCTGAACGAGCGTAGCGCAAAGACATGGTGCAACCTCGGTGTCTTGTATCTCATCAACAACGACTATGAGCTCGCTCACCAAGCATTTGGTCGCGCCCAATCAACAGATCCTGACTATGCACACGCATGGCTTGGCGAAGGTCTAATTGCATTGATGATGGGTGATAAGAAGGAGGCGCTATCACATTTCACTCATGCCTTTGAGATCTCAGACTCTGCTTCTTTGATCTCGAAGCGTCAATATGCTGTATCTGTCTTTGATAACTTGCTCACAACTCCTTCAGCTTCGAACGAGATTACTGCGTTGATCCAACCACTATTTGCCTTGGGGCAGCTGCACCGTCAAGTTCCCTCGGACCAGGCATTCAACCATCTGGCTTCTTTGTTCTCCGAACGTGTGGGTGACCATGCTCCTGCGATTGAGATGCTTACAAGTCTTTGCACATTAGCCGAGTCAGATTACGAGGCCACAGAATCGCTCACCTCTCTTGGTCGTTTCGCTTTGGCAAAAGCAGACCTTGCCAGGAATCAGCTTGCCTCCAAGGACTTCGAGTCAGCAGCCGAGAACGCAGGCACAGCTCTCGATCTCTCTGCCGAAGCTGATGCAAGCGGGTTGGAGCTGGACAGTAGACGCAAGGTCCGCTTGTCTGCTCATTTGACTGCAGGTCTTGCCGCCTTCTATCTACAAAACATGGACGATGCCATTGCGGCATTCCGATCGGCACTCGAGGAGAGCAACTCCGACCCTGACGTTGTATGCCTGCTCGTTCAAGTACTGTGGGCCAAGGGCGGCGACGAAGAAAAGTCTGTCGCCCGCGATCAGTTATTCGACTGTATCGAGAAGAACGACTCCCACGTTCCATCTATTGTATTGCTCGGCGCTATCGCAGCTCTGGACAACGATACAGATGCTCTCGATGCTGTTCGCGACGACCTCGCATCTCTGCGCACTAACGACAGCATTTCCATCTACGACCGCGAGAATGTCGAACAAGTCCTTGGCGCCATTGCAGGTCTTTCCTCCGATGCATCAGAGATAGATGCGCTGGTCGAGACACAGCGAGCAATCATGCTTGCGCCGCACCAAAGCCATGGATGGACACAGCTGACAGACCTGACCGAAGAGGCGTATCCAGCTCAAATGGCTCTGTTGACATCGCAGAGAGCTGTACCACCTTATGGAGATCTCGGAGCACAGGAACTGGCAAAGGCGTTTGCAGGTACGGGAGTGGTTCGTGACGCACAGCGGGCAATCGTATTGGCACCATGGGAAAGAAGTGGTTGGGAAACCTTTGCAGATGCAGTGACGTCTGCCTGATATCAAGGTCCACGAACCACCTGTATGGCCTGAGGGAAATTTCGCATGTCGTGCCATACAAAGTAGCAAGCCAAGCAAAAATTCAATTCAATAAACAACCTGTGACCATACGAAGATGAAGCAACGATCGAGCGATTGAGCTTTGACAAACAGAGCTTGTAGACTCTTGGCTCCAAAACAACCTCGTGATCTTCATCCCCAGCCTTTTCTTTCTCCTCTTTTTACCCCAGTCTGCGTGATGTTTGGTATCGGCTAACGGTGATAGTGAAATTTGATTGTTTCAAGCCTTGACCTAGGGGATAGAGTTGCATTCTTCGTATGCGGACGTAAGAGGCTTGGGTTACAATCACCTTCGACGAGTTGGCACTCGAGTCCGATGGAGCTGAGTTGGTTTTGGAAGGCGTGAATTAAGGTGTGTTTAGGGGAAGTCCGCGACCATCCCACGTGCTTCTGTTTGTGAATCGCCAAGCGGGTTGTTCGGTTGCGACCGCAGCCTTTCTCTCCTTGCTTCATCGTGCAAATAACAACAAACACTCCTCTTTCGTATCCCCTTTGTCTTCATCTCTCCATACACCGGTCGGAGGGTCAGGAACGAGACGTTTTGCTGGAACTATCCAATTCTTCTGGTAGACCTCGGAACCCCTTCCTTGGCATTGGAGAGGGGCGAACCAGGCCAGGGCCAAACGCTTTTGCGATGCCCCAAGCTGAGTTCATCTTGAGCAGGAAACCAATTTGACCCGCAACGGAGCGAGCGGGTATCGATACGAAAGTTCGATCATGGTAACTTTTTGTCCGAGTGGTGCTGGTCCATCTTCGGGTACTTGGACTACTGCTGTTCTTGGGTGACAACAGGAACGGTGACGGGTAAAGTGTGCTATTCTTGGATTGAGACATGACTGTTCTCTGCACATCTGTAAGTGGCGCATCTTGTGTCTTGTCTCTTTTCTATACTCTGAAGAAATTGGTTATTGATGTCGAGCTGCAAGCTAAGGACTGACGGGCACTTCTGCAGGAACAAAACTGTAAAGAGCATGACTTCTACCGATCTGAGGCGAAAGACCCAAAACCAAGGTAAGTAAGGCTAAAATTGCACTGCAGGTCACACATCGCCGCCCAATTGGAATGTGCGAAGGTTCAGAAGATGAGGAACCGTTATGGATACGAGGTATGAACTCCTCGTAACGGGTTCCTGGTTCCTGAAGCTAGGCTCATGCGGATCACCCTCGAGCCTCGTATCATGACAATGGAAACAACATCTCTTTGATATATAAGAGCTACTTGACCTTTGCAGGTTACTTTTCTTCTCATCACACAACTACTGTCGTTCATCTCTACTACTCATCCAGCCAACTCTCACACTCGCTACACAGCACCAACTACACATTTCTAATACTCCGATTTCTACATCAGCCACATTACCGCAAATATGAGATTCGCTGCTGTTGCCACTCTCGCCTTCGTCGGCGCTGTCGCTGCCCAGAACTCGACCACTGCTGCCACTGGCTGTGTTGCCAAGGACAATGCTTGCCGTACCACTCGCATGCCCGATGGCTCTTCTGCCAACCAGGCCCAATGCTCTGCCAACAATGCTCAATGCCAGGGCGACTGCTACTCTGCCTACAACACCTGCAGAACCACTCCCGTCGATGGTCTCTCCGCCAACCAGGCCCAATGTGTCTCTGAATACGCTACCTGCCTCGGCGAGAACCCCGTCGCTGCCTCTGGCGGTTTGATCTCTTCTTTCATCCCCTACTCGGCCACTGCCACTGTCAGCGCTTCTTCTACTGCCTCTGCCTCGGCCAGCGCTTCTGCCGCCAACTGCGTTGCTAAGGACAACGCCTGCCGTGCCAGCGACCCCGTCACCGGTCTTTCTGCCAACCAGGCTCAGTGTTCTGCTGAGAACGCTCAGTGCCAGGGTGATTGCTACGCTGCCCTTGGCAAGTGCCAGACCACTCGCATGCCTGACGGTTCTTCTGCCAACCAGGCCCAGTGTGTCTCTGAATACGCCACTTGCCTCGGCGAGAACCCTGTTGCCTCCACCGGTGGCATCATCTCCTCGTTCATTCCTTACACCGCTACTGCCTCTGCCTCTGCTTCCAGCATGGTCTACATGACTGAGGTCGTTACNTGCGTGAGTATCCTCCTTTATGTCCCGACATTTCTGATGGGTATCATGCTAATCTCGCAAAACAGACTCACCACCGTATGCCCTGCCCCCACCGCTGGCGCCTACGTCACCACCATCCACAGCAACGTCTACACCGTCTCCTCGGCCACCACCATCACCGTCACCAACTGCCCTTGCACCGTCTCGAGCAAGGTCCCCGCTGCTTCCGTCACCGGCGGTGCTCAAGGCGGTATGATGACCTCTGCTGGCAACGGCAACAAGAACGGCACCGCCACTGCCACTCAGAGCAAGCCTGCTGTTTACACTGGCGCTGCTGCCAACGTTGCTGCTGGTATGGGTTTCCTTGGTGCCGCTGCTGGTGCCGTTATGCTTTTGTAAGCATTTGTGGTGCTTGGCTTCTTTTGACTGTTTTGAGATGCTTTTTGATTAGGTTTCGGAGAGAGCTCTGCAGCAAAGAAATAAGAGTGTTGGCGTGAGACGTAACGGAGAAGTATTCAGTGAGAATTTGATAGGTTTGAGATGTTTTCTCACATCTCTCATGTATAATTATTGGGAAAATCATAAGTCCTACCTTAATAAATAGTAATAAATTGTCATTGGATATCTTGTTCGTGTTTTTCCCAAAGATTTGCAGTTTTTCTTCGGGGATCTCTGGACTTTTTTTTCTTTTTTCTTTTTCTATTTTCCCTCATTACCGCAACCTTGCACTTTTTTTTGCAAAAAAGATGGCAGATGATTTATATCAAAACTTCTTGTACCATTGCCAATGGCTCCCTGACCACATACATCTTCCGCCTCATGTTCCAAACATTGGGTGTTCACGACAAAACTCTTTTTTTCTTTCTTTGTTTGTCCTTTGTTGGGGTTAGCGAATGATTGGCAACGAAAGAAGAGGAAGGTCAAGAACTAGAAGTAAGAGGTTATATGGTATATATACAAAATAAGGTAGTTGTCTCTACTACAATGCTTGCTCTAATATAACAACTACTGCAAAAGATGCGCGGATGCGCAAATGAGATACAAAAGATACAACAATGCCGCGGGAAACGCTTGAAAGAGATGGTGTGCTCGAGACAAATGCAGGCAAAAATCTTTGAGCACATGCAATTATTAATGGGGACATCTATGCGTGGTTTCTAGTCTAAAGTGACTTCTGTTGCTTCATTCTCTGCTTGGTTCGTGATATTACAATGGCGTCGTGGATGTATCTTTCAGGACCCGTACTCAAACGGTTATACAACTCTCTCTGCTGCTTGTATCGTGGGTCCCAGCTCTGAGGACACGGCCATTCAAGCGGAAATAGATTGGGTAGGAGATGACCCAAATCGTGGTCCGGATCAATTTCTCTTTGCGCAAGACATGATCCGGACGTATGTGCCGCAGACCGTCGTGGTCAAGTCTACAACTTTGTTCTCGCGATGTGATACTGTTGCTGTACCAAAAAGTTCCCTGGATCGTAATGCTGAAGGATAGGCTGATCGCATCCGTCTCTGACCGTTGCTGGACAGAGTGAGCGTGTTGATTGACGAATGGACTGGACGGCAGGAGGAGACCGTCTTCAGCAGCTCATACTGGCAAGTGTCTTTGTCAAGAATGAATTGAGCCCGTCCGTAGAGCCTATGACCTAGATGCAGATAGCGCTGCACCCAATGCCGTGACGATGCACCGGGATAGTTCGGTCTACATCGACCACATGTGCTACTGACTGCCGGGGATCTAGGAGAGCATGTGTCTCTTGTAGACCCCAGCAATGGTGTATACTTCATCAGATACCAGTAGTACGTTCAGCCAAGAAGCACATTGTGCTTGAGTTCAGTCCAGTCTCTTTTTGTGTCCCAGCATTCTTGCAGCAAGGCCTTGACACGGACGACCTGTCCCATGCCAGCGTTCTCAATACTCTGCAGGCGTTGCAGCACGTCAACAGCTTTTCCAGGATCTCTTGCTTCACAACCAGCAAGGAAGAGGGGTAAGATGATATCTGGAGTGTCGAAGGCATTGTATCCTTTGAGTTCGTTAAAGGCTTCCAGAATTGCGTTTACCGAGAATTGCACCAAACGGGATTCGGACGGAAGCATGTAGACGCGGCGATGTAGATAGATTAGCGCGGCATGGCTGATTGCAGCGTTGACGGCACGATAGACTTCCGTAGAAGACGTTGATGATTGCGAGCAGGCGCAATCATAACGAGTGTGCTTGATTTCCAGAGTGAAAAGTTCCAGATTCAGCCTCAATTGCTGAGACATGGTTATTGTCTGAACTGCGGGTTGTCCGAGTAAGCGCCGCTCGTAGTCACAGCGTTTGGCCAATTCTGCAGTCCTTGATAACAGAACCAGTGATTTGTTGGTGAAGCCAGCCAAGCATTGCAGTTCAGGTGTTTGCTCTGCCAATTTGAGCTCGCGTGACCACTCGTAATAAGCGCCTTGATAGGTATCGCTGCTAGCGCTTCCGAAAGTGTCTAGATAAGCGAACCATCTGCCGAAAAAGATTGTCGCGTTGGTTCTTTGAAGACCTTCCTGGCCGAGTCGCAGACTGTACAAACGCCGCGCCAAGCTAAGATGTTCTTGCCAGGAAATCGGCAAGTCGAATGCCAGAGGATACGATTGTGTGAGGGAGGCCAGCATGACACAGGATCCGAATACTGAATCGGTAACGGGCTCGTTACCTGAGAGAGCCTGGCGCAAAGAAGGAAACACAGGCGTGACCCATGTCGCGATGCGGTTCTTGGGCTCGGCATGTCGCAAAAGTCGGGCTCTGTGACAAGCTGCGTAGGCCAACAAAAGTCGCAACAGGTTATCATCCTGCATGGCGAGTTGAGGCAAAATTGTCGAGAAAGGATTTGATGGGCATTGGTGAGTTACCAGGACGTTGGCTGTGTAATTGACGAAATAGTGAATGTAGATCAAGTTCATCGGGTTCTCCAGCAAAACACTAGGAACGGGCATCAAAGAGGCTGGTATCGTGACTGGCACCGGCGCCGAGTAATAAAAGTCGCTCGAACATTGCTGCGGCGAGTCGATTTGAACGTCGTTGTGTTGTCCAAGCGCATCCTTGTCATTGTTCTTGGGGAGATCGAGGTCAGGGAGACCGTGGTCGTAACCAAGGATATCCATCCGGGGCAGGCGTGTTGCGGAGAGGGAACTGCGGGACCGTGATGTGAAAAAGACGTCGGCCTCATGTGTTTTGAGAATAAAGACGAAGTCGCTTGTACACAAATAGGGAGAAAGATAGGTTCGTTGGGCCTAGAATTCGTTGATCCAGATGCGACGCTAAACACCGACAGTTTCTTCTTCAGCGCGGCAAGAAGACCAAACTGACGTCGAGTTCCTGCACTCCTGACCAGCCGTGAGGCACGGGAACGTTCAGCAAGCAGCGGAAAGTGCAAAAGGAGGATCTTTCTTGGGAGCACTCCTCATGACTCTGCTCCATGCTCACGAGGGGGAGACGATATTATTATGAGATGCTTGTACACGGCATGTGGCAACGATAGACTTTGGCTGGTGTATATCCCCTGTCCTATCAAGATATAAGAAGCGCATAGGGTTTCAGATTGGTGCCCACCGACTGGCTACTTCTCCATGATCCTGCAAGCCAAGACATGATTGAAGAACCTTTAGCCAAAACTGGCGAGCCGAACTCGGATACGGCAACGGTTGAAGTCTTGTGAGCCGCAGGGACGACTCGGAACATGCTTGCCCCGAGCAGCGAGAATAGATATTCTACAACATAACAACGACAGAGATGCAAAAACATATGAGACAGACTGCAAAACGTACAGCAGCAGGGATTCCCACGTCGTCACCGACCGTAGTACTAATCTGCCGTTCAACTGCTTATGTATGGCAGAGCGGACGGGATGCCCAGTTCTCAGCTGACTGTGGCCGTACGTGCTTGACAAGGCAGCATTTCCATATCCAAACCTTGGAGGTGTTGATGGAAAGACTGGAACAAGGAAAGTTGCGGGTATCGTGCCCTTGCCGTAGTTTGGGAGATTGTTCAGCTCAGCGGGTACTCAAGCGAACTGCCGGATTTGATATGATATTGGTTGGGAATATTCTGCGAGGCGGCCAAAATGATGCGAACGTGCTGCAATCAAGTTTCATGACAAACCGAGGATCTACCGCTCCGCAAGGGTCGTCATCGGTCTTGTGTCTGGAAGAAAGGCTAACGGTAAGTTAATCGCGTCACGACTGAGCAAGAAGGCGAGTTGCCGTCCAACAAACAAAGGCTCTCGTTCGTTTCCTCGATGCTATCGCCATCCATCCTCACCGCGCTGTCACACCCAGCTCTTCAACATGGCCACCACATCATTACTTGATCTGCCGGACGAACTTATCCACAACATCTTTGTCCATCTGAACGCTTCGTCGGCCACCCACTTTGGACAAAGCTCGAAACGCCTATACAAGATCTCGAACACTACCTCATTATGGCGACACTGGTGCCGCGAAGGTTGGAATTACTGGGAGGAGCAAGATGGCAGGCCTGTCCCGGACTACAACCCTCATTCGCAAACCGAGTGGAAACGCGCATACGCCGACAAGGTCACCCAAGACCAGGAGGCCTTCGCTATCTTCAATGACCTTCTGAGCACTCAGCAGAATCGAATGGCGCGCATGCACGAGATTGTCGAACACTACTCATACGATGCCAAAGACATGTTGGTGAGGCAGCTTGGCACGCCTGACGACGCCGAGGATGTCCTCGCCCGCAGATACTGGAGTGGTGTTGTTCTTGAGCTGCTTCATCGCTTCAAAGCCGTGCAGATATGGGACAAGATGCAGTGGCAGGACTACCCACCACTTGAAGAAGCCTTGGGCGCTTTCGACCTGTTCATCCAAGGCAGCAGCAGCGACTTTGAACTGTCTATCTTGAAGAAAGAGTTGGATGACATTGCACATGCTATCGAGTCCTCAGATCTGGAATGGCGCGAGAGGAACCATACCGAGAAGGCGGTTGCCATTTCCAAGTACCTGAGAGAACACAATCTCGTGGGCTGCTCACCAGATACTTTCAGCCTGATGCGGTACCGATTTCTCACCCACGTTTTGACACATCCTACCGACAAATCTTCTATTCCTATGCAGTCTGTCGTCATCTTCTGCTGCGTGGCCATGCGACTTGGACTGAAAGCCTGGCCTTGCAATTTCCCAGGAAAGATCCATGCAGTCATTGAATCGCCATACGGTCCGTCAATCAAAGATACACGTGCCTCACACAAACTTCCCGAGGGTGTCGTCTGGATGAATCCATCTGACCACGACGAGATCATCACAGAGCAAGCAATGCGAGACATGCTCGATCAAATGCCACACTACAACACCCCGGAAAGTCAATATTCATGCTTGACACGAGCTCACACTCGAGCTTTGGTGCTGAGAACTGGTGTTAACATTATCGGATCCATGCAATTCCACAGACCATCACCAGGCTGGGAGACTCCCAACATCGCGTTCTGCGCACTGTGGAGTCTTATCTCCATGAGTCAGGTCGACGCTACGAAGAGTGCAGAGCTGTTCGTACGCCATCAACATTGGCTCAAGCAGATAGTGAACTGGTTTGAGGGTTATGTTCAGGATGGGCTCTGGCTTGACGATGCTGTACTCTTCGAGCGTTATGTTCTGCCTCTGATAGATGGAGAGGAAGCAAAGGCCAGACTGTCGCAAATCTTGCAACAGATTCGAATCGCAGACTCCAATGCGAATCCCATCACTCCTCGTGACGAGCGTACACATTTGGTCAAGTATAAGGTCGGGCAGATCTTCAGACACGTCCGCTACGGCTATGTGGGTGCAATCATTGGGTGGGATCCTAGCTGCCAGGCTGGCGAGTTTTGGATTCAGAGCATGCGAGTGGAAGATCTTCCTCGAGGTCGTGAACAAAGCTTCTACCACATAATGTGAGTCACTCGAAGAAGCCAATACGTGACAAATTCGCTAACACACGATCACAGATGCGAGGACGAATCTCTACGCTACGTCGCCGAGGAGAATATCATGGTACTCGCAGAAGAGCCGTCCGCCAACCTACTGAAACTTGCTGGTCGCTACTTCAAACGCTGGGACCAAGAGGACAAGGTCTTCGTCAGCAACATCAAGGACGAGTATCCCGATGACTGAATTGTTCTTCGGGATGGACGGCAAGCAGGAGCCAATGATTTTTATGAACTACGAAGTAATGATTATAATGATACTGCGCCCTTACAGAACCGCTCTCATGTTTACGCTACCCAGTGCTAAATGTGGTCTGGCAGCATCGAAGCAGGCATTCAGGCCGTCGATGGAGTCACGACGAACATGACGGGTTACCATCTGTGAACGACACATCGGATAGAGACTAAATACTGGACAAGCTCGGCCTGAAACGTAGGCTCAACAGACGGTGTTGCTTCGCCGGGCGTAAAGATCACATCCTGAAACCCCACGCCCAGAGTTCCTGGCAGCTCACCGTCATCTGCTGTGTGAATGTAATAGTAAGAACACTTCTCAGGGTCTTGCCTTTTCCACTGATGCGACATTTTCATGTTTTGTCCACAATTTGAGATTCTTCTTGGTGGCAACAGTTGGCCTAATCTCTCAATCAATGCTTTCCCATTTCATACCCGTGTTGAGAAGCCCAATCTTGGCCCGCGCTCGGCTACACACTCTGATCGAATGGAAGAAGACTCTGATCACCACGATCTGTCCAACGTGATACAGAAAGCTCACCCACGACTAGCATCTCACAAGACTTGGCTTTAGTTGAGGAAGCATCCAACTATGGTCAGGAACTTGCTTCCACGGAGAATGCTCCAGTCCCTGGCAGAGAAAGAGCTGTAGGTACGTTGCTAACCGACTGGCCTGCTAGGTCACAGGGCATCACTGCGGAGATATGTGATCTCAAAACTCTCAAGCAATTCATGGCTTCTGACGATATCAACGAGGAGCACAAAGCTATGTGGGTATCACTGGTCCAAACAATCGTGCATGAGCCTGACCAAGATTCCGTGCTCGTCTTCCTTCAAAACACTTTGTCAGGCGATTCAACATTTGCTGGAAAACTTCGGCGAGATCGCTAACGCCGCCGCCAATCATGGTAAAATCACACGCCACAATTGAGCAGTGACTGGTTCTATCTCGATCCATGGCAGTGACAAGACCAAATGGTCACCTTCGCACTTCATCGATCTTGCACTCTGTATGGGCGGTCCTGAGGCAGGCAATCAAGCCGCTCGAGCCTTGAAAGTTTTTGGAGTCTGGAACCCTTCAGGCGAGTTCGAGCGAGGATTCTCCATGCACTCCATCAAAATATGCCTCAATCGCGAACATATCTTGCGTAAGATCTGGCCAGATGATGTCAAAGATCAAGAGGAAGTACTTGTTTGGGCAAATCATCACCGAACTTCGTCTGATCCACCAATTAAGGATTTTGAGGATGCTCACTCCCATATCTTGCGGCAGTGCATCGGGGAAGACCTCAAGCTGTTCCCTCGCTTGGCTAGGAAATACGATATTGGCGACGTTAGCAAGCGCATGATCTCGAAAGCATACTTTGATAGTACTCTGGCACCTATTCTGCTGAAGCACTTCGATGCAGATGTGGAGCTTCCCCTCATCTACAAAGCAGTTGATATCAGTCAAGACAAACTTGTCGACCGCAACCCCCTCAAGCATGTTATACCAGCCAAAATACCCTCGGCACTACCTACTCCCTATGCAAACAAGGGTTGGCCCCAGGAAAGGCCCCAGGAAAGGGTCAGACGCGACCAGCCAGTCCACCACAAAGGTTACAATGACGACGGAGATGACAGTGAGCCTGACTACCAAAAAGCCGCAAAGCCGATCAAGACAGAACCTGGTGTCAATAAAGACCCCGGCTTTGATCATCAGAGAGGAGTACGCGTGTGGAGCCCTAGAGAAACTCAGGCCTGTACTAGGATCATTATGCAGACATGTCTCGAGAGGCAGACTCCGAGACTTAGTTGTACCCTGGTCTCACAACGTCTGAGAGCTGAGCACAACTTTGTTCGTACACCGGAATCTATCGGTCGTAAATGGTACGCAGATCGGAGTCGCTGGCCACTTTTTCGAGAATTGCCTCGAGGCCTCGGGTCCAACGAAGACAAGAATACCAACAAGGAGATTGCAAAGCATCAGGATCCTGGAAAGAACGCTGATGTATGTTTGACTAATTTCGATCCAAGTCACCAGGGCGAATATTCTGATGATGCGGAAGACAATGTGGGAGTTGACGTTGCAGATGTCGCGGCAGACAACGAAACGAATGATGAGGCTAAAGGCGGGTTGGACAATGGAACTGAAGCTGTACGAGTCCCGTCCGAAGCATCGATTAACGTGAGACCAACTCCCTCTCGCAGACAGTCTCAGACTGCGCATGTTATCAACGCCCACAAGCCAATCACACGCGGTGCCATAGAGTCCGAAGCTAGAGAGAAGCAAACTACCAACGATCTCTACCAAAAGTCTCGCAACGTCCCAACAGATCTACTTGAACGATTCCTCCGAAGCAGCAACAGTCTAGCACTACACAGAAGCTGGATGGAGGTCTTGGAGCAAAGAACAAAAAACGGAATGAAACCTTCAGGACCAGAAGATCGTCCACCCTACTCTGCTGACCATTCCCTCAATGTATCGCCAACCACGAAGACCCCAGCAATTCTGTTCTCTCTTCAAAAGCTCAAGCGGATATCGATAGTCCGCGTGAAATGAACATTGAGTAGGATGTTGGAAGACTCAAGAGATTCGCAGAGGCTCAACCCTGATCAAGCTATGGCCGCGCCATCTCTTTCGATTAGTAACTTAGCATAGTCACCACTTATCTTCCTCTTCACGACTAACGACAGACATTCCAACCGCAGGGATGTAACTCACATCATCGACTTGCAAACCTGACTTTGCTCAAGACGGATCATCTTGCGATGTGTCCTTCGACTCGGACGTCTTGAGCGACGTCTCAGATGGTGGCAATACTTTTCCTTTCCTTTGTTTCATCCTGAGAATCTCTCTTACCATCACTGTGATTTCCAAGTAACCACCAACATCGATTCCGATGGCGAAATCTCATTTGTTCTTTGAAACCAATCTTCAACGGGCCTTGTTTCTCTTTGATCATCAAAACAGATTTTCCTATGTCTCTTGGATGAATTCTTTTCATTGATTACGTATGGCTTGTGGTGATGATAATAGTGGAAGTGGTCGAAAATGAAGTACTACTTGCCTCCCAACAGCTTTTTTGCCCCAAACGAGAGAGAGAGAGAGAGAGAGAGAGAGAGAGAGAGAGAGAGAGAGAGAGAGAGAGAGAGAGAGATTCAGCAAGGCAGAGGATGCTGGTGAGATCGACTATACTGCTGTCGGTGATATCACCGAAAAGAAGACCGATATTGATGACAACACCAATGATGTCGCTGGCCACGATGAAAGCGCCAACGACGTCGTCGACAGCGAGGAAGAAGACCTCTACGGCTGCACCGACAAGGAAGACGCCAACGATGTCGATGACAACGACGAAGAGACACCCTGCAACAACACTCCTGATGAACAACCCATCAACGACGATACCGACGAAGAAGATGACTGGACCGAAGAAGGCATTCGCATCGCAGCAATCAAAGAGCAACTCAAAGCCTCCCAACAAGAAGCCTGGGAAACCGAACGCGATCTCGAAAGATGGCATACCGAGGAGCTGATCGAAGTCAAGCGTCACCATCAACAAGAACGCGAGCGCATCGCCAAAGCAAACCAACAGCTGCTCGAGGCCCACAGACAAGAAGCCGACGACGACATGGCCGCCGCCCTTCAAACATTTGTGGACCAGCGCGACAATCTGGAAAACATCGCCTCCAGACACTACCACCGTGCCAACAAAGCCGAACAGGACATCTTGGAAGCCGAGCAACAACACCAGGCTTGCAGAGAAGAAGCCTGGAGTCTCGAATGCGCCGCCGAACAAGCACATCGTGAGGAGCTGGACGAGTTGCAACGCAAGCACCTCGAAAACCTCAACGAGACCAAGAACAAGCACTTTCAAGAACACAGCAAATTCGTCAGAATCATGAAAGCAAGCGAACAGAAACGCTGCCAGGATGCCGCCACAAACGCCGAGCTCTGCGGATCTGCCGCAGTGACGCTATCTGCCGAAATCAAGAAAGCCAACACCATGAAGGCCAAGTTCGAGAAGATGCTCGAGGACGCGAAGGCTCGCTACAACCAAGACATGAGCAAAGAACGTGCGGATTGCCGATTGCTAGAAGACAGACTGGAAGACATGTCAAAAAGGCAAGCATGTACCACGACGACATCCTCAAGCTTGTCGCGATGGTGGCAAGTGCTGAAGATACTATCGAGGATTTCAAGGAGGAGAAGCAAGACACCAGGGCTGCCCACGACCAAGAGATGGCGAAACTCAAGGAGGAGCTCGAGAAAGTCAAGAAAGAGGGCGCCGAATATCTGTCCGATCTCGAGTCTGAACTCGACGAGCAATACGAGGCAATGCAAGATTTGATCGAGGAAAGAGAAAAACTCTTGATCGACAGAATCAAAGCAAAGGAGGACACCGGCCGCTTCGAACAGAGTCTTGACACCGCATCGGCTGAGGTGGCAAAGGTCGAGCATGAAAAGTCTCAGCTTATCTGCCAGGTGCATGGAGCCAAAGCCAAAATCGAGCAGCTTTACGACGAACTCAACGGAATGTGCCAGGAGAAGCAAGGACTCATCATGGACCACGAGCACAAGATGGACAAGGCAACGGAGACAGTTCAGCGCCTCGAACAGAGTCTTCACACTACGTCGGAAGTGCTGGAAGACCTCAAAGCCCACGAATCGCGGCTTGCCGGGTGCTTGTGCAACAGTCAAACCGAGGTTGACGAGGCGCACGAAGCGATGGAGGAGTTGATCGAGGAAAAGGATGAGCTCTTGATTGAGAACTGCAAAGCAAAGGCAGAGATCCAGCGTCTCGAACAGCGCCTGCGGGGTTTCGAAACTAGCCGCGAGCAGGAGATGAGCAAAGAGAAGGAAGAGCGTCGCGAGCTGGAGAGCAAGATTCGCGACGTTTTGGCCAAGTCGAGCGAGGCCAAGCAAGAGCAAAACGAGCTTCGTAACCGATTCTGGGAGGCCAAATACGAGATTGAGGAGCTGAAGGAAAGAGAACAGGAAAGGGAGCAGGAGAGGCAGATGGAAATGAGCAAAGCGAAGGAAGAGCGTTGCGAGCTGGAGGGCAAGATTCGCGATGTGCTGACCAAGTCGAGCGAGGCCAAGCAAGAAGACAATGAGCTTAGTAACCGGTTCAAGGAGGCCAGATGCGAGATTGAGGAATTGAAGAAGAGGGAGCAAGAGTTGAAAAGGCAGAAGGACGCTGAGCGTCAGATGTTCGAGAGAAGCCTTTTTAGCATGCGCAATCTGCTGCAAAAGGTTTAGGCGAAGAGACTTGGTGGTATCTTCTTGTAGCTTCAGCGTTAGTCAATACAACGTACTTGGAAGCTTCAGACACTTTTCGGTAGATGGCATTCTGTTTTCGAAAGTGTCGTGTAGACGGCCAATTGTGAGCGTGACAGACTTGAACCCTTGAGAGCTTGGGCGTATGTCAATGTATCAAATTACTTAGACGCAGAGGCTCTCTTGAAGCGACACGAGGCGCCATAGGCTTGTCTTGATGATAGCCGTTTCTTGAAAGCATTGTGTATTCTGGTGGAGGTTGTCAGAGAGTTGACCCTGCAGATCTGTGGTGGAGAGTTTGTGGAGCTGTTGTTTTGGACTTGACGATCCGGATTCGGCAAGTGCATGCGTCGCAAGAGGCAGGTGTAAACAACAAGACAATTTTTCTGATCATCAACCATCAACTAGCACAATCAAGACGTCTACCTAAGCCGAAACTCCCTGAGTCTACCTGTGATAGTATTAGCGATCTACAAAACGCAAAGTGGTGGAAATAGTCACGACCAGAGGATTGTTTGCAGCAAGCGCAGCATCGGCAAGGTTCCAAGCTAGCCCCCCCAGCCTCTTGGTTGTTGCTTGACGGACGTTTCATCCAAGTTGATGCTCCATCCATGGGCAAGTCTGAGCTATCTGCGATCTGGCAGCGACGCCTTCCTCTCTTTCGCCAACCGGATTGACTAGGAGATGAGTTCGCCTGCTGCGCTGGCCTCACGCGCCAACCACGCTGCAGACAATTCAGACCTTTCCGACCTCTCTACCACCCGCCGAGTCCATCAACAAACAAGTAAACAGTCCACCGACCAACTCCCCACATACCATGCCGAAGACGACGACTACTCGGACAACGACTACGAAGACGGCCACGATGCACCCTCCCCTCAGCATGACGACCTGTACGATCAGGACGACTCGGACCTGCCGCCGTTACCCATGTCCAACGACAGCCTACTGCACCTCACCAACCCCCACAGTGATGCCTACGATGAGCGCGAGATGAGGAGGAAACTTATGGACGTCGAGTCCAGCTTCATGCCCGACCTGCTGTCCACCCGCGTTCCGCATGAAAGAACTGGCGCCGACGATACCTACCTCAACATCAAACATCAACAAGACAGCGACATTCCGCCCATTCAAGAGCAAACAGAACATGACGTCGCTGAAGACAACCCTGAGGACGAAGACGACGAGGAGGAAGAGGAAGAAGAGGACGTCGCGTCCGTCACATCCGCTCCTGCCGTACAGCCTTCGTCCCCTGCCGCTGCCGCCGCCGAACGTTCCTCGATGCGCGCCGATCCCGTGCGACGCCCGTCAGAAAACGACCACGACCTGTCGACTGCCTTCACCAGACTCACCTTGCGCTCCAACGCCTCCAAGGATGCCGATCAACGAACACTGTCCTGGAACATGGCACAACCCTCGTCTTCTTCCGAGCGTCGCATCTTTTCTTCCTCCTCCAAAGAAGCCGCCCAACCATTCAAAGAAGCCGCGCANGGGGCTCCGTCGCAAGAGCCCGAACATTCCTTCTTGTCCACCACATCAGCCTCGACAAAGCCAGAGGACGTCCCCTTGCCCATCTCAGACAAAAGCCTGCTCGACTTGGGAAGCCTTCACTCAGCCTCGTCGCGTCTACAGACAAGGCCAAGCTACGCCTCTCAAAGGAACCCCAGCCACCTGTCGGCCATCTCGAATGCTGACACTGAATACTCGACCGGTGATTACGCCTTGCAAACTGGCGGCGCCATTCCAGAAGACCACTCCTTTGGCCACGGCCGCCCACTGTCGCGCCTACCCAGTCTTGGTAGTGTCGTTTCGGCAATGTCAAGAGACAGCGAACCTGTCCCTCCCTCGCTGACTCGCGGCAACTCTGTTCTGGCAAGCATTCGCGCAGAACGTGCTCTAGGTAGCTTGGAAGAGGAGGACAAAATATCAATCGCCTCTGACCCCGTCACTCCTCGTCCACCAGACATGTTTGAGTTTCATGCCCCTACCGACACCATCATCACTAGACACGTGCAGAATATCCAAGTCCCTGATACCATCGCAAAGGAGTACCGACAGCAGAACCGGCCTATCTCTCCAGATAAACGTCCAGCCTCCTCGTCAAATGCTCTGACCTTTGGTAATCGCCCGGGTGGTAATCTTACCCTCAAAGAGCAGAACAGCAAGATTGACAAGCTTACCAAGGAGAATTTCGACCTCAAGCTCAAGATTCACTTCCTCGACCAGGCCTTGCAGAATCGCTCCGAAGAAGGTGTTAAGGACATGATTAACAAGAATGTCCAGTTCCAGACCGATCTGGCCAACGAGCGAAAAGAAAACCAATCTCTGCGGCGCAAGATTCGTGATCTAGAGAAGAAGCTTAAGCAGTCAGAGCTGGATCTGGCAGAAGCACGCAAAGTCGCTCAAGAAGCGGCTGGCAATGGTCATGAAGAGCTCGAGTATGAGATCCTGACACTGAGCGAAGAGCTCGACAGGAAGACGATACAGATTGCGCATCTGACTGCCGAGAGTATGGCTAAAGAGGTGGAGAAGCGCAAAATGAAGGAATACATGACTGCCATGAATGAGAGACGGGGTTCAGAGCATGATATTGTTGAAGAAGAATCCGTGAGTATTGTCTTAGACATGTGAAACAACAAGACTGATACATGTGTCTAGGAAATGTGGAAGGACTTACTCACGACAGAAACTGCTCGCAGAGAACAGGCTGAAGAAGATATTCGCAAACTCCGTGAGGAGGTCATCATGCTGAGAAGCGAGAAGGCTTCAGAGGCAAGCAGAGGACTCAACACCAACAGGATGAGCCAACTTCGCGCTCAGTCTACAGGATCAGAATATGTCGACAATCGCAGCGGCGCCGTCTCGGCCTCCAGTTCTACCCTCGTCGACCAGCTTCAGCACGAGAATGCCGAACTACGCCGAGATCTTGGTGCCCAAACATCCATGCTTACATCTCGAAACCGTGAGAGAGAACGTCTCCAGCAAGAGATTGAGGACCTGAAACTGCTGCATCGCAGAGTAGACGGTGGTCGCTCTATGACAGGCGACAGCATCTTCGACCGTTCCGTATCTCGACAAAATCAATATCAGCGATCCACATCCCGGACTAGTGGTCAGACTCAAGCTACTATGAGTGATGCTGAAAGAGATGGTTATGAACAGCGAGAAGGCATCCTGCGCGATCAAAACGCCGCACTCAGACTGGACTTCCAAGACATGCAACGACAATTCAACGAACAGACTGAGCTTATTGCAGAGCTTGAAGAAGCTGTTCAGATCTCCGAAAATGAGCTAGACGCCGCGGTCGAAGACCTGAGAACTGTACAGAATCAACGCAACGAGGCCATTCAACAGCTCGAGACGACAGAGCTGGAACTTGAGCACGCCAAGGCCGAACATGAAAGACTTAGGATTGAAGCTGTCAGTGCCATCGAAGATCTGGAAGACAGTCTCGACAAGACGGAACAAGGACGTGAGCGCATTGCTTCGGATCTGAAAGATCGTGAAGACGACTTCAAGGCTCTCCAGCATGAATTACACAACCTCAACGACAGTCTTGTCCAGCTGGAAGATGATAGGACATCAGCTTTGAAGCGTATTGAAATGCTTGAGCAGGAGCTTGAAGATGCAAACACGGAACTGGACGAGATGGAGAAGAACTGGCGCGAGACTGCTCTGAAGAACAACCGGCTTGACGTTCAGGCAGAATCTTTGCACAACGAGATTTCCTTCCTCCGCGAAGAGCAAGAAGGCGACAAGATCAAGATTGGTGATTTGGAAAACAGCCTCAACGCCGCTCAGGAGATGATCCAAGATGAGAAGGAGAAGATGCAAGAGCTTGAAGAGAGTCTTGTGGAGGAACGCCGCCAGCGTGAAATAGTCGACAACCAGTCCAAGCAGGACGTGCAGAAGATGATTGATGATCTCAACGACGAAAACACAAAGTCGAGGGATGAAGTCAGAAGCATCAAGCAAACTCTACGTCATACCGAGACCGAAACTACAAAGTATAAGACCAGACTGGATGAGCTCGAGACTAGTCTTAGACGAGTGCTTGGTGACAGACGCTCTGGCTGGCTTCAGGAGATTCAGAGAATGCAGGACGATTTGGAGAACACCATGCACGATCTGAACGAAGTCAAGACACAGCTGGCAGAGAAGGACCGTTTGCTTCGTAACAGAGATCAACTACTCGAAAGCAGTGGTTTGGAGAGCAAGAGACTCTCAGATATGCTGGAGAAGGAACGCTCTCTTCGCCGAAAAGAACTTCACCAGTTCGAATTGTCTCAACGCGGCAACTCGACCAATGCACGCATGATGGCTCAACATGAATCTCGTGCTCTGGATCTGGAAACTGCTCGTAGCCAAGATCGTCGCAAGATGATGCAGCTCGAACAGCAGTACCGAGACCAGCTTGTTGAACGCAACCAACTGCTCTTCACACTCTGGACAAGACTCTCAACCCTCTGTGGCAATGAGTGGGCTTCTCACCACAGCAGCGTTAATGGCGAACCTACTTCCATCGACACCATATCCCGCAATCTGCAACCCTTCACCAACAACATTCTTTCTGCAATCAAAGCCATCGAGACCTTGATGTCCAACTGCAAAGCCCAAATTCGCAGCGTCGAGAAGAACCTCCGCAAAGACTACCAAGTGCTAGAGCAGAACCTCGACGTGCGGGTCAAGAAGATGGAGTTCTTGGAACGCGCAGTCAAAGACGCCCAATCAGCCATCGAAGTCCAAGCACAAGAGTCCGCAGCCCTGCGCTCCCAACAAAACATGAATCGCACCTCCAAATCCAGCATCGAAGAAGCCGCAAAACTCAAGCAAGAGATTAAGATTCTCAAAGCCGAGATTCGCTTCCACAAATCCAGCGAGAATAAGAGCAAAGAAGCAGAGGTAAAAAAGGACACAAGTAACCAATTGACGCCAAGAGCCAGCATGGCAAATTCGTTGCTCAGACATCATTCCTCGTCGGCAATAGAAGTGCTGCAAGCGGCAAGTGCAGCACCTGCAGCAGGCGCCGCGGCAAGAAACCCTAGTATCGTTATTGCGACACCGCCTCTACAGCCTTCTGAACAACGTTGGATCCATCGTCTCAAAGAACTGGAACGAAGACTCAAAGCCGAACGCGAAGGAAGGCTTTTGGATCGCAAAGGCGCGAGACAAAGGTTAGAAGAACGAGACTCGCAATTGGAAGATTTGAGAGGGATGCTTGAGAGGGAANNAAAAGATCGCAGAGGCAGTTTTGGCAGTTCGCAGTGGGAGGAGGGAGAGCAAGAGGGGAGGAGTAGTAGGTTGAGTAAGGTATCGGGGGTTAGTGGGAGGAGAGATAGGCAGAGAGATGGTAGTGTTGATTGAGCTTGCACCAAGACAAGCACAAGGCAGAGGCAAAGTGGTAATATTAGAATCATGTGATCTTCATTTCTCTTCTTCTTTCCTCCTTGTTCGTGTGAAATCAACTCTTTGCGCGTCGCTACATGGTAATCTGAAGCCGCGTAAATCGCACGGAAAAACCTAACGAACGGGTTCTGTAATGTGGATTTCCACGAGAGTGAAAGGTCCATCTACCCCATAGACTACATTTACTCCTCCACGATTCTTGTGGTTCGTCAGTATTGCTGCATTCCATGACTGAACATGGAAAGGTCACTTACGCGGGCAGGAGCAGGACGAGCAGAGACAGGACTCGCAGACACAGACACATCCCCAGTACCCACCGCACTTCTCTGCTCCCCTCCAACCTCACTGCAGCCAAAACAGCAAAACAACTTTTTGATGGCGCTCAACATTGGTTTTCTGCGGTGTGAGGGATGGGAGGAATGAGAATCTTCAGTTCGTTTATGTTAGTTGTATGTTTTCCTTGGTTGTATAGATGGCATGTAAAATGTAAATGTATTGCAACAACTCACAAAAGAAACTTTGTAGTGGGTTTTGAGCGAGGACAAGGGGAGTTCATGTGGGATGCCTTTTTGGTGAAACAAGGGGGTGAATATACATGGTGGTGGTGGTTAGAATTATCGAAAAAAGTAAAAGTGAGTGAAGGGGAGAGATAGTGAGGTTTACAGACAGTGAAACAGAGAGAAGGTGGTAAGGTCAGTAAAACAGAGAGAAGGTGGTGAGGTTTGTAGTGAATGGCTTTTAGCTGAGCTGTAGAAATACACGATCATGTTCCACAAGAGAGTGATATCCAGAGAGGAAAGAGGTAGACTTTGGACATCTCTATGGTGCATGTTCTTATTCAGAAAAAGAACTGTGTAATCATATAGTAAATCGTAATACTGCGCATTAAACTTCAAGGGAAGAGAGAAGAGAAGTGAACGTGAAAGATTTCAGCTCATTGAACACGGTGAATAGTATAGCTATAGAGATGCACAAAAGCTGTTCATATTCGAGCGATATCCGTAGAGATAAGGCTCACTTTGGGTATCTCTGTGGTACATGCCTTTATGCAGAACAAGACTGTGTATTCTTATAGCACATTATAACAGTACACGTCAGCGTGGGATGGCAAGACTTGTAGCTGAGATCTCGTGCTAATTGGTATAGCTATCGAGATGCACAAAAGCTGTCCATGATCGAGCGATAACCATAGAGATAAAGCTAAGTCTGATTATCTCTATGGCACATGATGGTGTTGAGAAAGCCAATATGCAATTTTATAGTATATCAAAAGACAGTATGGGAGTGTGGGAGTAAGGCGGAGACCTTATGTGTAGGAGATATCATCTACTTCACGCACTCAAGAAAAGAGCAAGTTCAAGAAAAATAAAGAAAAAAGTGGATTTTTGAGTACCAGAGATAAAGAAAAGAAAAACGATGGGGAAAGCAAGACTTACCTAGAGCGCCATACAATCACTGACCTTTGCACTTACGTATCATCATCATCATCATCATCATCATCAATAACAATAATAGGCGACTCAGGGCGCGTATCAGGAAAACCCACCTTCAGGAGCAGCAGTAGCGAAAATCTGACTCTGCCCATCGATACTACGAAAAGGGAATTCCTCAGAACCGTCAGAAGCAGGTGAGCGTGCGTTGGATCCATCAACAGTTGTCGGGAATCTAGAAGTCCCTGAAGGAGTAATATCAGGAGGAGTAGTGAAAGGGTCATCAAGACCGGGTGGAGGAGGAACATCGAAGCTATCTGGTGAGAAGAACATGCTAGCAGCTTGAACAGAATTGGTGTTAGAGGTATTGAAAGGGTCATTGGACCATGAGTAAGCGGGTGATGGATGCGAGATGACGACGGGAGCTGCATCGGCTATAACGCTGTCAGTAAAGAGTTCGTAGTCACAAGTATCCATATTCAGGAAGTTTTTAGGGTGGTTTTGGACTTCGGCCGGCAAAGTTTTGAACAAGGCATCAGGGATTTGACCATAGTAACCGCGCTCAAGTTTATGCAAGATCTTTGACTCGACGGCTTCGGTACGATGATCAGCCAGACGATTGTTCTCGACAGAAATGAGAAAGTTCCTAAAGGGGTCGGTCTCTCCAATGGTTGAAATTACACGAGCGTGACGGCGAACAGCCCAGTCAGGAGTGAGACGGTCGGTGTAGTAGTCGAGGGTGTCCTGCGAAACGCCAATCTGCTTGAGTAAGTCAATTATAGTGCCGTTGGCCCAGATGTCGAGAATGATTTTATTGTGGTCGATGCTAGGAGTTGAGAGCCATAGCATAAGCTTACCCATGAATTGAGACCATTGCCAAACCTCTGAGAAATCAAGAGATCCCGGGGCTGCTCTAATCTCGATGGTACTCTTTCCAATGCCCGACTTTAGGTTCTGAAGATTGACGGCCATAGTTCTGTACGCTAGAGTCTGACCCATGCTATCTTTGGCAGGCCAGGAATCCAAGAATGCCTCGACGTCATCATATCCCGAGATGGTATTAAGCCAAGATGGAGGATTGCAGCTTTGCAGCTCATCGGTGATAGTGAAACGATTGAATTCAGGATCGTCCTTGATAGCTCTTTTGACAGTAGAACGAATACCCTCAAGAAGTGCCCTGGAGCCGCTTCCGACCCAGTCGTTGTCGCCTGGAATGTATTTGTATACAGGGTTTACTCTACTGATACCAGGCGTGACACCTTCAAAGGACATGATGCAATTTCTGGAAGCCGGCAAAAGACGATCAAAGTGACGCTCGAGAGCAGTAAAGACAGCAAACATACCCAATGAGATCTTGGCGGGAGGTGGTATCTTACCATTGCTGAAGTGGATGTGGAAGCCAGTGTTCTTATTGTTAGCGATACAATACCCATGGTCGGAAAAGGCCTCGTGGACTCTCTGCATGAAGACGCTGATCTCAGTATGAGCGTCCCACTCGAATGGTTCATCAGTGCAGGGGTAAAATTGAGGGGGAAAAGAAGGCGTAGGCTTGGAAAAGTTCATGATTCGAGAGACAAGTTCCATCTGGTAGAATTGCGATTTTCTGGGCTCGTTAGCTTTCTCGTCGGCGCTTGGGTTGACTGTACCGTCACGAATCATCTTCCAAGTAGAAAAGGGAGGAGGGTTGCTAGAGACGATTCCCTCAATTGGCAGTTTCCATGAGTGTTCCTTGTTACAGTTTTTACAGAGGAGATTGACGGGTGTGTGGAGGGCCCTCGTGAGGTGACCTCTGGGGCCATCTCTGACCTTGCGTGGTGTATAAGACAAGAACTCAAGCTCAATTCCGAATGTCATGTCATTCAGAATCGAAGGCTGACCGGCAGCACCAACGTTGGCGAATGAAGACATCTTATCGAGTTTGAGTTTGTGTTAGTGTGTGAAAGTCGGAGAAGCTGTGGAACACCACTTGGGAGCACAGATACGGCTTTTTGTAGTAAAACGCTGTGCTCGTGCTGGTCGGTGATTGGAATAACGAACAACGGATGTCGAGGGTGCAAACAAAGCCATTGAAGAGATGACAAAGGACAATGGAGAAGGTTGAAAGAGATCAAAGAAGGCATGAAAGAAGAACAATTTGGAGGTTCGAAAGAACAATGAGAGACGATCGAAGGATGCTTTCTCTTTTGGCTGCAACGATGCACTCTGGGAGGAATACCTAAGAGAAGGAGCGACATAACGTATGCCGGAGGGGAATGCACGCGACCATCATAGGCAGTCAAGGCAGTCGAGCCCGATGTACAGTAAATCTAAGTTGAATAGGTATAAGAATTGAAGTAGGAATGTGTATCTTGGTTTGCGTAATGCTGTATGAGTTTGAGCTCGCATGTCGAATAGATCCCAGTTCAAGATATGCTCCAGTGACCAAAGCAAGAAGCGCAGTCAAAGAAGTTGTGAGAGACTCTCGGCTCCCATGCAACAAAGACATGAGGTTCGTAGTCAGCACCACGGACAGGTGGTCTCTCGATTGCTGACCGAAAAAGAAAAAAGGTTGAAACACCATCCTCACCCGAGTAATCGGAATCGAATTATTCCCTTCAATGAAGAAGGCAACGCTGCGTATTGCACTCAAGTATCGCAAGTCGTGGACTCGCACACAATCTTCGCACCGGCTCCCATAGAACGCGAGCTCTCCCTCTCAAAACGAGTCCAAGAGGTCAAGACGTTCTGAAATTTCTGATGCCAGATGCAGACGTGTCACGTCAGGCCCTCGCAGGCAGTGACTCAGAGCTTGCGGACTCGTGAAAGCGTTGCAAGGTGAGTGTTTGGTTTGTGAAGATTACTCCGAATTTCTCATTTGCAGGTGGAAGGGGGACACGGCGAGCGATAAAGCATCGCCGTGTCTGTGTGGAAGCAAAGAAACGCAGCTTTGGTGAGGATGGTGCTTGAACAAGGAAGGAAGGTGAACGCGAGCGAAAAAGAAGTTTTGGACCCTCGAGTTGCGGCGCCAAGACTTCGCGTCATCCCCGGCCGAGGGTGTTTAATTTAGCGACTGGGATGCTCTTTCTCTTTCACTTTCACAAGGCAACTTTCACAATCACTACACAATGGGTTCAGAAGACGGAGACCGCAGAAGGCGTCGCGATAGCAGAGATAGGCGCTCTGATAGACCGTACGATCGCAGGAGGACATCTGTGAGCAGGGACGACGACAGAAGAGAAAGAGACAGACGGAGCCGCCGACACGACGACGATGGCAAGGACAGGAGGAGAAGACACCACAGTCGCTCAAGGAGCCCGAGACCAAGACACGACAGAGAACGAAGCTCGCGAAAAGACGACGCATCCCCATCACCACCACCAAAACGCAGAAGACGCTCTTACTCGCAATCAAAGTCACCTCCGCCCCGTCGCCCTCGTGGCCCTCTACCTTCACAACAAGATCAGTTCCGCCAGGGAGACGATGCTGCACCAGCAGAGCCAGTGGTAGAAAAGCAGAAGCCCAACTTCAATGCGACAGGACTACTTGCAAAAGAAGCGAATACGGTGGCCGGCACAAATACAGTCCTCAAATACCACGAACCGCCCGAGGCGCGCAAGCCGTCGAGCAAGGAGCAATGGCGCATGTTTGTCTTCAAGGGCAAAGACATGATCGACACAATCCATCTCTACTCGCGCAGCTGCTGGCTCATGGGACGGGATCAAGCAATTGTCGACTTTCAGTTGGAGCACCCGAGCATCAGCAAGCAGCACGCTGTTGTCCAGTTCAGACACATCACAAAGACAAACGAGTACGGGGACAAGCTGAGCAAGGTCAAGCCATATCTCATCGACCTGGACAGCGCAAATGGAACACGGTTGAACGGGGAGAAGGTCGGAGGCAGCCGATACATTGAGCTACGGGACGGTGATGTGGTGGGCTTTGGCGACAGCGAGAGAGAATATGTCATGATGCTGCCGAAATGATTGCAAGATATCAAGTGCATGCGGATACGAAGAAGGCTATTTAATCTCCATTTCTTTTCATTATTTTGCTAGTGACGTATTGATTGCACCAAATTGTTGCGTCGCGGGTCACTCTCGACACGACTTGGTCCAGCTGCACTGCTCCTCGACCTTCGACCAGCAATTGTCCAACCACCAATGCAATGACGACCACAACCTTTGCTCCTCGAAGGGCGACCTCTCTGTTCCTCTCAGTGCAACCACAATCCTTCCGCCCACTTTCCCAGCGCAGCCACATCCTCAGCGCCACCAACTTCAAGTCATACTCGACCCAACCGCCCTCCTCAAACGTAGACGAAAAGACCAAAGACTTGCCTCCCAAGGAACCCTCCCAACCAGACGAAGATGGTATCAACGGCCCCCTCTCCACCCTACCTCCTCCCCTCAACCTCCCCGAAAAAGGCAACCGCTCAACACCCGCCCACCTCTTCCAAATCGGCCGCACCTACGGAAAGTTCTACTGGAACGGCGTGAAAGCAACATGGGCAAACCGCAAGCGTGCAAAAGCCCTCAAGACACAAATCATTGCCGCAAACCGCGCTTCTGGCCTTCCAAACATGCCTAGGCCTCTACTCGCACACTTGGAGTTTTACTACGAGAATGCCGGAAAGCAAAAGATGACGAGGACAGACTTTCAACTGTTGATGAGAGAGCAATACGACAGCAGAAAACTTCCTCCGTTTGCATTGATGGTGGCACTGTTTGGAGAGTGGTTACCGTTGATTGTGCCATTTGTGCCTTCCGCCGTGCCTCGCACCTGCAGGATTCCAAAGCAAATCGAAGACATGCGCAAAGGCGTCGAAGAGCGACGGAAAAAGTCCTTCCGCGAGGGTCTAGCCACACCGAAACCTGCAGAAGACGACGAGACCGCCATGCCTACATCTCTGGCTGGGGGCAANAAGGCTCTACCCAGGTTATACACCTCCATGCGAACAGCCCAACACATTGTCAAACTAGGAAAGCCGCAGTCTCTACACATCTCCCGTGCTCTAGGCATTGGCGGCAGACTTTTCGACTCTATGGGTGTTCAGCACCCTCTATTCCCTGTCAAGTTGATGAGGCATCTTGGCTATCTGCATATTGACGACGAGCTGTTACTCCAGGACTGGGTGCTTAGTCACTTGACACTCAGCACAGAGGAAACTCGCATAGCATGCGAGGAACGCGGTATCGATGTCGTGGGCAGGGAAGAAAGCGACCTAAAAGAAGATTTGGGCAAGTGGCTAGAAGGCAGGAAGAGAGATGACGGTAGCTATGCCGAAATCTTGAAGATGCTGTTTACAAGGTATGTTCACCCCTTTCCTTCAGGATATGTCCGCCACGCGCTAATTTTTGCCATCACNAGACCCAATGTCTGGGGCCAATCCCGAATCGAGGCTCCTGAATCGACTGATAATTGAGCTTTGCTTGATCCAGCAGATCACTATATATAATATGTACAACTAGTCGTATAGATGCAGTCCGTATGCTTGATTAGAGACAGAATATTACCTACCTCAGATTGCGTTGCTGACTGATGACTCTACTCAATAGCCATCACATGAACTCAACGGTGCAGAAGATACAGTACTCTTGCCAAATACTGTATATTCCCCAATCATCACATTACTTTGTCAAAACTCGTTCCCCATCATAAAAACCCTCCACACCTTCCATCACATGTCTCACCACCACCACAAACCCCCAATAACCTACCAATGATGCCATCAGAATACCGTGCTCTCGAGCAAATCAAGAATCCTGCAACTTAAGTGCAGCCAAGAAAACACTCTCTCTTCTCAATCTCCCACAAGACTACCGAGCCTTGTGGCCGAAGGAGGGAAAGAAATGACGGACGACGAGGCAAGTGTGATTATGTGCTTTTTTGCACGACCGCAAAAAGAGACGATCATACAAAAAAAAAAAGGTCCCGTCCGTCTCTCTCTCTCTCTCTCAAAAACAAAGATTGGAAAGTTGATAGTTTTGCAAAAGTCGCGGTTTCGTTGGCAGCGATGGAAAGAAAGATCAAGGGTGCAGTGGCTTGTCCTAGGGACCCGAGAACTGGGGCGCCAAAAACAACCCAACCCCATCGCATGTGGAAGCAAGATGTTGTTTTCCACAAAAAGAATATCACGATATGATCTACGAAAAAGGCCAGTGCAAGTGAAAGTAACAGTATCGGATAACCAAATCTTCTCAATCTCATTGTCAATTCATCTATATAACCATTCGTATCATTCTTTCAAAAGAGTCTGTCATGTACAAGAAGAGGTTGTTCCAGACCTATCAATCATCCATTGATTCTTCTCATTCCAGTCTGGTGTAAAGATGAACAAGGTAAGAACAAAACATTCGGCCCCCAAAATGCTCCGTAGATGCAAATTACAAGCAAGACCCCAAAGGGAGAATGCAGAAAAAGAAAAAAGGCTTTGCACGCTGGCAATGCAAAAGGAAACCAGACCAGGTTCTCCTTGGCCGGGATGCAGAAGGGGAGAAAGACAAGAATGGAGAGTTGCGCAGAAACAGTGTTGGGTATAGAGCGCTGTCTGTATTCCGGCAGAAAAGGGTCAAATACCCTGTCGTCGTGATCATGATGCATATTTCGAAAAAGACTTCCTGTAGTCTCGTGTCATGCTTTTGTGGTGTGTTTGTAGGTTTCGTATCATCTCTTCAGCACTCATTCATCCGTCAATCTGTCCAAGAGATGGATACTCAAAATCATGACCAACAAACCAATGGTAACGATGAGCAGTAATGCAAAGCTGAACCAACCCAGCACCATGGCTGAAGTTCCTACTCCAGATTTTATGCTGCCGTTTCCCATGTCTTGAGCGACTTGTGCTGCAGCGACTGATGCTGTATGTTGCCATAGTACGGATACCAAGACAAAGACGGAGGCAATGAAGACGAGTGCGAGGGCTGATTGTGAGACCGGACGTGAAGGGAAGGGTTTCACGTCGACTTCGGAGCCGGTGGCACGGTCGCGTTCTTCGTGCCAGCCAGGAAAGGAGGCGAGGAGGAGGAAGCAGAGGAAGGCGAAGATGATGGCAATGANTACTGTGGATAATAGGTCAGCGATAGAATACATCAAGGTCAAGTGTGTTTTCACTTACATCAGCCAAGGAAAGACAACAGAGTTCTTGAAGGTATTGGCGACCCAAATCAGGTTCATGGGATCTTTGTCGATACTGATCTGCTCGGCCAGCAAGGTTGCATTGTTGGAACAGAGGTAATTGCCTGCATCGGAAGCAATGCATAGGCCAAAGTATCCGACTCTGACTTCAAGCTGAGTCTGTCCAACGATGTTGGCGATGGCGGCAGTGACGCCGGGATCTACTTGAGCCGGGTCATATGTCGGCGTGTATGTTTGATAGTAAAAGTCGATGAGGAAAATGCCCGGTATGAGTGGTGAACTTGATGAGCATCCTGCCAGTAGTAGTGCTGTGAGACATGCGTGTTAGTGATGAGTAGACATTGAGGGAGGTCAACTCTACTCACAAAGAAGAATGATGGCAACGGCAATCAAGATCATGAGAATGTGGTGGTATCCGATGAACGGTATCAGACGTTGGATACCGACGGCAAAGCCAATACCGGGAGCCATGGCTTGCTCTGGAATGCCTCCTCAGACAATGTCCTGCGTTCTGCCGGTGGCCGAAGAAGAGGTTGGAGGAATGCAGATGTGTCTACACGTAATGGTCCCTGGACCTTGTCGTGCTCTGTTGCCTGTATTGACTCGTGGAATGTGGAGGTTTAAGTTGGCTGAGCGTGGAGAGTGGATAGCCGTTGCGAAAAGCCGATGAGTGATGCTGTATCGTCCAGAAAAACGTATGTAACGCAGGTTCGTAGGGAGGAAGTCAAAAGTAGAGAAGAATTGATAGAAGCGCGGCGCGTGTATCCCTTGTCTCCTTTTGCTGCACGCACAAAATGGCGAGGTTGGTAAAGTGCTAAATGAATTTCCTGCCACCCCCAGCCTCCTTCGACCAGGCACCGTGATGATCGTTTGTAAATACGCGGTTGCGTGGGGAACCACGTCCGACCACGCTAAAATCAGGGAACTGCCCGCACCCGCTTCCCGTCGGGCTCTGACGTGCGCACAAGCCAATCGCCGTCTTTTTGCTCAACGAGGTCATGAACTTTGTCGAGATTTTGAACGAGGGGAACTGAGTGCAAGGCAGCATGAGGCATTCAAAAGGTCAAAGCCACAGACGGCAGGAACAGTGATGTGAAGATGGTTCAGATCTGTTATAGATTGTCATGTCGCTTTCCTAGCACTGGAAACTCTAGTTTCCTGGTATCATAGCAAGAGCACAGGTTGAAGCTGTCTCTGCTTTTCGTAACCCAACACCCCTCCTTCCATTTTTATCCCATGTTGAATCGTGTCATCCCAAGACGCCATTAAATGCAATCGAAACTCTACTATGCAAGCTTGAGCTGTTTAGATGGGCAGGGGGAAGGTGGTGGCCCACTGAGCAATCTCAGACTTGAGCTTCTTGATCTCCTCGACCTCGCCAGAGGCGACCTTGGCCTTGAAGTCCTTGAGCTTGTTGTTGTCCTTGGGCAGGTCGGCCTGGACAGACTTGCAGACCTTGATGGCCTGGTCAATGTAGCCAGCAATGCGCTTGAAGTCGTCCTCGCCCATACCACGCGAGGTCATGGCGGGAGCACCAATTCTGATACCGTAAGGAGTCAGGGCAGACTTGTCGCTGGGGGTAGTGTTCTTGTTGCAGGCAATGTTGATCTGCTCAAGGACAGCCTCAACACGGGCACCGTCAAGAGAGAAAGGCTTCAAGTCAATGAGGACCATGTGGTTGTCGGTACCACCAGTGACAAGGGTGAATCCGAGCTTCTTGAACTCGATCTCAAGAGCCTTGGCGTTGTTGATGACCTGCTGCTGGTATTGTCTGAACTCGTCTGACTGAGCCTGCTTGAGGGCAACAGCAAGAGCAGTGATGGTGTGGTTGTGAGGACCACCCTGATGACCAGGGAAGACGGAGAAGTTGATAGGACCCTCAAGGTCGTAGAGGGTCTGGATCTCCTTACCGGCCTTCATCTCGGTCTTGCGGACACCCTTGCGGAAGAAGATCATGGCACCACGGGGTCCACGGAGAGACTTGTGAGTGGTGGTGGTGACGATATCGGCGTAGGGGAAGGGAGAGTCGTTAACGCGACCAGCGATCAGACCGGAGATGTGGGCCATGTCGACCATGAGGTAGCAGCCAACCTTGTCGCAAATCTCGCGGAAGCGCTTGTAGTCGATGGTACGGCAGTAGGCAGAGGTACCGGCGACGATGACCTTGGGTCTGTACATGAGAGCGTTCTGCTCGAGCTGCTCGTAGTCGATGAGGCCAGTCTCGAGGTTGCAGCGGTAAGGGAAGGTCTCGAAGTAGGTAGAAACGGCAGAGATNNCCTGGGAAGAGTGTTAGAGAGAGGCTTCTAAGATGGCTTGAAGAGACCCAATTGCTTACTTTCTCTGGGGAGTCTGGTAACCGTGGGACAAGTGACCACCGTGGGGTAGGTCAAGACCCATCAGGCGGTCGTGAGGACGCATGATGGCCTGGTAGACCTGAAGGTTGGCGGGAGAGCCGGACAAGCACTGGACGTTGACACCCCACTTCTCAGAGTCAAGGCCGAAGGTCTCGAGAGCGCGAGCCTGGCAAGTGAGCTCAATGGCGTCAATGTGCTCGTTGCCGCCGTAGTAGCGGGCACCGGGGTAACCCTCGGAGTACTTGTTGCTCATGGGCGAACCCAGAGCATCAAAGACGGCGCGCGAAGTGACGTTCTCCGAGGCAATCAGGAGGATAGACTCGCGCTGGCGCTGAATTTCCTTCTTCATGATCTCGGCGATCTCAGGGTCGGTCTCGACGAGAGACTTCTCCATGANGCTACTCATAGTCAGTACTCGAGCTCAATGGCAGGTGTCACGGTGATTACTGACATCGCGGTGCTTCTCGGAAAGGGCGTAAGTGGACATGATGTGTATATGTGTGTGTGTAACGACAAGAAGAGGTTGTGAGGAACAAAGAAGGGAGGCGACAGCTATGAGCAATAAGTAGCACCGTGGGGCAGGATTTTTTGCCCATGCGGGCGTCTTTTGGCTTTCTGACCTCGCCGGACGCGGAGTCCCAGTCTGGAAACATAACCCTACTTGGCACGAATAAAGCCACTTTGCCCTTCCTCCTTCCATACATGGACCCGCGATTGTGAGGGGGTCATTGATTGTTATATAGCGATCCACGGCAGTTCGTTTGGCCGGACTCTTGCTTCTCATGGGGCAAGTGCTTGCATTGTTGGCGTGGTATGAAGCTGACTTTCGTTCCCAAGGAGCTTTACGGAGCACCCGCTGCCGCAATCGGTGACTATCGGTCCGCACAAACGCACTGACTCCGATCCTGACTCTCCTTCACTCAACCTTTACCACCCAACTCGAGCGACTTGAGACTCGACAGGTGTGCAAGGTGACCACTCCAATGAGAGTCAAGACAAAGGTCACTGGAACCCATCGTCCACAATCCACTTGGCCTTCTCATGACAGCATTGATTCTCATCGGACTGAAGCAAGCCTTTGAAGCCTCAACTTTCCTCGCGTTTAGACTGTACAATACTGGAGCAGACCTTGGACGAAATCCCTGATGGTATCGTTTCATTCAGACACCGTGCACCTGCTCGGCTAGGAACGGCGTACTATAAGATCGTCGAGCTTTAGAAGTGTGACAATGATGGATTGGCTGGTGGTGCGGAAGCCATTTGCCAATTGTATACCTAAGATTGACATCCAGGCAGGAAAAAGAGAGGCAACACTTTTTCTTTTGAAAGATCAACAGCATACCTTTGGTACTATGGCTACCTACCTTCCATGCTTGTTCAATGATATGTCTTCATGAAGGTATGACCATAGGCTAAACCACAGTCTTTCAAGAGTCTATCATACTGCGTGGCCACTTACTATCATGAGAGTCTGGCCCAAGCAAAAGCTGTGCCCACTGTCTGTGGTAGAATGCATAGACAACGGGTGACGGGTGACGGAACAAAAGCTATCTCAATGCCGCTTCTGTGGGTCGAACACAGTGCCTCCAGAATACTCCTGTGACCAGGAAGACGTGAAGTGGACTTCAGTCTGGCGCTCTCCCAGATGAGCTAAAGCGGCTTGTTGTGAATTGAATGAAATTTGGTGACTTTACCAAAGCGCCGACGCCGACAGTAGCGAGCTCTGGAGGGGTCCAAGCATTGGATCTAGCATCGTGAATGTCAGATCTCGTCGTCTCGATGTGCGAAGCAGAAAGGAATGGAGCAGATGACGGGGTCGCTGGCAAGGCTTTGGAGTCAGAAAGAAGTGGTTCGAGCGAGGTGGAAGAAAGACAAAGGGTGCCAGGGTTGACAAGGAGCTAGACGTCACATGCCAAATTGGGAAGATATTGAGAAAGCACGAACACGAAATCGCGAGACGCGAGGCCAACCTTCACCTGTGAACATCGAACAAAACATTGGTCGCTCTCAGAACTTGGTCACTTTTTGGCTTTCTGCATTCACCTTCACGCTTAGACACATCTCCTTTCTTCCATCATATCCACATCGACTGCATCCTTTCTCGATCATCAAAACAACTGCATCTCTCCCATCTTCATCTCATCACATCACACCCATCAACATGGCCGCCGTGTCGCTGCTCAACGTTGCTGTGCGCAACAACCCCGCCCCCTTCACCTCGCCCTACGAGTTCGAGATCACCTTCGAGTGTCTTGAGAAGTTGGACAAGGATCTTGAGTGGAAGCTCACCTACGTCGGCTCTGCTACCTCGTGAGTCTCTCAAACATTCCCACCTTCTGGCCTTCCTACTGACCTGCATTTCCAGCTCCGAGTACGACCAGGAGCTTGACTCCCTCCTTGTCGGCCCCATCCCCGTCGGCGTCAACAAATTCGTCTTTGAGGCCGACCCCCAGACCTCAACCGCATCCCCAACAGCGACATCCTCGGCGTCACCGTCATCCTCTTGACCTGCAGCTACGACGGTCGCGAGTTTGTGCGTGTCGGCTACTACGTTAACAACGAGTACACCGATGAGGCACTCATCGCCGAACCCCCTGCCAAGGCCGTCGTCGAAAAGGTCCGCCGCAGCATCCTTGCCGAGAAGCCCCGTGTCACCCGCTTCGCCATCAAGTGGGACAGCGAGGCCAGCGCTCCTGCCGAGTTCCCTCCCGAGCAGCCTGACGCCGACAACCAGGAAGACGACGAGACCGCTTACGGTGCTGAGGAGCTTGAAGAGGACGAGGTCGAGGCTGAAGGCGAGCCCGAAGTCAAGGAGGGAGAGGACGCTGAGATGGCCGAGGCCAACCCTGTCGAACAACCCAAGGAGGAGGACGAAGTCTCGGATGCTGGCAGCGAGGACATTGAAGCCGAGAGCAGCGCCAGCGAAGATGAGGACGAAGAGGAGGAGGAAGGTGAAGGTGAAGCCGAGGGAGAGGCTGCCGACGAGATGGACACTGATACCGCTGCTCCCACTGGCGCTACTGAGAAGCCCCAGCCTCCTCAGCAGCAGGGCGATGTTATGGTCCACTAGAAGATGCACCGACTTCTCATCTCTCTATGATTCATGCACGGCGCTGTTGGGAAAGGGATCAAAAGCTTTACGATAATGGTTTGGGAGTACGCATTTCTGGGTGTTTTTTCTGCTTAACTCAACGGAAGAGTTTACCTTTCGATTCGATACCACTTTAAGAATACATTGACATTGATCACATCACTTTCTGTTTCTGCTCCTATTTCTGTAAAGTCGTAGAACTGCCGATTAGAATTGCATCTACTTGTCGCTGAACGAGCAGTATCTGTTGCCGTTCCTGCTGCTGCTTGATCATGCCCAAGCACAGCTTCCCTTGTTCGATATACGTTTTGCAAGGAGTCTTTGCTTTCTATGGTAAGCCTTGGGATGTGTGAGTCAAACATCTTCTCTCTATGTGATGTAGGCGATATTTCTCGGAGTCGCGAGTCGATCGGCCCTCTACACTGACGCGCGTGCAAGAAAGCGAGGAGGCCTCAATCCACCAAAATTCCTGAAACGCCTGGCGACAAGTGGATGCCCCAAGCTTCCATCCGACCTTGGCGACAACGAATGTCTAGGCAGGCCACTTCTTTAAAGAACATGAGAACAACCTCTTGATAATCACAACTTCTCTTATCAACAAGAGAAAAAATGGCTGGCTTCATTCGAGGCAAGCAGGCCGGTATCCAGAATGACCTCTCCGCCGGACTGACGCCCGAGCATGTCGCTATCGATGACATCGAGCGCTATGGAATCAACAGTCAGATAGGAGCCATCGCATACGACCCTGTGCAATCACTGCTGGCAGTGGGCACAAAGGACAGCAAATTCGGACCTGGACAAATCTACATCTTCGGCAGAGGCAGAGTGGCTGTCACACTAGATCTACCTCAACGAGCATCAGCCAAGCAGATACAATTCTGTGCCGACAAGCTTGTCTGTCTCGACTCAAAGAATGACTTGTCGTTCTATTCGCTGGAGGCGAAGAAACTTATCGGATCTCATTCACCACCTGGTGTCGCTACATGCATCGCGACAGATCCCGCACTGGACTATGCCTTGATTGGTATGCAATCTGGTGATGTTCTTGCGTATGACATGGACAGGGAAGGAGCCGCTCCTTTCCGAATCCCAAATCTGTGGGCTGAGCGTGATTCGAGAGTACGAGTGTCACCAGTCGTCAGCATACAGTTCCATCCTAGAGATATCGGAAAGCTGTTGATCGGTTACGTTCATGGTGCCGTCACCTTCTCCTTCAAGCTGAACCAAGCTCAAAAGTTCTTTCAATACGAGATCCCTGCCGGAGCACCGGGCGGTCATGCAGACCCTTCTTCGTCGAAAACCCCTCGCTGGCCGAAACTGACCCAAGCAGTGTGGCATCCTACTGGCACTTTCATCTTGACAGGACACGAAGACAGCTCGATGGTGTTTTGGGATCCCAAAGATGGCAGAATCATTTTGGCCAGAACGACTAGCGAGACACATATAAATGTTCCAGGCAAGGGTGCCACGACTCTTGGACCGACCGTGTCAGTAAAAGAGCCCATCTTCAAGGTTGCCTGGTGTGCAAACAAGGATCCCGACGACACCGCGCTTCTTATCGCTGGTGGTGCAGACACAACTATGCCAACAAAAGGCATGACATTCTTCGAGCTGGGCCGAACCCCAAACTACGCTACTTCCAGTTGGGATGTCCTTGCCGACCACTTGGAGTCACCACGCCGACAAAGAGTGCTGCCAACACCACCTAATGCTGAGGTAGTTGATTTCTGCCTCATACCCCGAGAATCGCCACATTTTGCTGGCGCTCAAGATCCTATCGCCGTCTTAGCGCTTCTGTCTTCTGGAGAAGTAATCACGCTCAGCTTCCCCAGCGGAATACCCATCACTCCAACCAATCAGCTGCACGTGTCTATGACTTTTGTTCATCCGTTTATCAGACGTGCAAATGTCACTACTGTCGACAGAGTCAGATGGCTCGGCATGACCGAGACTCGCAATCAAGGCCCTCAGATCCTTAAGGGTGGCGTCGAGCAAACACATCCTTTGAAGCGATACGAAAACCGAAACATCATTCAAACAATGCATGCAGACGGGACGGTCAGGTTATGGGACGCGGGTCACGGTGACGAGCTGGAAAATGACAAGGTCCTCGAAGCAGGTGTCGGTCGAGCTGTGGGACGTATCGAAGGTGTAGACATCACCAATACCTCTCTGGCGAGCGCGAGTGGCGAGTTCGCAGCAGGTACCAGGAGCGGTGAAGTTGCGGTCTTCCGCTGGGGTCACAACAGAAACTTTGGTCGTGATGTGCCTCCATCTGCCGGTGGAAACCGTCCTAATGCTCTCACCAACATCGTCGATAGAGCCGATCCAGGTCTGAAGGAGGGATTGTGTCCATTCACATTGCTTGACTTGCAAAGTGGACCTGTCACTGCAGTCAAGGTCAGCGAGGTTGGTTTCGTTGCTGCTGCTTCGGAAGGAGGCAAACTTGCTGTCATTGATATGCGTGGCCCTGCTATCATTCACCTTGGCACAACTGCCGAGTTTGGCAAAGGCGACAAACTCGGCACACTGCGTCGCAAGAGTAGTCATCCGGCAGATAAGCCAGAGTGGGTGACAAAATTGGAGTTTAGTGTAAGTGTTATGGTATACTGGCAGCTCTTCCAATACTGACACATCTCTAGNGTCATGACTCTCGAGGACGAAAACTACTCCAGTGTAAATCTGCATGCCGGTACTAATCTAGGTCGATTAGCAACCTTCAAGCTCATCCCTGACAGCAGTGGACGTTACTGCGTCGATTTCAAGGGTGTCACGTCCTTTGATGGTCGCATCATCCACATATCACCCGTCGACACCCACACGGGCAGACCGGCATCCGCAACCCCTGACGCTGTAGCCAATCTTCGTAACGGCGTCAAGACTGATGGTGTCCTCGTCGCCGTAACCACAGCCGAAGCACGCATCTTCCGCCCGGCCACCTCAAAGGGCGCTCACAAGACCTTTGACAGCTACTCTTGCGAGTCAGCAGCTGTTGTAAGATTTCAGGATCAGGGTTACGTGCTTGTTGGGCTGTTCAGTGATGGCACCGTGCGTGCGTATACACTACCTGCGCTGAGAGAGCTGAATTCGATCAACATATCGCATGTCCTGGACACCAGACGTTTTGCCGATTCCATAATCATCCCCAACGGCGACATTTTTGGCTGGACCGGTCCTTCAGAGATGGCTCTAATCAACATGTGGGGAACAGGCCAACTACTGTAAGTCTCTTACCCTCTACTAGGAGCATTCTCAAAAGGCGACAAGATACTAACGACACCCAAGACCNNAAAATCCCTAGACAAACTCTTCAACCCCGAAGCCCTCATCCCTCCTCGCCCTACAATCTCAAACTTCCAATGGGTAGCGGGAACCCAATACGTAACACCCACAGACATGGACATCTTGAGTAAGCTCTTTCTCCCTTCTCCTCCCTCCTTCCACTCACACTAACCTTTTCCTTCCCACACAGTCGGCGGCCCCTCCCGTNNCCCCCCCTCCAAACGCATGCTAGCCCAGACTCGCGCAGACGAAGCATCCCGTCTCGCCGCGTCCCGCCGGCCCGCCTCTGCCTCGTCTTCCTCAGCTCAAGGCGCCAATGAAGGATGGGGTGCATACATGCAGCGACAGCTGCAGGAAAGAACGGAAAAACTTAACATCATGGGCGACTCGATGGAGAATCTTGAGAATAATAGTCAAGGGTGGGCGGATGATGTGAGTAAGTTTGTCAGTAAACAGAAGCGGGGGGCGATGACTGGGTTGATCAAGAAAGGATTTGGGTTTTAAAAGAGTGTGTGTGAGGAGAAGTGACAAGTTGATACTTGGCATAAGTATAGCGCTGGCACGGAAACCATTTACTCTTCTATTCTTTTGTCTGTTGTGGGATGTATACAGTAGTGGTTCTTTTACTCTTCTTGTTGGCTTGGGTCTTTGCTGCAAAACTCGCCGCAATAGCATGCCTTGACTCTTAAGGGGCAGAACTCTTTTGAGAAGCTCTTGCATTTGCATTTCACTACAATTCAAGCAATGGGAAAGAAAAATGTATGGGGGAGTGGAGGGCAAAGGAGGCAATTGGATGTGTAAGATGATACCTTTTCGTGTACGTTTTTTTTTGTCTAGATCTAGATCAGTTGGTGTTGACTCGAAAGAACAAGAAATGTATATGCAGCCATACTAAATAAAAAAAATCATTTTACTGCGAGATACGTGCAGAAGCTCTACAATTGCGATGGCCACGTCGAAAGAAAGAAAGAAAGAACTGGAAAGAGGTTTCTTGGATAAACACTTTTGATGTCATTTCCGATTCTTCTGGTTCCGATAACCTTGATCGACGAACCTGCCCATGTCATCACCATTCCAGCAAAACAGCAACAACCCCAAGCATTTCGAAAAGCACATTTCTACTCATCACACCCGCCAGCAGCTCTAGTGATCATCTCACTGGCCAATTCAGCCTGCAACTGCGCATCCGCGTCGTCTCCATAGATTTGAGCGCCATACATGCCTCCATGACTTTGTACTTCTTGCTGTGTGGCTTCATTTCCAAAGGCAGAGTTCGAGGCACCTACACCGGAAGCAGCAGAGGAGTACATGTCTGTCATGATGGCCGGGTCGACGGGGATGCTCGAGTAATCGAAATGTGAAATGTCCATTTGGTCGTTCGAGGCGTGTTGTTCTTGCAAGGCATTCTGGAGATTTGCGTTTTCGACCGTGGCGGGGGAGAGGAGTGGTGGTTGATGATCCACAGCACCGGGACTTGCTTGCGAGTGTTCAGACGTCTTGTTGGGAGTACTGGACTTGGCTGGTTTGACAGCTTCCTTGCAATTCGTGCAGTTGCGAATGGCTTGCGACACGGTCTCTTTGATGCGAATCCAATGGTAGCGCTCCGCAATCGAAGCAGTGGTCTTGTTGATACCGGCATGTGTCAAAGCATGCGTCTTTAACGCAATCTCGTATTGCTTTTGGGGATCGCTGATGACTTCCTTGTCTTTGAGCATGAGTTTNNTTTCCTCGCCGCCGCTGGAATCGGCGACGAGGCGGTAGTGGGCGCCTGCACTGCGGAGTCTGCTTTTTTCGGCGCGGTCGGCGCCGTTGGGGTAGTTGCCCGTCTTGAGATAGTAGCGGATCTTGTCGAAGCGCTCTTCGGAGAGGTAGTCTTCAGCTTCGCCATTGAGATCGCGGCCGAAGATGATGGCGTCGACAAGGTGATCGGCAGACTTGAGATTGCCGCAGCCAGGCACGCGACCAATGCGCTTGAAGCCCAAAGCATCCCAGATCCTGACCGAGGCAATGTTGGTCTCGTAGACGAGATTGAAGACCGAGTACGAGTAGCCAAGTTGGGGAGCCCACTCGAGGTATCCCTCGCCCATCAAGCGACCCACACCTCTGTTTCTCGCAACATCGCTGACCAGAAAGCCGCCGTTGCATACATGGCTAGAGCGACCAGGGTAGTTGGGCTTGATGTAGAAGCTGCCCAGACACTGCTTGGACCAATCGACGCCTTCCTTCTCCATCTGCCACACGTGGTCGACATTGCTCACATCGCCCAGCAGCATGACGGCGCCAAAGTTGGCAAACCAGTAGGGACCGAATGACTCGAGAGGAAGCTCATTGATCATGGGGTACGTGTCGCCGCCCTCGATTTCGCGGTTGAGGAGGGCGCATAGGTAGTGGAGCAGCGTCTTGGGCACCTGGTCCGGAGAGGAAAAAGGCACGAGGGTGGCCGTGGTCGAGCGGTCGCGCAGAGTGACCTGGCGAGGGACAATGTTGGCGGGCAGCGGGGCATATGGAGTGGGATACGGCGCATCGCCAGATGTGCGGTAGATGGCGGGCGCCGTGGGGTCATCCAGCATTGCAGGCATCGTCGCATCTCTTTACATGTTCCTGCGTGTCAGCCATGTCGAGTCGAGGGCGCAACTGATTACGGTACGAGATACAAGAGAAAGGAGCGAGCGACTCACCATGTGGATAATAGGTCCGATGTNACACGAGTATGCTGGAGACCGTCGCTGGTCCCACATCTACACTGAGCCCGCGCCCTTGCAACAACGACATGCACCTCGCACGTGACTTGCCTCTCTCTCATCACTGTCTCACAACACCTTCACTTGCTTCGGCCTCGGCAACGTCTACCACACTGACAGGAAACTCTTGTGCATATGTACTGGTGGTTGCATTTTGAGCCTTTGATCCTAACAATGACAATAACCAGTTCCCAAAATGTCTTTCCCTCCAAAACTGAAAAGAATAAACAGCAAACAAATAAACATCATTATCTTGCCCATGAACTTGAGCCATCCTGCCTCTGACAGCAGACACTCAACTTGGCAATTTGCTGTTTTACACAAACACGCCAGAAAGACGTGATGATGCCATGATTTTGACGCCAAAACTTCCCCCAATTCTATTATCTGACTTTGTCCACAATTCCCATTTAGTACATGAAGTGGGCAAAGCGGCGCGCTGCTGCAGACGACTCTGCTGAGCTGCCACCCGAAGTAGCAGCAGCTGTCGAATCTCCCAAGATGGTACCAGTCGTCTCGCTGGTAGTGTCGTTGTTCTTGAGGTTGGTAGGCTGCATCAGCTGCATAGGCAACGTGTCGATTCCAAGGTCCTTCAAGAACTTGCCAGCGATCATGGGTGCGACAATGAGCACGATGAACAGGATGAACAAAGTGAAGTACAGGATGGCGTAACGGATCGTACGACGTCTGCGAAGCTTCGACTGCTTGAGCGAGTAAATCGGAGGACGGATCTGGCGACTGTGACGACTTTGTTAGCAATGGCTTTTGTCAAGAGGAACAAAAGAAAACATACCTGGNNGACGAAGCCAGAAGAGCATGACCGAGTGGAATGTGTCAATGTAAGGAATCAAGAGAGGAGGGAGCATGAAGAACAACAGCAGGTGACCCAAGCAGAAGTCCGACGAGAAGTATCCCAACTCGGTGATCTTACACAGGAACTCACGGCCAGGTTGAGAGAAGCCCATCCAGCCCATACCGTACCATTTACCAGTCCACCAAGCGATGTTGGACGAGTCGGTTCTGAACTCACGAGTGAGCGTCAGAGCAATGATAAGCTTGTAGATGAAGCGCTGAATGGCCAGCGACGCGATCATGCCGATAAGCATCTTGGGGAAGCTCCATCCCTCGAGGAAGAACATGACCTCCCACATGACGATAAGCACAATGACGGCGATGGCGTGAGCAATGGCAGCCAAGACAGCACCAAACTTCTTGCAGCACATGCTGAAAAGAGGTCCCATACAACAAGCCATCAGGAAGAACATGCCGGCGACACCAGCGTTGATACCAATGGGAGCGAATGCGACAATGGCGATACGAATGATGGCGTTGCGAGGCTGGAGCTCGGCATTGCTTGCATCAGGGTTGTTCTTGCGAGTAGCTCCGGTTCCAGAATTGATGTAAAGGTAAGGGATGAGAGTCACAGCAACGAGGAAAAGCGGGCCAATAACCTCAGCAAAGAAAACGTTACCGAAGCGGGCACGCGAAGTATCTCCAGACAGCTTGGCCGACGGCTCACCGAGCACCTTCTTCTTAAAACCGGTGATGCGGGTACGCGAAAGACGAACAAATCCGATCCAAGAGGCCGAGTGACCCTTGGTGTTTCCACGAGACAACCATCTGAGGAACTCACGGTAGTCGATGAAGAAGTCGCCCCATGCAAACTGGTGAGGGTTGAAGAGGAAGGGAGCAATGCAGAGAGCGAGGAGCGAAACCCAGAAGTAAAGAAGCCAGTATCCCCAGATAGTCAGGGTACCGAACAGAAGCATGAGAAGCAGACGAATACCCAGGTAGATTGAAGGGGCAGCGAAACGCGAGTAGAGGATACCGAAAGGCATACGGGCAGTGGCGAAACCACGACCGGTACCAATGTAACGAGCACCACCATATGACAAGTTCTGCTGGAGAGCGTTGGTGTAGATCTGACAGACGAAGACTTCGAAGAGGGGAGAGAAAGAGGAGAAGTGCTTGGCGAGACGAGTAGCTGCACGCCAGAATCCGCGCTCAGTCAATTCCTGAACCGTAAGAGGAACGAAGGAGATGAAGAAGACGATGAAAATGGAGACACAGCAACGCTCGATCCAGTCAAGACAAGGGCGCAAGTTAGCACAGCCTGTGGGCCATTGCTCATCAGTGATAGGGGTGTTCCTGTTGTATCTGCAAATGATGGTTTCGTGTCGGAGGGCACCAAGGTTGATGATACAGAACATGAAGAGCTGCACCGACAACATGATGAAAGTGTTGTTGACGTGGAAACCAGCGTGAGCATAGTAGAAAGACAAGAAGCGGTCCAGAGGGAGTTGAGTGCCGAGGTAGTAGTATTCACGAGAAAGCATCTGCTCACCCATACCAGTACCAATCTTGGTGGTGAAGTTGAGAATGGATCCGAAACCCAAATCACGACCCTTACCACACTGGTAGTATTCGCAGTGCTTGATTCTGCCACCACGAAGCTGAGCTGTCATACCGGCGTAAATATCCTCGTTCAGATGGAGACCCTTCTGAGCCTTGGATACACCACCACGGGTAGTCATGAAGATACCGTTGAGGAAATCGGGGTGACCATAATGGAGCTTACCGCCAATCTCGGCGAGAGTACGAGCGAAAAGAGTACCGAATGTCTGTTCCTTTCCAGCAGCAACGTCACCGAGAATACCGATGTTCTCTGAGAAAATGTACTCGCGAGCACCGAGAATGGCAACAGGATCGAATTTGGGAGTGGCAAGACCAGGAGTGTAAGGAGAGACGTTGTCGGTGGTC